AGGCAACTCCCATCCCCGCAAGAAATTCGGGACTCAACGAAGGAACACATTTCGCAGACTTTGATTCCAGATTGATTTGAAGAAAAATCAAAGTCAAATAGCATCTTTGGTCGAAGAAATCGTCATCTATGGCCAGCTCTGGGGCTCCGAGCTTGTTGATCTGAACTTCCACCTGGAAGTGATCCAACTGTGCTGGCGATGGACCCTTGGAAAAAAGAAACAAATGGAAAACGACTTGGTATCGGTTTGTTTGGTTCGCCAGTGCCAATATGTGCCAATAGGACAATAGGAGATGAAGTGCTGAATGATGCTTACAGATGCTTATAGTGTTTTTTAAGGCTATCGGCTATCATTTTGAGCTTTTCGCGTGGATGATCTTCGCAGAAAAATCAGCTGTAATCACCAAACAACACTGACCCCATGTGCTATATGTGCTGAAATCAGTGCGAGATCCGTTTGACTGTCGGGCGTCACTTTGTACTGTCGGAAGTTCCCAAATTTGGGGATGGTTCAAAACCATTTTGTACCGTATTTTGAAGGGATGAACATGCGGAACATCCATTCACCAGCTATTTTGTTGGGTTCGCCATGGGATCCCATGGGTACCCGCAGCCATCAGGATGTGTGATGCTCTTTATGTTTGGATATCCTGCCAAGAACTACCATTGATATCCCGCAACAGCCAGCACCTTCTTGGGCGGATGGTTGGGGCTGAAGACCTGAATCCAACCGCGAAATGGCTGTTGAACCGGGAGGCTATCCAGGCTTGGTCAGGTCGAACATGGCCCATCTTTGCCCCAGATGTAGCGATTTCAAGTCACTCCTTGTCTCAATGATAGGCTTTGAAACGAACAGTCATGGGGCTCATCATCTTCCATCCACATCCAACTATATCCATAATTAATAACTCTATAATATATAATTACTGGTGAGCAAATCTTCAACATGTTTCAATCCTCAACTCTCTTCAGCCATGGGACTGTAGCACTGATGGAGGTGCCAGGCTGCCAGGTGAGTAGAAAATTCGGTCGTCAAGTCATTCCTGTAGGACTTGGCCGTCACTGTCCAATTCCTACAGGGCAGCGGGTTGTGTGCTAGACACGACTGTGGGATGCTGTGGGTCACAGTGGGATATCACAGGATCCGGAAAATCGGACGTGTCTACGAATTCATCCATCTAATTTTCGGGGATAAAATGAAATGATATTCAAGTCATTTCAAGTCAATATTGTCCACCCTCTATCGGTTCCACCAACTACAATCTCCGGCACACGTTTGCTTCAATATAGAAGCAAAATGAAGCAAAGCCATCAACAACAATAAATTGCCATTGCGATTCGCAAAGAAAGCTCCACAGCAGTTTCAAAAAGAGGAAACAGCGTGCGCTGTGACCCGCCCAGACTCGACTCCATCCTTGTATCCATGATGAGCCACAGGGAGGAGCCGAGTCAAATCGAGTCAATCGGCTCGCAGCAGGTTGTTGTACGGCAAGTAAGGTATGGAAATCAGTAAGCTATGTAAAATATGGGTTGGAAGTTGGGAAGGCACCGACCATTTCTCCTTCTCGGTCTCGCTGTGTTGAAACCCTCCCACAAAACTTTGGTGTGAATGCAAGTCTACAGTCTAGGTTTTGCATATCAGACCTATATTGTTGATTATTGTTGATCATATATGTCTAGCTGCCTGCTTGTAGCTGACATGTTAAGATCTGTGTAACATAGACCAAAAGCAGTAGTACTGTAGCTAGCCAACTCCTTCAGGATACTGCATTGACCACGTGTCTTTTGTTTGGCATCTTCCAGCCGTTGCAATACTTGATCAGAAACGGCCAAATTAAATGAACATATTGTTTGTAACATATCAATATATTATGATGCAAAGTTCTTTGGTTTTGGGCGACAGGGGAAATCACGCCGCTTTGGGCAAGTACATTGAGGGAGGGACGTGGACAGTACCTGCATGGTTGTCTGTTTTCATGGCACGGGAACTTGGTCAAACTTGGTCACTTTCCACAGACTTGACATTGTCAGTTCCCGCAATTGCACCATTGAAGCATGACATGGAACCGTTGGTAAACCGTTGGTAAACATCCAACAGTCATCCAACAAAACTAGTTTGGAATGGCACAGGACACGGCAACACGGCAGGACAGGTTCGTCTGATGGGTGTTGGCAACTCACCAGGTTGAGCTGCCAGAATTCTGACATAGCGATACTCTGCATCCACTGTCCACTAAATTCACTAAATACCAAAGTGTGATGCCTGTGATGCCTGTGAAGATCGATTCTTGGAGTGCCCCCAACATCCCCCAACGGGGCCGCACAGCTGCGCAGCTGCAAGTGTGGGAGTTTGTGGATCAAAATGATGAAAGAAGACGCGATCATCTCGGGACCGCAAAGGTCCAATCAAGGCTGTAAGACAAAAATATACAAAAATCAAGTTCATATCAACGTCAATGAAATGACCCCTTGTTGCATCGAGCTTGAGCAAAGCTCTGTCGGCTATTCTGGGGCTCAACAGCACACTCAATGGCTTGTGGCTTATGATCAGCGCCAAGAGCTGTTTCACTTTTCCGGCTCCAGCCGCGGCCGACTGTTATGTATTGTTTTGGGTGATCGTGTAAAAGCAGCTGGCATGATGACCAGAATCAAATAGTGAACATGGCACATGTTAATGTAAGAACACTGAAGTAGAACATCTTGAGAAACAGTTCAGAAAATGCAAACTGTGTCTTTGCATGTCTTAGCAAGTCCAGGCCGTTGACCATTGCAAAAATAAAAGGACCGGATAACCCCACATGTCAAGCCTTCATGTATCTAAGCTTAATGTGAACTTCGGGGAGGTGTGAGAAGTGAGGTGTGAGAAGTGGACTTGTGATGTCAGGTGTGAGAAGTGGAGCTGTGATGAGTTCTGATGTGATAAGTGAGGTGTGAGAAGTGGTGTGAGAAGTGGAGCTGTGATGAGTTGGGATGTGATAAGTTGTGATGAGTTGTGATGAGAAGTTGTGATGTGATAAGTGAGGTGTGAGAAGTGGAAGTGTGATGAGTTGGGATGTGATAAGTTGTGATGAGTTGTGATGAGAAGTGGACCTGTGAGAAGTGGAGCTGTGATGAGTTGTGATGAGCAGTGGAGCTGTGATGAGTGAGGTGTGAGAAGTGGAGCTGTGATGAGTTGGTATGTGATAAGTTGTGATGAGTTGTGTTGTGATGTGTACTGCGCCTGCCACGCAAAAGGCAGCCGCGGGCCAGCGGCGCCCACGCGCGCCGCAGCTCCGCCAGGAAGCTCTGTGTACTGCGCCTGCCACGCATATAAGGCAGCCGCGGGCCAGCGGCGCCCACGCGCGCCGCAGCTCCGCCAGGAGGCTCTGTGTACTGCGCCGGCCACGCAAAAAAGGCAGCCGCGGGCCAGCGGCGCCCACGCACGCCGCAGCTCCGCCAGAAGGCTCTGTGTACTGCGCCTGCCACGCAAAAGGCAGCCGGGCCAGCGGCGCCCACGCGCGCGCGCCGCAGCTCCTCCAGGAGGCTCTGTGTACTGCGCCGGCCACGCAAAAGGCAGCCGCGGGCCAGCGGTGCCCACGCGCGCCGCAGCTCCGCCAGGAGGCTCTGTGTACTGCGCCTGCCACGCGAAAGGCAGCCAGGAAGCTCTCTGTACTGCGCCTGCCACGCAAAAGCAAGCCGCGGGCCAGCGGCGCCCTCGCGCGCCGCAGCTGCGCCAGGAGGCTCTGTGTACTGCGCCTGCCACGCCAAAGGCAGCCAGGAAGCTATCTGTACAGTGAGTGAGTGAGTGAGTGAGTGAGTGTGAGTGTGTGTGTGAGTGAGTGAGTGACTGACTGACTGAGTGAGTGAGTGAGTGATGAAGAGGAGGCGGCGGAGGGCGAGGCGGAGGCGGAAGCCCCGGCGGGATCCAAGCGAAAAACAAGAACCCCACACAGTGATGTGGGGAACAACTCACCTCATCTCACCTCTTTGGAGCGGAACAACAAATTTCGCGCAAAAACACGTCCACGCGTCCGCCACTTCCCTTTTCAATCCCTTCGAATTAAAATGTGTATGATGCAAAGCATCAGGAGACAGTGAGAGCGGTTTCTTGAATCCAGGGTTGGAACATGTTGCAACTGTCATTTCTGCAGCGCTCTTAGTTTGGCGTTCACTTGTGAGGCCTCAAAACACTCGTCAGCCCGCCGTCTCCAAAAGTATCAAAAGCTGCTGGCATCTAGGGCCATCAAACTACGGCTCATTGCCCTCATAAATAGTTCATGAATTGGGAGTGCTCGGTGGCTCATGATTCATGATGTACGAAGCAATGACTGCAAATGTGGAGGCATCCCCTTCCAAATCGAAAAACCAAAATCAAAAACCCGTCCTGCACTGCTTCATTATCGTGTTCCGAATTGCAATAGCCATGTTCGGAAATTAATTTCATCTACTCTGATCAATGAATGATTGGTCATCCTGAGTCATCCTGCATCACGAGCTGACCTAGACATCTGAGATCATCTGAGATCATCTGAGATCATCTGAGCATCTCCGCCGCAAATCCTTTGGAAGACAGGTGCTTCAGGACGGTTGCAGCCTAAAAAGTTCGCGAAACCTCGGTTTGTTCAAACAGAACTGTGGCAGTTTGAGGTTGTTTGCAATCCAATTCTAAACCTGTGGACTTGGCCAGGTTTTGTAAATTGTTTCCGGCATTGTAATTGGCCATTTCTATCTAACAAGTGGGAATGCTTTGTGCCGCTCTACTGATCATGGATGTTGTATAGGTTGTTTATCTTGATGACAATCGTGTCCCATCTTGTTCCATAGATTCACTGAACATGCACGTATGAAAGGCGACCATTTCAGCAACTTAATCCTCACTCTTGCTATCACCATGATCATCATCACCGCCACCACAACCACCACCATTGTCATCACCATCATCGTCGTCGTCGTCGTCGTCATCGTCATCGTCATCATCATCATCATCATCATCTGAACGCTCACACCGGCTTACGCCCCTCTTCACCCAAGTTTGCAGCCACGGAACAAAACTGTCAACTGGTCTAAGAGCCGCGATTTCACAGCATAATTCACTGCATCGAAACCCGTGGTGGTGAGGATGATTCTTTTGATCAAGTCCTGTCCCAGAGAGCAAACTGAGAACACAGAGCACTGCTCCTGAGCATATTGTCAGTTGACAATAAATGCACCAGCAAGAGGTGGTGAATACCGGGGAATACTACTGGAGTTGTCTAAACCGTTCACAAAATTCACAAGGAACCTGCATTTGGCTTCTGGCCTCGTCCTTTTCGGATCCCGCCCTGGCATGCCGAACATTGAGAGTATCCACGGCGTCAGTCAGCACACTGATCCTCAAGTCGTCAAGTCAGAAGCAACTCACATGACAGGCCCGGGAAGCCTTAGCCTTCAAATCATTCATTGATTCTTTGCACTTCAAAGAGAAAATGACCATCATTCCAAAAGAAATATTCCAAACAAATATGCTGCGTGCTTCCACATGAAATATTAGCAGCGTTTTGATCTGATGTGGTGGCGCGTTTCTGGCTGATGGCGCTTGGGCCGCTTGAGTCAGCAAGTGTCAGCAAGTCACCTGCCCGCTGACATAGTTTCCTTGAAAAAGGTCTCAGCCGCGCCGGGGAGTATGATGTTCATTGGTATCTCCTGCGTGATGCACACCTCATTCCATGTTCACAACGATGACAATTTAGATCGGCTTTGCCATTTTTGCCGACAATTTGCCTGTTAACATCCTTTAACATCCTTTAACATCCTTTAACTACTTTACCTCGCAACAACACGCATCAAAAATCCAGACATGTCGTTTGCTCAAATGTCACATGGCTCTGAAATGGTATGGCAAGGTACGGCTCAAGATATGTCAAAACCACTAAACATCACTAAACATTGTGGCGATTGTGGTATGCCAAGCTGTGATTCTGGCAAAAGATCAAGCTCCAAGGCGGCGGCGTAGCTTTCAAAAATGCACCAGGCCCTTTTCACGTAGGTCGGTTGCCTCGGAGGCCCAAGATGGCCCAAGTTGCAACTTGGGTGTCTTGGGGACTGCCACTCAACGGATATTCATGAAGAACCAAGAACTGCAAATTGATATGTGACTTAGGTCCTGAAAGCTCTTGGTTTATATGATGGACACATTCACAAACGTTCTCAAGTTCGAGAAGTTGTAGCCCTCCCCCTGGAACAAGATTTATCGCGTCTTACCATCACATAATGCTACCACCCAAATATGTGTTTGTTTCAAAGTCGCTCAGTTACGTACTCACATGTACTCACGCACTTTCATCAGATAAGATAGATAAGCCATGATAAGCCCCTGACACAATGGTATCGAGCAGCACCAACATATGTCCCGCTTCCACCAGATGGGATTCAAAGATTTCTTTCAGATCATCGCTTCCTGTTTGAGTCGCCTCCAGGGACAAGACTGTCCATCTATGCAACGATGAAAACTGTGTCATGACACATAAAGCTCAACGATCAAAAAACATCAAAAAACTGGATCTCGATATGTCTTGATGATGCATCCACCGCACATGACTTGCGTAATCCACCCGCTGTTCCTTGCCCATCGGTAAAACCGTGGTCACAAGTCACAAGCAAAAACAGAAGTGAACTGCGAAAGAATTGATACATCTTGTGACACAACTGCCACGGCTTGACTTTGGAGCCTCCTCTTTGATTCGATACTGGTTATTACAGAAGAAGCACATCCATAGGAAGACGTTCCGTGCATCTTCATTGGACTTTTGCACCCATCGCTCAATGGCACTGACGACATCATTCAAGGAATATGCCCAGCACCATGAAACGAAGTGTGTGACCTTTCCTCAGACACTGCAGAAAATGATCACACTGTTTGCCAAATGATCGCTCAAAGTCTCATTGAAATCCTCAATTGATATCTGCTGATGTCTGTTGTTCCTATTTAATCCTTTACACCTGATGTCATCTAGCAATCCCTCATCATCCCTGATCAGGGGGAAACAGGGGGAAACCCTGAAAACCAAGTGGCCACTGTATGCATCTTCCAACGCGTCCACAATGCTGCAGTGGGGCCTTCCATCTCTGGGACATGTCCTGTTGTAACCCATACCTTGCCAAGTGCCAGGCTAAGAATACAAGAGACACAGCTTTAAATGCAAATGCTAAAAAAATGCTAAAAATAAACATGCTTCAAATATGGTGCTTCAATGTCAAACATCATGCACTTTGCTGAGACTACAGTCATAAAGGCAAGGGACCGGCCGACCCGTGCGCCAAGTTTGGGCAAATGTCGTAGAAATTTGGATTCTCAGCTCTGGTCACTCCTCAGCATAGTTTAAGCCATGGAAAAACACTCCCACATTCCATACATTATCAATCGCATTATCATACATTTTCATTCACAATTTCCATGTCGAGGCACTGCGGGCCAAAGGTGGAAAAATGTCCACCAAATAGGTGGCTGCCAACCCCAAGGTGGGCATCTCAGGTGGCAGCTCTGCGCAAACTGGGCACACGTGCACCTGGTCCACACAGCTGCTATCAGCTGCCGGAACAGTTTAGAGAGGTTTTGACAAGTTGTCACATCGAAAATGTTGAGTTCTGAGATTCTCCGTTTTCAGTCCGTTTCCACTTGATGTCAGTTGCGACACCTGATGCTGCGGGCAGTACCAGTGCTTTCCAGCTCGGAGGCGCGAGCACGATGTGCATCCTGAGTCTTTAGAAACACAACTGGCAACTGCTTTAAATTTACTTGCTGAAATGGCATCCCGAATTCCAGCAGTTCAATGTAGTCGTGTCATGTTGTGTCCTTTTCAAGAAACATCAAGAAATTATGTTTCAAATGATATATAATATAAATTAATATAATATCATCTTACGACATTAGTTGCAAGAAGTAAAGAAAACATAAAGAAAAGATCAGTACACATCAGTGCAGAACAACACGTTCTACCATTTGGGAGCACGTTGTCAAGCCAATCTCTGAGATACATTGAGATATGGTCTGTTGCTTGCTATCTCATCGGAAAATTGGAATATACTGGCGAACCAAAGGCTGTGTGAATCTATTTGACGATGGCTGTTTCGAGCACAGCATCTGTAGCCATCACCCGAGTCCGCCGAGTCCGTGAGCTCCATGTCGTGGTGATTTTCGACTTGGCATTTTGGAGTGCAAACCCACCTGGGCTGCGACATGGACGGGTCACAACGAGGGCTAGGCGCAACGTACTGGGTGCTGTCGCTTCCGATACTCATTCATATATATAGTTCTTCTATGCTCTTCTCTCTTTTTTGAAGAGGTTTTTTTTTCCAGGTTTTTCACATATTTTTGTCCACATATTTCCTATACTATATTTGTGTCATGTACGAGTACTGTACAGTATCATATTCAGGTCTCCGGATCTGCCTGAAGCGTTGCCAAGCAGGATGGGGATGCTGCGTGCTCCACCACACAATGTTCCTGGAATCTTGGGACAGTTTGGGACGGCTTGGGACGGCTTGGGGCGGCTTGGAAGGCTTGGGATGGCTTCGGAAAATTAGTAGGACCGTGTAGGAACCAAAGCAAGTGAAAAACATTGAAAACAGTGCAAGGTACCAGGTGCTACTGCAGCGTAATTGTGGACGGTTTCATTGAGCATCGACAAACTGAACAGGGATGAACAGGAACCATCAACAAACCTGCGACAAATCTATCTGCTAGATGGGCGTCTTTTGAATGCTCTGCACCGTCTGGACAGTTCCATCTTCCCAGGTAAAATGTTGAACTTGCCCTGGTCGAAACTGAAACTGGCGACCGCTCAATTCAAAAGCCGTCTCGCTCACCTTAGAAAGCCAACATGGGACTAGCTTCGCAGCTTGAAATTTCTGGGTATCAGCATTCCATACAGTATCCTTATATACTTGCTAATCCTTGCGCAGTTCATCCTGCATTCGAATTCCATCAGTCTCCAACATAGAAAGTTTGCCATCGAATATGGAAAACAGAAAATCCACATTTCCATTGCCTGGATTATCTGGATTGTTTGATTACCAAGGGGAAATCCATGATCTGGTAAGACACCGAAAGCTTCTGAACTTTTCCCCGTGGCCATTCCGCAGTCATCCTGCCAAGCTGAAAGTGACAACAAGATCATGGTGTCAAAACATCATCCCCTGCCCTGGGGATCCCATGACCGTGCAAATGAAGCTCAAGCTCAAAAGCTTCAAAAGCCCCAAAAGTTCCCAACTTCAAAGAAAGTCGTCTCAAAGTGTCCTGGAATTCCATGAGAAAATGAGAGGTTTCACAGACCACGCAAGGGGCGGCAGCATCGCCAGCGGATTTGGGACTTGAGGCTCTGCTTCGGCACCTGACATTTCCGGGCAAAACAATGCTGGCAGCCCAAATTTGTTCCTAAAATCGAACATGTCAACCCCGGAACTCCTAGCAAAACAAGGTCAACGAGAAACATCAATTCAAGTCAGTGCGACTCCTTTCCTGAATTCACCTGGCTCCACTAGAGAAACGACTTTGGGTGAAATTCCTCAGAAATGCGCACCGTGAACACCGCGAACTTGATCCAAAAGAACCAAAAATGTCTGGTGTCACTTTTGTATCCAATGTTTAAATCCCTTCACCCTTCCTCTAAACTTACCCCACCTTACTAACATTGAATTATCATGAATTATCTTGGATTACTGATAAAATACGTGATGGATCGTGATGGATCTGTTCGTTTCAGAAGATTTGAGAATCTAATGGACCACTAAGACCACCTCGCAGCTGGCGGAGCTTCGCGCGGTAACAGCAGATGCCCAGGGAGGCACAAAGGCACGCCGTCAGCAATGGCAGCACCACCACAGCCACCAGCCTTGAAGAAGGCAACTTAGAACGACACATTCATCACAGTTCAGGAGAGTTTCATGAGGTCTACGACCGGTATATCACAGTATATCCGTACGTTATGCAAAGACAGGACTCTATAGACTACACAAACCATGGCTCTTTTCATCTGGACGTGCCCGGTTTTCGTCCAAAAAGTACAGGAACTCTTTCGGGAAAAGCCCCTGCCCTTCCTCATGCAAGTGGCAATCCAGTCGAATCATCTTCACTTGATGTGCTGGCGGTGTTCGTGCCCAAATCGATCGATTGGGTATTTGATATCCCTTGCTTCTCCCAGATCTCGACATCGACCGAGGCAGTCGTGGTTGATGTTTGCTGTTCCTCATTCAAGTGACCAAAACAGCTGATTTGAACATGGCAAGGATATACAATGAAGCGAAGTACCAGCAATCGAGGTTTCAGTGCCATACCTGCTACCTTTAAACTAAAGGAAAACAAGCAGGGCCCCAATTTACATCTGACAGAAACAAGCCACCCACCACTCTTCACAAACCTATTTATGCACTCTAGACCTTCCAATAGTTGATTTGATGGTACCAGTTCAGTACAGGTGTATTAACCTGTCAGAAATCACAAGGGGACACCCTCCGGCAATCTGAGATGTCATCGGAAAACCCCACGTATATCTGTGAACCCATGTGTCGATGCTCTTGCCGTTTGATAAACAAATGGAATTTCCCAGTCAGCCATGCTGAATGATTATAAATAGTTGCAGCTACATGCATCGTGCCAAGCAGCGACCTCCAGCTGTGACCTCAGGTTGGGCAGTTGCCAAGGCTGTTCTGTGGAGAACATTTACGATATCTTTCAGGACCCTCAAACAAAAATGACTGGAGACTGTGACATGTCGACTGCCAGTTCGAAAAACATCACATCATGCGGGTGGCAAATGCTAAAAAATGTGTCAAGATCTTTGCTTGTAAGCATCATGCCAACGATACCTCTCGGCCTCTCGGCATCCATGTGCTTTTGAAACTAAGCCGAGGAACACTGGCAATGCCGATGGAGCCGGTCGAGCTTCTTCCGCGCTTGCGCTGGCTGATGCGGTCGTCACTGATGCTGTGCTGGTTGATGATTTCGTTGTGGATCTTGGTCTGCTGATACTGGTTGATGTCTTCGTCGATGACGTTGATAGTGTCCTTGATGTTGTCCTGGTTGATACTCTCGTTGTTGATCGTGTGCTGGTGCTGGTTGATACTGTCCTTGATGTTGTCCTGGTTGATACTCTCGTTGTTGATCGTGTGCTGGTGCTGGTTGATACTGTCCTTGATGTTGTCCTGGTTGATACTCTAGTTGTTGATCGTGTGCTGGTGCTGGTTGATACTGTCCTTGATGTTGTCCTGGTTGATACTCTCGTTGTTGATCGTGTGCTGGTGCTGGTTGATACTGTCCTTGATGTTGTCCTGGTTGATACTCTAGTTGTTGATCGTGTGCTGGTGCTGGTTGATACTGTCCTTGATGTTGTCCTGGTCGATGCAGTCGTCGATGATTTTGTTCTGGTAATGGTTGACAGCTTCGTCGTTGACGTTGTCCAGCTGGAAGTTGGGGTACTGTACCGCACGCAGCAGGTGATGCTCCTCGAGGGATTTTGCACGTAGCCGGCTGGACATGTTACCTGGCTGCACTCGGCCTTAGCAAAGTGGAAGGCGTTCCGGCCAACGTGGCCAACGATCTTTCCACTGGTTTAGGACCTGCTTTCATCTGCTTTCCTCCCATGGAGATGTCTATGAATCCAATCTTTGCATGTGGTGCTCATGCATTTTACTGTGGGCACAATGTATGATCTCACCTCCCCTTTGTTTTGCTAGAGTAACGATGGGTCACATGGGGTATGCGTATATAATTGTGGCTGTGAGGGCTCCGGATGAATCTTTCGCATGTCTTCAAAATAATCAAAATAAAGAGAAAAAATGGCAACATGGTATGGGGGATGGACTTCACTCCTAAGATCTCCTAAACATCCTCCAAACCAGACAGAAACTGGCATTTTTTCCACTTTGAACTGTTCCTGGCAACACCTGAAGAAGCTGACCCGATGGTTCCAACTTCGGTGCTCCGATGTGCTCCGACTACCCGCCTCTCAACCTTCAACCCAGTCACTTGAAACTTCATCAGAAAGATGTCCGTTCCGCCAGCGTTGCTGTGCCCATCCAGGGAGCTTGCTGTCTCGCCAGCTATCCAAGCATCAGTGCCCGTGGGATCGACCTGCGTGAAGTGGTCAGCTGGGCATTGCTGTGCTGCGCAGATGCGGGTGGAAACCGAAGGAAGCATGATATGAAACCCCCCCAACCAGGAAAGAGTATGAAAGAGTGACATGGCCCCATAAATCATACCAAATCAACAACTGCGTGCCCCACTGTAACAGGACGAAAGTGGGAAATGAAATCAAACTAATGATTATATAACTCATACTCATACTATCGAACAAACCAGTCCCAATTTTCAAGTCCTTGTAGGCATTGTAGGCTGACAACGCTGATCTGGCTGAAACTTCCACATCTTATTTAAGTACAAATAGCTGTGTGACACACTGTGCATTAAATACTTGCTATGCTTAGATACCCTGCCAACCTGCATTTCTTGCTTCATTCCGGCCATGAACTCTCAATTTTCTCACCAATCTCACCAGGTACATCAAGTAAACATATGTATGTAAAAGACCAAATGCTCAAATGTTCAAAAAGTTGAACATGTGTTTCACAAACATGTACAGCGTACACGCACCAGCACGATCCTACCAGAGTGATGGTGACAGATTCTCAAGCACCCGTGGGTTTGATTCTTTTTTGGGTTTCAGGCAGATGGACGCTGTTGGCAAGATCTCAAGGTAGTCTTCAGGATTCTTCAGGATTTTCACGAGCTCCAAACATTCAAACATGATCCCATTCTGTCGATTCCAGTTTAGTCCAAGGACATCGATCAAACTTCCACCACATACATCTGAATACCGGATTTTGACCGAGATTTTGACCTTGTAAAGGCATCCAACAGGTTGAGCAGCTAAATTTAAATGGTGATGACGAACATGGACACCGTAAAGAGTTCTGATGTTTTCCTCCATGGAAAAGATTCGAAAACGAAGTTGCACCCCGTCTAACTGCCTGAAGGGCGTTAGCATAGTCATCGCCCTCACCACCGCGTTGGTCAGTCCATTGGTGGACACCTTGGGCATCGAATTTCATCAGGAAGATGTCAATTTTGCCCGCGTTGCTGTGTCCATCAAGGGAGCTTCCCGTGTAGCCAGCCACCCAGGCATGGCCGTTCACATCCACCTGCGCAAACTGGTCCGCTGGGCTGTGTGGTGCCACCAAATGCGTATGGAAATTTGATAGAAACACACAGGGAGAAACCCACTTGAGGCCAAGGGTAATGGACGACGAAAGCTAGCTATGGGCGGCAACGAGAGAAGACAATGCAAATGGAACAGCAGTGAATGGAATCCTGCTAGTTTCAGATGGGTATCTGCTCCTTCAGGTTGTTACGCAGCCATTTATTGCATGAAAAGATGCAACAACAAACTTGTTGGCATGCGTGTTGAACTAAGTAGACAAAAACCGGGCACCATGATCTACAAATGTGTACTTTTGGAATGGGCGTATCTCACAAATCATACAGGGGGAGCTGCAGCTGAACATGCAATGCTTCGAACCATCGTGAAACTCAGCTGATTTTCATGATTAGATTTCATTTGTCACTAAATTTCAAAAACCTGCTTGTCTTCTGTATCAATGAAAGGCGTTGGTGCGGATGGGGCAACACATATTAGATGACGCCAAACATACCTCCACTCCAGAACTGACAGAATAAGTGTATGGGTACATCTGTCTTTTGTCTGCTACTGATTCAAATTCACTTGAAACCAGGTCATCAAAATATGTTTCAATAAGCTTGTGTTTCACTGCAAAAATTTCCATGGCACAATGCCATACACTGTCCCAGCATGTCCTAGCAGTGTTTGCCAATGGTTGCCAATGTTTCTGCTACAATCCAACCGTTGCAAGGCTGCTGTTGTTTTTGCTGCTGTTGCTGCTTAATCGGGTCTGGAAAAACCTGGTGCGGAATCGAATTCATGTGAAAGCCTCAGGTCATTTGCGGTTCCAGTCCCGCATCTAAAAGCATTGCTAAGCAGATTAACTGCAGCTAGCGGAAGCTAGCTTTCGTTGATCAGCGGGGCCCCCACGGGAAAATCAAACATAAACCAAACATAACCAAACCATACCAAATGGTTAACTGCGTAACCCAAAGTATCAGGACGGGACGAAAGGAAGAAATCAAGCCAACTCAAATTAACTCAGACATGGCGCTCACAAATTTCAATTGTGCTCATATGCAATGTTTGCTTCAGTCTGGAAATTGACTCAATAATTCCAATTCAATCCCACCAACAAACCACGTGAAACACGTGCAAAAGACCAGATAACTACAAAAAACAAGTTATGCCCAAAACACCCACGCACACTCTGTACCAAGATCCAACCTGAGGCAAGGTGAGAGGATCTTAAAAATGAGTGGGAATGTATTTGTTTTCAAGGCTTCGCCGTGAAGGACGCTGTCAGAAGAGTCAGCAGATGTACGTTTTTTTTGACAATGTCATGATTCCAATCAATAGCTCCTCTATAATATATATATATAGTACAAGTATAATTATAAGTGTAATAAATATATTATGTTACAATATCATGAAATAATATATATATTACTTTATATTATATTATTTTGAATGGAAAAACACAACATTCGGCGCACTTCGATTACTCCGTCGTGTCTACCAAGCCTGGCCCACATGATGATGCTGCTGGTGCTCCTCCCACTGCTACTCCTACTGCTACGATTGCTACTCTTATGCCGCTGCTACTTCTGGTAGTGTTGTGGTATGTAGTGGTGGGGTATACTGTTGGTGTGGTGGTAGTATTGCTGTTGTGTGGTGGTGGTATGTTGCGGTAGTGGTGCTGTGGTGGTACTGCCGGGATGATGATTAATGGTCTGTAACTCGGAAGTCTTTCTATACAGCTTTCTTTGCAAACAATATGCAAACGACCGAATGAAAAGAGCTCAACTTCTGCACGCAATAATTAAGTGTAAAGAATATGCACCAACGTGTATACCAACCAAACCCAGCCCGTGCTAACAGATCTAACAGTGCAAGATACTCACAAGGGCATGGAATTTGAGCATTTCAAAATGTTCAATTGTTTTGGCGCATGAATGTTGTTCAGTCTCGAGACAATCCATCTTGACAAGAAGGTCAACAGCACTTTCATAAGCTCAAGACAACATGCTCCCAATCTGTCGATTTAATCGCGTACTCTGTCGACTTAGCCTGGTTTATTGCGAATCTGGTCCAAAGATGTCAAAAGGCATCGGTTAAACTTCCAACAAATACGAGATATCGACATATATCGACCTTGTAACTGCACCCAACAGATTGGTCCGTTTGAATGTGATGATACTCCACGTGACTGGGAACATGTGCCATTCCACCTGACTCAGAACATGGACCTTGCAAGAGGATCTAAAGTTTTCCCATGTTTTTCCTCCATGGAAAAGATTCGAAAACGAAGTCGCACCCCGTCCGCCTGAAGAGCCCGGGCGTGGTCACTGCCCTTACCACCGCGCTGGCGCGTCCATTGGTGGACACCCTGGGCATCGAATTTCATCAGGAAGATGTCAGCACCGCCCGCGTTGGCGTGCCCATCCAGGGAGCTATACGTGGAGCCTGCCACCCAGGCATTGCCAACATCGTCCACCTGCGCAAAGATAGACAGTTGAGCTTTGCAGTGCTCCACAGATGCACATGGAAATTCAAAGAAAAACTGAGGGAAAAACCCATAAGACAGGGGAAAAAATGAAGTGAAGATCAATGATAACGCCAAATCATTGCAAATGCAAAAACTATGAAAAACGATGAAAAACTATGAAAAACTGCATGCCTCATTGTGTCAGGATGAAACCCATTTAAACCAAGAAATCTCAAATCAAGTCCCATACAAAGTGGTCTCAAATGTCCGATCTTTTCTCAGATGACAACGTTGCTCTAGCAGAAACTGATACATCGTAAAGTCGTAAAGTACAGCATCGAGTGCTTTTATGAGTTCCACACATTCCAGACATGATCCGACCCTATCGATTTAGTCCCGGATTAGTCTAAAGTCTAAAGTAATCGCTCAAACTTCCACGAGATACTTCGCGAGATGCGGGCTATATGAGATATTGTGATATCGACCTTGTAAGTGCACCCAACAGATTGATTCATTTAAATTGTGATGATACTCTACATGACTGGGAACATGGACCTCGCAAGAGGATCTAAAGCTTTTCCATGTTTTTCCTCCATGGAACAGATTCGAAAACGAAGTCGCACCCCGTCCGCCTGAAGAGCGTTAGCCTCGTCACTGCCCTTACCACCACGCTGGCGCGTCCACAGGTGGACGCCCTGGGCATCGAATTTCATCAGGAAGATGTCATACGAGCCCGCGTTGGCGTGCCCATCCAGGGAGCTTTCCGTCTCGCCTGCCACCCAGGCATTGCCAACGTCGTCCACCTGCGCCAACTGGTCAGCATCACACCACATAGTCAACTGATGTCAACTGCATGTCCCACTGTATCAGGACATGACCGAGAAATCCAGTGAATTCGAATGAAAACAACTCAACTCAGATAAAGTGGTCTCTAATTTCATATCTTTGTAGGCTGGCAATGCTGTTTTAGCTTGGACTTGCACATCTTACAGCTTAAGGTACAAAGAGTTTTGATGAGATTTGCATAAGGTGGTTCTGTCCGTGTCCTGTGCTCACTTGCGAGGTTAAGTTTCAGTCGGAAAACTGTCTGTCAACAGTTCTCATCAAATCTCATCAATCATCAGTCAGTAAGCCAGTATATAATGATATATCATGTAACTCAAATAAACATGCGTAAACAATGGGAAACATGTGAATGAATCAAATATTCATCTTTTAGTACATTACACGCATGTGTAGGTATGCTATGTCATATACTAGACTTTGAATAATCTTTAAATATCAGATAATATCTGATAGATATACTGGACCATGTACCAGGCGCATCCAACCTGTGTGAAGGTGAGAGACTTACTAAGGAAAGTGCATCGATCGAATTCATTTTTTCCAATTCTCGAAGCAAAAAGTATCACCTTTTTTGAAGCCACAACAATTAATATTGATCCGCACGCTGTGATGCCATTCCACCTGACTCAAAACATGGACCTCGCAAGAGGATCTAAAGTTTTTCCATGTTTTTCCTCCATGGAAAAGATTCGAAAACGAAGTCGCACCCCGTCCGCCTGAAGAGCCCAAGCCGCATCCCAGCCCCTACCACCACGCTGGCGAGTCCACAGGTGGACACCCTGGGCATCGAATTTCATCAGAAAGATGTCATGACTGCCCGCGTTGGCGTGCCCATCCAGGGAGCTCCGCGTGTGGCCTGCCACCCAGGCATTGCCAACGTTGTCCACCTGCGCAAAGATAGACAGTTGAGCTTTGCAGTGCTCCGCAGATGCACATGGAACTTGAAGGAAATCCGAGAAACCCGTACAGATCGAATATGACACTAAATCAAAAACTGCGTGCGCTACTGTATATAAGGACGTGACCCAGGAATCCCGTGAACTCAAATAATAACAGCTCACTTAAGTTTCCACAAAGTGGTCTCAAAATGGTCTCATATTTAAGTTCTTTTGTAGACTGACACTGCTCCAGACGAGACTTGCCCATCTTGAGGTACAAATAGTTTTGATGAGTTTTGCATGTATCAGAGATTATCAGAGTATCCTTTAAAGATTTGTAAACGGCAAATACTCAAGACATTTAGGTTTGAAACGCGCACGTCCCTGTGTACATTCTATATACCATGTAAGAAACGAACGCACCGGTGTGAAAGTAGTTAAGAGATTCTGAGGACATGGGTTTGATACTGGTACGTTTGCTTGTAGGCGAATAAACGTTGGGTCCCAAGTCACTCTCGAGACCATCAATCTTTGCCAGGAAAGGTCGATAGGATTTTCATGAGTTCCACACATTCCAGACATGATCCCACCCTGTCGATTTAGTCCCGGATTAGTCTAAAGTCTAAAGTCTAAAGTAATCGCTCAAACTTCCACGAGATACTTCGCGAGATGCGGGATATATGAGATATCGTGATATCGACCTTGTAAGTGCACCCAACAGATTGATTCATTTAAATTGTGATGCCATTCCACCTGACTCAGAACATGGACCTCCGCAAGAGGATCTAGAGTTTTTCCATGTTTTTCCCCCATGGAAAAGATTCGAAAACGAAGTCGCACCCCGTCCGCCTGAAGAGCCCGAGCATAGTCCCAGCTCCCACCACCACGCTGGCGAGTCCACAGGTGGACGCCCTGGGCATCGAATTTCATCAGGAAGATGTCATACGAGCCCGCATTGGCGTGCCCATCCAGGGAGCTATACGTGAAGCCTGCCACCCAGGCATTGCCAACATCGTCCACCTGCGCAAAGATAGACAGTTGAGCTTTGCAGTGCTCCACAGATGCACATGGAAATTCAAAGAAAAACTGAGGGAAAAACCCATAAGACAGGGGAAAAAATGAAGTGAAGATCAATGATAACGCCAAATCATTGCAAATGCAAAAACTATGAAAAACGATGAAAAACTATGAAAAACTGCATGCCTCATTGTGTCAGGATGAAACCCATTTAAACCAAGAAATCTCAAATCAAGTCCCATACAAAGTGGTCTCAAATGTCCGATCTTTTCTCAGATGACAACGTTGCTCTAGCAGAAACTGATACATCGTAAAGTCGTAAAGTACAGCATCGAGTGCTTTTATGAGTTCCACACATTCCAGACATGATCCGACCCTATCGATTTAGTCCCGGATTAGTCTAAAGTCTAAAGTAATCGCTCAAACTTCCACGAGATACTTCGCGAGATGCGGGCTATATGAGATATTGTGATATCGACCTTGTAAGTGCACCCAACAGATTGATTCATTTAAATTGTGATGATACTCTACATGACTGGGAACATGGACCTCGCAAGAGGATCTAAAGCTTTTCCATGTTTTTCCTCCATGGAACAGATTCGAAAACGAAGTCGCACCCATATATCAACACATACAAAGTGGTCTCAAGTGTCTGATCTTTCCTGGCATGACAACGCTCTAGCAGAAACTTGCACATCGCAAAGTACTCATCATCTAGCGCTTTTATGAGTTCCAAGTTCCAAGCATTCAAGACATGATCCCGCTCTGTCGATTTAGTCAAAATTCGTCGCTCAGACTTCCATGAGACACTTCACGAGATACGAGATATCAAACCTTATAAAGGCACACAAGAGATTGATCCATTTCAATGGTGATGCCACTCCACGTGACTCGGAACATCGACCCCCTAAAGAGTTCTGAAGTCTTTGCTCCGTGGAAAATGTCACAAGATATCGCAAGAAAAACAACGTTGCACCCCGTCCGCCTTCAGAGCCCGAGCATCGTCATAGCTCTCACCACCACGCTGGCGAGTCCACAGGTGGACACCCTGGGCATCGAATTTCATCAGAAAGATGTCATGACTGCCCGCGTTGGCGTGCCCATCCAGGGAGCTCGACGTGAGGCCTGCCACCCAGGCATTGCCAACATCGTCCACCTGCGCAAAGATAGACAGTTGAGTTTTGCAGTGCGCCGCTGATGCGGGTGGAAACTGAAAGAAATCCAAGAAACCGACCGGATTAGGTGAAAGACGGACAACAAAAGTGAAACCAAGATTGCAAGATGGCACCAAATTGACAACTGCATGCCCCACGGTATCAGGACGAGACCAGTTTAACTCATAAAGTTTCAACTCAGACAAGGGCGGTCTCGAATTTCAGGCCTTTTAGAAATTCTATGAATGCGTTGGTTCTGTCAGTCCGGACATAGAATCTCAATCGGTCTCATCAGACCTCATCAGATCTTATGACTAAATCGTGCAACCACCTAAATGACCAATGATCAACATTTTGAACCTTTAGATTCTTTAGATTATATAGCCTTACATGCATGTACATATTTGCCGAACGGAACCAACCAGCGCAGGTCAGAAGTTCTCGAGAGGGCGTGGTTTGGAACTGTTCAAAAGTGGTTCTGTCGACAATGTCTCAACTTGCAAGCCATTACGGTTTCCATGATCTCAAGACATGATTGACATGATGGCAATCTATCGGCTTAGTCAAACTTTACAGCTCAGAAGACAAATGAGTTCCAAACTGCCCTGTCAATCCAGATGACTCAAGGTTTTGTTCCACGTTTCCGCCCACCTGAAGGGAAGTAGCCGTATCATCTCCCTCACCACCGCGCTGGTGTGTCCGCTGGTGGACGACTTGCGCTGCTGTTGCCCAAATCAGCAGGCATAGCCAAAAGATTGCCATGGCTTGACGTGATGCATGTGAAAACTATAATATATATATTATATAATATAATATATGATTATATATGCATTCAATTCGGCACCATTCTTGATGCACTTGAGGACACTTCTTTTATGATCTTTTATGCTCATAGCGGGATGAATGAGAGAAACTCATCACTTGAAGTATTCTTACGAATCTGACAAAATCTGACTGTGAAACATCGAGACTTGAAAGAAAAGAACTGTCGCTTACAAAAACGAGACACAACTCATGAACCCCCAATTCGACGCAATCGGCCGACCGGTGATCACCTGTGATCCAAAAACTTGATTGTGACACGCAATCGGACGACCAGCCTTCGAATGCTTCGCTGGTTCGCAACCGGTGGGTGACTGTTCCCCAAGGGGCGATCCCAGTGGGTGACCAGGGTGATCTCAACCTCCGGAGATAGTCACATGTCACATCTACACTTCTGATTCACGTGCAGTTGCCTTCATTTCTGCACTGGATGTGGTGCCAAAGCCAGTTTCCCCGCCACAGGTCTGCTCACTGTGTTAGAAACCGCATCATCACGAGAAAAAACAAAAGACATGATCAAAATTAATATCAACTCAAATATAGAAATTAATATCGAATTCGATTCTGGTCTCACACACAAAGGATGCCGTGGGAATTCAAAATCCATATGCGCCCCTCAAATACGTTTATCTCCGTAGGGAAAGCCCACGTTCGAGGCACCCTGATTTTTGAACATATACCGTTCCTCTTGGTTATTAAACTTACTGATCATTGTTGCTTCCATCCCCATGCTTATTGCATTTATATCCTTTTGTTAGTCATTTATACGTGTGATACGTGTGCCATCTACAGGAGAGATGAACGATGATGAACGCCTTTAGTGAGCCATGGTAAATTGGAAGAAGCATTTCAATGATGGGAGAAAATTGCAAAAATGGTTGGCGCTGTTGAAAAATGGATGGTCTTCGAGAATTCTCCCAGCAAAGGTGTGTGCTCATGGATACTCAATTCCCATGTGAGAAGGTCACATCATGTCTAATGATCTAATGATGATACTGGAAGTGATGAAGGAGCAGTCCCTTTTCTCTCTCGATTCTGAGTCTCGTCTGCACCTTTTGCGCAGACCCAAGACAACGACTCAACGGCTGAAATTGCCGACCGAATGGGAAGTCAGTTGAAGTTTGCCTCTGGCAAACCAATGAACTTCATCCATGAACTTCATCCATGCCGTTGATGGCACAGAAGCCAGAGGAAATAGCGTGAATGAAGAGATTGCATTTTTTCTGGGCAGTCCCCAGAGACTCTAAGACGCACAACGCACTACATCAACCTTCCAGGTGCCAAGTGCACCAGCACCAGAACTGTTGAGAAGCGCCCAGAAACACATCGATTTACTGAGCCGGATCTGAGGAAGTGGCATCGGAACCAGTGGCATCTGCCTTTCAGGGACTTTGGAGACTCGCCGACTCCCAAAAAAAGGCGTGTCCGACTCGCTCCGAAAATGGTGCAAACTTGGGTTGATCTGTTCAAACATTCTATACAAATCTTCTCGTTTTGCTCCTCCATTGAACCCTCAAGATTCTTCAAGCCTTTCCAGCTCCCCCCCAGAACTCCCAGCCTCGGTTGTGCGTCTGAAGGTGTAGGCTATCGCTGTTCTCGTCCAAGGACATAGGGCACATGCCGCGATGCCGCGCCCATCGCGAACGCCAAAGCGGCAGCGGGCGCAGTCCACGGCTGTGGCACACCGAGAGTTCCAGAAACTCGTCGACTCCACCGCTGGAGGGGCTGATGGCTTCGACCCTCAAGCAGATCCTCAAGGAAAATGTGAAGGGGCGACTCCTGGATTATAATGGGTATAAGTGAAGAATAGTGCGCAAGAATTGGGGTATTTCATGGTATTTCCATATGGCGAAACTTGATGAAATTAATTAGTAAGTTAGTGAGTAACATGTGAGTAACGATGCCAAGAGTATGTCAAAGCATAAAATTTAGCAGCGGAAAAGCATGCTGAATATCATTCATGGTGAAAAAGTGTGCGGCTGATCAGAATTGAACTTACTTTCTACATCTTTCTACAGTACTCCTCATCTTAGAGACAGCTGCTCAAACCACAAAGCTGCTAGGCACAGGGTTTAACCGTTTGGCTACTTTAGCATCTTTAGCGCATCCGCCCGGTCCACAGTCGCTTTCATCTGACTTCGCGCGCACATGTTTGGGTCTGCAAAACAAACCACCCCCATAGGCCACAGAATTCTTTGTGCAAACCCAAGAACGATGTCAAAGCAGCACCGCTGAATGCGCCGATTCAGCTATGATCTCCTCAGCATTCCTGAGTTTTTCAAGGATGATGATGATGCTCTCACAGAATAAAAGTTACAATCCGCACATTGGAACATCCCTAAAGTGCGTTTTGATGTGCCGTGCATCTGGTAAGTGGATTCAACATGATTCAACAATTCCAAACTTGGTTCTTGGCCACGTCAGGATTCTGGTCATGGTTGCCGGGCTAAAATATGGACTCCCAGCTTTCTGGCTTCGAAGCAGTTTCGGTCCATGATTCACTGAGGTATACTGAGGTCATTTCAGGCACCTGGAAGGTTCGGCACCTGCCATACTTTCCGATACCTCCACATTAGATCCCTGGAATTACCCACCACCTGCCAGGTGACCTGAGGCATTGAGATTTTTGGCCCATGCCGGGGGTTGGGTCTGATCAAGTCGGGTCACCCCCAAAGGTGGCCCTGAGGAGCGGGAGGTTGGGTGTTACCCAAAGTTCCAGAAACAAAGAACTGGATTGTTACTCAATCCCTTCCAGTACCGGGCACGGGCATGAGTGGAACTCTGGCTGAGTGTAAGCAACAAGGCCATACCTGGACTGATTGGGGTTGTGACTTGAATTGACGATATTTGTATATGTTCGCGATTTGTATTTATACAAATATACATATACATATACGCTATACATCACTATATCATCACTATACACTGTATGTACCATACGCGACAAGCCTCAACCTGATTCAAACTGGATATCTTGGAGGTTCAGCGGCATCGCCAAGGCTCCAACAAAGCCGTGATAACCCGTGTCCAAGTCCAAGCTTTGGATCGAGGGAATCCTTGGAGCAACCAAGACATCAAATGACACGTGAAAAGTTGGGGATGCCCGACCAAAATGTCCAACAAAGCCTGGTGGCTCTATGATGATCTATGATGTAAACCTGAATGAATCCCAGTTGTTGGTTCCACCGCCATCCGACGTCGAGCTTCCGGAAAAGACAGATTTTATCAGACACGGGATCATGTGGTTCATGCTTCAATAATGTTCAATATAGGCCTGGTTGAAACATTCCCACCCAATCTGATTGTTTGATAAATCTTGACGACCCATACCCATTTTGAAGATGATGTCCGGCCATCCAATCCCATTCAGGTTCTGCCCCTCGAATCCATGCCCACCGATACTGCCTATTGCTTGACGCTTTCCCATCGCTTTTAGGACCCAATCAAAGTCCGTCACAGGAACGAAATACCAAATATGGCAAATATGCTGGTTCACTTTTTACGGTGCCCATGGTACCCGAATTCAACATCAACCCTCAACATTGCCAGAGCCAGTCTCGGAAATCATCTTCCAGAAACCTCGGAAACCTATTCTCAAGGTTCTAGCCGTCCAATTTTAACCAGCACTTCAGCTACAGCTCAGTCCCGCTGAGATGCCTTTGAACCCAGCCAGCCCAGGATATCAACGGCTTTCCGCCCAACTTCCATCCTCCAGATCCCTCCAGTAGATACACAAGGATAGTATGGGATTTAAATGATTTCACCAACAAAGTATAGGGGTAATTTGCGGTAAACCCAAGATTTTCATTGAAGTTGGGGATGAGTTGTGGCATTGGTTTCATATGTTTTATATTGTTTTATCACGTTATTGGAGTTGAAAGGAAAACCCACTTCAAAGACACACTTTTGCGTCATTACGCTTCAATCGAAACCCAACTTCAGAGGTGAACTTTCGAAAAAACTCGAAAGTGAAGGCACACAGAAAAGCGAGAAAAAACAGGGCACGCGGATGCACGCGGTGTCTCTCAAACTTTGGACCGCCAAAATCTAATGGGCATCCCATGGGCATCATCCCCCAGGGTTTGTCCAAAAATGTGGTACTGACAGTAAGTACTCAAGTCAAATTAAGATGTTATATTACTAATAAGATATAATAAGATGATGTTATATATTGCTGGTAAGATGATGTTGATCTTTCTTTTCCATCTGCAGTTTGGACTACCTATCTTCCAGCTGTACACCTTCGCCATGCAACTGGTTGATCAGCGTGATTCATAGTCCGTAATAGCCAACATGGCCAATCTGAGATACCATGCAATACAAAGTGTTTGAAGCATTTCTAAGCTGGCTAGTATGTATCTCCAAGTTGCAACAAAAAAAGTTGCACTAAAGATTATTAAAGTATAAACACCATAATTACAAGGTTTCTCTACGTAGCTATGCCCCATTTGAAAACACCAGTTTGAAACTGAGACCCCCCAACGCGCGATGATAGCCTGCAGGCAACTCCCATCCTGGCAAGAAATTCGGGACTCAACGAAGGAACACATTTCGCAGACTTTGATTCCAGATTGATTTGAAGAAAAATCAAACTCAAATTCAAATAGCATGTTTGGTCGAAGAAACTGTTTCTGGTGAAATTTGCCGACTGTTTCTGATGAAATCGTCTATGGCCAGCTCTGGGGCTCCGAGCTTGTTGATCTGCATGAACTTCCACCTGGAAGTGATCCAACTGTGCTGGCGATGGACCCTTGGAAAAAACAAATGGAAAACGACTTGGTATCGGTTTGTTTGGTTCGCCAGTGCCAATATGTGCCAATAGGATAATAGGAGATGAAGTGCTGAATGATGCTTACAGATGCTTAGAGCGTTTTTTTAAGGCTATCGGCTATCATTTTGAGCTTTTCGCGGGGATGATCTTCGCAGAAAAATCAGCTGCAGTCACCAAACAACACTGACCCCATGTGCTGAAATCAGTGCGAGATCCGTTTGACTGTCGGGCGTCACGTTGTACTGTCGGAAGTTCCCAAATTTGGGGATGGTTCAAAACCATTTTGTACCGTATTTTGAAGGGATGAACATGCGGAACATCCATTCACCAGCTATTTTGTTGGGTTCGCCATAGGATCCCATGATGGCATGGGTACCCGCAGCCATCAGGATGTGTGATGCTCTTTATGTTTGGATATGCCAAGAACTACCATTGATATCCCGCAGCCAGCACCTTGGGCGGATGGTTGGGGCTGAAGACCTGAATCCAACCGCGAAATGGCTGAACCGTCCCAGTTTGGAGGCTATCCAGGCTTGGTCAGGTCGAACATGGCCCATCTTTGCCCCAGATGTAGCGATTTCAAGTCACTCCTTGTCTCAATGATAGGCTTTGAAACGAACAGTGGGGCTCATCATCTTCCATCCACATCCAACTATATCCATAACTTCATAACTATATATATAATTATATAATTACTGGTGAGCAAATCTTCAACATGTTTCAATCCTCAACTCTCAGCCATGGGACTGTAGCACTGATGGAGGTGCCAGGTGAGTAGAGGAAATTCGTCAAGTCAAGTCATTCCTGTAGGACTTGGCCGTCAGCGGCTTGTGTGCTAGACACGACTGTGGGATGCTGTGGGTCACAGTGGGATATGCCCTGGATCCGGAAAATCGGACGTGTCTACGAATTCATCCATCTAATTTTCGGGGATAAAATGAAATGATATTCAAGTCAATATTGTCCACCCTCTATCGGTTCCACCAACTACAATCTCCGGCGCACGTTTGCTTCAATATAGAAGCAAAATGAAGCATGGCGCCATCAACAATAAATTGCCATTGCGATTCGCAAAGAAAACTCAAAAAGCTCCACAGCAGTTTCAAAAAGAGGAAACAGTGTGCGCATGCGCTGTGACCCGCCCAGCTGTGACTCCATCCTTGTATCCTTGTATCGAGCCACAGGGAGCCGAGCCAATCGGCTCGCAGCAGGTTGTTGTATGGCAAGTAAGCTATGGAAATATTATGGAAATCAGTAAGCTATGTAAAAAATGGGTTGGAAGTTGGGAAGGCACCGACCATTTCTCCTTTTCTCCTTCTCGGTCTCGCTGTGTTGAAACCCTCCCACAAAACTTTGGTGTGAATGCAAGTCTAGAGTCTAGGTTTTGCATATCAAACCTATATTGTTGATCATATATGTCTAGCTGCCTGCTTGTAGCTGACATGTTAAGATCTGTGTAACATAGACCAAAAGCAGTACTGTAGCTAGCCAACTCCTTCAGGATACTGCATTGACCACGTGTCTTTTGTTTGGCATCTTCCAGCCGTTGCAATACTTGATCAGAAACGGCCAAATTAAATGAACATATTGTTTGTAATTAGTTTGTAACATATCAATATATTATGGTAACATGGCACATGTTAATGTAAGAACACTGAAGTAGAACATCAGTGCATGTCTTAGCAATTCCAGGCCGTTGACCATTGCAAAAACAACTCACCTCATCTCACCTCTTTGGAGCGGAACAACAAATTTCGCGCAAAAACACGTCCACGCGTCCGCCACTTCTCTTTTCAATCCCTTCGAATTTAAATGTGTATGATGCAAAGCATCAGGAGACAGTGAGAGCGGTTTCTTGAATCCAGGGTTGGAACATGTTGCAACTGTCATTTCTGCAGCGCTCTTAGTTTGGCATTCACTTGTGAGGCCTCAAAACACTCGTCAGCCCGCCGTCTCCAAAAGCATCAAAAGCTGCTGGCATCTAGCGCCATCAAACTATGGCTCATTGCCCTCATAAATAGTTCATGAATTGGGAGTGCTCGGTGGCTCATGATTCATGATGTACGAAGCAATGACTGCAAATGTGGAAGGCATCCCCTTCCAAATCGAAAAACCAAAATCAAAAACCCGTCCTGCACTGCTTCATTATCGTGTTCCGAATTGCAATAGCCATGTTCGGAAATTAATTTCATCTACTCTGATCAATGAATGATTGGTCATCCTGAGTCATCCTGCATCACGAGCTGACCTAGACATCTGAGATCATCTGAGATCATCTGAGCATCTCCGCCGCAAATCCTTTGCATGGAAGACAGGTGCTTCAGGACGGTTGCGGCGTAAAAAGTTCGCGAAACCTCGGTTTGTTCAAACAGAGGCAGTTTGAGGTTGTTTGCAATCCAATTCTAAACCCGTGGACTTGGCCAGGTGGGAATGCTTTGGGCCGCTCTACTGATCATGGATGTTGTTTATCTTGATGACAATCGTGTCCCATCTTGTTCCATAGATTCACTGAACATGCACGTATGAAAGGCGACCATTTCAGCAACTTAATCCTCACTCTTGCTATCACCATGATCATCATCCCTGCAACCACAACCACAACCACAACCACAACCACCACCATCGTCATCACCATCATCGTCGTCGTCGTCGTCGTCGTCCTCATCATCATCATCATCATCATCATCATCATCTGAAGCCTCACACCGGCTTACGCCCCTCTTCACCCCAAGTTTGCAGCCACGGAACAAAACTGTAAACTGGTCTATCAGCCGCGATTTCACAGCATGATTCACTGCATCGAAACCCGTGGTGGTGAGGATGATTCTTTTGATCAAGTCCTGTCCCAAACAAAGCAAACTGAGAGCACAGAGCACTGCTCCTGAGCATATTGTCAGTTGACAATAAATGCACCAGCAAGAGGTGGTGAATACCGGGGAATACTGCTAGAGTTGTCTAAACCGTTCACAAAATTCACAAGGAACCTGCACCGCTTTGGCTTCTGGCCTCGTCCTTTTCGGATCCCGCCCTGGCATGCCGAACATTGAGAGTATCCACGGCGTCAGTCAGCACATTGATCCTCAAGTCGTCAAGTCAGAAGCAACTCACATGACAGGCCCGGGAAGCCTTAGCCTTCAAATCATTCATTGATTCTTTGCACTTCAAAGAGAACATGACCATCATTCCAAAAGAAATATTCCAAACAAATATGCTGCGTGCTTCCACATGAAATATTAGCAGCGTTTTGATCTGAGAGATGTGGTGGCGCGTTTCTGGCTGATGACGCTTGGGCCGCTTGAGCAAGTCACCTGCCCGCTGACATAGTTTCCTTGAAAAAGGTCTCAACCGCGCAGGGGAGTATGATGTTCATTGGTATCTCCTGCGTGATGCACACCTCATTCCATGTTCACAACGATGACAATTTAGATCGGCTTTGCCATTTTGCCGACAATTTGCCTGTTAACATCTTTTAACATCCTTTAACTACTTTACCTCGCAACAACACGCATCAAAATTCCAGACTAATGTCGTTTGCTCAAATGTCACATGGCTCAAAAAAATGGTATGGCAAGGTACGGCTCAAGATATGTCAAAACCACTAAACATCACTAAACATCACGTGGCGATTGTGGTACGCCAAGCTGTGATTCTGACAAAAGATCAAGCTCCAAGGCGGCGGCGTAGCTTTCGAAGATGCACCAGGCCCTTTTCACGTAGGTCGGCTGCCTCGGAGGCCCAAGTTGCAACTTGGGGGTCTTGGGGACTGCCACTCAACGGATATTTGAAGAACCAAGAACTGCAAATTGATATGTGACTTAGGTCTTGAAAGCTCTTGATTTATATGATGGAGACATTCACAAACGTTCTCAAGTTCGAGAAGTTGTAGCCCTCCCCTGGGAACAAGATTTATCGCATCTTACCATCATATAATGCTACCACCCAAATATGTGTTTGTTTCAAAGTCGCTCAGTTACGTACTCACATGATCTCATATGTACTCACGCACTTTCATCAAATAAGATAGATAAGCCATGATAAGCCCCTGACACAATGGTATCGAGCAGCACCAACATATGTCCCGCTTCCACCAGATGGGATTCGAAGATTTCTTTCAGATCGTCGCTTCCTGTTTGAGTCGCCTCCAGGGACAAAACTGTCCATCTACGTGACGATGAAAACTGTGTCATGACACATAAAGCTCAACGATCAAAAAACTGGGTCTCGATATGTCTTGATGATGCATCCACCGCACATGACTTGCGTAATCCACCCGCTGTTCCTTGCCCATCGGTAAAACCGTGGTCACAAGTCACAAGCAAAAACAGAAGTGAACTGCGAAAGAATTGATACATCTTGTGACACAACTGCCACGGCTTGACTTTGGAGCCTCCTCTTTGATTCGATACTGGTTATTACAGAAGAAGCACATCCACAGGAAGACGTTCCGTGCATCTTCATTGGACTTTTGCACCCATCGCTCAATGGCACTGACGACATCATTCAAGGAATATGCCCAGCACCATGAAACGAAGTGCGTGACCTTTCCTCAGACACTGCAGAAAATGATCACACTGTTTGCCAAATGATCGCTCAAAGTCTCATTGAAATCCTCAATTGATATCTGCTGATGTCTGTTGTTCCTATTTAATCCTTTACACCTGATGTCATCTAGCAATCCCTCAGCATCCCTGATCAGGGGGAAACAGGGGGAAACCCTGAAAACCAAGTGGCCACTGTATGCATCTTCCAACGCGTCCACAATGCTGCAGTGGGGCCTTCCATCTCTGGGACATGTCCTGTTGTAACCCATACCTTGCCAAGTGCCAGGCTAAGAATACAAGAGACACAGCTTTAAATGCAAATGCTAAAAAAATGCTGAAATTAAAAATGCTAAAAATATGGTGCTTCAATGTCAAACGTCATGCACTTTCTGAGACTACAGTCGTCAAGGCAAGGGACCGGCCGACCCGTGTGCCAAGTTTGGGCAAATATCGTAGAAATTTGGATTCTCAGCTCTGGTCACTCCTCAGCATAAGCCATGGAAAAACACTCCATGTTGGAGTCCACCGAGGAACAAATGTTCATTTACACAGTTTCGATGTCGAGGCACTGCGGGCCAAAGGTGGAAAAACGTCCACCAAATACGTGGCTGCCAACCCCAAGGTGGGCATCTCAGGTGGCAGCTCTGCGCAAACTGGGCACACGTGCACCTGGTCCACAGCTGCTATCAGCTGCCGGAACAGTTTAGAGAGGTTTTGACAAGTTGTCACATCGAAAATGTTGAGATTCTCCGTTTTCAGTCCGTTTCCACTGGATGTCAGTTGCGACACCTGATGCTGCGGGCAGTACCAGTGCTTTCCAGCTCGGAGGCGCGAGCACGATGTGCATCCTGAGTCTTTAGAAACACAACTCTTGGCAACTGCTTCAAATTTACTCGTTTGCTGAAATTGCATGCCGAATTCCAACAGTTCAATGTAGTCGTGTCATGTTGTGTCCTTTTCAAGAAACATCAAATTATGTTTCAAATGATATATAACATAAATTAATATAATATCATCTTCACGAGCATGCGCTGAAGAAACAAGTGTAGAAAACAGCCGAGCCGTGAATATCGTCAACGGACTGTGAACGGATTTGCGCCCTGCATGACCTAGCCAGGTATGGGGTCTACCGTGATCTAGCCAAGTTACGACATTAGTTGCAAGAAGTAAAGAAACATAAAGAAAAGATAAGATAACATCAGTGCAGAACAAAGCGCTCTACCATTTGGGAGCACGTTGTCAAGCCAATCTCTGATATACATTGAGATACGGTCTGTTGCTTGCTATTTCAGTATATTGGAATATATTGGAATATAGTGGCGAAGCAGAGGCTGTGTGAATCTATTTGACGATGTTTCACGCACAGCATCTGTAGCCATCACCCGAGTCCGCCGAGTCTGTGAGCTCCATGTCGTGGTGATTTTCGATTTGGCATTTTGGAGTGCAAACCCACCTGGGCTGCGACATGGACGGGTCACAACGAGGGCTAGGCGCAACGTACTGGGTGCTGTCGCTTCCGATACTCATTCATATAGTTCTTCATAGTTCTTCTATGTTCTTCTCTCTTTTTACAAGAGGTTTGATTTTTCCAGGTCTGTCACATATTTTTGTCCACATGTTTCCTCATGTTTCCTCTATTTGTTTTGTGTGCTCAGGTCTCCGGATCTGCCTGAAGCGTTGCCAAGCAGGATGGGGATGCTGCGTGCTCCACCACACAACGTTCCTGGAATCTTGGGACACTTTGGGACGATTTGGGACGGCTTGGGACGGCTCGGGACGGCTTCGGAAAATTCGTAGGACCGTGTGGGACCAAAGCAAGTGAAAAACATTGAAAACAGTGCAAGGTACCAGGTGCTACTGCAGCGTAATTGTGGACGGTTTCATTGAGCATCGACAAACTAAACAGGGATGAACAGGAACCATCAACAAACCTGCGACAAATCTATCTGCTAGACGGGCGTCTTTTGAATACTCTGCACCGTCTGGACAGTTCCATCTTCCCAGGTAAAATGTCGAACTTGCCCTGGTCGAAATTGAAACTGGCGACCACTCAATTCAAAAGCCGTCTCGCTCACCTTAGAAAGCCAACATGGGACTAGCTTCGCAGCTTGAAATTTCTGGGTATCAGCATTCCATATCCTTATATACTTGCTAATCCTTGCGCAGTTCATCCAGCATTCGGTTTCCATCAGTCTCCAACATAGAAACTTTGCAATCGAATATGGAAAACAGAAAATCTACACCATTGCCTGGATTATCTGGATTGTTTGATTACCAAGGGGAAATCCATGATCTGGTAAGACGCCGAAAGCTTCTGAACTTTTCCCCGTGGCCATTCCGCAGTCATCCTGCCAAGCTGAAAGTGACAATAAAATCATGGTGCCAAAACATCATCCCCTGCCCTGGGGATCCCATGACCGTGCAAATGACACATCATGAAACTCAAGCTCAAAAGCTTCAAAAGCCCCAAAAGTTCCCAACTTCAAAGAAAGTCGTCTCAACGTGTCCTGGAATTCCATGAGAAAATGAGAGGTTTCACAGACCACGCAAGGGGCGGCAGCATCGCCAGTGGATTTGGGACTTGAGGCTCTGCTTCGGCACCTGGCAGTTCTGGGCAACACAATGCTGGCAGCCCAAATTTGTTCCTAAAATCGAAAATGTCAACCCTGGAACTCCTAGCAAAACAAGGTCAACAAGAAACATCAACTCAAGTCAACGCAATATCCATGAGCGACTCGTTTGGAACCTGAATTCAATCACCTGGGTCGACCAGGAAAACGACTTTGCATCAGGTGAAATTCCTCCTCAGAAATGCGCACCGTGAACACCATGAACTTGATCCAAAAGAACCAAAAATGTCTGGTGTCACTTTTGTATCCAATGTTTAAATCCCTTCACCCTTCCCCTAAATTTACTAAGTACCCCACCTTAGAAACATTGAATTATCATGAATTATCTTGGATTACTGAGATTACTGATAAAATACGTGATGGATCGTGATGGATCGTGATGGATCTGTTCGTTTCAGAAGATTTGAGAATCTTATTATAGGACCACTAAGACCACCTCGCAGCTGGCGGAGCTTCGCGCGGTAACAGCAAATGCCCAGGGAGGCACAAAGGCACGCCGTCAGCAATGGCAGCACCACCACAGCCACCAGCCTTGAAGAAGGCAACTTAGAACGACAAATTCGTCACAGTTCAGGAGAGCTTCATGAGGTCTACGACCGGTATATCACAGTATGTCCGTACGTTATGCAGACAGGACTCTATAGACTACACAAACCATGGCTCTTTTCATCTGGACGTGCCCGGTTTTCGTCGAAAAAGTACAGGAACTCTTTCGGGAAAAGCCCCTGCCCTTCCACATGCAAGTGGCAATCCAGTCGAATCATCTTCACTTGATGTGCTGGCGGTGTTTGCGCCCAAATCAATCGATTGGACATTCCAGTTCTCGACATCGGCTGAGGCAGTCGTGGTTGATGTTTGCTGTTCCTCATTCAAGTGACCAAAACAGCTGATTTGAACATGGCAAGGATAATGAAGCAAAGTACCAGCAATCGAGGTTTCAGTGCCATACCTGCTAATTACCTTTAAACTAATGGAAAACAAGCAGGGCCCCAATTTACGTCTGACAGAAACAAGCCACCCACCACTCTTCAGAAACCTGTTTATGCACTCTAGACCTTCCAATAGTTGATTTGATGGTACCAGTTCAGTACAGGTGTATTAACCCGTCCGAAATCACAAGGGGACACCCTCCGGCAATCTGAGATGTCATCGGAAAACCCCTATCTGTGAACCCATGTCTCGATGCTCTTGCCGTTTGATAAACAAATGGAATTTCCCAGTCAGCCATGCTGAATGATTACAAATAGTTGCAGCTACATGCATCGTGCCAAGCAGCGACCTCCAGCTGTGACCTCAGGTTGGGCAGTTGCCAAGGCTGTTCAGTGGAGAACGTTATTACGATATCTTTCAGGACCCTCAAACAAAAATGACTGGAGACTGTGACATGTCGACTGCCAATTCGAAAAAAAAACATCATGCGGGTGGCAAATGCTAAAAACATGTGTCAAGATCTTTGCTTGTAAGCATCATGCCAACGATACCTCTCGGCATCCATGTGCTTTTGAAACTAAGCCGAGGAACACTGGCAATGCCGATAGAGCCGGTCGAGCTTCTTCTGCGCTTGCGCTGGCTGATTCGGTCGTCACTGATGCTGTGCTGGTTGATGATTTCGTTGTGGATCTTGGTCTGCTGATACTGGTTGACGGCTTCGTCGTTGACGTTGTCCAGCTGGAAGTTGGGGTACTGGCCTTAGCAAAGTGGAAGGCGTTCCGGCCAACGATCTTTCCACTGGTTTAGGACCTGCTTTCATCTGCTTTCCTCCCATGGAGATGTCTATGAATCCAATCTTTGCATGTGGTGCTCATGCATTTTACTGTGGGCACAATGCATGATCTCACCTCCCCTTTGTTCTGGCAGAGTAACGATGGGTCACATGGGGTATGCGTATATAATTGTGGCTGTGAGGGATCCGGATGAATCTTTCGCATGTCTTCAAAATAAAGAGAGAAAATGGCAACATGGTATGGGGGATGGACTCTAAGATCCCCCAAACATCCTCCAAACCAGACAGAAACTGGCATTTTTTCCACTTTGAACTGTTCCTGACAACACCTGAAGAAGCTGACCCGATGGTTCCAACTTCGGTGCTCCGATGTGCTCCGACTACCCGCCTCTCAACCTTCAACCCAGTCACTTGAAACTTCATCAGAAAGATGTCCCTTCCGCCAGCGTTGCTGTGCCCATCCAGGGAGCTTGTTGTCCAGCCAGCTATCCAAGCATCAGTGCCCGTGGGATCGACCTGCGTGAAGTGGTCAGCTGGGCATTGCTGTGCTGCGCAGATGCGGATGGAAACAGAAGGAAGCATGATATGAAACCCCCCCAACCAGGAAAGAGTATGAAAGAGTGACATGGCCCCATAAATCATACCAAATCAACAACTGCGTGCCCCACTGTAACAGGACGAAAGTGGGAAATGAAATCAAACCAATTATTATATAACTCATACTCATACTATGGGACAAACCAGTCCCAATTTTCAAGTCCTTGTAGGCATTGTAGGCTGACAACGCTGATCAGGCTGAAACTTCCACATCTTATTTAAGTACAAATAGCTGTGCATTAAATACTTGCTATGCTTAGATACCCTGCCAACCTGCATTTCTTGCTTCATTCCGGCCATGAACTCTCAATTTTCTCACCAATCTCATCATGTACATCAAGTAAACATATGTAACCAATGTAAAAGACCAAATATGACCATATGCTCAAATGTTCAAAAAGTTGAACATGTGTTTCACAAAAACATGTACAGCGTACAAGCACCAGCACGATCCTACCAGAGTGATGGTGACAGATTCTCAAGCACCCGTGGGTTTGATTTTTTTTTGGGTTTCAGGCAGATGGACGCTGTTGGCAAGATCTCAAGGTAGTCTTCAGGATTCTTCAAGATTTTCACGAGCTCCAAACATTTAAACATGATCCCATTCTGTCGATTCAATCCAGTTTAGTCCAAGGACATCGATCAAACTTCCACCACATACATCTGAATACCGGATTTTGACCGAGATTTTGACCTTGTAAAGGCATCCAACATGTTGAGCAATTAAATTTAAATGGTGATGACGAACATGGACACCGTAAAGAGTTCTGATGTTGTCCTCCATGGAAAAGATTCGAAAACAAAGGACGTCGCACTCCATCCGCCTGGAGGGCACGAGCAACGTCATCGCCCTTACCACCGCGTTGGTCAGTCCATTGGTGGACGCCTTCGCCATCAAATTTCATCAGTAAGATGTCGTTTCCGCCAGCGCTGTGTCCATCAAGGGAGCTTCGCGTGAAGCCAGCCACCCAGGCATGGCCGTTCACATCCACCTGCGCAAACTGGTCCGCTGGGCTGTGTGGTGACACCAAATGCGTATGGAAATTTGATAGAAACACACAGGGAAAAACCCAATTGAGGCCAAGGGTAATGGACGACGAAAGCTAGCTATGGGCGGCAACGAGAGAAGACAATGCAAATGGAACAGCAGTGAATGGAATCCTGCTAGTTTCAGATGGGTATCTGCTCCTTCAGGTTGTTACGCAGCCATTTATTGCATGAAAAAATGCAACAACAAACTTGTTGGCATGCGTGTTGAAATAAGTAGACAAAAACCGGGCACCATGATCTACAAATGTGTACTTTTGGAATGGGCGCATCTCACAAATCATACAGGGGGATCTGCAGCTGAACATGCGATGCGTCGAGCCATCGTGAAACTCAGCTGATTTCCATGGTTAGATTTCATTTGTCACTAAATTTCAAAAACCTGCTTGTCTTCTGTATCAATGAAAGGCGTTGGTGCGGATGGGGCCACACATATTAGATGACGCCAAACATACCTCCACTCCAGAACTGACAGAATAAGTGTATGGGTACAACTGTCTTTTGCCTGTTACTGATTCAAATTCACTTGAAACCAGGTCATCAAAATATGTTTCAATAAGCTTGTGTTTCACTGCAAAAATTCTCATGGCACAATGCCATACACTGTCCCAGCATGTCCTAGCAGGGTTTGCCAATGGTTGCCAATGTTTCTGCTATAATCCAACCGTTGCAAGGCTGCTGTTGTTTCTTTTGCTGCTGTTGCTGCTTAATCTGGCGGGTCTGGAAAAACCTGGTGCGGAATCGAATTCATGTGAAAGCCTCAGGTCATTTACGGTTCCAGTCCCGCATCTAAAAGCATCGCTGAAGCAGATTAACTGCAGCTAGCGGAAGCTAGCTTTCGTTGATCAGCGGGGCCCCCACGGGAAAATCAAACATAAACCAAACATAACCAAACCATACCAAATGGTTAACTGCGTAACTACCCAAAGTATCAGGACGAAAGGAAGAAATCAAGCCAACTCAAATTAAGTCAGACATGGCGCTCACAAATTTCAATTGGCTGACAACCCTGCTCTAGGTGAAACTTGCACAGCTTAAGTGCTCGTTCTGGGCCTGGGTTCTGTAGCCATCCTGTGCTCATATGCAATGTTTGCTTCAGTCTGGAAATTGACTCAATGATTCCAATCCGGTCCCACCAACAAACCACGTAAAACACGTGCAAAAGACCAGATAACTACACAAAACAAGTTATGCCCAAAACACCCACGCACACTCTGTACATCTATGTACCAACCGGATCCAACCTGAGGCAAGGTGAGAGGATCTTAAAAATGGGTGGGGCTGTATTTGTTTTCAAGGTTTCGCCGTGAAGGACGCTGTCAGAAGAGTCAGCAGATGTACGGTTTTCTTGACAATGTCATGATTCCAATCAATAGTTCCTCTATAATATATCTATATATATATATATTATAGTACAAGTATAATTACAAGTGTAATTAAATATATTATATGTATTATGTTACAATATCATGAAATAATATATATTACTTTATATTAAATTATTTTGAATGGAAAAACACAACATTCGGCGCACTTCGATTACTCCGTCGTGTCTACCAAGCCTGGCCCACATGATGCTGCTACTGCTGGTGCTCCTCCCACTGCTGCTCCTACTGCTACGATTGCTACTGTTATGCCGCTGCTACTTCTGGTAGTGTTGTGGTATGTTGTGGTGGGGTATAGTGTTGGTGTGGTGGTAGTATTGCTGTTGTGTGGTGGTGGTATGTTGCGGTAGTGGTGCTGTGGTGGTACTGCCGGGATGATGATGATTAATGGTCTGTAACTCGGAAGTCTTTCTATACAGCTTTCTTTGCAAACAACATGCAAACGACCGAATGAAAAGAGCTCAACTTCAGCACGCAATAATTAAGTGTAAAGAATATGCACCAACGTGTATACCAACCAAACCCAGCCCGTGCTAACAGATCTAACAGTGCAAGATACTCACAAGGGCATGGAATTTGAGCATTTCAAACTATTCAATCTTTTTTGCGCATGAATGTTGTTCAGTCTCGAGACAATCCATCTTGACAAGAAGGTCAACAGCACTTTCATAAGCTCAAAACAACATGCTCCCAATCTGTCGATTTAATCGCCTACTCTGTCGACTTAGCCTGGTTTATTGCGAACCTGGTCCAAAGATGTCAAAAGGCATCGGTTAAACTTCCAACAAATACGAGATATCGACATATATCGACCTTGTAAGTGCGCCCAACAGATTGATTCATTGAAATTGTGATGATACTCTACATGACTGGGAACACGGACCTCGCAAGAGGATCTAAAGTTTTTCCATGTTTTACCTCCATGGAAAAGATTCGAAACCGAAGTCGCACCACGTCCGCCTGAACGGCGTAAGCATAGTCACTGCCCTCACCACCGCGCTGGCGCGTCCACAGGTGGACACCCTGGGCATCGAATTTCATCAGAAAGATGTCAGGGTCGCCCGCGTTGGCGTGCCCATCCAGTGAGCTTTCCGTGTGGCCTGCCACCCAGGCATTGCCAACGTCGTCCACCTGCGCAAAGATAGACAGTTGAGCTTTGCAGTGCGCCGCAGATGCGCGTGGAAATTCAAAGAAAACTGAGGGAAAAGCCCATAAGACAGGGAAAAAATGAAGTGAAGATCAATGATAACGCCAAATCATTGCAAATGCAAAAATACGAAAAACATTGAAAACCTCCATGCCCCACTGTGTCAGGATGAAACCAAGAAATCTCAAATCAACTCCCCTACAAAGTGGTCTCAAATGTCCGATCTTTTCTCAGATGACAACGTTGCTCTAGCAGAAACTGATACATCGTAAAGTCGTAAAGTACAGCATCGAGTGCTTTTATGAGTTCCAAACATTCAAGACATGATCCCACCCTTTCGATTTAGTCCCGGATTGGTCTAGAGTCTAAAGTCTAAAGTAATCGCTCAAACTTCCACGAGATACTTCGCGATGCGGGATATATGAGATATCGACATATATCGACCTTGTAAGGGCACCCAACAGATTGGTCCGTTTGAATGTGATGACACTCCACGTGACTCAGAACATGGACCTCGCAAGAGGATCTAAAGTTTTTCCATCTTTTTCCTCCATGGAAAAGATTCGAAAACGAAGTCGCACCCCGTCCACCTGAAGAGCCCAAGCATAGTCACTGCTCTCACCACCGCGCTGGCGCGTCCACAGGTGGACACCCTGGGCATCGAATTTCATCAGGAAGATGTCATACGAGCCCGCGTTGGCGTGCCCATCCAGGGAGCTTCCCGTGGCGCCTGCCACCCAGGCATTGCCAACATCGTCCACCTGCGCCAACTGGTCAGCATCACACCACATAGCCAACTGATGTCAACTGCATGTCCCACTGTATCAGGACATGACCGAGAAATCCAGTGAATTCGAATGAAAACAACTCAACGCAGTCTGTCAGATAAAGTGGTCTCTAATTTCATATCTTTGTAGGCTGGCAATGCTGTTTTAGCTTGGACTTGCACATCTTACAGCTTAAGGTACAAAGAGTTTTGATGAGATTTGCATATAAGGTGGTTCTGTCCGTGTCCTGTGCTCACTTGCGAGGTTAAGTTTCAGTCGGAAAACTGTCTGTCAACAGTTCTCATCAAATCTCATCAATCATCAGTCAGTAAGCCAGTATATAATGATATATCATGTAACTCAAATAAACATGGGTAAACAATGGGAAACATGTGAATGAATCAAATATTCATCTTTTAGTGCAAAACACGCATGTGTAGGTATGATATGTCATATACTAGACTTTGAATAATCTGTAAATATCAGATAATATCGTGTAGATATACTGGACCATGTACCAGGCGAATCCAACCTGTGTGAAGGTGAGTGACTTACTAAGGAAAGTGCATCGATCGAATTCATTTTTTTCCAATTCTCGAAGCAAAAAGTATCACCTTTTTCAAAGGCACAAAGATTAATATTGATCCGCACACTGTGATGCCATTCCACCTGACTCAGAACATGGACCTCGCAAGAGGATCTAAAGTTTTTCCATGTTTTTCCTCCATGGAAAAGATTCGAAAACGAAGCCGCACCCCGTCCGCCTGCAGAGCGTTAGCACCGTCACTGCCCTTACCACCGCGCTGGCGCGTCCACAGGTGGACACCCTGGGCATCGAATTTCATCAGAAAGATGTCCTCCCGGCCCGCGTTGGCGTGCCCATCCAGGGAGCTATACGTGGCGCCTGCCACCCAGGCATTGCCAACGTCGTCCACCTGCGCAAAGATAGACAGTTGAGCTTTGCAGTGCGCCGCTGATGCGGGTGGAAACTGAAAGAAATCCGAGAAACCCGTACAGATCGAATATGACACTAAATCAACAACTGCGTGCGCTACTGTATATAAGGACGTGACCCAGGAATCCTGTGAACTCAAATAAGAACAGCTCACTTGAGTTTCCACAAAGTGGTCTCAAAATGGTCCCATATTTAAGTTCTTTTGTAGACTGACACTGCTCCAGACGAGACTTGCCCATCTTGAGGTACAAATTGTTTTGATGAGTTTTGCATGTATCAGAGATTATCAGAGTATCCTTTAAAGATTTGTAAACGGCAAATACTCAAGACATTTAGGTTTGAAACGCGCACGTCACTGTGTACATTCTATATGCCATGTAAGAAACGAAACCACCGGTGTGAAAGTAATTAAACGATTCTGAGGACATGGGCTTGATACTGGTACGTTTGCTTGTAGGCGCATAAACGTTGGGTCCCAAGTCACTCTCGAGACCATCAATCTTTGCCAGGAAAGGTCGATAGGATTTTCATGAGTTCCACACATTCCAGGCATGATCCCACCCTATCGATTTAGTCCCGGATTGGTCTAGAGTCTAAAGTCTAAAGTAATCGCTCAAACTTCCACGAGATACTTCGCGAGATGCGGGATGTATGAGATATCGTGATATCAAACCTTGAAAGTGCACCCAACAGATTGATTCATTTGAATGTGATGCCATTCCACCTGACTCGGAACATGGACCTCGCAAGAGGATCTAAAGTTTTTCCATGTTTCTCCTCCATGGAAAAGATTCGAAAACGAAGTCGCACCCCGTCCGCCTGAAGAGCCCGAGCATAGTCACGGCCCTCACCACCGCGCTGGCGCGTCCACAGGTGGACACCCTGGGCATCGAATTTCATCAGAAAGATGTCATACGAGCCCGCGTTGGCGTGCCCATCCAGGGAGCTACGCGTGTCGCCTGCCACCCAGGCATTGCCAACATCGTCCACCTGCGCAAAGATAGACAGTTGAGCTTTGCAGTGATCCACAGATGCACATGGAACTTGAGAGAAAAACTGAGGGAGAAGCCCAGAAGACAGAGAAAAAATGAAGTGAAGATCAATGATAACGCCAAACCATTGCAAATGCAAAAAATACGAAAAACATTGAAAACCTCCATGCCCCACTGTGTCAGGATGAAACCCATTTAAACCAAGAAATCTCAAATCAACTCAAAGTATCTCAAAGTCCGATCTTTCCTGGCATGACAACGCTCTAGCAGAAACTTGCACATCGCAAAGTACTCATCATCTAGCACTTTTATGAGTTCCAAGTTCCAAGCATTCAAGACATGATCCCGCTCTGTCGAGATATCAAACCTTGTAAAGGCACACAAGAGCTTGATCCATTTCAATGGTGATGCCATTCCACCTGACTCAGAACATGGACCTCGCAAGAGGATCTAAAGTTTTTCCATGTTTTTCCTCCATGGAAAAGATTCGAAAACGAAGTCGCACCCCGTCCGCCTCCAGAGCCCGAGCCTCATCCCAGCTCCCACCACCGCGCTGGCGCGTCCACAGGTGGACACCCTGGGCATCGAATTTCATCAGAAAGATGTCATACGAGCCCGCGTTGGCGTGCCCATCCAGGGAGCTACGCGTGTCGCCTGCCACCCAGGCATTGCCAACATCGTCCACCTGCGCAAAGATAGACAGTTGAGCTTTGCAGTGATCCACAGATGCGGGTGGAAACTGAAAGAAATCCGAGAAACCGACCGGATAATTAGGCGAAAGACGGACAAAAAAAGTGAAACCAAGATTGCAAGATGGCACCAAATTGACAACTGCATGCCCCACGGTATCAGGACGAGACCAATTATACAGTTTCAACTCTGAGAAGGGCGGTCTGCTCATCTGCTATGTTTGTTTCAGTCCGGACATGGATTCTCAATAGGTCTCATCAGACCTCATCAGATCTTATGACTAAATCGTGCAACCAACTAAATGACCAATGATCAACATTTTGAACCTTTGTATAACCTAAAACATGCATCTACACATGTGCCGAACAGAACCAACCAGCGCAGGTCAGAAGTTCTCGAGAGGGCGTAGCTTGGAACTGTTCGAAAGTGGCTCTGCCGACAATGTCTCAACTTGCAAGCCATTGCGGTTTCCATGATCTCAAGACATGATTGACATGATGGCAATCTATCGGCTTAGTCAAACTTTACAGCTCAGAAGACAAATGAGTTCCAAACTGCCCTGTCAATCCAAATGACTCAAGGTTTTGTTCCACGTTTCCCTCCACCTGAAGGGAATAAGCCTCATCATCTCCCTCACCACCGCGCTGGTGTGTCCACTGGTGGACGACTTGTGCTGCTGTTGCCCAAATCAGCAGGCATAGCCAAAGAGATTGCCATGGCTTGACGTGATGCATGTGAAAACTATAATATATATATATGGTTATATATGCAGGCAATTTGGCACCATTCTTGATGCACTTGAGGATAATTCTTTTATGATCTTCTATGCTCATAGCGGGATGATTGAGAGAAATTCATCACTTGAAGTATTCTTACGAATCTGACATAATCTGACTGTGAAACATCGAGACTTGAAAGAAAAGAACTGTCGCTTACAAAAACGAGACACCGAGACACAACTCATGAACCCCCAATTCGACGCAGTCTTTGGCTGACCGGTGATCACCTGTGATCCAAAAACTTGATTGTGACACGCTTGGACGACCAGCCTTCGAATGCTTCGCTGGTTCGCAACCGGTGGGTTTCTGTTCCCCAAGGGGCGATCCCAGTGGGTGACCAGGGTGATCCCAACCTGATCCGGAGATAGCCACATCTACATTTCTGCACTGGATGTGGTGCCAAACCCAGTTTCCCCGCCACAGGTCTGCTCACTGTGTTAGAAACCGCATCATCACGAGAAAAAACAAAAGACATGATCAAAATTAATATCAACTCGAATATAAAAATTAATATCGAATTCGATTCTGGTCTCACACACAAAGGATGCCGTGGGAATTCAAAATCCATATGCGCCCCTCAAATACGTTTATCTCGGTAGGGAAAGCCCACGCTTGAGGCACCCTGATTGTTTGAACATATACCTCATATACCGTTCCTCTTGGTTATTAAACTTACTGATCATTGTTGCTTCCATCCCCATGCTTATTGCATTTATATCCTTTTGTTAGTCATTTATACATATTTATACGTGTGATACTTGTGCCATCTACAGGAGAGATGAACGATGATGAATGCCTTTAGTGAGCCATGGTAAATTGGAAGAAACATTTCAATGATGGGAGAAAATTGCAAAAATGGTTGGTGCTGTTGAAAAATGGATGGTCTTCGAGAATTCTCCCAGCAAAGGTGTGTGCTCATGGATAATTACTCAATTCCCATGTGAGAAGGTCACATCATGTCTAATGATCTAATGATGATACTGGAAGTGATGAAGGAGCAGTCCCTTTTCTCTCTCGATTCTGAGTCTCGTCTGCACATTTTGCGCTGACCCAAGACAACGACTCAACGGCTGAAATTGCCGACCGAATATGACCGAATGGGAAGTCAGTTGAAGTTTGCCTCTGGCAAACCAATGAACTTCATCCATGAACTTCATCCATGCCGTTGATGGCACAGAAGCCAGAGGAAATAGCGTGAATGAAGAGATTGATAGAGATTGCATTTTTTCTGGGCAGTCCCCAGAGACTCTAAGACGCTCCACAACGCACTACATCAACCAGGTGCCAAGTACAGCAGCAGAACTGCTGAGAAGCGCCCAGAAATACATCGATTTACTAAGCCGGGTCTGAGGAAGTGGCATCTGCCTTTCAGGGACTTTGGAGATTCGCCGACTCCCAAAAAAAGGCGTGTTCCACAGACTCGCTCCGAAAATGGTGCAAACTTGGGTTGATCTGTTCAGAAATTCTATACAAATCTTCTCGTTTTGCTCATCCATTGAACCCTCTTCAAGATTCTTCAAGCCTTTCCAGCTCCACCCCAGAACTCCCAGCCTCGGTTGTGCTTCTGAAGGTGTAGGCTATCGCTGTTCTCGTCCGAGGACATAGGGCACATGCCGCGATGCCGCGCCCATCGCGAACGCCAAAGCGGCAGCAGGCGCAGTCCACGGCTGTGGCACACCGAGAGCTCCAGAAACTCGTCGACTCCACCGCTGGAGGGGCTGATGGCTTCGACCCTCAAGCAGATCCTCAAGGAAAATGTGGGGAAGAGGCAACTCCTGGATGATAATGAGTATAAGTGAAGAATAGTGGGCAAGAATTGGGGTATTTCCATATGGCGAAACTTGATGAAATTAATTAGTAAGTTAGTGAGTAAGGATGCCAGGAGTATGTCAAAGCATCTGAAAGAAGGAAAATTTAGCAGCGGTAAAGCATGCTAAATATCATTCATGGTGAAAAAGTGTGCGGCTGATCAGAACTGAACTTACTTTCTACATCTTTCCACAGTACTCCTCATCTTAGAGACAGCTGCTCAAACCACAAAACTGCTAGGCATAGAGTTTTGCGCATCCGCCCGGTCCACAGTCGCTTTCATCTGACTTCGCGCACATGTTTGGGTCTGCAAAAAAAACCACCCCCATAGGCCACAGAATTCTTTGTGCAAACCCAAGAACGATGTCAAAGCAGCACCGCTGAATGCGCCGATTCAGCTATGATCTCCTCAGCATTCCTGAGTTTTTCAAGGATGATGCTCTCATAGATCACAGCTATAAAAGTTACAATCCGCAGATTGGAACATCCCTAAAGATCCTAAAGTGCGTTTTGATGTGCCGTGCATCTGGTAAGCTGGTAAGTGGATTCAAAATGGATTCAACATGATTCAGCAATTCCAAAGTTGGCAACGTTGGCCACGTCAGGATTCTGGTCATGGTTAGTGCTTCATTGGTCCTGATTCACTGAGGTCATTTCAGTCCTGGAAGGTTCGGCACCGTCATCATATTGCCATAACATTAGATTCCTGGACCCGAATCTGCCAGGTGAGGCATTGAGATTTTTGGCTCCCAACTGGGGGTTGATTGGGTCTGATCAAGTTGGGACCCCGCAAAGGTGGCCCTGAGGAGCGGGAGGTTCGGTGCTAACTGGTTTGTTATTCGAATCCCTTCCAGTACCAGGCACGGGCATGAGTGAAACTGGCCGAGTGTAAGCAACAAGGCCATACTTGGACTGATTAGAGTTGTGACTTGAATTGACGATATTTACATATAATTCGCAATTTGTACTTAACAATTAATTACATTAAGTATATATACACTGTATGTACCATACGCGACTTGCCTCAAACTGGATATTTTGGAGATTCAGCGGCATCGCCAAGGCTCCAACAAAGCCGTGATAACCCGTGTCCAAGTTTCGGATCGAGGGAATCCTTGGAGCCAAGACATCAAATGACACCCTTATGGGAAAAGGTTGGGGACTATGGCCCGACCAAAATGTCCAACAAAGCCTGGTGGCTCTATGATGTAAACCGTTGTAAACCTGAATGAATCCCAGTGGTTGTTGGTTCCACCGCCATCCGACGTCGAGCTTCCGCAAAAAACACGGGATCAGACACGGGATCAGACACGGGATCATGTGGTTCAACTCGGTATAACTCGGTTCAGATTAGTGTTCATTAATCTTCAATAATTATATGTGTCCTGTTGAAACATTCCCACCCAATCTGATTGTTTGATAAATCTTGACGGCCCATACCCATTTTGAAGATGTCCGGATATGTCCAGCCATCCAAACCCATTCAGGTTCTGCCCATCGAATCCATGCCCACCCATGCTGCCTATTGCTTGACGCTTTCCCATCGCTTTTAGGACCCAATCAAAGTCCGTCACAGGAACGAAATACCAAATATGGTAGATATGCTGGTTCACTTTTTACTGTACCCGAATTCAACATCAACCCTCAACATTGCCAGAGCCAGTCTCGGAAATCATCTTCCAGAAACCTATTCTCAAGGTTCTAGCCGTCAAATTTTAACCAGCACTTCAGCTACTGTACAGCTCAGTCCCGCTGATGAGATGCCTTTGAACCCAGTCAGCCCAGGATATCAACGGCTTTCCGCCCAACTTCCATCCTCCAGATTCCTCCAGTAGATACACAAGGATAGTATGGGATTTCAATGATTTCACCAACAAAGTATAGGGGTAATTTGCAGTAAACCCAAGATTTTCATTGAAGTTGGGGATGAGTTGTGGCATTGGTTTTATATTGTTTTAATTTGTTTTATCACGTTATTGGAGTTGAAAGGAAAACCCACTTCAAAGACACACTTTTGAGTCATTACGCTTCAATGGAAACCCAACTTCAGAGGTGAACTTTCTCGAAAGTGAAGGCACACAGAAGTTGGCGAGAAAAAACAGGGCACGCGGTGTCTCTCAAACTTTGGACCGCCAAAATCCCATGGGCATCATCCCCCAGGGTTTGTCCAAAAATGTGGGACTTTTAGTAAGTACTCAAGTCAACTATTCAGATGTTATATTACTAATAAGATATAATAAGATATAATAAAACATAATATGATATAATATGATATAATAAGATATAATATGATATAATAAGATATAATAAGACATAATATGATATAATATGATATAATATGATATAATATGATATAATATGATATAATATGATATAATATGATATAATATGATATAATATGATATAATAAGATATAATATGATATAATATGATATAATATGATATAATATGATATAATATGATATAATATGATATAATATGATATAATATGATATAATATGATATAATATGATTTATAATTATGATATAATATGTATAATAAGACAAATAAGACATAATATGATATAATAGATATAGAATATGCTAACTATTTTTGGGGATTTTTTTATAATGATATAATATGATATAATATGATATAATATGATATAATATGATATAATATGATATAATATGATATAATATGATATAATATGATATAATATGATATAATAAGATATAATAAGACATAATATGATATAATATGATATAATATGATATAATATGATATAATATGATATAATATGATATAATATGATATAATATGATATAATATGATATAATAAGATATAATATGATATAATATGATATAATATGATATAATATGATATAATATGATAAAATAAGATATAATAAGACATAATATGATATAATATGATATAATATGATATAATATGATATAATAAGACATAATATGAATATGATATAATATGATATAATATGATATAATATGATATAATATGATATAATATGATATAATATGATATAATAAGATATAATAAGACATAATATGATATAATATGATATAATATGATATAATATGATATAATGATCTATATGATATTAATATGATTAATATGATTTAATATGATATAATATTGATATAATATATATAATATGATATATATGATATAATATGAATCTATGATTAATATGATTAATATGATATAATATGATATACTATTGATTAATATGATATAATATGATATAATAGGAGATATATGAATAAAGGATATAATATGGTATAATATGGTATTAATTGAATAATATGCGATAATATGATATAATATGAATAACTGATCTAATATGATATAATATGATATAAGATGAATATAATATGAAGAATATGATATAATATGCTATAATATGATATACTATGATATAATAAATAATAAATGATATAATATGATATAATATGATATTAATATGATAGAATATGAACAAATAAGATATAATAGACATATATTGATATAATAGATATAATATGATATAATATGATTAATAAGACATAATATGGATTGTACTATGATTATTTAATTGATATAATATGATATAATATGAGTTAAATGATATAATAGGATTAATAAGATATAATAAAGACATAATATGTATAATATGATTATAATATGGATATAATATATAGAATAGGATATAATATGATATAATATGAATAATATGATATAATATGATATAAGAGATATAATATGATTATAATATGATTAAATATGATATAATATGATATAATATGATTATAATATGATATAATATGATATAATATGATATAATATGATATAATATGATATAATATGATATAATATGATATAATATGATATAATATGATATAATATGATATAATAGGATATAATAGGATATAATAGGATATAATAGGATATAATATGATATAATATGATATAATATGATATAATATGATATAATATGATATAATATGATATAATAGGATGATGTTGATCTTTCTTTTCCATCTGCAGTTTGGACCTATCTTCCAGCTGTACCTTCGCCATGCAACTGGTTGATCAGCATGATTCATAGTCCGTAATAGCCAACATGGCCAATCTGAGATACCATGCAATGATATGCAATACAAAGTGTTTGAAGCATTTCTAAGCTGGCTAGTATGTATCTCCAAGTTGCAACAAAAAAAGTTGCACTAAAGATTATTAAAGTATAAACACCATAATTACAAGGTTTCTCTACGTAGCTATGCCCCATTTGAAAACACCAGTTTGAAACTGAGACCCCCCAACGCGCGATGATAGCCTGCAGGCAACTCCCATCCTGGCAAGAAATTCGGGACTCAACGAAGGAACACATTTCGCAGACTTTGATTCCAGATTGATTTGAAGAAAAATCAAAGTCAAATTCAATTGGCATCTTTGGTCGAAGAAACTGTTTCTATGGCCAGCTCTGGGGCTCCGAGCTTGTTGATCTGCATGAACTTCCACCTGGAAGTGATCCAACTGTGCTGGCGATGGACCCTTGGAAAAAAAAACAAATGGAAAACGACTTGGTATCGGTCTGTTTGGTTCGCCAGTGCCAATAGGACAATAGGAGATGAAGTGCTGAATGATGCTTACAGATGCTTATAGTGTTTTTTTAAGGCTATCGGCTATCATTTTGAGCTTTTCGCGGGGATGATCTTCGCAGAAAAATCAGCTGCAGTCACCAAACAACACTGACCCCATGTGCTGAAATCAGTGCGAGATCCGTTTGACCATGGGTACCCGCAGCCATCAGGATGTGTGATGCTCTTTATGTTTGGATATCCTGCCAAGAACTACCATTGATATCCCGCAACAGCCAGCACCTTCTTGGGCGGATGGTTGGGGCTGAAGACCTGAATCCAACCGCGAAATGGCTGTTGAACCGGGAGGCTATCCAGGCTTGGTCAGGTCGAACATGGCCCATCTTTGCCCCAGATGTAGCGATTTCAAGTCACTCCTTGTCTCAATGATAGGCTTTGAAACGAACAGTCATGGGGCTCATCATCTTCCATCCACATCCAACTATATCCATAATTAATAACTCTATAATATATAATTACTGGTGAGCAAATCTTCAACATGTTTCAATCCTCAACTCTCTTCAGCCATGGGACTGTAGCACTGATGGAGGTGCCAGGCTGCCAGGTGAGTAGAAAATTCGGTCGTCAAGTCATTCCTGTAGGACTTGGCCGTCACTGTCCAATTCCTACAGGGCAGCGGGTTGTGTGCTAGACACGACTGTGGGATGCTGTGGGTCACAGTGGGATATCACAGGATCCGGAAAATCGGACGTGTCTACGAATTCATCCATCTAATTTTCGGGGATACAATGAAATGATATTCAAGTCATTTCAAGTCAATATTGCGAATATTGTCCACCCTCTATCGGTTCCACATGGTTCCACCAACTACAATCTCCGGCGCACGTTTGCTTCAATATCGAAGCAAAATGAAGCAAAGCCATCAACAATAAATTGCCATTGCGATTCGCAAAGAAAGCTCAAAAAGCTCAGCAGTTTCAAAAAGAGGAAACAGCGTGCGCTGTGACCCGCCCAGCTGTGACTCCATCCTTGTATCCTTGTATCGAGCCACAGGGAGGAGCCGAGTCAATCGGCTCGCAGCAGGATCAGCAGGTTGTTGTATGGCAAGTAAGCTATGGAAATCAGTAAGCTATGTAAAATATGGGTTGGAAGTTGGGAAGGCACATTTCTCCTTTTCTCCTTCTCGGTCTCGCTGTGTTGAAAAGTTGAAACCCTCCCACAAAACTTTGGTGTGAATGCAAGTCTAGAGTCTAGATTTTGCATATCAGACCTATATTGTTGATCTTTTTGTGTCTAGCTGCCTGCTTGTAGCTGACATGTTAAGATCTGTGTAACATAGACCAAAAGCAGTAGTACTGTAGCTAGCCAACTCCTTCAGGATACTGCATTGACCACGTGTCTTTTGTTTGGCATCTTCCAGCCGTTGCAATACTTGATCAGAAACGGCCAAATTAAATGAACATATTGTTTGTAATTAGTTTGTAACATATCAATATATTATGGTAACATGGCACATGTTAATGTAAGAACACTGAAGTAGAACATCAGTGCATGTCTTAGCAAGTCCAGGCCGTTGACCATTGCAAAAACAACTCACCTCATCTCACCTCTTTGGAGCGGAACAACAAATTTCGCGCAAAAACACGTCCACGCGTCCGCCACTTCTCTTTTCAATCCCTTCGAATTAAAATGTGTATGATGCAAAGCATCAGGAGACAGTGAGAGCGGTTTCTTGAATCCAGGGTTGGAACATGTTGCAACTGTCATTTCTGCAGCGCTCTTAGTTTGGCGTTCACTTGTGAGGCCTCAAAACACTCGTCAGCCCGCCGTCTCCAAAAGCATCAAAAGCTGCTGGCATCTAGCGCCATCAAACTATGGCTCATTGCCCTCATAAATAGTTCATGAATTGGGAGTGCTCGGTGGCTCATGATTCATGATGTACCAAGCAATGACTGCAAATGTGGAGGCATCCCCTTCCAAATCGAAAAACCAAAATCAAAAACCCGTCCTGCACTGCTTCATTATCATGTTCCGAATTGCAATAGCCATGTTCGGAAATTAATTTCATCTACTCTGATCAATGAATGATTGGTCATCCTGCATCACGAGCTGACCTAGACATCTGAGATCATCTGAGCATCTCCGCCGCAGATCCTTTGCATGGAAGACAGGTGCTTCAGGACGGTTGCAGCCTAAAAAGTTCGCGAAACCTCGGTTTGTTCAAACAGAACTGTGGCAGTTTGAGGTTGTTTGCAATCCACTTCTAAACCTGTGGACTTGGCCAGGTTTTGTAAATTGTTTCCGGCATTGTAATTGGCCATTTCTATCTAACAAGTGGGAATGCTTTGTGCCGCTCTACTGATCATGGATGTTGTATATGTTGTTTATCTTGATGACAATCGTGTCCCATCTTGTTCCATAGATTCACTGAACATGCACGTATGAAAGGCGACCACTTCAGCAACTTAATCCTCACTCTTGCTATCACCATGATCATCATCACCGCCACCACAACCACCACCATTGTCATCACCATCATCGTCGTCGTCGTCGTAGTCGTCATCGTCATCGTCATCATCATCATCATCATCATCTTCATCATCATCATCATCATCTGAACGCTCACACCGGCTTACGCCCCTCTTCACCCCAAGTTTGCAGCCACGGAACAAAACTGTCAACTGGTCTAAGAGCCGCGATTTCACAGCATAATTCACTGCATCGAAACCCCTTGTGGTGAGGATGATTCTTTTGATCAAGTCCTGTCCCAGACAGAGCAAACTGAGAACACAGAGCACTGCTCCTGAGCATATTGTCAGTTGACAATAAATGCACCAGCAAGAGGTGGCGAATACCGGGGAATACTACTGGAGTTGTCTAAACCGTTCACAAAATTCACAAGGAACCTGCACTGCTTTGGCTTCTGGCCTCGTCCTTTTCGGATCCCGCCCTGGCATGCCGAACATTGAGAGTATCCACGGCGTCAGTCAGCACACTGATCCTCAAGTCGTCAAGTCAGAAGCAACTCACATGACAGGCCCGGGAAGCCTTAGCCTTCAAATCATTCATTGATTCTTTGCGCTTCAAAGAGAAAATGACCATCATTCCAAAAGAAATATTCCAAACAAATATGCTGCGTGCTTCCACATGAAATATTAGCAGCGTTTTGATCTGAGAGATGTGGTGGCGCTGATGGCTGATGGCGCTTGGGCCGCTTGAGTCAGCAAGTCACCTGCCCGCTGACATAGTTTCCTTGAAAAAGGTCTCAGCCGCGCCGGGGAGTATGATGTTCATTGGTATCTCCTGCGTGATGCACACCTCATTCCATGTTCACAACATTTCACAACGATGACAATTTAGAACGGCTTTGCCATTTTGCCGACAATTTGCCTGTTAACATCCTTTAACATCCTTTAACTACTTTACCTCGCAACAACACGCATCAAAAATCCAGACATGTCGTTTGCTCTTAAATGTCACTAATGGCTCCGAAATGGTATGGCAAGGTACGGCTCAAGATTTGTCAAAACCACTAAACATTGTGGTACGCCAAGCTGTGATTCTGGTCCAAAGAAAAAGATCAAGCTCCAAGGCGGCGGCGTAGCTTTCGAAGATGCACCAGGCCCTTTTCACGTAGGTCGGATTGGATTGGATTGGAGGAGGACGTCAACCTGCTCCTCACCGAAGTGAAGTAGTTAAGACGCCGAAATTGCCAACGCAGAGCCGGAGCTCTTTGCACTGAACAAACCGGAGGGCAAGTTCAAGCCAAGAAAAGTACCACCCATGCAGCTGAAGAAGCAGCAAACGCTCATTCAAACGACCTGTTTTGACGTGGTTCGTGTTCAAGCAAAACTTGCCAGTAGGGAAGAGAACCCTTTAGTTGCGCCTTCCAAGCTTCTCCAGCCCAAACAACTGCCTCTCTGTGTTGTGACAAACAAGTAGCAATCACCTGCCGAAATTGACCTGTAAGATCAGCCGCGCTAGCATCCGCTTTGGCATTGAGCATGCGGCAACGCAAAACATCAAGCCACCCTTCGGGTGGGCGCCATCGAGGAACTTTATTATGCGAGGGAATCCAAGCACAAGAAGAGCCATCAACCAAAAGCATCCTGATATAATGCCAGTATGGAAAAAGATCTCCACCCCACTGACCAAGCCGCATGCCACGATGAAGACGTTGCACAAGAGCTTGGTTGTCAATCAGCAAGCGCACCGCTCTGTTCGCTTCATGGGAAGCCAAGCAGGCTTGAAGAAGTGCACCTCTCTCGCCCGCAGCAGGAGTTTGCTCGAAACCATGCACCAACCCATTGACCGTGGGCCCGAGATGTGCCGCCACAGCCCAGCTGGCACGCTGCCAAAGTTCGCACCCTGGAGCGATTGCGCAACTTCCATCCAAGCCCAAAGTCGGCGTTTGATGTGGGTCAAACTGTTGTAGAAAAGCCACCAGAATGGGGTCGGCCGTCATATCTTCAAATGGAAGAACAGCTGGAGCATCCACAAGAGGAACAAGCAACCGCCTTTCAGTTGGAGTTTTGAGATCACCATGCCAAGGATTTGCCTCGCAGTAGAAAGTGAAATGCTCACGATCAGGAGAGCTCAAACCACAATCACACTGCAAGTCGACTTCCAAACGTTGAGTAACTCTCCCATCCACTGCTGCACCTGTCAAGACTCTGCGACCACAATAGTTCAAATCATGCGCCACATTGGCCTGGAATTGGAACACAGGCAACTTACCTTCAGGTAAAGGACCCTCCGTTTTGGTGTCCTTCGTCCACATAAAAGCCAGCCATGCTGCAGCAGCAGCTTTGTATAAGCTTGAAGAAGACATCCACCCTGGTTTCAAAGTCCCCACGGGAGTGATCCACAAACCACCCTCAACACGCCAATTCCAGTCTTTGCAAACAGTATTCCACCTTGGGCCTGGCGAAACAGCGGCGGGCACACCTATGGCCAAGCGGCACTGGCGCTGCCATTCAGCCCGGGCTGCAGCAAAGTGAAGCGCAAAAGCAGGATGCAAACGCGGTGTGCCCAAAGAGTTCCAGAACAGCAATCTACTGCGACCTGGGGCAGGCTTGCGCCCCCAGACCGCCGCTTCAATACTGGAGGTCCAACTCTTGATGGTATCAACATCATAGTGGTGAAAAGCTCCTGTCCATGCAAACAAAGAGATCACCAACTGTCCCAGCAAGGTCTTGCGGGTGCCCAAACGTTTCGCTGCCAACCTGATTTTGCGACACCTCTCCTGAATGTCAAAGGAAAGCTTCTCTGCATTAACACAAGCACCTGCACGCTCCAAATTGTACTGAATACCCAGAAGCGTGAACTTGCTGCAAGGAGCCCCCAACACGTCCTGTATCTGTGACAGCTGAGGCGTCAAATGTTGCTTGGTTGTGAAACTATTTAACTTGTCAGGATGGAGTTCCATGCCCAGAATTGCATCAACCTGCGCACCTGCCTGCATGGCGTTGGTGACCACGTGAATGCCGTTGACACCTTTCTTCCACATTGTGCGGTCATCCAAATAAACTGCAAGAGAAACACGAGGCTCTTGCAAAAGAACGAAGCGCACCCAGACTACCATCACCGCATTGAGTAAGGCTGGGCTTGCCGGGCAGCCCTGCAGCAGCCCCCGCCGAGCACAAATGGGCTCTGAATGGAAAATGCCTTGCCAGGCAAACCACCTGCGTTGGTCAGTGTAAAAATTTTCCACCATGTCACACAAACTGGCCGGAGCACCCAACCAGCGCCAAATAGCAAGTGCAGTCTTTGGACAAACTGAATCGAAACACCTACGGATATCGGCCTTGCAGCCAACAAAATCAACTCTTGAACGTTTGGCAGCACGAATGTCTTCGTAGAGCAATTCATGAACATCCATAATGCCTCTTCCTGGACGGCCGCCACAAAGCTGAGGCAAGGCCCATTCTTGTATCCATGGTCGGAGCTTTTGCAAAGTTGCACTCATGCAGATGCGCCACAGGACCGTCGTGATGGCAAGTGGGCGCAGGCCCCCGGCCGCCTTTGGAATCAAGGCTATGCGAATATCTTTCCACATTGTAGGAACTTTCGCACACTGCATGCACGCCGACCACAAGACTGCAACGTGATTCCAAAAGGACTCCGGCAACTTGCACAAATGAGCCGCAGTCCAAGCATCCATACCAGCCGCTTTTTGTTTAGCTTTCAACGCAGAACGCGCCAAATCAGCCCCAACCACTTGAATGCTTTCAGGCGTGACTGGGTCGACCTGATTGTTGAGCTGCAAACACAAATTTGAAACCTGGTCTAAATGTGGGAGGTGGTCCGGATTCCAATGCGTGTGCCACGCAGCTGCCTCCTGTCTTGCCTTATCTTCAGGCAAAATAGGACCATCGACCTGTGTTGCTGTAGGTGGATCAGGTGGTTTTTGCTGAACCCACTTCCCCAGTTTCGCAACATTTTCTTGAATGTCCTCTTTCCAAGCAGCAAGGCGTCGCTGAGACGCCTTTTTGGCCACCTCATCTGCAAGAAGCAAAGCGGCGGGAGCCAAACCACCATCAGATAAAGAAAACGCAGTAAGAGACGAGTGCAAAAGCGGAGCATCGCGCAACAGCTTGGTTTGCAATTGCGGCGAAGGAGCCTTTTGATATTCGACCACCCGCCGTGCAAATCTTCTCAGCTTTCGCTCCTCCAAAGTCTGCAACGTAGGAGCTTTGGTTGATGGGGGGCTCGCCATTTTGTGCGGGCCGTCCCTTGATGCCCTGCTGGGCTTGCCTTGTGCAAGCAGCAAAGATTCAGCACAGTTGCTCAGGACCACCCAAGCTTGATCCACATTTCCGACGGCCAGAGCATCGGTGAAATCTTGCTGTGATTCTGCCCAAGCAACATTCCAGTTCTCAACCTCCACATTGCAAAGCAAGAGTGGTGCGCTTGCCGGCAATCTCCAAGGCGTGGGTAAGCTACCATGCACATGTATATCGTAAATGACTGCATCATGGTCAGCAACACCTAAAGACTGCATTCTTCCGGAAACAACAACTCTGGGAGTTGAAAGCGCGTAGTCAATGACCACCCCTGTGTATTCACCATCTGAGTTGCGATGGGTGCCAGGGCCAATCTGGTCTCCGCAGACTTGTTCATCGCAAGAATACCATTGCCCCGACGCCAGCGCGGTGGAGGCCGGCCAAACATGCCTTTCCCTGTTGAAATCGCCCACAATGATTGCTTCTTCGCCCAGCATAGCAACGTATTCAAAAATGGCAGCCAAGGCGTGGCCAGCAGCTGTTTGATCGTTGGCATGTAGGTACACATTGATCAGAAGAAGCGGTCGCTGGTGAGGTCGAAAAAGCTTCAGCGCAAGCTTCAGCGCCATGGCACGGTCAGCCGGTGCAAACTGACTTGGAATGGCCAACGCTTCAGCAGGCCACTTTGACAAAACTAACGTCCCGCCAATCACCACATTCTTGGCATCTACCCCTTGGCCGCCAGGAAAAACTTGCCACTTTCGCTGGTTTGCAGCTGACTTGACAGCGCTCCAACTGTCGACATTGACTCTAGTTTCTTGCAAACAAAGAACATCGATCTGCTCAGTCTTTGCTAACTCAAAAACGCCACCCAACCGGCCACTCAATGACCGGACATTCATAGTTCCCAACCTTAAAGTGCTAGACGTACCCGTCATTGGTCCGTAGAATCACCTTCCTCTTGCTGAAACCCCAAAATCTCCAAAGCACGGAGCGCCGCTCTCTGCCTCGCCCCAGGTTCTTTGTTGGCGAGCTCCAGCAAGGCGTCTTTGTTGCCTTTTCTCTTTTGGTTCCAAACGGTGCTGTTGGCGCAAGACATTCCACGGAAATGTTTCTCGTCCTTCATGCACCGCTTGCATCTCGTGCAAGCAAAACGGACCGTGAAATCTACCGGCCAGACAAGTGCCTCAATATGGTGTTTGGGCGCAGTGTCTTTGGAGCTTCCCTTGCCTGAGTCAATAATGTTCAAAACTGTACGGGCACCATCCTTGAGAGCATCACTGATGGACGCTTTGTTGAGACAAGCGCGGAGCCTTGCCAGCATCTTCTTCCTCTTGGGGCCATTGCCGGCCACATACTTTTCACAGGACAGCGTAGCAAGCTCCTTTGCTTGATTCGCCATCTTGCCACATTTGCGACAAATAACCTTTGCCATACCTCCTCTTTTCTGTTTGGCCTTGCCAGTCATAGGGAGGGTAACCAACACTGGTTCGTGGGAACCGGCATCACCTTTTTTGAGGCCCAACAGGCGTTTTGCCATGCCAGCTGCGCGCACTTGAATCGTAGCTTTGGCTGCATTTGCCGCCCTGTAACTTCCATCGCTTTTGAAACGCTGCACATTCGCTTTCGGATGGTGTTCTTCTCTATGCCTCAGTTTCATGCGAAGCACCTGGTCTCTGCTGAGATCGGCATCTTCAGGAATGACCATGTTGCACAAGTGACACTTCCACTTGAAACTCATACCAGGGGCGGCGTGACAAAGCTGACCCATAGCGGGAGTGAGCTTCAACCTCTCCTTCTCATCAGGATGCCAAGCATTGATGTGGGCCTGCTTTTTCTGCGGCCACAGCCTGTGTACCCCTGTGGAATAATCGCACAAAGGACAATTCCATTCCTCCCTTTTTGGGCGTTTGGACGAAGTGCTGCCAGCCTCGTCCTTTTCGCTGACACCAGCGCTGCTCACAGCACGCCGCTCCCGACCTGAAGTAGCAGTCGCAGGGGAGGGATTCCTGCGCCGCTCTGAGCAAGTAGAACCAGGCAAGGAGGCGTCGCGCTTGGAACGCTTCTTGGCGCCCGCCACAGATGGCAGCGCTGACAAACGAGTAGCGCCAGCCGAGTGAGTGCCAGTTTCCGACCCGCCCCCTCTGTTGCCTTGCATAGGGCCAGTGGCGGCTTGCTCCAAAATGCCTGGCGGCAATGCGCCATCCAACAATTCATAATGCTTTCGGCGATACCACAGAGCAATGGCGCCACCTGCTTTCCCTTGGCTGTTGTAAACCTCAGGCACGCCCGTAGGCTGAAAAACTAATATGGGTCTGTCGTAGTGCACGGCAGCTGCAGCACATTCCAAGCTGCTGCCCCAAGCCCCAACCTTTGCAAGCATCTCCATGTACTTTTCCCATGACTCGCACTTCTCTTCCTGTTCCGTGGGCTCCCTTTCGTCCCACCAAGGTTTATACCGACCTTCATGCTTCTTTAAATGGTTCACAACTGCAGCTCTCACGGATCTTGCAGTTTTGCCTCCAATTCCCTGTGATATGGACTCAAACAAACAATTGCCATCAGCAGCTATGGTTCGTGCAATCAAGCCATGAGGTGGCTTGACATCCACTGCAACTCGCTTTGCCGCCGGCAGCTTGGCGGGCGAAGAAGGTTCGCGTTTGTCACCTGCAGCAGCCGAAGCAGCTTTCATAGCTTCATCAGCTTGAACATCACCAGGCTGCGTGGCGCCTGTAGCAGGCGCAGCTGCAGCGTTCTTTTCCTTGAGCGGCGTGCCAATGTAGAAAGACTTTAGCGGTGGCTGTGAGGATTGCACAGTTGCAGGCCCAGTGTTGGAATGGAAATTGACCTTTCCGTAACTGGACAACTTCTTTGTAATGGGCCGCTGAGGTCTCTGCCTGGGCGCTTCAACGACAACAATGGTGTGTTCGCCGGCCTGGATCTCAAGGAAATCAAGATCTCTTTGAGCATTCGCATGTGCCCACCATTCAACTTGCTTGCCCAAAGTTTTGCGAGACAAAATCTTTGGATCTTGCAAGCCAGCACGTGTGATCGCTTCAGTGACCGTGCTGGCTGACCATTCTCGGGGCACACCACTAATGCGCCATGCTCTTGGCTTTGGAATCGGGTCAGATGCTCTGGGCTTTCGGACGCCTAAGCCGCCCCACCCTCTTGCAATGCCAAGATCACCTGCCAAACTTCGGACCTTTTGAAGATAGCTGGGGCCATCAAGGTCAGGACCTTTCTTGATCCATTCAACATCACATGACTCCACCACACTGTTGTTCCATTGGAGAGGTTCGACGAACCACAGACTTTTCCCAGAACAAGAAAGCAAGCCTTTCGCTGCATCTTTCTCAATCCTCAGCAACCCAGTAATGACCGGCTTGCCACCACCCTTCGTGCACTCCTCTTGGAAAGCCCACATGTCAAAAACTTTGGCACCAATGTGGGCGGGCACATGCCTTCGCAACCATGACTGAGCGCTAGCCTTTGGTTTGGCTTGGATGCTCTGCCACTCTTTGCTCAACAAATACTTTGCTTCAACGCTCAACCTCACAACCACCGTCTCAGTCTGAGCTGCAGGAGCAGCAGAAACAACGGCTGCTCTTTTGAGTGTTGGTCCGTTTCCTTTCAAGGCTATCAGGTAAGCCTGCCTTGGCTGAACTTTCCCAGCTATTTTGCCAGGTATGAGCCTCAACTGTCTGCCGTCGATCTGCTTCGCTTCTTTTGGAGCTAACAAAACTGCAGAGACATGCAATTCTCTTGTCTGATCTGTTGCATCACCTTCTGTCAAAACTTTGAGCTCACTCAGTTGCTCTTCCGATTCACACTGCACTGTTGCTGACACATTGCCAGGCTGATCCAACGCACTGCAAAAAGAATCAAAAGTCAAAACTTGGCCGGTCCAGTCCGACTGTCTCAAACACCAAACTGGTTTGAACGGTGCGTTCGTTCGAACTACTTCCACAAAAGACTTGGATGCTTGTGTGGGCTGTTTCTTGTTGGCATCCTGTTTGCGATTGGGAAGCTGCGCAGAAGTGCTAGTAGGATTGGTGATTGGGGCAGAATTGAGCGCTGCATTCCTGTGGCCAAGGCCCGCACCACCATTGTCACCTTCCTGTGTCTTGCGCTCTTTCTTTCTCTTTTTGGGCTTGTTCCCTCCTTTGTTTTTGGAGGTGTCAACAGCTCCAATTTCTTGACCCATCAGAGTGCTAAGTTGCTGAAACAATTTTCCGCTGCCTCCCCCAATTCCCAACAATTGGCAGAGCTGGGTAAGCAGCTTGAGAATTTCTCCTACCTGTTGCAAATTGAAGCCATTAGCTTGCGCATTGCTTTGTTTCTGTTTCCGTCTTCGAGCTGTTGCTCGGCTGCCTGCTCCATTGCCATTAAGGATATGTTGCAAAGCATTTCTGGTTCTGGAAGACACAGCCCAAGTCTTCTGTGGCAAGTCAGTGCAAGCACAACAAGCACACACCACAACTGAACTGTTCGCTTCTGTGCACTGCCTAGGCCTGAAAGCAATGCATAGACCCGCAGCAACCGCGCGGAGGTCGTTCAGGTAGCCGCTCACGTAGGTCGGATTGGATTGGATTGGATTGGAGGAGGACGTCAACCTGCTCCTCACCGAAGTGAAGTAGTTAAGACGCCGAAATTGCCAACGCTGAGCCGGAGCTCTTTGCACTGAACAAACCGGAGGGCAAGTTCAAGCCAAGAAAAGTACCACCCATGCAGCTGAAGAAGCAGCAAACGCTCATTCAAACGACCTGTTAAGTTGCAACTTGGGTGTCTTGGGGACTGCCACTCAACGGATATTCATGAAGAACCAAGAACTGCAAATTGATATGTGACTTAGGTCCTGAAAGTTCTTGGTTTATATGATGGAGACATTCTCAAGTTCGAGAAGTTATAGCCCTCCCCCTGGAACTAGATTTATCGCATCTTACCATCAATAATGTTACCACCCAAATATGTGTTTCGAAGTCGCTCAGTTACGTACTCACGCACTTTCACCAGATACTATAGACAAGCCATGATAAGCCCCTGAAACAATGGTATCGAGCAGCACCAACATATGTCCCGCTTCCACCAGATGGGATTCAAAGATTTCTTTGAGATCATCGCTTCCTGTTTGCGTGGCCTCCAGGGCCAAGACTGCCCATGCAACGACAAACCTGTCATGACTCATGACACACAAAACCCAAAGCTCAACGATCAAAAAAACTGGGTCTCGATATGTCTTGATGATGCATCCACCGCACATGACTTGCGTAATCCACCCGTTGTTCCTTGCAAAACATGGTAAAACCGTGGTCACAAGCCGAAACAGAAGTGAACTGCGAAAGGAGTTGTCACATGTTGTAACGACTGCCACGCATGCCACGGCTTCCCTTTGGAGCCTCCTCTTGGATCCGATACTGGTTGTTACAGAAGAAGCACATCCACAGGAAGACGTTCCGTGCATCTTCATTGGACTTTTGCACCCATCGCTCAATGGCACTGACAACGTCATTCAAGGAATATGCCCAGCACCATGAAACGAAGTGTGTGACCTTTCCTCAGACACTGCAGAAAATGATCACAATGTTTGCCAAATGCTCAAAGTCTCATTGAAATCCTCAATTGATATGAGTGGCGGACGAAATTATTTGTTCATTGTAATTGCCACGAGCAAAACTGGGTCGTCCCCTATCGGTTGTGAATATTTTCACTCTGTGAAAACATCCAGTAGCAAATGCTGCTAGTAGTACCACCAGAAGTAGCAGTAGCAGAAGGAAGAGTAGTAGTGGTAGTGGTGGGTGGTGGTAGTGGTGGTGGTGGTGGTGGTGATGGTGGTCGTAGTCGTAGTCGACGACGTCGTCGTCGTCGTAGTAGTAGAAGTAGTAGTAGTAGTAGTAGAAGTAGTAGAAGTAGTAGAAGTAGTAGAAGTAGTAGAAGTAGTAGAAGTAGTAGAAGTAGTAGAAGTAGTAGAAGTAGTAGTAGTAGAAGTAGTAGAAGTAGTAGAAGTAGTAGAAGTAGTAGTAGTAGTAGAAGTAGAAGTAGTAGAAGTAGTAGTAGTAGTAGTAGTAGTAATAGCAGCAGCAGCAGGAGGAGGAGGAGTAGGAGTAGGAGTAGGAGTAGGAGTAGTAGTAGTAGTAGGAGTAGGAGTAGTAGTAGTAGTAGTAGTAGTGGGTAGTAGTGGTAGTAGTGGTAGTAGTGGTAGTATTGGTAGTTGTAGAAAGGGTAGCAGGAGGAGTAGCAGGAGGAGTAGCAGGAGGAGTAGCAGGAGGAGTAGCAGCAGGAGTAGCAGTCACGAGTAGCAGTAGGAGTAGCCGTGGGAGTAGCAGTAGGAGTAGCAGCAGGAGTAGCAGTAGGAGTAGTGGGGGCAGTGGGAATAATGGGAGTAATGGGAGTTGTGGCAGTGATGTCTGTTCCTATTGAATCCTTTTACACCTGATGCCTGATGTCATCTAGCCATCCCTCATCCCTGATCATGGTGAAACATGGTGAAACATGGTGAAACCCTGAAACCAAGTGGCCACTGTATGCATCTTCCAACGCGTCCACAATGCTGCAGTGGGGCCTTCCATCTCTGGGACATGTCCTGTTGTAACCCATACCTTGCCAAGTGCCAGGCTAAGAATACAAGAGACACAGTTTTAAAATGGTTTAAACATGCTTCAGACATGGTGCTTCAATGTCAAACAGAGTCAAACGTCATGCACTTTGCTGAGACTACAGTCGTCAAGGCAAGGGACCGGCCGACCCGTGTGCCAAGTTTGGGCAAATATCGTAGAAATTTGGATTCTCAGCTCTGGTCACTCCTCAGCATAAGCCATGGAAAAACACTCCATGTTGGAGTCCACCGAGGAACAAATGTTCATTTACACAGTTTCGATGTCGAGGTGCTGCGGGCCAAAGGTGGAAAAACGTCCACCAAATAGGTGGCTGCCAACCCCAAGGTGGGCATCTCAGGTGGCAGCTCTGCGCAAACTGGGCACACGTGCACCTGGTACAGCTGCTATCAGCTGCCGGAACAGTTTAGAGATGTTTTGACAAGTTGTCACATCGAAAATGTTGAGTTCTGAGATTCTCCGTTTTCAGTCCGTTTTCAGTCCGTTTCCACTTGATGTCAGTTGCGACACCTGATGTTGCGGGCAGTACCAGTGCTTTCCAGCTCGGAGGCGCGAGCACGATGTGCATCCTGAGTCTTTAGAAACACAATTCTTGGCAACTGCTTCAAATTTACTCGTTTGCTGAAATTGCATGCCGAATTCCAGCAGTTCAATGTAGTCGTGTCATGTTGTGTCCTTTTCAAGAAACATCAAGAAATTATGCTTCGAATGATACATAAATTAACATAATATCATCTTCACGAGCATGCGCTGAAGAAACAAGTTGTGTAGAAAACAGCCGAGCCATGAATATCGTCAAAGGACTGTGAACGGATTTGGACCCTGCATGACCTAGCCAAGTTACGACATTAGTTGCAAGAAGTAAAGAAACACTAGACGACGGATGGCCCGAGAGCGTAGAGGAGCAGGGTCTTCTCTTGTTAGTGTGGAGACACAATATTACAAACAATATATTAAAACGATGTGTTATAGGCAGTCGAGAAGAGGAGTATCAAGACAAAATAGCAGAAGTGAAAGACAATAGTTTGCATCGCAAACACTTTTACACACAGAAGCTTTTACACACAAAAGCTTTTACACACAAAAGTGTTTATACACAGAAGTTTTTACACACAGAAACTTTTACACACAAAAGCCTTCACACACACAGAAGTTTTTGCAGACACTTTCACACACAGACCCTTTTACACACAGACGTTTGTACACACAAAAGCTTTTACACACAGAAGCTTTTACACACAGACGCTTGTACACAGACGCTTTTACACGCAAAGTTTTTACCCACAAAAGCTTTTACAGACAGAAACTTTTACACACAGACGCTTTTACACAGATGCTTTTACACATAGACGCTTTGACATACAGACACTTTTACACACAGACACTTTCAACAAAGACCCTTTTACACACAGGAGCTTTTACACACAGAAGCGTTTGCACGCAAACGCTTTTACACACAAAAACTTTTACACACAGAAGCTTTTACACATAGACGCTTTGACACACAGACGCTTTTACACACAGACACTTTTAACAAAGACCCTTTTACACACAGACGCTTTTACACACAGACGTTTTTACACACAGAGGCTTTTACACAAAAACACTTTCACACACACAGACGATTTCACACACAAAAGCTTTTACACACTTTTTGACGATCGACCCTCATTTCGTGCGAAAGGGTCGCGCGGGACACATTGAAATCGCAATTTTATCGCTTTTTGACGATGGAGCCTCATTACGTGCGAAAGGGTTGCGCGGGACAAGTTGAAATCGCAATTTTACCTCAGTTTTTGACGATCGAACCTAATTTCGTGCGAAAGGGTGCGTGGGACAATCCGAATCGCAATTTTACCTCAGTTTTTGACGATCGAACCTCGTTTCGTGCGAAAGGGTTGCGCCGGACAAGTTGAAATCGCAATCTTACCTCGCTTTTTGACGATGGAGCCTCTCATTACGTGCGAAAGGGTTGCGCCGGACACCTTGAAATCGCACTTTTACCTCAGTTTTTCACGATCGAACCTCGTTTCGTGCGAAAGGGTTGCGCGGGACGAATTGAACTCGCACTTTTACCTCAGTTTTTGGCGATCGAACCTCATTTCGTGCGAAAGGGTTGCGTTTCGTGCCGTCTCGTTGGTACTGCCCCTGCTCCCGCCTTCAAAAGAGAAATAGAAAAGAAGGAGAGGGCAAGAGGGGCAAGAGGGGCAAGAGGGCAAGAGGGCAAGAGGAGAAGATGTGAGATGTGAAGATGAGAAGATGAGAAGATGTGAGAAGATGTGAGAAGATGTGAGAAGATGTGAGAAGATGTGAGAAGATGTGAGAAGATGTGAGAAGATGTGAGAAGATGTGAAGATGAGGAGATGAGGAGAAGATGAGAAGATGAGGAAAAGATGAGAAAATGAGGAGAAGATGAGAAGATGAGGAGAAGATGTGAGTATGAGAAGATGTGAAGATGAGAAGATGTGAAGATGTGAAGATGAGAAGATGTGAAGATGAGAAGATGTGAAGATGAGAAGATGAGGAGAAGATGTGAGGATGAGAAGATGTGAAGATGAGAAGATGTGAAGATGAGAAGGTGTTTTACAGACCCCCACTATTGGAAGAACCCTGCGCTCAGACGCTCTCGGGAATAAAGAAAAGATAAGTACACATCAGTACAGAACAAAGCGCTCTACCATTTGGGAGCACGTTTTCAAGCCAATCTCTGAGATACATTGAGAATCATTGAGATACGGTGTTGAGATGTGCCGCTTCACATATTGCTTGCCATCTCAACGTATTGGAATATACTGACGAACCAAAGGCTGTGTGAATCTATTTGACGATGGCTGTTTCAAGCACAGCATCTGTAGCCATCACCCGAGTCCGCCGAGTCCGTGAGCTCCATGTCGTGGTGATTTTCGATTTGGCATTTTGGAGTGCAAACCCACCTGGGTGACGCTGCGACATGGACGGGTCACAACGAGGGCTAGGCTAGGCGCAACGTACTGGGTGCTGTCGCTTCTGAAACTCGTGGAAAGTTCTTCTCTCTCTTTTACAAGAGGTTTGATTCTTCCAAGTTTTTCCCATATTTTTGTCCACATGTTTCCTCTATTTGTTTTGCATTGTGTTCAGGTCTCCGGATCTGCCTGAAGCGTTGCCAAGCAGGATGGGCATGCTGCGTGCTCCACCACACAACGTTCCTGGAATCTTGGGACACTTTGGGACGATTTGGGACGGCTTCGGAAAATTCGTAGGACCGTCTAGGACCAAAGCAAGTGAAAAACATTGAAAAAAGTGCAAGGTACCAGGTGCTGCTGCAATGTGCAAAATTGATCAAAATTGTGGACGGTTTCATTGAGCATCGACAAGCTGAACAGGGATGAACAGGAACCATCAACAAACCTGCGACAAATCTATATCTGCTAGATGGGCGTCTTTTGAACGCTCTGCACCGTCTGGACAGTTCCATCTTCCCAGGTAAAATGTTGAACTTGCCCTGGTCGAAATTGAAACTGGCGACCACTCAATTCAAAAGCCGTCTCGCTCACCTTAGAAAGCCAACATGGGACTAGCTTCGCAGCTTGAAATTTCTGGGTATCAGCATTCCATATCCTCATACCTGGGTCTTCGGAAAGGTTACTTTTTATTGCTCTTTCAGGAATTTCCTGTAATTTGCTGATCGAGCGATAATTTCTGCTTTCGAGCGGTTTTTGGGTTTTCATGGTTTTTCATGTTTTTTCACTTCTTAGCCATCCCTTGGCTCCAGAGATTCCGAAGCTTCCAGCATCTACCACCGTTCCCAGCACAGGTGCGCCCTTTTGAGTGGCCATTTGTCTCTGGGTCAGCATTTCATCTTCCAGCCTTGGCAGGTACTGCCCATGTGGAATGATGGGATGATTCAGTTGAAGGACCGGCTTTGGGAATGGGTTACTGGAACTTTATCATCATAAAAAGACATGCTATCATGATGAGAAGTCATGAGGCAATTCACCTGCTGCCTAGCTAGAATCTATGAAGATTTAGTGCTCAAAGCTTTGCCTCGTTTTGCAACCATGGGTGGTGAGTTGGCCAGTGATTGGGAAAGTGATCTCTTACTTCGCAATAGGGCCCGGAGCAAGGGCATTTTGACGTCTTGGCCAGACAGCAAATCAACTGGAGTACCCAGTATGAAAGCTGCTGTTCTCAATGCCAGAGCCGTGGAGTTGGCAACTTTGTGGTGGGCACGTAAGAGGGAACAACCCGAAGCTATCAAAATTGATGACATCAGAGCAGAGGCCAGGTTTTCAAACATGTTTATCCCAAAACTATACTGAAACAAACTTAAAACTGAAGTAGTATACTTACCCAGTGGTTTTATAGCTTCGGTAGTTTCTGTTCTCACATCTGGCACCATGGAATTCCTCCAGCCACAGGTGACCAAATGGCGCGAACTCATGGGCCTCGAGGAAGACCCTGCCAAGCAGAACTTGGATTCCTGGGGCATCAAGAGGCTCCACAGTCATTTGCTGAGGAGGTGGCTTGCAGGAACTATCTCTCCCCGAGTTTCTTGTCGATGGCAATGGGAACCAAGTGATGTTTGGGGTGTTTGTTATGTTTGGTAAATGCTGGACATGTGCTTACTTAACCAAAGTGCGTCCCAAGTAAGAATCAAAACCCCGATAGATGAAAATAATAATAGATAATAAAGAATGATCTGAGGCTACGGAGCTGCAGCCTATTTGGGATGTCTTTGACATCGTCTGGGGTGAGCATGGCCCTGGCGGCTCCAGTCATGACATCAATGGCCCGGTGGCACAGTTGTTGGCCATTGAGGATGGCCGAATCACGGATGATGATGACAATGGTGACCACGCTGCTCCTGTTGATGTGGCACCGGTGGCACCGGCAGCACTCACGGATGAAACGTCATCGATTGCTTCCACAATTCCAGAGCAGACTCCTGATGAACCTGTTGATTCGCTTCCGTTGTCACCTGTTCCTGCAGCCCCAGAAGAGGAGTTCATTGAGTCCCAATGGCGGCTTGGGGTCGACGATTCTCCGGCTAATGATGAGGTCAGATCTTCTGAGGTTGATGTTTTTGCCATGGAGTCCATCAACACTGACTCTTTGCCTTTGGAGGAGCCCAACATGGAGGTCCCAGCTTTGGCTGACAAGACACTTGACTCCAAAGACGATGAGAGCAGCCCTTCCCAGAAGAATGGTGGGCCAGGCTCAGCAGCTTCTGATGTGGGCGAAGCCCCCGCTGGCTCTGTTGATGGGATGTCCCCAAGCGCAACGCCCACCAAGGACACTTTAATATGTCTGAATTTTCAAGAATGACAGGCTATAAGATGATAGATCTTGATTCTCTAATTGTAGTCCCCACCAGTCCTCTTTTATAGTGATGACCAGGGATTTCTTTTGCAAGAGTACATGGCTACAATCCGAAAACCCTAAAAAACAAATTCAAACATACTATCATAGATTATCAGAAGTGTGATTTCACAATACTTGAAATGGGAGATAACCTCAGAACTTAAAAGGGAATCAGCACAGCAACATCTTTTGTATAAAGAAAACATGGCTTGTCAGGAGATCACTGCTTCGGCTGAGAGCCCTGGCCGCATGGCATCTTCTTCAATGCCACCGCCGCCACCACCTGATCCAGTCGTCATGAACCGGAAGAAGGAGATCAAAGCTAGGCTTGACGAGTTGAGGCCGGAAAACCACACAAATCTTTTGGGAAATCACTCAGAGAAATCCTTTGGGGAAATGATTTATCAGAAAGATATGTCATATGAAATCAACAAACTTTTAGGCACTTCAATTCAAAGGGTGCATGCATGGCCATGCTTTTCATCCCATCTAGGAAGCAGATGGAGACAAATGCTGCTCAGCGCATCGCAAGGTTGAAGAGCTCTGCTGCTCTGCAAGGAATCTTGTTTTTGATTTATGATGTATAATGTTTATTTCTATCTTTAGTAGGGGGACATCCCTATTTCACAGACCTATGATAGTATCTATGAATGATCTTCCTGGGGTTTCTAAGGTCTCTATGTCCTTAAATGTTGATACCTTTGTGACACCTGGGACCTTCCAGGCGAAGTGGCTGCCTGCTCTGACACCTGCGAAACCTTGCCATATGAACCGCAAGCCCCACCAGCCGAATATGGCTATGGTGTGTTTGAAATTGAGGAGACTGTCTTGAAGTTTTGTGTTTCAATTCCAACATGCCCACAAAGTTTTTAAACAAACTAGTTCCATTCATTATTTATCAATCAAACTGCCACTGTTGTTGCAGGATTCTCCTGCGAAGCCCAAGCCAGAGGCCGAGGCGGATTGCCCGATTCCAGCCGACAAGCCTGCGCCATCAGCGCCAACTTCGACCACTTCAGATCCTGGAGCCGACGGTGATTTGGATTTGCTGGACTCAAAGGCAGGAATTTTTCACACCATCAACACCTCCAACTTTAACATGGATTATAAAAAGAAACAAATGAATGATCATGTTCTTACAATATTATGCAATAGCGTTGGCTCATTTTGGTGATCTTTTCCAAAAAATAAGTTGTGATGCTTGAATGTTACCTGGAAGGTCCCATTGGTAACGCGTCGTGAACAACTTGGGACTGAAGACCATCAGCTACCACCTGGGCAATCCAAGCAAGAGCGTGGGCGAGGGCGTGGACGAGGTAATGGACGTGGAGGAGGGCGTGGAGGTGGGAGAGGGACAGCCAAAAAGAATGCCAAGGATGACCAAGATGAGACTGGAGAGAAGGAAGCCAAGGATGATGACAAGCATGCCGAGATCCAGGACAAGGGCACTGAGACCAAACCAGCTGACGAAGAGAACACCTCACCGCCAAAGCCCAAAAAACGCAGGACCAGAAAGGTGCAGGAGCCCCAAGAGACTGAGCCAAAGGAGGGGAAAAAACCAAAAGTTGCTGACAAGCCATGCTGCAAGAGGCCTGCGGCCAGCAAGAGCAAGATCGAGGCACCCCAGCCGAAGAAAGCCAAGTCGAAGAACCCAGCAAAGGAGGAGAAGGAAGTGAAGGACAAGAAAGCCAGCACCGTTGACAAGGTGGAGGAAGAGATTTCCAAAGCCAAGGAGAAGTCGTCTGCCTCCAGGACTTGGGGCGGCCGTTGGATTCCCACTGATGCGCATGCTCTCCGGCGCTTGGGTGCTATCAAGGAGGTCTATGACAACTGTGTGTCGGAGAAGGTCAGATCCCCTTCGACCCTGCAGAGCCCATGGTGTACGCTATGCATTAAGGCATTCAGGACCAAGAACATGGAGCTTGAGACCACCACGCATGCGGAATATGTCGCAGCAGCAGCGCTTGAGGTGGAAGCCTTCTTCAAGCTTGAGGTCGTTCGTATCTTGGCTTACTGGTGTATAGTGTGGGTCCCCGTGGAATGACTAGTGACCTATAGTGGCGGCAAGTGGCGCTGTTGTTGTTCTGGGATGTTTTTTGAAATCATCTTCACCACAATGTTTAAAATCATCTTCACCACAATGTACTCCCCAAACAGGTTCTATGTTTATTTATGGGATGTTCCTAGTTCCTATTGTAGTTTGATGGATTGGCCGCTCATGTCAGGCAACAAGATCAAGCCCGAAGTTGGCAAGTGACCAGCGTGAGCACCAGTGAAGCCATCCAGACTTTAGACGTCTTAAGGGTAATATCTAGCACTGACATGTTTGCCAGCATGTCCATGTGGGAGCGCGTGTTGGGTAGCTTCTTGAGACCCAGTCTTTTGATGGCTCTTGATTTTGGAGCATTTGCCCCAAGCCCCTGGGATAGTATAACAATCCCCCAAAAAATGAATATCCCTTAAAAACAAATAATACCATATTCCAATAATTGGTTCTCATCATTTGCTTTCTGGGGTGCTTGGCAGTTTCAGCATAGCATTCGCCCCAATACAGGCGAACCAACGGAAGGCTGTGTGAACAGTCCTGGCTCAGGGTAGACGATGCCGAACTCAGACGCCCACCTGCGAAATTTTTTGTCTGGGTCCAGTGACTGCGTTCGAACTAAGTTGATAACAACAAAAAAGATCACAAATTTATCATCATAATCATAACTAAGAACCGTGGGACTTAGATTTAAAACATTCCAAGTCTACCAGTTTTTCACTCTATCATTTGATTGGATTGGTGATCTGTGCAGGATGCCAAAGAAGCTCCGACGTGGCCAGACCTTCCTCGCTAGGAGCGGGTTCTTTGAAGGCTGGGTGGCATGTTTTAACCTGCCTCCTATTTTCATCAACTCTTTTGTTGCTATGTGCAACCGTGGGATTGAATCAACACACCCTTCATTGCTGGCATTTCTCAGCATCCCTTTTTTTGGGAGCCCGCTATCCACTGGTCGTGCCTCCCATTTTTGCCAAGCCATGAAGTGGCATATTGACCGTGCAGTGCGGCGCATGGCTGCTATGGGAGTACCACGGGTGTCTGGACAAACATCCTATGAATTATGGAATGTCAGGTAAGGGATATATTATATGTTCACTGATTGTTGATCTTAAGTGGGTGAATTAGGACCCAACTTGCCTGAGGAATTCCTGGAACTCGTGGTCTTGATCACTTTCTTAGATGTCCCCACATGGAGTGAAGAGGCCAACAGCAACCTAGATCTCGTGGAGTTTTTTTCTGGGAAAGCCAGGGTAAGCCGGATGGCTTCTTGGTGTGGGTATCGGGTGAAAGCCTACGATGTTGAGTATCACCCAATAAGGGCCCCAGGAGAATTCAAACGTGGCAAGCTCAACAGAAGCGCAATGGACTTGAATGGCTGTGCAGGATTTGCGTTTCTTAGATGAGCAATGCCTACTTGTCATTAAGTTTTCCAACATTGACCATTTTTTCCAAAATGTACTGTGGGAGTTTATCTTACATCATCATCTTGAAATCTTGACTATGTTCTTCACCAACTTCATCCCTGCTGATTTACACATCCCTTTTGTGGTTTATAGATGTTTATGGGTTCCTCAAACCAAAAGGTTAAGGTTTTTGCAATCCAACCGTATCTGCTGAGGCTAGCGCTGGCATTGTGCCTGAGTGGCCGGGTTGCCGAAGCTTGTTTTGTGGTTGCGGTAGTATGTTCTACCTGGTCATCGGTAAACTTGGCAACAAGTAAGAGGGATCTACTTTGCCCATACGGTGACCAGCGGATCCCATCTGTAAGATCAGGCAACCGAATGGTAGCCAGGCTCGGTGGGTTCTACCTAAATTTGAATTATTTTCTTTATGGTTTTTACATCTTCAAAAGGTATTGGGAAAATAACATACAAAATCCCAACGTACTATGATTTGTTTGGCGACCCCTGCAGGGTGGCACTCATGATTCTTCTTCTTTCCACGTTGGACCAAACATGGATGATAGAGAACCCGGGGAGTTCTTGCCTCTTGTTGCATCCGTGGCTGCGATGGGCATTGGGCCTCATCAAACAGCACTGCAGCAGAGACGCTCCCATCAAACATTAAACCTTTTTGTGGTGTTGTTTCGGATGTCATTCTCCAGTCTAGATCAATTATCAATTTGGCCCACTTACTACTGAATTTTGGCCTTATTTGGGTACATCCATCTTCAAACAGTATGGAATATCACAGAGGAATCATGCGGAACCGCTCACAAGACTCAGGTCTTCCACATCAAGTTCTGGATGCGGCACTGGGAGTCGCCATCCATGAAACCTACTATGATCGTGTCGAACCAGAAAGCTTTTGGGAAGTTTAATTTGGGGCCTGTGAAGCGCTCTAAGAAGCGCAAAGCAAAACAGACCACAAAACGGTATACAGATGGTTCTGGTAAACGACGATTCACGGGCACCAAAGCCCTCAAGACCTCTCAGATTCTTGGTTTCAATGCGTAGTCAGATTTGTAAACAGATCTGGGAACAAGTAAAACCATACGACTTATATCCTTCTCATTGGTTGTGATCTTCTAAAAGGGCCTTTGTTCACATAAAACATCATAAAACCCCAAACATCCCTCAAAATATTTTGAAAAATATGTGCTTCCAATTACTTTACTTCGTGTGATCCCCACCATGACATTTATACATTTTCTTATTAGCAAATCTTCTGGCATTCTATCTGACATATCTTCTGGCATTCTATCTGGCAAATCTTCTGGCATTCTATCTGGCATATCTCATGGCATTTTATCTGGCACATCTTCTGGCATTCTATCTGGCATTCTATCTGGCATATCTCATGGCATTTTATCTGGCACATCTTCTGGCATTCTATCTGGCATATCTTCTGGCATTCTATCTGGCATACCTTCTGGCATTCTATCTGGCATATCTCATGGCATTTTATCTGGCATATCTTCTGGCATTCTATCTGACATTCTATCTGGCATATCTTCTGGCATTCTATCTGGCTGTAGAGGTCCATCGGTGCACACTGAGCTGGGCAGGTCCCCGGTTGAGGTCCAGCGGTGCACACTGAGCTGGTCAGCTCGCAGGTTGAGGTCCAGCGGTGCACACTGAGCTGGGCAGTTGGCGAAGAGCTTGGCGACGAGTTGGCAAGGTTGGCAAGGCGGAAGTGGAGGTGGAGCAAGGCGGAAGTGGAGGTGGAAGAGGCGGAGGCGAGGAGGACAGCGAGAGGACAGCTAGTCGCGGAGGAGGAGGAGGAGGAAGCAGGCATGCGCTCTGATAAAATCTAACAACCCTCACCTGGCAGGTGGGGAACAAAAGATGTTCTTCCTTATTCTTCATTATGAACATTGTTTCTGGTTTTGTGTTCCATCGCCGACCCAGGGAATACACGGCAAAATTTGCTGCCAAATTTGTTCGATTGATGCCGAAGATGAAGGAGAACCCACCATCCATGGTCATGGAAGCCCCTTGCATCAATTGTTGGATTTGGTAATGCTTTAGTTCTACTCAAAATTACTCAAGCAACCACCAAAAAGGGTACAAATATATCAAATTTCTAGCTTCCCTGGCCACCAGCTGCTCAGGTTGATACCTCCACGCCGTTGCCAATGGTGATCCATGCTCTTCCTCACAGCGACTGTGAGGAGCCAGCGCTCAGTGAGGTGAGGAGATATGTGATGAAATCCCAATACCTCACCATTCCAGAGGAATGGCGGGGCTGCTTCCTATGAATGAATTCCCATACAATTTCAAATTCAATTTCCATGGGATGACCCATAAAATAATTCCAACAATCGGGGCAGGGCCATGTAAAGGACGGTCCATGTGTTTTGCGACACCAAGGACTTTGGGACTTCTGTTGGAACCCTTAGGTGTGAATATATCCTATGATATTGGCAAGCCAGTGTTGTAAAACATTTTTACCATTCATGTGGGTCAATTTGATATTTTTAACCATGTTATGCAAATCATTGGACACATAGTGGATTTTAGCGGTTTCTGAAAAAGCGTTTTTTACCGTTGAAAAAGCGTTTTTTTCCCGTTGAAAAAGCGTTTTTTTTAGATTTTTTGATGATATTTACTGGTTTCCAACTAGTCCTGTGGGGCCTGCCTTAAATTGAAATGGTGTCAAACCCTCGGATGAAGATTGCACAAATTCAGAAACTTCGTTTTGGCGACGTGATTGGAAAAAAAGGCTGGTTATAGTTGTTCGAAATCCTGAAGCCCTAGGAACTTCAATTTGCAAAGCTTGATGATGCTTGCTGGTCGCTTTTGCACATGACAAGTGATCAGTCGGTCTTCCAGTGGGGTAATCTTTTCCAGGGTTCAAGTCTTTCTAGCTTCCTGTCATGGAGACGAAGCCCAGCCTCAGCGGTTCGATATGGTCTTCTGAGACCTTGTGTTATGGCATGGATGCTATTACATATCAGCAGTCAACCCTCTTAGTCAAGACCGAAGACGATGAATCCATGATGAAGGAATACCAAGAATCTTGTAGATGTTTAGACTACTGTAACTGTTTCATATAGCACCCCACTGAATCTTTTCTAACATGGGCCAATGTATTTTCCCAATCTCCTGCTGCCGCTTGCTGAGGAACTTGAGCGGGAGATGCAGGAGCTGGACGCTTCCAACCTTGGCGTGGACGCTGCTTCTGCTCCCATGGAGGGGCAGGACGATGGATGCCATGTTCCCACAAGCTGGTTTGATTCCGGAGATCATGACACCACCAAGAGTCCTAATGATGTTGATGTTCTATCCCATGATTCCATGACTACTGGTGTTGCTACAAACGGTGGCAGTGATGATGATCCCAGGGAAAGTCAGGTTCCTCCTGTTGAGCCCTCAACGACTGAGCAACCATTGGAACCAAATTCCCCGGTCAGTTACCGCATGGGTGGTTGTTGTGACGATGGCTATGGCGGCTATGGCACCCCATCTACCCCCGGTACCGACTTCGAAAATCTTGGAGATGATTGCCTAGAACTCTTTTTGGCTGTACACCTTGTGGGTTCGGCTGGAGTACCCTGACCTGTAGTTTACAAACCGGTATTCATTTTTTTGGCTTTCAGTCTTTCAGTATCTACAGCGGTTTATACCTTTTGAAGTTTTATGGAAAGATACTATTATGGTAACAGTTGTCCTGCTTCAAGATTGTTTGACAAAGCTAAGGCACAGCCTACGCCGGAGGCCCCAACCAAGAACACCAGCGATTTGGGCTGTTCACCAACAAGTCATGATGAGGAAACAATCCCGGGCAGCCCAGAATTCTTTCGTTCGAAGGATGCCAAGGTATCTTACCACAATTTTATTGGTGCAATGGTTGGTTTATTTTCATCTTTTATGAACATTTGATTTATCTTATACCAAATACTTATGCCAAATAGGATATATAATCTGGGTGGGTCAATCCGACTGGTGCCAAAAACATTGGCAAAGTTGAGGCTTCAACCTTTGAGCCAGTGCCCCGGCCAATGCCAACGCCCTGCCGGGTGACGGCGGATTGCAACAGCATCATCCCTGATCTTCAGGATGTCACCATTGAAAAACCCAATCCAGGTGCCATTCGAATTTCAGCCGCAGCCGTTGAGGGACGGCTGAGGCGGATCTTCACACCAAACGTCAGAGGAGATTACAAGGTAAGCCAGGAAATCTTGGAACAATGGCGTTCTAAGAAGGGTCGCAGGTCACTCGAGCAAGTGTTCCAAAGCGTTGGCTTCTCAACGGACTGGTTTTGGTGAAACATGTTTTTAAACAAGCACTCATCATGTGAACCCACTATACTTGTTTTTGATGGGATGACATCTGAGAATTTGGGATAGGAATGGTTGAAGCTATTAAATATTTTGTTTGAAATTACATGTTGATGATGTTGTTGTTGTTGTTGTCGTTGTTGTTGTTGTTGCTGTTATTGTTTTGAAATGAAACGGGTTTGGGAATCAACGGTCCAATGATTGGATTTCATAACCCTTGCAGGACGCATTCCTAGAGGAATGTGAGATGATTCGTTCCGACATCTTACAAAATGATTTGAAGGTCGAAGGGGAGTTTGTGACGGAGGAAGTACTGCGGGAAGAGTGGAAATGGTCAGAGACACTTATCCATAGATTAGTTAAATCCAAGCTGTGGTTCTTCTATTATCAGGTTTCCCTCTGTTATCCCTCTATTTTATCATTGGGGTTTTGGAGAACCCTTTCTAATAAACCCTGCGGGTTGTTCCTGCCTCCATGCTGATCTGCTCAGGACTCGCATCGCTGCTGTGAAGGCAGACTGCAAGAAGAGTCCCCGTACCCTCATGAGGCCGGCCCAGGTTGCTCAACCCAACCGTTTGAAACAATGAAGATTTGCAGTCTCTATTGAATTTACAGTGAACTAGTTTTGTGGATCACTTGGCCATGGGATGTGGAACCCTATATTTGTAAATCTGTTCTGGTATAATGCCTGTCCTGTTTGCCAAGGCTTCCATAACCTTCCTACTTCACCATTACTAAAAGATACTAAAAGAATAACTATCATGAGCAATACAAGTCAGCCTGATTTGATATAGTATCCTGTGGTCATGAGACAGGGACTCATGAAAACAAATCCTATGACCAATCGCCGCCAACCAATTTTTGGTTGCATAGGGGTGGCCACAATGTTGCAGGAAAGACAAGTACGAGCCTTCCAAGATCCTTTACTGGGCGGAAAGTGCCATCAAAACCGCCCGCAGGTACCCTGTTTGCAAAATTTTGGGATGCCCACGAGTGATGTTGAAATAAATTACTTTATTTTGTGTGATCCCCACCATGACATGTATACATTTTCTTACTGGCAAATCTTCTGGCATTCTATCTGACATATCTTCTGGCATTCTATCTGGCAAATCTTCTGGCATTCTATCTGGCATATCTCATGGCATTTTATCTGGCATATCTTGTGGCATTCTATCTGGCATATCTTCGGGCATTCTATCTGACATTTTATCTGGCATATCTTCTGGCATTCTATCTGGCATATCTTCTAGCATATGTTCTGGCATATCTTCTAGCATATCTTCTGGCATTCTATCTGGCAAATCTTCTGGCATTCTATCTGGCATATCTCATGGCATTTTATCTGGCACATCTTCTGGCATTCTATCTGGCATTCTATCTGGCATTCTATCTGGCATTGTATCTGGCATATCTCATGGCATTTTATCTGGCACATCTTCTGGCATTCTATCTTCTGGCATATCTTCTGGCATTCTATCTGGCATACCTTCTGGCATTCTATCTGGCATATCTCATGGCATTTTATCTGGCATATCTTCTGGCATTCTATCTCACATTCTATCTGGCGTATCTTCTGGCATTCTATCTGGCTGTTGAGGTCCAGCGGAGCACACTGAGCTGGGCAGGTCCCCGGTTGAGGTCCAGCGGTGCACACTGAGCTGGGCAGGTCCCCAGCGGTGCACACTGAGCTGGGCAGTTGGCGAAGAGCTTGGCGACGAGTTGGCAAGGTTGGCAAGGCGGAAGTGGAGGTGGAAGAGGCGGAGGCGAGGAGGACAGCGAGGAGGACAGCTATAGTCGCGGAGGAGGAGGAGGAGGAGGTGGGCATGCGCTCTGATAAAATCTAACAACCCTCACCTGGCAGGTGGGGAAAAATAACATACATACACCATTGGCCCCTTAGGCAGCGCAGTGAATTGCAGCTCAACCGCAAGATCCGCTGGGACCAATCCCCACCCGACATGGCCGAGTACAACCCAGACTGCCTGAAGAGCCACGCTCTTGGAACTTTTGCCGGGGGCATGCCTGTGCAGGAGCCGACTGCAAAGGAACATGTTCCACCTAAGAAGCGGCCCCATGGCGAGACCGAAGCTCCAGCTCCCAAGTCTGCTAGGGCTACAAAAGCTGAAGGCTAGGTTTGAAACCATACAGACTATACCACACCAAAACAAGTTATGATATTATACCAGCATCATGCAATTCAACATTTCTAAAGAACATTGAGCGTATAGAGACAGAATTTGTTCAACATAACTGAATGCAGGTGATGAGGATGAGTATAGCGATGGCTCTGAAGAGTCAGTCGACCCTGCTGAAGTCGAAGCTGCAGAAACGGCCGGCAAGCTTCGCAAACGGGCGGGTGTTCCAGAGCTGGAGTTGGATCAGCTAGCCAGCAGCATTACCCAGAAAGTATTGACCCTTATCTCAATTTCCATAAAATGTTGATGGCAAGCTTTACAGTACTTATACCCCCAAAGAGGGGCCCCCTAAATCACGCCTCGTCCAAGGAGCTGTTTGGTGAAGCGTTCCAAGATGCTGCAGCAGGGCCTCGACCGCTTTGACGCCTTAGATGAATCATCTTTGTCAGACTTGCAGAAGATGAGCCCCATCTACATTATTCATCACTTGTTTTATCAAACCAGTTTCAACACATGTGACAGAAAAATGCTTATATATAAAACAATGCAGCCAAATACATCAAACCTTGGGTCCCGATTTGGGGTCAATGTCAGGATGAGGAACAAGATCAAGTTGGTGCTGAACGAACTGACCGATCTCACCAATCGGATGGAGGAAAAGTTCAACTCAGGTATTGTCGATGGATTCACTGCCCAGTCAGTTGTCTCAGCAATGTAAGGGTCACCTCAAAAATCAAGAAAGCTATTCAAACATCACCCAATGGAATCCTTTTACAGTTTCTTACCACTGTTTTCCTAAGGTCTGAAGATGAACTGACGAAATTGTATCAAGAAGCCCGAGCCAAGCTTTGACCTTGACAGACTTAAGCTGACATGATATCAAAACAGTAGCAGTACAAACATGTACAGACTATGAACCAGCACATGATCCCATCATTTGTTTTTTTGCGCCTAGGGCAGTGGAAGCCATGGGATTGGAAAGCCGCATGAGGCCATCCCTTAAAACTCAAACCCAATTTTTGTCCTTGGATTTACCCGGTACCCATGTATCCTCTCCAAACTGACGTGACAGGCCAGTGCTTCCAAAGGCTGAGGCAAAGTCCAAAGCCAAGCCTCGTCGGCGAGCTAAGAAAGGTGAAGCTCATGCCAAAGCAAAGGCCAAAGCGAAAGCCAAGAACTAGACATGCAGTGCGGGGTTCAAAATTTGAATGTAAGTTTGCATACTTGTGATACAAATAGCACTGTTCTCACTGTTCTTTGAGTTCTTTAGTGTTTGTCTGTTTCCAAACTGGTGGGCCCGCACATGTTGGAGTAGAAAATTTGGCAGTTGGGACCGTCCAAATCCTATGTATTCCCAATGAGTGTAACATGAAATACTGTGTAATGTTTTGGTTCGGTTTCAAAATGGGCAGGGATGCTAGGATTTGCGTTTTGTGAGGCTCTCTGTTTTCCTTTAAACAGGTGCCCATTTTCTGCGATCTAATTGTGCAAACATTAATCATTGCAGCGTCCATGGTTCAGAATGAACCGCTGGAGTTCAAGGGGAACCTTGTGAGAACACAGGGCTTTGACATCTGCGATGCGTTCAAGCATAAAAACCGGCCACCGCCACTGTGGTCAATTTGAATTCAACTGTGAGAAGAGTCTGACAGAAACAATCCAGCATCAACCATCGCACTGGATAGTTTTAGAGAATGAATCGCCAACATTTGCCAGGAACCAAAGATGAACCTGAACCTGACGTTACCTCTCTAGCTGATGCTGTTGCAGATGGAGTTTCTTGACCAAAACCACCTCATAACTGATCTTCAACTGAGGAATGTATGGTTTTCTATCTTTTGTGGACCCCAATTCTTTCCATTTTTCACATGCCCAGCCCGAGCTCTGGCCTTGCCGAGGTCCCAGCAGCCACTGCTCAACGCATGCGCCTGGGCGAAGTGGCTGCAGCAAAACAGGCAAAGAACGCTTCTAGGCAAACATGGTCTATGTTCAACCGGCAAAAAGTTGGTTGGCCAGTGAAGCTGCGCAAACTGAATTATGACCCTGGAAATGGAACTGACCTGCCTATGACCTACATTGCCCCATCAGATTTAGTGACATATTTGATGGCGGACCATCCTGAAGTATTATGTGGTGGGTTTACTTCAATTGATGACCGTGGACTTCATCTACAGTCTTTCTGGGAGGGATTTAGACTAGCCCATGGAGACCACGAAGTATTCAAAGAACATGGTGACAACCTGGGCCGAGTCATACCGTTGGTGTGGCACGGCGACGAAGGAAGGGGCAAAAGACGAGGAAACACAGCAGTTGTTAGTTGTGGTACTCCCTTGTCAATTTTCACTGCTGTGAATGCAAAGAAGCGTCGCCTTGATGATTGCGCTTGCAATCCCCCAGCGCAAAGTTTGAGAAAGTATCCCGCTGTCAACCGGAGGTTGTCTGGTAAACACTTGGCAGCTTTGAGATTGCAAGCTACAACTATGAAAGGCCATTCTTTTCTGCACCGGTTCCCACTCTTCATCATTCCAAGTGCTGTGCACCATGAATACCCAGGAGCGCTTGAAGAGTTACTCAAGATTATAGCTCTGGACTTGCGGCGTTTGTTTTTCGAAGGCTTTGATGCTGGCGGTTGCCACTATGCGGTTGCTGTGCTTGGGGCTTTGGGTGACCTCAAGTGGTTCAAAAAGATTGCTTTAGAGAGATCCTGGGAAAACAAAGGAACAGTACGCAACATTGCCTGCTGTCATGAGTGTGGGGCTGGAGTGGACAATGTCCCTATGGAGGACATGAGTGAAACACCAGTTTGGGCGCCTACAAGGTACCATTCAAGGCCATGGACGAACCCTCCTGTGATGTTGCCAGTTCCAATCTGCAATGCCATTCCTGAAAAACAGTACAAGCGAGACCCATTTCATTTCTGCAAAGTCGGAATCTACAGGGATTTAGCAGCTTCGTGCTTACTTTGGCTTGTATCCAAGAACTACTTCAGGGGCCAAGGTGATATCAACGACAAGTTGGCAACCGCACATGCGCAATTTCGGCAGCATTGCCGGACGACGGGCAAGAGCCCAGCTTTGCGCACATTCACACGTGCGCTGATGATGTTTCCTAGGCTCGATGCCTACCCATGGGCGAACACCACAGGATCGGACACCATGTTATTGTTGTCGTGGCTTCATGCTTTGTGCAATGGTTTTGTGAACGCGCCCATGGATGCATCCCATGTGCCAATGCTGAAACTTATGACAAAAACATGCGAGGCAGCCAAGGCAGTTTTTGCAATCCTGAACCAACACAGGTTATGGATGGAGCCTGGCTGTGGCATGATGCAGCATGCCGCAATGCAACGGTTTGCCACTGGATACATGATGATGGCAAGCCGTTCTCTCAATGACTCATTCAACGGATGGGCAGTGAAACCGAAGCTTCACCTTTTCAAGCATGAGGTGCTTGACTTACATGAGACTTTGAGCCGAGGAGATGAACTGATCCTAAATTGGAACACGTACAACTGTGAACAATGGGAGGACCTTGTGGGGAGAACATGTCGGCTGTCCCGACGGCTAGACTCAAGGAGGATTGGGGAGCGTGTGCTTGGATGCTATCTACTTAAAGCTGCTATCCTCCACCGCGGGTTTCGTCGCATCAACAGGATCTGAGTTCCCGGCTAGAAAAAGCTTGCCACAGCAATGGCAGGGATGGGTGCAGGAAGAGTGGTTCCTACATACCACCTTGTTTGCATTCTGGCTCTTATCTGAAGCAATTGGTTGTGCAATTTTAACATTAATTAACTTGGAACATCCTGGAACCAATCAGTTGTGCTAATTATGCTGAAACATCCTGGCAACTTGGCTGTGATCTCTTTCTATCTACTTTTATGGAGTTGTGCCGCAATGTGCTACAGGAAGCAGGCTGCAAAGACCTTGGGGGAAACGAATAATCCCATGAAGATATTTCATGATCTTTCAAGATATTCCTTGAACATAGGTAAACATCATCGAGCGCTTTTTTCATGATCGAGCGGTTTTCCCATGATAGAGCGATAATTTCTTTGATTTCAACTTCGAGCGATAATTTTGCATACCCAGAGGTTGTAGGTATACTTGCTAATCCTTGCGCAGTTCATCCTGCATTCGGTTTCCATCAGTCTCCAACATAGAAACTTTGCAATCGAATATGGAAAACAGAAAATCTACATTTCCATTGCCTGGATTAACTGGATTGTTTGATTACCAAGGGGAAATCCATGATCTGGTAAGACACCGAAAGCTTCTGAACTTTTCCCCGTGGCCATTCCGCAGTCATCCTGCCAAGCTGAAAGTGACAATAAAATCATGGTGCCAACACATCATCCCCTGCCCTGGGGATCCCATGACCGTGCAAATGAAACATCATGAAACTCAAGCTCAAAAGCTTCAAAAGCCTCAAAAGTTCCCAACTTCAAAGAAAGTCGTCTCAAAGTGTCCTGGAATTCCATGAGAAAATGAGAGGTTTCACAGACCACGCAAGGGGCGGCAGCATCGCCAGCGGATTTGGGACTTGAGGCTCTGCTTCGGCACCTGACATTTCCGGGCAACACAATGCTGGCAGCCCAAATTTGTTCCTAAAAATCCTAAAATCGAAAATGTCAACCCCGGAACTCCTAGCAAAACAGGGTTAACGAGAAACATCAATTCAAGTCAATGCGACTCGTTTGGAACCTGAATTCAATCACCTGGCTCCACTAGAGAAACGACTTTGGGTGAAATTCCTCCTCAGAAATGCGCACCGTGAACACCGTGAACTTGACCCACCCAAAAGAAGCAAAAATGTCTGGTGTCACTTTTGTATCCAATGTTTAAATCCCTTCACCCTTCCCCTAAACTTACTAAGTACCCCACCTTAGAAACATTGAATTATCATGAATTATCTTGGATTACTGATAAAATACGTGATGGATCGTGATGGATCTGTTCGTTTCAGAAGATTTCAGAATCTAATTATAGGACCACTAAGACCACCTCGCAGCTGGCGGAGCTTCGCGCGGTAACAGCAGATGCCCAGGGAGGCACAAAGGCACGCCGTCAGCAATGGCAGCACCACCACAGCCACCAGCCTTGAAGAAGGCAACTTAGAACGACAAATTCATCACAGTTCAGGAGAGCTTCATGAGGTCTACGACCAGTATATCACGGTATGTCCGCAGGTTATGCAAAGACAGGACTCTGTAGACTACACAAACCATGGCTCTTTTCATCTGGACGTGCCCGGTTTTCGTCCAAAAAGTACAGGAACTCTTTCGGGAAAAACCCCTGCCCTTCCACATGCAAGTGGCAATCCAGTCGAATCATCTTCACTTGACAATCCAAACGAATCATGTTCGCTTGATGTGCTGGCGGTGTTTGCGCCCAAATCGATCGATTGGGCATTCCAGTTCTCGACGTCGACTGGGGCAGTCGTGGTTGATGTTTGCTGTTCCTCATTCAAGTGACCAAAACAGCTGATTTGAACATGGCAAGGATAATGAAGCGAAGTACCAGCAATAGAGGTTTCAGTGCCATACCTGCTACCGTTAAACTTAAGGAAAACAAGCAGGGCCCCAATTTACATCTTACAGAAACAAACCACCCACCACTCTTCAGAAACCTGTTTATGCACTCTAGACCTTCCAATAGTTGATTTGATGGTACCAGTTCAGTACAGGTGTATTAACCTGTCAGAAATCACAAGGGGACACCCTCTGGCAATCTGAGATGTCATCGGAAAACCCCATGTATATCTGTGAACCCATGTCTCGATGCTCTTGCCGTTTGATAAACAAATGGAATTTCCCAGTCAGTCATGCTGAATGATTATAAATAGTTGCAGCTACATGCATCGTGCCAAGCAGCGACCTCCTGTGACCTCAGCTTGGGCAGTTGCTAAGGCTGTTCTGTGGAGAACATCTTACGATATCTTTCAGGACCCTCAAACAAAAATGACTGGAGACTGTGACATGTCGACTGCCAGTTCGAAAAAAAAAACATCATGCGGGTGGCAAATGCTAAAAAAAGTGTCAAGATCTTTGCTTGTAAGCATCATGCCAACGATACCTCTCGGCATCCATGTGCTTTTGAAACTAAGCCGAGGAACACTGGCAATGCCGATAGAGCCGGTCGAGCTTCTTCTGCGCTTGCGCTGGCTGATGCGGTCGTCACTGATGCTGTGCTGGTTGATGATTTCGTTGTGGATCTTGGTCTGCTGATACTGGTTGACGGCTTCGTCGTTGACGTTGTCCAGCTGGAAGTTGGGGTACTGGCCTTAGCAAAGTGGAAGGCATTCCGGCCAACGTGGCCAACGATCTTTCCACTGGTTTAGGACCTGCTTTCATCTGCTTTCCTCCCATGGAGATGTCTATGAATCCAATCTTTGCATGTGGTGCTCATGCATTTTACTGTGGGCACAATGTATGATCTCACCCCCCCTTTGTTTTGGTAGAGTAACGATGGGTCACATGGGGTATGCGTATATAATTGTGGCTGTGAGGGATCCGGATGAATCTTTCGCATGTCTTCAAAATAAAGAGAGAAAATGGCAACATGGTATGGGGGATGGACTTCACTCCTAAGATCTCCCAAACATCCTCCAAACCAGACAGAATCTGGCATTTTTTCCACTTTGAACTGTTCATGACAACACCTGAAGAAGCTGACCCGATGGTTCCAACTTCGGTGCTCCGATGTGCTCCGACTACCCGCCTCTCAACCTTCAACCCAGTCACTTGAAACTTCATCAGAAAGATGTCCGTTCCGCCAGCGTGGCTGTGCCCATCCAGGGAGTTTGTTGTCTCGCCAGCTATCCAAGCATCAGTGCCCGTGGGATCGACCTGCGTGAAGTGGTCAGCTGGGCATTGCTGTGCTGCGCAGATGCGGATGGAAACCGAAGGAAACATGATAAGAACCCCCCCCAACCAGGAAAGAGTATGAAAGAGTGACATGGCCCCATAAATCATACCAAATCCACAACTGCGTGCCCCACTGTAACAGGACGAAAGTGGGAAATGAAATCAAACCAATTATTATATAACTCATACTCATACTATCGAACAAACCAGTCCCAATTTTCAAGTCCTTGTAGGCATTGTAGGCTGACAACGCTGATCTGGCTGAAACTTCCACATCTTATTTAAGTACAAATAGCTGTGCATTAAATACTTGCTATGCTTAGATACCCTGCCAACCTGCATTTCTTGCTTCATTCCGGCCATGAACTCTCAATTTTCTCACCAATCTCATCATGTACATCAAGTAAACATATGTAACCAATGTAAAAGACCAAATATGACCATATGCTCAAATGTTCAAAAAGTTGAACATGTGTTTCACAAAAACATGTACAGCGTACAAGCACCAGCACGATCCTACCAGAGTGATGGTGACAGATTCTCAAGCACCCGTGGGTTTGATTTTTTTTTGGGTTTCAGGCAGGTAGTCTTCAGGATTCTTCAGGATTTTCACGAGCTCCAAACATTCAAACATGATCCCATTCTGTCGATTCCAGTTTAGTCCAAGGACATCAATCAAACTTCCACCACATACATCTGAATACCGGATTTTGACCGGGATTTTGACCTTGTAAAGGCATCCAACAGGTTGAGCAACTAAATTTAAATGGTGATGACGAACATGGACACCGTAAAGAGTTCTGATGTTTCCTCCATGGAAAAGATTCGAAAACGAAATTGCACCCCGTCTAACTGCCTGAAGGGCGTGAGCATAGTCATCGCCCTCACCACCGCGTTGGTCAGTCCATTGGTGAACGCCTTCGCCATCAAATTTCATCAGTAAGATGTCTCTTCCGCCAGCGCTGTGTCCATCAAGGGAGCTTCCCGTGTAGCCAGCCACCCAGGCATGGCCGTTCACATCCACCTGCGCAAACTGGTCCGCTGGGCTGTGTGGTGCCACCAAATGCGTATGGAAATTTGATAGAAACACACAGGGAGAAACCCACTTGAGGCCAAGGTAATGGACGACGAAAGCTAGCTATGGGCGGCAACGAGAGAAGACAATGCAAATGGAACAGCAGTGAATGGAATCCTGCTAGTTTCAGATGGGTATCTGCTCCTTCAGGTTGTTACGCAGCCATTTATTGCATGAAAAGATGCAACAAAAAACTTGTTGGCATGCGAGTTGAAATAAGTAGACAAAACCGGGCACCATGATCTATACAAATGTGTACTTTTGGAATGGGCGCATCTCACAAATCATACAGGGGGAGCTGCACCTGAACATGCGATGCTTCGAACCATCGTGAAACTCAGCTGATTTTCATGATTAGATTTTATTTGTCACTAAATTTCAAACCTGCTTGTCTTCTGTATCAATGAAAGGCGTTGGTGCGGACGGGGCAACACATATTAGATGACGCCAAACATACCTCTACTCCAGAACTGACAGAATAAGTGTATGGGTACAACTGTCTTTTGCCTGTTACTGATTCAAATTCACTTGAAACCAGGTCATCAAAATATGTTTCAATAAGCTTGTGTTTCACTGCAAAAATTCTCATGGCACAATGCCATACACTGCCCCAGCATGTCCTAGCAGTGTTTGCCAATGGTTGCCAATGTTTCTGCTACAATCCAACCGTTGCAAGGCTGTTGTTGTTTTTGCTGCTGTTGCTGCTTAATCGGGTCTGGAAAAACCTGGTGCGGAATCGAATGCATGTGAAAGCCTCAGGTCATTTGCGGTTCCAGTCCGGCATCTAAAAGCATTGCTGAAGCAGATTAACTGCAGCTAGCGGAAGCTAGCTTTCGTTGATCAGCGGGGCCCCCACGGGAAAATCAAACATAAAACAAACATAACCAAACCATACCAAATGGTTAACTGCGTAACCCAAAGTATCAGGACGAAAGGAAGAAATCAAGCCAACTCAGATTAACTCAGACATGGCGCTCACAAATTTCAATTGGCTGACAACCCTGCTCTAGGTGAAACTTGCACAGCTTAAGTGCTCGTTCTGGGCCTGGGTTCTGTAGCCATCCTGTGCTCATATGCAATGTTTGCTTCAGTCTGGAAATTGACTCAATGATTCCAATCCGGTCCCACCAATAAACCACGTAAAACACGTGCAAAAGACCAGATAACTACACAAAACAAGTTATGCCCAAAACACCCACGCACACTCTGTACATCTATGTACCAACCGGATCCAACCTGAGGCAAGGTGAGAGGATCTTAAAAATGAGTGCGACTGTATTTGTTTTCAAGGTTTCGCCGTGAAGGACGCTGTCAGAAGAGTCAGCAGATGTACAGGGTTTTTTTGACAATGTCATAATTCCAATCAATAGCTCCTCTATAATATATCTATATATAGTACAAGTATAATTATAAGTGTAATAAATATATTATATATATGTTACAATATCATGAAATAATATATATTATACTTTATATTTATATTATATTATTTTGAATGGAAACACACAACATTCGGCGCACTTCGATTACTCCGTCGTGTCTACCAAGCCTGGCCCACATGATGCTGCTGCTGGTGCTCCCCCCACTGCTGCTCCTACTGCTACGATTGCTACTCTTATGCCGCTGCTACTGCTTCTGGTAGTGTTGTGGTATGTAGCGGTGGGGTATACTGTTGGTGTGGTGTTAGTATTGCTGTTGTGGTGGTGGTGGTATGTTGCGGTAGTGGTGCTGTGGTGGTACTGCCGGGATGATGATGATGATTGATGGTCTGTAACTCGGAAGTCTTTCTATGCAGCTTTCTTTGCAAACAATATGCAAACGACCAAATGAAAAGAGCTCAACTTCAGCACGCAATAATCAAGTGTAAAGAATATGCACCAACGTGTATACCAACCAAACCCAGCCCGTGCGAACAGATCTAACAGTGCAAGATACTCACAAGGGCATGGAATTTGAGCATTTCAAACTATTCAATTTTTTTGGCGCATGAATGTTGTTCAGTCTCGAGACAATCCATCTTGACAAGAAGGTCAACAGCACTTTCATAAGCTCAAGACAACATGCCCCCAATCTGTCGATTTAATCGCGTACTCTGTCGACTTAGCCTGGTTTATTGCGAATCTGGTCCAAAGATGTCAAAAGGCATCGGTTAAACTTCCAACAAATACGAGATATCGACATATATCGACCTTGTAAGTGCGCCCAACAGATTGATTCATTGAAATTGTGATGATACTCTACATGACTGGGAACATGGACCTCGCAAGAGGATCTAAAGTTTTTCCATCTTTTACCTCCATGGAGCAGATTCGAAAACGAAGTCGCACCCCGTCCGCCTTCAGAGCCTTAGCCTCATCCCAGCTCCCACCACCACGCTGGCGCGTCCACAGGTGGACACCCTGGGCATCGAATTTCATCAGGAAGATGTCCGAGCTGCCCGCATTGGTGTGCCCATCCAGGGAGTTTTCCGTGGAGCCTGCCACCCAGGCATTGCCAACATCGTCCACCTGCGCAAAGATAGACAGTTGAGCTTTGCAGTGCTCCACAGATGCACATGGAAATTCAATCAAAAACTGAGGGAGAAGCCCATAAGACAGGGAAAAAATGAAGTGAAGATCAATGATAACGCCAAACCATTGCAAATGCAAAAAACTATGAAAAACATTGAAAAACTATGAAAAACTGCATGCCTCATTGTGTCAGGATGAAACCAAGAAACCAAGAAATCTCAAATCAACTCCCATATATCAACACATACAAAGTGGTCTCAAATGTCCGATCTTTTCTCAGATGACAACGTTGCTCTAGCAGAAACTGATACATCGTAAAGTCGTAAAGTACAGCATCGAGTGCTTTTATGAGTTCCAAACATTCCAGACATGATCCCACCCTGTCGCTTTAGTCCCAGATTGGTCTAGAGTCTAAAGTCTAAAGCAATCGCTCAAACTTCCACGAGATACTTCGCGAGATGCGGGATATATGAGATATCGTGATATCAGACCTTGTAAGGGCACCCAAAAGATTGGTCCATTTGAATGTGATGCCATTCCACCTGACTCAGAACATGGACCTCGCAAGAGGATCTAAAGTTTTTCCATGTTTTTCCTCCATGGAAAAGATTCGAAAACGAAGTCGCACCCCGTCCGCCTGAAGAGCGTTAGCCTCGTCACGGCCCTTACCACCACGCTGGCGCGTCCACAGGTGGACACCCTGGGCATCGAATTTCATCAGAAAGATGTCCGAGCTGCCCGCGTTGGCATTGCCATCCAGGGAGCTTACCGTGTAGCCTGCCACCCAGGCATTGCCAACATCGTCCACCTGCGCCAACTGGTCAGCATCACACCACATAGTCAACTGATGTCAACTGCATGTCCCACTGTATCAGGACATGACCGAGAAATCCAGTGAATTCGAATGAAAACAACTCAACGCAGTCTGTCAGATAAAGTGGTCTCTAATTTCATATCTTTGTAGGCTGGCAATGCTGTTTTAGCTTGAACTTGCACATCTTACAGCTTAAGGTACCAAGAGTTTTGATGAGATTTGCATAAGGTGGTTCTGTCCGTGTCCTGAGCTCACTTGCGAGGTTAAGTTTCAGTCGGAAAACTGTCTGTCAACAGTTCTCATCAAATCTCATCAATCATCAGTCAGTAAGCCAGTATATAATGATATATCATGTAACTCAAATAAATATGGGTAAACAATGGGAAACATGTGAATGAATCAAATATTCATCTTTTAGTGCAAAACACGCATGTGTAGGTATGATATGTCATATACTAGACTTTGAATAATCTGTAAAATATCAGATAATATCTTGTAGATATATACTGGACCATGTACCAGGCGCATCCAACCTGTGTGAAGGTGAGAGACTTACTAAGGAAAGTGCATCGATCGAATTCATTTGTTTCCAATTCTCGAAGCAAAAAGTACTGTATCACCTTTTTTGAAGGCACAACAATTAATATTCATCCATTTCAATGGTGATGCCATTCCGCCTGACTCAGAACATAGACCTCGCAGGAGGATCTAGTTTTTCCATGTTTTTCCTCCATGGAAAAGATTCGAAACCGAAGTCGCACCCCGTCCGCCTGCAGAGCGTGAGCAGAGTCATCGCCACCACCACCGCGCTGGCGCGTCCACAGGTGGACACCCTGGGCATCGAATTTCATCAGGAAGATGTCATACGGGCCCGCATTGGTGTGCCCATCCAGGGAGCCATACGTGTCGCCAGCCACCCAGGCATTGCCAACATCGTCCACCTGCGCAACGATAGACAGTTGAGCTTTGCAGTGCTCCACAGATGCACATGGAACTTGAGAGAAATCCGAGAAACCCGTACAGATCGAATATGACACTAAATCAACAACTGCGTGTGCTACTTATAAGGACGTGACCCAGGAATCCCGTGAACTCAAATAATAACAGCTCACTTGAGTTTCCACAAAGTGGTCTCAAAATGGTCTCATAAGTTCTTTTGTAGGCTGACGCTGCTCCAGACGAGACTTGCCCATCTTGAGGTACAAATTGTTTAGTTTTGCATGTATCAGAGATTATCAGAGTATCCTTTAAAGATTTGTAAACGGCAAATACTCAAGACATTTCGGTTTGAAACGCGCACGTCACTGTGTACAGTCTATATACATCTATATACCATGTAAGAAACGAACCCACCGGTGTGAAATTAATTAAGAAATTCTGAGGACATGGGCTTGATACTGGTACGTTTGCTTGTAGGCGAATAAACGTTGGGTCCCAAGTCACTCTCGAGACCATCAATCTTTGCCAGGAAAGGTCGATAGGATTTTCATGAGTTCCACACAGTCCAAACATGATCCCACTCTGTCGATTTAGTCCCGGATTAGTCCAAAGTCTAAAGCAATCGCTCAAACTTCCACGAGATACTTCGCGAGATGCGGGATATATGAGATATCGTGATATCAGACCTTGTAAGGGCACCCACCAGATTGGTCCGTTTGAATGTGATGCCATTCCACCTGACTCAGAACATGGAAGAGGATATAAAGTTTTTCCATGTTTTTCCTCCATGGAAAAGATTCGAAAACGAAGTCGCACCCCGTCCGCCTGAAGGGCGTGAGCATAGTCACTGCTCTCACCACCGCGCTGGCGCGTCCACAGGTGGACACCCTGGGCATCGAATTTCATCAGGAAGATGTCATCCGAGCCCGCGTTGGTGTGCCCATCCAGGGAGCTTTCCGTGTAGCCTGCCACCCAGGCATTGCCAGCGTTGTCCACCTGCGCAAAGATAGACAGTTGAGCTTTGCAGTGCTCCACAGATGCACATGGAAATTCAAATAAAAAGTGAGGGAGAAGCCCAGCAGACAGGGAAAAAATGAAGTGAAGATCAATGATAACGCTAAATCATTGCAAATGCAAAAACTATGAAAAACATTGAACACCTCCATGCCCCACTGTGTCAGGATGAAACCCATTTAAACCAAGAAATCTCAAATCAATTCCAATATATCAACACATACAAAGACTCAAGTGTCTGATTTTTCCTGGCATGACAACGCTCTAGCAGAAACTTGCACATCGTAAAGTACTCATCATCTAGTGCTTTTGTGAGTTCCAAGTTCCAAGCATGCAAGGCATGATCCCACTCCGTCGATTTAGTCAAAATTCATCGCTCAGACTTCCATGAGACACTTCACGAGATACGAGATATCAAACCCTTGTAAAAGCACACAAGAGATTGATCCATTTCAATGGTGATGCCACTCCCCATGACTCGGAACATCGACCCCCTAAAGAGTTCTGAAGTCTTTGCTCCGTGGAAAATGTCACAAGATATCGCAAGAAAAACAACGTCGCACCCCGTCCGCCTGAAGGGCGTGAGCATAGTCACTGCTCTCACCACCGCGCTGGCGCGTCCACAGGTGGACACCCTGGGCATCGAATTTCATCAGGAAGATGTCATCCGAGCCCGCGTTGGTGTGCCCATCCAGTGAGCTCAACGTGTAGCCTGCCACCCAGGCATTGCCAGCGTCGTCCACCTGCGCAAAGATAGACAGTTGAGCTTTGCAGTGCGCCGCAAATGCGCATGGAAACTGAAAGAAATCCAAGAAACCGACCGGATAATTAGGCGAAAGATGGACAAAAAAAGTGAAACCAAGATTGCAAAATGGCACCAAATTGACAACTGCATGCCCCACGGTATCAGGACGAGACCACTTATACAGTTTCAACTCTGAGAAGGGCGGTCTGCTCATCTGCTATGTTTGTTTCAGTCCGGACATGGATTCTCAATAGGTCTCAGTCTCATCAGACCTAATGATATCGTGCAACCATCCAATGACTAATGATCAACATTTTGAACCTTCGTATAACCTAAAACATGCATCTACACATGTGCCGAACAGAACCAACCAGCGCAGGTCAGAAGTTCTCGAGAGGGCGTAGCTTGGAACTGTTCGAAAGTGGCTCTGCCGACAATGTCTCAACTTGCAAGCCATTGCGGTTTCCATGATCTCAAGACATGATTGACATGATGGCAATCTATCGGCTTAGTCAAACTTTACAGCTCAGAAGACAAATGAGTTCCAAACTGCCCTGTCAATCCAAATGACTCAAGGTTTTGTTCCACGTTTCCCTCCACCTGAAGGGAATTAGCCTGCTCATCTCCCTCACCACCGCGCTGGTGTGTCCACTGGTGGACGACTTGCGCTGCTGTTGCCCAAATCAGCAGGCATAGCCAAAGAGATTGCCATGGCTTGACGTGATGCATGTGAAAACTATATTATATATATGATTATATATGCAGGCAATTCGGCACCATTCTTGATGCACTTGAGGATAATTTTTTAATGATCTTTTAAACTCATCACTTGAAGTATTCTTACGAATCTGACATAATCTGACTGTGAAATATCGAGACTTGAAAGAAAAGAACTGTCGATTATGATAACGAGACACAACTCATGAAAGCCCAATTCGACGCAGTCTTTGGCCGAACGGTGATCACCTGTGATCCAAAAACTTGAAGAACATGCTTGGACGACCCACTGTTCTAGAAACCGTATCATCACGAGAAAAAACAAAACACATGATCAACTAATCCAAATATAAAAATAACTATCAAATTCGATTATGGTCTCACACACGCACACAAAGGATGCCCTGTGAATTTAAAATCCATATGCGCCCCTCAAATACGTTTATCTCGGTAGGGAAAGCCCTCGCTTGAGGCAACTTGCATTTTTCCCCACCTGCCAGGTGAGGGTTGTTAGATTTTATGTTAGTTGCCTCCTGCCGCGTCCTCCTCCTCCTCTCCTCCTCTCCTCCTCGTCCTCCTCGTCCTCCTCGTCGTCCTCCTCCTCGTCCTCGTCGTCCTCCTCGTCGTCCTCCTCCTCCTGCTCCACTGCGATCCATGTCAGTGTGCCCTGCCGGACCAACCACGACCATCCATGTCACTGTTCCCTGCCGGACCTCAACCGCGAGTATCCCCGCCCAGTGTTCCCTGCCGGACCTCAACCACGACCATCCACGCCCAGTGTTCCCTGCCGGACCTCAACCGCGAGTATCCACGCCAAGTGTTCCCTGCCGGACCTCATGTAGGAAGATATGGGACAAAGAATGTGCAGAAAAAAGTTAGAAAGAATGTCAGAAAGAATGTCAGAAGATATGCCAGAAGATATGCCAGATAGATGCCCCAATAGAATGCCAGATAGCCAGATGCCAGATAGAGCCAGATAGAATGCCAGAAGATATGTCAGAATATATGCCAGAAGATATGCCAGATAGAATGCCAGAAGATATGCCAGAAGATATGCCAGATAGAATGCCAGATAGAATGCCAGAAGATTTGCCAGATAGAATGCCAGAAAATATGCCAGAAGATATGCCAGATAGAATGCCAAATAGAATGTCAGAAGATAGATATAGAATGCCATATGAGAAGATGCCAGATAGCCAGATAGCCAAATAGAATGCCAGATAGAATGCCAGATAGAATGCCAGATAGAATGCCAGATAGAATGCCAGAAGATATGTCAGAGTATATGCCAGAAGATATGCCAGATAGAATGCCAGAAGCTATGCCAGATCATATGCCAGATAGAATACCAAATAGAATGTCAGAAGATATGTCAGATAGAATGCCAGAAGATTTGCCAGTAAGAAAATGTATAAATGTCATGGTGGGGATCACACGAAGTAAAGTAATTGAAGACATACCGTTCCTCTTAGTTAAGCTCACTGATCACTGGAAGTGATGAAGGAGCCGTGTCTTTGCACCAATAGACACTCCATGTCGATCAAACTTGATCAAATCAAAGTTCAAATAGGTTTCATCGCAAAGCCTGCACATGCTGGTTCGTGAGCTAATACATTTCAACTTTCTATCCGTTGCGAAATTTCAAGACTTGCTTGAATTGCCCCCAAAAGTCCTGTGATTGAGTTGTTGGCTCGCTCCACTATGCTATGCCACTATGCAACTTGAGGCCGGGGGTGGATGACGAAAGCTAGCGGGGTAGGAGAAAGAAGGAAGGGAAGAGGTGAGTTGCGGAGGGACTCTCATCATCGTGTCGCGGCATTGTTCTTCCCAACGTAGATGCAACAATGATATATATGTATAACAATTATATATTATATGTATATGGGGGAGGGGGGGAGGGGCGGCCCTTTCGCGTGAAAAATCACGTGATGTCGTTGGGCAGCCCCGGAATACTTGCTAAAGCAAGAAGACTCTAGCTAGCTGACGCTAGCTTTCGTGATTATGTTCGCACGCAGAAACTCGTGAGAGCCCAAAGCTAGTGAAGTCAAACAAACATGCTGCAACTTGTGCAACAGGAAGGTTGATGCAGAAAACATGATGTAGATGGACAAAAGATGAGAAGACATGTGATACGATGCACGAACGTTGAGATCGTTGAGCAACTCATATCTCCATCAGTTCATGTCACAAGTTACTACACTACCTCAAGCTGCTTGACATCGCACGTGTCTTTTCTAAAGCACACACACCGGATTTAAATCAATCAAAGCACTTGTGAGTTAAGCCCATTAGGCCTCCACAATTTGTGCCATTGCCTTCTTTGCTAGTCCTTGCAGAGTCCTCAATGATTCAACGCTTCTTCTAGTTTCATGTAGTTTCTAGATTTTCTGAAAAGAAGGCGTCAGGGCTGAGCAACGCTCAGCGAAAATGCCACACTTTGCCCCAAGCTTCAGAGTTTTCCGAAGGGACGGTCAAAGGCGGTCAAAGGTTAGCGATCACAAAATGTAAGGATCACACTGTCCATCCGAAAATGCTGCGCAAATTTCTGCAGCTCAAATGATCTCACATCGCCCCACCCTCTTTGGCAAGTGATTGGAACTTCGATTCTCTCTTCATCAATTCCTGCACCGGTTCCAAGGACTTAAAAGTACACAAGGGACCGGTCAATGGAAATTCAATGGAAAACTGCAAAATGGAAACCAGATACAAATAGTTCACGGTCCTGGGGCGAATCAAACTCCACCACCTTTCCACCTTCAAAGACTGCGACCTTGTCATAGTCCATCCTCAGCGCAGCCATTGCAGGCGTCAAGAGACATCGCAGGCGTGCACGGCGTGCTCTGATGATTTTGAGATGGGAACAATGTCTGGATTCGATGCGCGATGGTGATGATCGTGCAATTGAAATCAGAACGGATCACCTATCCAAGCTGTCGAACGGCTGTGTCAAACGGAGTGACGCGCACTCATGAGGCCAAACTCTGACAGCGATACTGTTTACATCCAAAAAGGGCGTCGTTTACATCTTCTTCATCCATCATGATCCATCCACTTCCAGCCTTCTGAATTGTTTGGTCAGTCTCTGCATCCAGAGCGCTGGTTGCCTCACAGAAACAATTTCATGCCAAGTTGATGTCAAACACAGCAATGCATTTGAGCTCATCAGTCCTCATCAAGAAGTAGCAAACCACCCGACTCCTGGTACCAAAGCAAAGTCATTCAACAACTTGATCTTTCAAGTGTTTCTTGATTTCGTATCAACTCCAGTCGTTGTCAGCAGCAAACCACTCCATCGACTCAAGTGACATGAGCTTTTGCATCACAACAAAAAAGTGTGTCACAACGTGAGCATCCTGCCGCCGCAGCAAGGCACGGGCGAGGCAAAGGAGTTGCAGTTCGCCCACGGAGTAGTTGCCGCCGCCTTCTTCGACCTGATTTTTGGTGAACGTCCAAAAACAGGAGCTGCGCCGGAAAAACTCGCAAACAAACATAGCAAGCAAACATACTTTCCGTCGATGCATCCAAATGCCTTGCTATCGAGTCCTCCGGCACTTTCTATGCGGGGCCTACAGTTGGGCGTTGGACATATGTGACTATGGCCATGGACACAGAGCAGTGCTTGCAGTGCAGGTTTTCCCCAACTTTGGAAAAAAACTGGGCTTCTCACTTCAGTTGAGATTTCTCCAAGACCTGCGCCGGAAAGCACTATTCTGACGATGCTACAGCAGCACAGGACAGTGGCAGTGCACAGCACAATGCAGCGAAACATAGCGAAACCAAAGGTGATCAAATGGAATCAACTTCGGTGACACTTGCAGGACTTGCTGTAAACTCATTAAAGGCCTCCCAAAGCTCCTGCAGTTGCAACATGCCGCGCAAATCTGCGAGCAACGCTCGAGCCCCTGAATTTGCACAAGTTGTCTCCAAGTAAGTCCTCGTCGCTCTTCTTGCCAAATGGATCCAAATTAAATCTGACCTCAAAATTTGCACCTACACCCAAACACGCATGGGACACGGACAAAAATGACAAGCACAAACGAAGAAGAAACTGCTTTGTCGCATCACCCTGTCTGAGAAGCCGGCAGTGCCTGTGAGAATGGCAGGATCCTGAAAAAAATGCCAAACTGTTGGGAATGCACAGCTCCATTTTGGTGCAGTTCGAGTCATCAAGCCACGGCGATGCTGCAGAAACGAAAGAGGTATCGATGCTGCTGTGTTCTAATTACTGTAATGAACACTGAACATCCAAAGCCATGCCTGAGGAATCATCGCAACCTGTACATATCTCAAGTCAACTTCTTGTGAGCTCTTGGAACCCTTCACAGAAACGGCCAAGTAAATGATTTTACTCTATAGGTGAGTATACATCAGTGTCATGAATATCTGAATTTGTATTGTTTTTATCAGATATATACATATAATATATTATTCTTCATAAATTTAACAATTTATGATATTGTGTTGTATCTTGTCGTTGAAGTTGGAGATCGACATGGCATCTGCATTGCCGCCTTCTCGCGGAGATCGTGGAGACCAATGCCGCTGATGTCGACACCGTCCACCACGATGCTGCCCTCCTGAAACATCGCAAGACTTTTTCAACGTCTTTTTGTCTTCTGTTTTCTTGTTGCATACTGTTGCATAATGTCCGCCAACTTGGTTCCTGCTCCCGACTCACCCTTCAATTGTTTGCTAAGATTGTGCCAGGTTCTTGCCAGGCGTCTGCCAAGGTTGCGGCAATCAAAGAAGTGTTTTTTGCAATTGCGCGGGCATGGTCCAAGTCAGCTTATGGAAAAAATCACCAATAAGATGGCTCCCGTGGTGGAGTAGCAGATCTTTTTTGCTGGGACCCCATGCAGAGGGGGATGCAATATTGATTTTCATGGTACAGCTTTTCCACATTGAAACGTGCCAACGCGCACCAACTTTCATTGACTTTTGCATTGAGCACATTTGACTTTGAAAATGTCCGTATATTTGGCTTCGCCAGAGCTAGTTCGCGCGCTTTGCCGGGCCTCTTGCTGGCACATTTGCCCCTAATTTTGCTTGTCCATCACTGCTTTGGATGCTGCCATACGACTTGCCGGCACAAATACCATGGCTTTTCGTTCCCACAGAGTTAACCACAGGTTCTGCCGCTAAGTTTGCCGGCCACAAAACCAAAGAAATCGGGTTTCTTGAGTTGCGCCGGCCCTTCTGCCGGTGGTTTTACACCATCCCTTAGCCATAGTTTTGGGTCAGTTTGGCCCAAAAAGTAATTAATTATGAGATATTATGAGTGTTTATTACTACCTCGCTACTTTCAATAAATACATAATACAACGCAATATTGACGCCATGATCCTTTCTTCCGATTTTTTTTTTAAACTCGTGTGTGCCCTTGTACCCAACTTCTCAGGTACTCTTGAACATGTCACTAATATGTCACAGGTTGGAGTCAACGTCATCTAAGTCCATTCAGAATGTCCAAAGATGCAGACTTCAATTAGATAACATACCCATGACGGATCCATGGTGCTGGTATATGAATGCTAACATGACTGGGGTATATTCATGGGATCCATGTTACCATTAATATACGAAAAACATGGATCCGTCATGGGATAGGTCATTTCATCTCTGAAGTCTGGCACCTCGAGTTCCACCAAACGCAGAAACGTAGACAGAAAGGACGACTTGCCGCAGCCTCGAAGCTCTCTGCACGCATCGATGCATGGTATCAACTTGGGTTTGTCTGAAAATGTTGGGTTAATATTCCCAATGATAGCTAGCCATTTTTCATAGGGATTTCATGATCAGCAAAACCATTTGAAAATAGGGTTAATATTCCCAATTATAGCCATTTAATAGGGAAATCTGATCATTAACCATTGGTTTTTTCGGGGTTTTCTCTACATTTTCAGACACACCCACTTAACAAACGGACGAATAGAAATCGCGGGACCCCAACCTGTGCGGCCCACAATTCCAACTCTTTGGCCGGCCTGAGAGAATAAATGTACCCGGCCTGGTTATGACATTCACAGGGCTAGCCATGGAAAATCACCATTGTTCATAGGTAAACCATCTATTTCAATGGGCCATTTTCCATGGCTACAGTATGTTAAATAACCAGAGGGTAACTGACTAGCCATGGAAAATCACAATTTTTTAAGTTCGGTAAACCATCTATTTCGATTAGGGCCATCGAAAAACCATGGCTGGCCAACTGTGAATGTCATCACCAGGCCGGGTAAATGCAGACACAGCTGGCTGGTGATTTCACTGGACCTTGATGTCAAGGGAGATACCATCAAGAACCTGGAGAAAGCTCGTGAAATGATCGAAAAAAAAGGCCATTCCGAAACCGCAGAAGCTACCAGCTATAGTAGCTATAGCTACCTTTCTTTTTTTCCGATATAAGTTTCATTTAAAGTTCACAGTTACTTTCGAATTGTCTATTTTGTTAACCAAGGGCGTGGCGATTGGAAGACCATCTCGGTAGCGCATTTTGACCTCACAAAGTGTCTCAAAATGTCCCATTTTAACAAGTCACACATAGAAGTATCAGATCTATCTGCAGTGATCTGCAGTGTGTTTTGTTTCCATTTCTTTCCGATGTTTTTCTTCAGTGTATTACTTGGATTTGCCAAAAAGGGGTTTCCAAAAAATAAAAAAATCTTCACTGAATCGATTCCCCTATTGATGGTGGATTTCCTATTGGGAAAATGAAAAAAATCACCTTAAACAAAACCCAGATTATAGTGTATTCCATTCTCCGCAAGGTTCCTCCTCTCAGGGCACGGCGTTGCTCACCTGGATGTTTCCCTGACCTCAAAGTGAAATTGCAGGTGCCACAGGCACTGTTGAAGCATTGAAGCAATCAGTCCATATATCAGTCCAAAGTTTCATGGCACAAGCCGTTGTAGATCATGAAACACACATAAACACAGCGACACTTCTTTGGATCGAAAATTCTGTGCAATTCTGCCATCGGGATATGCTGTTCACCATGACACGCCATGACTTCGTGAACTGGGTCTTTGGGGTCTTCGGCTTGGCCAACTGGGCTGCACCGAATTCGACACTCGCAGAGCCGCTTCCTGTTTTTGCTCAGGTCAAATTTGCTCACTGCAAAAAAAGGAACGCTGAGATAATCACAAATGAATTGAAACAATCTGTTGGCATGTTGTTGGCATTTAAAAGAAAAACAATGAAAAACATGGAGATAGTTTGTAAATGGTGAAAACTAAGCCGCCTGTTTGACGTTGGTGACGTAGTTCTGAACTCGCTCCACAGACACCATCTGTGTCTCGCGGTCAGCACTCTCTCTGTTCACCTACGAGTAACTCCACAGTCTGCTAGCGTGCCGTGGCGAGTTCGCACATGCACATTGCAAAACCATGGGTTAAACATGGATTAACCATGGATTAAACCTATTCACATATCCATTTCATATCCATTTTAATATATTAAAATATCCATATGGATTAATTAAAACATATTACCCTCTGGTAATTTCTTACATAACTATGGAAAATCACCATGCCTTTCATGGGTAAATCATAGGTAAATCCTCTATTTCTATGGCCATTTTCCCATTTTTTCCGCAGGATTCACCTGGTTCAGTGTGTCGGTGAGTCGCAAGGCATAGGTGATGGCAAGGCCGACCAAGCCTGAACTCACCTGCGCAGATGTCATGGCTGAGATCAGCTGAGATCTGAAGCTCCAAATATCCATAGATCATCTCCCATATCAGATAGATTATCATCTATATTATATATATATCATTTATATATTTCTCATTACTTTTCATGAATTATCATCACTTATCATTATATTTATCATTATACTTCTCATTATACTTATCATTACTTATTCATCTCATTTTCGCCACCCTTGAAAGCGCCAACCTTGTTGTTGCTGGAGAGGTAGATGCCCAAGATGCTCACCGCTCCGACCTAATCCCAAACAACACTTGCCAATTGAGGATCTAAACGCCTAAACAAAATTTCTTTAAAAGGTACTTGGTGGCGAACTACCCACTTAGTAAGTGGGATATAACCCCAGTGATTTCAGTGGATTAACCCTACACAAATCCCATTTATAACTGGGGTTATAAGCCACTTACTAAGTGGGATGAGCCACCAAGTAGCTACAAGAGGATGTCTTCTAATCTCGGAATGACAAGAGGATGATACACTTCATTCACATGATTTCAAAGCTGTCACGACAGGATGATACACTTCGAATCACAGCATATTTTTTTTTGCGATATATGTATAACACACTTAAAGTCAATCAAAGTCATCAAAGAATCAGTAAACAAGAGTTTAACAAGAAACATCAAAAAATATCAAAAAACATCAAACACAACACTAAAGATACTAATGAAATGGTAAAAACCAACGCTGCTGAGGTGCCAAAATGGTGCCGTTGAATTGCAGTCGGAGACTCAGCCATCGCGCCTAGGACGTTGGTCATGACACGTGCTGAGCTGAAAAGCAGTTGCTTTTACGTGCTGTCAACGTCAAGATGCTCCCGAAGCAGGACATGGAAAACATATGAAAACATGGTACCATGTTGATCAATGCTGATCGATGTTGATCGATGCTGATCATCAGTTTGAACATGGTATCTACATGGCAAGCCCGCGTCTAGAGTCTAGACAAGGAGCAGCTGTGTTGCTGAGGTAGTAGGCTTCCATCTGTGTCTCAAGCCTGCAAGAAGCCAGCGTGGCACAACGCAATCGGTTCCACAACCGGAAATGACTCGAATCTTAACTCAAATTCGCAACATGTCGCAACTTCTGACCTGCCCATGTTGGTGTGGACAGCTTGCTCCTGCAGGATCCCACGGATCATCAGGGATCCCACGGCTTTAACTAAGTCACTAACCCATATAGGATCCATGTATAGTATATATGGTAACATGGATCCCATCAATATATCCCCAGTCATGTTAGCATATACGCTCTAGTAAATTAACATAGACCCTGCCAGTCATCGGGGTTGGGTTTGACTAGTGTCCATTAAAAATTGGTGATAAAATCAGGGTCCAACTGTTTATTTACCAGAGGGTAAATCCTATTAAGTCCCATTACATCCCATTAAACCACCATAAAATCACCATTTTTCATAGGAAAATTTTACCAGGGTGTAACATATAAGTCACCCTCATATACCTTAGGATCCATGAGGGTACCCTCTGGTAATTTAACGTAGCTATTGAAAATGACCATTAATAGTGGATTTTCCCATTAAACATGGTGATTTTCCATAGTTATGTTAGTTTACCAGAGGGTATATTAACCAGCACCAGCCGGATCCGTCAAGTCACTAAGCCCAGCCGGATCCGTGACACACGGAGTCCAGTCCTGGTGCTGCATGGCTCGGATGGTGGAGACCCCTTGCATTGACTCGGAGAAGTGGCTGAAGATGGGACTTCGCGCGGCCTCAAGGGCTCAACATCTGCTGAAAAATTGTTGAAATCATTCAATTTCTCTCCATTGAAATCATTTAATATATTATATAAAATATGAAATACTTCACCTTAGATCAAAGGATATTTCGCTTCATTTAATACTAAGGTGAACTGAAGAAATATCATGAAATATCATGAAATATCCAGGTAGAGTTCGTTTTCACAGCCCAAAACTTGGCAACTCATCCGGCAAATTTACCTGAGTTCGCAACAGCATCGAGACGACGAAGGTCTCGGGTCGCAGGCAAATACCTCTGGAAATGATCCATGATCATCCAGAAACATGCCTAAATAATCCATGATAATCCATGATGATCCATGATGATACATGAAACTTGTGAAGTTAAATTGACAGAAATCCCGAGCCTCTTGGCCAAACGAGCATACAGGAGGAACATTGGCAGCATCAAAAATATCAAATACCTGGGACATGCAATTCAGAATTGGTGTCCAAAATCGAAGATATCAACATTGGAAACAAGGAACAACAAACCGTGATCATCACTAGATTATATTAAACCAACATCCAAGAAACCAGCGATATGTGTCTTGAAATCTTTCCGGAAAGGATTTGCATGATTTGCGCAGCCCAAACAAATGGAATCGATCAGTCGCTTGTCAGATTTACATTAGTTTGATATGGGTTTGTCTGAAAATAGGGTATATTCCCAATTATAGCCATTTAATAGGGATAATGATCATTAACCATTGGGTTTAGGGGTACACTATTTTCAGACACACCCATATGGTTTGATCAGTTTGCTGTGTACAAAGCAATGGTTTCTGACAAGTCACCATCCCACCAACATGCAAATCACAACGATGCTGGCTGCGCGCCAGAACCTGGCCGTGGGAAAGACGTCACCAAGACACAGGTCACATCTGTCAGATTCTGCTGCCGGGGGTGCCAAATGATGTTGGCCGACATCCTCAGTGAAACATGTGAAACTTACCCCAAGTATCCCCAAGTCCACCTTGTCGCAAAGATTGGCGCCATGAAATTTACCGAAAAATAGTGAAGTGCATTGAAGTGCCAATTGTTTCTGAGGTTTGGTCGTCTGTGGCAAGTTGTAGTCAAGGATATTGGTGTCCTGCCGATCAACATCTTTCATGTGCAGCAGTTGCATTAAGTGCGGGTTTTTGTTCATGTTTCGTCCTCCGCCAAACGGTTCAGAATTTGGCCGTTAGGCGTGAGGTCAAAGAAGGACCTCAACAGCAACGTCTGCGAGATGTGAAGATCACCCCCAAGGTCCCAAGGTCCGATCCAAAGCAAAAATCAATAGATTGGTTTTGTTGGGAAAATCTACTGGAAACCATGGATTTTCCCATGAAATATGGGGGTTTTCCTGTGAATTTTCCCGTAAACCAATCCATTGAAAAAAAAACTCTGAGAATCCCAACATATGAGCTCGAAGCAATGCGTTCAAACACTTCTCATGCAAGACTCTTGACCTTGCACAACTTTCAAACAGTCAATGCACATTCCACGGATCTTCGATGATGTGGCACCGGTGGAGGAAACACCCCCGGATTAGCCAAATGCTTTCCGCTCACAAGAAGTTGTTCGAAAGGGGCCGAGGATTTGTTTTCAAATTGCTGATCCCCATTGCAATCATTATCAATCATTGCAAAGTACTGGCAAAATTTGATCAGAAACCGATCCGATTGCCATCAAATTAGGGCCGTTCATTATGTTCATTTGACCCTGGCAAAAAATGCGGGTCTCTTTCACATGTACCCAGCATTTTTTTAAAACTTCTCATTTGATTGTTCTCAAGTTGACATCTTTGGACATGTCTTGGTTGCGGACCCACGTTGACCCACCAATACGCGCGTGGTCGAATACACAAGGCCTGTGACCTCAGCGTGCGCCAGAAAATCGATGTTTATTTTAAGGTATTGAACCACAAAGAACAACAGGCAACAACAAACACCGGAAAGTATGTAAACAAGTGATCAAAAAAAGAAGGAACCAGGGCAGGCATAAATTTTAGCAAATGAAAACACGAAAACTACAAGAATAAGAAAAACGTGATAAACAGCGGTTGCATGCAAACCACAAAATCTTCAAAGAAATAGGGTCGGCAAACTATACAAAATGATGCTTGATCTTGGACCCATGGATGCAACTAGCAGCTACTCCCGCTTGATTCTGTTTGATATTGCCGGTAAAACATTCATCAGTACCATTTCCCATAGGATCCATGTATGGTATATATATGTATATATGGTAACATGGATCCCATCAATATATCCCCTTTATGTTAGCATCAATATACCAGCACCATGGATCCTATGGGTTTTCATGCTATGTCAGTATCGACGGGTTCCCGGGTTCCCGGGTTCCGGACCAGACAGACCAGAGCGGCCAACGCGTAGACTGCAACACCATCTCCACCTCCTCCTTTGTTACTCCAATGTGCCAGCCAGCCATCTGAGAAGTTTCTCGAGCCCTGATACACGCTGACGAGATGTCGGGCAAGGCTTCGGATAGGGATGGACATAGGGAAAAAATCGAAACTACAAGAGGAAGAACCATTCTCGTCCAACAATGATATGTTTCGATGCATCTTCCCTACCAGTATCGAGTATCGCATTACTTTTTCTCCAAATGCCCCAAAGGGAGAGATGAAAATTGGAGCTGATTGGCAAAAGACATCAACAAACCTAGTCGCAATATGTTGCACTAGTCACCTCGCACAAAAAACGTCAGTCACAGTGATTGGATCTGATGCCTCTGAAAGAGCCACAGCCACAAGGAAGGTTCCCACAGCTGGCACTCCTCCGCACGCTTTTGCATACCTAATTGACTTCGAAGCAGGAAACCAACTGTAAGATTCTGTAAGCGTGCGAAGAAACCAATAGCACCATGAAACAAATTTTCTCCAAAATTTTCACCATGTGTCAATCCCTTCCACCAAGATCTCTCATTTTCTCCAACATTTTTGTGGTCGGCGGATGTCGGCGGTAAACCGTGTGTTGTCGCTGAGAAGCGGACGCTCCATAGACGTGCCATGACACCGCACCTGAACGCCTTTCTTCCTGTGCTGCTGCTGCCTCTCAGCCGACCCAAAGCAATACGAAATGCTCCAACTGGTTCAGTGCTGTATTGAACACTGTATTGCCTTTCTAAAACTCTAAGAGTTGGTCAATTTATATGATTTACCCTCTGGTGAACTAACATAGCAATGGAAAATCACCATGTTTAATGGGAAAATCCACTATAAATGGCCATTTTCAATTCCTATGTTAGTTCACCAAAGGGTATATGATTTATGTCAGTTTGAAACAAATTTCAGCAGAAACTCCCCACACTTCGAGACAAGTGTGGAGTGCCGGGCCTTCTCCTTCTTGGCCGGTGCTGATGCTGGCGCTTTCGTCTCCTTCGCTTTTTCGTCTTTGGAGTCTTTCTTGGTGTCCTAAGTCACACTCAAATAACTTCTCAGGACAGGAGGGAGTGTATCCACAGTTGGCTCAGCACAGCACAGAGTTTGTCTCGGGCTCAGCTTCTGCTGAATTTTCCGGATCTTCGTGGATGACCTGCAAAAAAATCAGGGAGTTGATGCTTTTCAATGACAAATATGGCAGATATGACAGGCCTCCTCGTTGACAGCCCCTGAGCCCTTAAACTCCTCCAAGAGAAAAAAAGACAAATTTTGTTGTGAAAAGGAGAACTCAACTGGAAGTAGTGGGCCCAGCAAGTCCAGCAATATTTACTTCTCAGAGCAATAAAAAGGCCAACTTTGCCCTGTGCCAATGACAAGTATATATAATATGAGTATATATTATGGGTATCAAAATATCTCAAAAATCAGAAGCAAAAGGTGATGGAAGGAATTTGTCCTCGTAGCTACCGTTGAAAGACACCTTGCAGCGTCTCCGGGCCGCTTTGATACCCAGATGGATTGGCGTGCATCGTTTAGTCACTTGGATTTGCTTAAGGGGTTTCCAAAAAATTAAAAATCTTCACTATAGGTTCCCCAAATGGTGGATTTCCTATTGGGAAAATAAAAAATCACCTTAAACAAAACCCAGGTCACTATTTAGTTGTTGATGCATCAGCGAGTGGCCTTCTTGTCTTCCAAGCAGACCACCCTGTTGGCCAAAGGGACAGCTTTGGGCGAGTGCCTAGAGGCAGCTCCGGTGCAGGATTGCGAAGGCAATTTCATGTCTCAGATGACCCAATAGATACTCTCGTTGGACGACTGTATTATAGACATAGGATCCATGGTGCTGGTATTAATTAATGCTAACATGAAGGGGGTATATTGATGGGATCCATGGCACACCATATATAGCAGCACCATGGATCCTATGGGTTATAGAAATAAATATGTTTTTGTTTTTTTGACCCTGTTTCTTGATCCCGGACTCAAAAATGTGAAGGCCATCATGCGGTAGAATTTCATTGCCATGATGCGTATTTTGACCAAACCATCTCTCTCGGTACTCCTCCAGTCACCAAGGAATTTCACTGTCCAGTCAGCATCAGTGCTGTTGGACTTCTCAGCGCAAGACGTAACAAGAATCACTGTCTTGCCAGCCTGAGGCAGCATGCAGCATCTGATTTCCATCAGTGAATAAAACATAGACACACAAGTTATCCGCAAAGTACACAGCAAAGTACACAGCAAAGTTTATCAGTTGGGTACTTGGGATAAAGAATCCCAAGTTGATCCATCATTGATCCATCAGCAAACGGTCTTGTTTCAAGTACTCTGAAGCATACTTTGCACTTCCAATAGTCAAGTGCGTCGGAACGCCCTCGGAACTTCGCTAAGGGACCAATAGCGGCCCACGCAGCAGGTTCTCACAAATGTGAGTCGTCACGTGACCTCATTCCGATGCATCCTCCGTGCATCTCAGGAACAATACCAAGGTAACATGTAAGGTTTCAACATGTTTCAAAGGAAGAAAAAGGATTTCAAAGACTAAAGAAAACATAAGAAAACTCGGAAACAATCTGACCAGCTGGGAAAACTTCAGAACCTCTTGTACGGTTCAACACCATGACAACTATGAGAACGGAACACGTTGCATTGGTGCAAACATGTGCAAAATTGTGCAAACTAGACTCAGTTGCCAACTGTCAAGGGCGGACAGCACATCCTTGATCCACCCAACTGACAAAGGATGCACTGACTCCAGTGGCCTTAAGTCACAACTGCACTGAGGTTGAAACGTCCAAAATGTAGATGTCCTTGGTGTCTAGAGCAGCTAGGGAACATGGTGAAACCAGTGGGTAGAAACCGGTAACAACCCCAGCAGATCTGTGCGCCCGACTGGATTCGCATAGACAGCACGGGCCAATGCCACTCGCTGCTTTTGGCCACCTGTGAAGCAGTGCAAAAAGCAATGGTAGGATGCCACATGATGCCACATGATGCCACGATGGAAACCACCTGACAGATTGATGCCACGATCGCCGATGGCGGTCTGATCGCCATCAGGTAGGACCTGAAGCAAAAAGTCACCCTTTTTGGCATTTTTCCATTCACCAAAAATCGTCAAAAATCGAAACCATCCCAGCTCCCAAACCTCAAAACCAGGACCCTCAGGAGAGCACATGGAGATCTGCACGTAAGGCGCATGCATCCAAGACTGCCTTCAACGTACGAGGCAAGTGACTGCAAACCTGAACTGTCAAGTGGTCCTAACATGTCCGAACGAACCATCTCTACACTGATCCAAGCTCTCAATATTTCTCAATGCTGGCCCCAATGAGAACCTGCTACGTTGGTTCTGGGGGCATTGACAGCGACCCAGCGACCGCCTCGTATCGATCATCGTGCTCCACAGAGGAAGAACTTGTAATCTGAGACGGCGCCGGTGGCAAACCAAACCGAATCTAGACACAACCAGCAACGACCAGCAACGACGAGCAACGACCAGCAATAAAATGTGATCACAACATGTGTACATCTGTCAGAAGCGGTGACAGAGAGGTCACAGTTGACGTGACAACGCTGCTCTTTGAGGCACGAGCATTGTCTCGAAGTGTTGCGTTGCGAATCTCAGCGCGTCGCCGTGTACTTTCTCTGCTCAAGTGTGTCCCAAATTGGTCACAACATATGGTAAATTCATGGTAAATTCTGGCAGATTTGCTTCGAACAAGGTCTGGTCATCTGCTTCAGCTTCGAACCCAAGCATTTTGCGAGCAATATCCTACGCTGCCGGTGAGATGGGCCCTCAGTGATGGCGGTTGGATGCGGGGCATGGGAACCTGGTAGAATCTCATTTTCAAACAGGTTGAGAAATCACTTGAAATCACCCATGGTCAGTTCATGTTTGGTTCATCCTTTTCGTCCTCAGCCTCAAGATTCTCCATCTAATTTGGATGGACTTCCAACTAACTGCCAGCTCGAAAGATTTGTTTTCTTTGCATAGCAAATTTAGGACCCTGCTTGCCAGCGTCAGTGGCAATGGGAAGCTCACCAAGCATTGCATATAAAAGCCTCAGTTTTGGTTTCGGCAACGCTTTTGCAGTGCGCAAGTGATTTGAAGCTGTCTTAATTTCAGAAAACTGGTTGATGGCTGTCCCCAATCACAGTTGTAAGTTGTAGTTTGGCGAGAGGTTATCCATTTTATCAAACGCGTGAAATTACACCATAACCCCACGCGATATACCCACAGCTCAAACGAAAAGAAACTCCAATTGTGTCTGCCAGACAAATCTGTTCTTTTTGGCCGCAATGTGTTGCGCTGTGAATGGGGTTCCTGTGTAGCAGTTTCCGTTTTAAGCCACTGGCCCAGATTTGCCAACGCCTCAACAATCAAATGTGGATCCTGATGAGGAAACCATGTTTTTTCTCTTACTTTTTGCCTTGTTCGAATTTGATCCTCCTTCCGCGCCTGTCTTTCCTACAATCACCAGCATCTCTCCTTTCTTGACTGAAATGTCGACCTGGCGCCAAGTGCTTCCTGCAAAAACACAATCGTACCAGGATGTGAGCTACCAGGAAAACTATGGAAAACTGGTGCCCAAAGGTTAAAAAGGTGTGTTGACGACCATGGACGAGCGACTGCAACAGTTCGGAACCGTCCATGAATATCTGGGATGAATTGGATCATATGAGTGACTGGGTGAATGGAGGAGCGCAGAAAGGGAGTGATAATCGTAGTGAACTCGTGGCTGGGATGGTGAGTGCAGTAAGTCACCCATTCTGGTGTGCTGCAAATCATCACTCAGACCCGCCTGTTCCAGCAACACGCTCTTGTCTGGCCTCCACTGCACTCGATTCGGCATTAAGACCGAGGCTTGACCATGGACTAGGGGATACTAGGAGTCTGAGAGCAAACATACAGGACACAGTTTCCATGGGTCATTAAATGTCCCCATTGAACATCACCCAATCATTAGGTATATGGTCTATAATGACTACTATAAGGTGATGTCCAATATTCCCAAAATGGGACAGTTACCAACCCCTGGTTTAGATGCAAAGAAGACACCGAAACAATGAAATCATATATGAAATCCATCATACATAACTATCGATACTGGCATGCAACAAAATCACAGCAATATTTGGACCATACTATGCAGAGTTTTCTTACACCTAGATTCATGTGCCAATCCTCTGTACACCTACTTTTGTTCCTACGTTCCTTCCTGAAGTTTGTGATTCTCTGAAGGATTCACCAAAGATTCGCCACGACTTTGGCCCTGGCCACTCCAGCTTGGACTGCAGCTGCAAGGCCATCTTCGGATCGGGGACTGTGGAGGGTCGAGCCGAGACCTGCCAGGATCTCAAAGTGTCACCATGATGTCACCATGATCTGCAAAAAACACATGGTTTATCATGGTTTTTACACCTCCGGTGAAAGCAGGAAGGCTTCAATGCGGTCTTTGGCGACGGCAGCCTGAATCCCCAAAGCATCATGAAACATGACAGAACGTGACGGAAGCCACATCGACTCACATTCAAAATCGTTGACTTCACCATACCAGTTCATTGCTCGTCAACAGCTAGGATGATTTGTCGTTTGTCTTTTTTTTTGTTGGTTTTTATATGTTTTTTATATGTTTTTATTCTTTGTTTGTCATGTTCACTTGCCTCCATGAAGAACCGTGCCATCCTGGCAAACAGCTTTCAAGTTCAGCAGGGAGAGATGGGTGATGGTGATGGGAGATACAGAAACCGAGGACATGGCATCGGCATGGCACCTCGGATCCATTTTCCATCTATTTTTCAGTGCCAATCCATCTGCCAAGATTGGACATTCCATGAAAATAATTGAAAATAGATAAATTTCTCATTCCCACATTGGATATTTGTCTTATATCATCTTATATCTATATTTCTCATTCCATGTCATTCCCACATTTGGATACATTTGGCCTTTTTGTTTTAGACATGCTAAGTCCTGCACCCAAGGGGAAGCTCAAAATGTTGAACAAACTCAGCGCCGTGAAGGCAGTCGCCTCGCGTGTCGACTTTCACTTCGTGGGCCAAGTACAGACAACTTCTGCGCTTCGATTTGAATTAAACCAAATTTCATTAAACCAGTTTCAATGAGTGAATTGGTTTAATGAAATTTGGTTCATGATGTCCCAGATTCGTCCCGATCCGTTGCGCCATTCGTCCCTTGTTCGTTCCGAGCTGAAGTGACGTGAAGAATTGTGGGTCTTAGATGTCTCATGATGTCTCTGTACGAGTCCCTGGCAGCATCCAAAGTCTTCTTCTGCAATAGCCTGAGCTCAAAATGCTCAAATCAAAACTGAGATGGGTATGGGTCAATACCTATACTGTAGATACATTTTTAGTGGGATGAACATCCATTTACCAGTTATTTTGAGGTTCACTAGGTACCAGGGTTTTGACCCATCCCCAGATAGCACCAAAAACTTATCCGAAAGCGTGAGGCTGGATCCGAAGCTTTCACGTACAAACGGCTTTGGCAGAGTTTGGCATAACTTACTTGTTGAATCTTATTGATATTGAGGGTTTTGAGGGTTGCATTCTTCGGAAACCAGTTTCCAATTGCCAGTGCCTTTTCAAATAGGCGATGAGAATGTTTTGAAATCATACTCTCAAGGATGGATCGCAGGGCTTTAGCCCCCGACGTGTAGCATGCGAAGGTTCCCAGGGCAACCAAGACAGGCGACAAAGAGAAGGAAAGGAACAACGCCTCAAAACAGTTCAGGTCTTAGATTCTCTCACTCTGGAGGACCCAACGAGTCTTGATGCACTTAGCAAATTCTGAGATCATGCTGTACTATAAGTGATACAAATCTCTAAATTCTCCCGCATTAGAAATCAAAGGGCATGACCACGTTCCAAAGCTTGTAGCGCAGCTGCAGCTTCAATTCCTGCAGCAGCGAATAACACAAATTAAATCGGTCCACCAGCAACATGGCCAGAAGAAATGCATGACACTGCTGTACAACTGGCCATCTCGGCTATCTCACAATATCTCACAGTACCCTTGCCTTGTTCCTTAGTTCCTTCACTCGTTCTTCAATGGCCACTTCCCAAGCATAGAACTTGATGATCTTCACGATCCTGACTGCTGATAGGACAGCAGGTTATGGATCGACAGGCAATCGACAGGAAACAAAACACAACCTGCGTCTATTTTCACACTATGCATCATATATTGAGACAAAGACTTCAAAAGTTCCACTTCCATCTTCAGCCTTTCATCTTTGGCCTTAGCTTCTGGGATCTAAAGCTATCACAAGAAACAGAAAAGAATGCACACCTTGCATGTGAAGAAGATCAACACTTTGAACACAAACTCAAAAAGATCTCAAAAAGAAACTTGACCAAATTATGACCAAAATATTCAGCGCATGATCTTTGGGTCTTTGGCCTTCATGGCTTCTTGTTGAATTTTTCGAGCCTAGCAGCAGCGGTTTTGGGAGATTCCAGCAACGGCAACTTGGCAGGCCTTTCCCGCAACGGTGCTGGAGACGATCGTGAAGATAATCATTACCTTGGAAAACTTCAAGTTGTCAATCATTCAGCATGGTTCAGCATGGTTCTCCGCATGATTCTCCCCTGCACTGGATGATGATATATGATGATGGTCCAAACACGTGGAATATGACAAGTCCCGATGTTTTTTCCGAGCCGCGAAAACTCCAGCGAACAGTGCCCATTGCACATAGTGCGCAAGCATGAAGAAGCAAATCACGATCTGGCGTAGTGGCACAACCGCAACTCACAACTCATTGCCTTCGTGAAAACTTCCCACCCCATCCCACCTGCAAAGGACACGACCAAATCAGGTTGAAGTACGGCATCAAGAAGGTGAATTTGTCCTTTAAGCAGCATTTGCCGCATCGAAATCATCGAAATCACGTCACAATATCTCGCGATTCAATGCATTCATTTCCAAGCTTCTCCACTCTAGCAGGCTTTGCTTCATCTTTGTGGACAAGATACATTCTGGTTGCTCGTTGATAAACCAAGAAATGTCTTGACTGGGACAGCAATGGATCAAGGAGAAAAAAGCCCCTGACCGTGTCAGCAGAAATGATGTTCGTCATTTGCCTCAAAGTCAGGCAAATCTCCACTTTCTCCAGGTTTTTTTAAACTCTGCTTACCAGAAAAGTCTTTAATATGTCGGCTTCTTTTCCTTATTTTTCCTTAAGGGCTTCACATCGAACTGGAGCAAGGCCCTGAGTCAAGCACCCCATGCCCCCGGTTGGCAGAGCGGGCTTCTTCTTTGGCCTCGAATAAGCTCCACCAGTTGAGTCATTCATCTCGATTCTGTGAAAAGTTGTGAGTCATGATGTGTAATGATGTGTAGCTGCAAGTGGAAGAGTCATGAAGAGTCATGAAGAGTAATGAATTGTCTAAGAGTTCTGAGGAATGAACGTCTTTTTGCAGCAACGTCTCTGTGGCTGGGGTTCTTCTGGGGGCTCCTCCTTTGGAGGTGTTGCCCAGGGTAATACTCGCAGAGCCTGTCACAGATCTGAACAGTCAAGGTTGAAATCCTGAACAAACACAAAACACCTGAGCTTCGAAACAAACACAAAAGCACAGCGGCAGGACGAAGCACAAGCTGCAGCCCACTGAGCATGTGCAGCATGTGCGCAGCATGCGCCTTGCTGTAGGACATCAAGATGAGGCCCGTCCTCAAACGCATACCTGTCCTGTGCGGCATGCAGGACATCGATGCGGCTTCGATGCAAATTCGCAACCTCTGAGCTCTTGACTGATAGCCACCTTGGAAGTAGTGAGCCATCAAGAAGGCCTGCATCGAAATCGAATCAACGGGAGTCACCAACAAACTCCTTATATACTCCTTATCAGTGCCATGTGAAGGATTGTGCCAGGGAAAGTCTGTAAACGCATCATATTGTCATCTAGCTTGCTTCAGCTCTGCTTTGGGCTATGGCTTTTATTCTCTTTATTGGCCGTTAAAAATCTTCTGATGAGCCTGACAGGCAGAGGAGAGCACCATGCCGATGGCGTAGGCATAGCCCATCCACAATGGCTGGCGATGGCGGCATGGCAAGAAAGAGAATTCTGAAGGATAAACAGTTGTGTGTTGAATATCTGTATGGATTTTGACAGTACATTAATGTACATTATCTGCTTGAAAAGTTTTCGAGGATAGAATGGCAAGATACGACAAGTGCACATCTTCAGGGATTGGCATGAATTCAGTCCATTTTGGACTGAACAGTTTCAACCTTCACTTCTGAAGCAACAAAAGGTACCAGCAGCTGACTGTTGCGCAGCTGACAACTGGCCTTGCCTCGTCTGCTTCGAAACCTGTGTGCTTCACAAAGTTCACAATCCTCGCCACATTGCAAGGGTTGCCACATGTTGCACCAACACGGACGGCGTGGCACTGGATAGTTGCATGTTGGCTTCGCTGAATGCTTGACCATATGTCCATTGATGTCCATGTGTCATGCAGCTCATGTCCTGTTCAGCAGAAATGGGCCCACGAAGTGTAGACAGTCGTTGATGAACTTCACCCAAGCAGTGCTGAAGACCTGACAGGAAACTTGAAAATATACACCATGCATTTGCCAAGAGCACACAGCCTTGCATCCAACTCCGGGTTATGCGTCGTGCTGATGGAAGAAACACTGATTGTGCTCACAGTGACCGCTATCAGCTGTGCCTCCACCCGAAAGGCACGTGTCATCGCCGACAGGAGCGCCGGTTTCTCTTTTCGAAGCTCCACCTAGAACCAAAGCGATTGCTGTTCAAGAGTTGCGTTGCCCGTTGGTTCATGGAAGTTTCAAGTGGGGAATTACTGGTGCAGTCTGAAATCAGCGCAGCTTGGGACCTGCCAATGCTGGTCCAAACGCTCCAGCTGCCGTGCTGCCACGTTTTTGCGCGTCAACGGATAGACGTCCGTCAGCTCCAACTTGCCCTGCTCCTTCGGTCAGATCTGGTGTCATCCGTTCTATCCGTGTCACCAACTATCCCAGAAAAGTGCACTGGTTATGTCAAGATCTGAATGATCATAGCATGCAACACATTTGGGAGTGTCGATTCGTATGCCTGGTCTCGCTGGTAGGCCAAATCCACAATGGGCGTAAACCAACTGAAAGCCTTGGAATTGAAACAACTGTAGTTCTGTACCACTGCAATTCAGCTCAAGCACAAGCGGGCAAGAGGATATGAAAACAATCCAGAAAATGGAAATAAAAAGCACCGGTGAGAACCAATTAAATTAATAAAATGAAGCTTAATACAGCTTAAGAATACAAACAAACTGCTGAAGAACTTCTACGTAGACAAAGGGTCTGACTTTGTAGGCTGCAGAGCTGCTAGGGTTCTGACCAGCCATCCAGCAATTCCCATGTGTTCCTGTTGGAAAAAACCATCAACCAATGCTTTTGCAACCCCAGAAATGAGTCGCAAGTGTTCCGCAACGAGATTTCACAGCACTCCTCTGGAGACGGGTCTCTAGTGCTGATGGTTCTGGCCTTGCTGAGCCATGCTTCACCCATTTGCATGAATGCCACCGAAAATATTGGACCATAGCAATCAAGTTTTGAACCACTCTTTGCTTGAAGACGCATCCCTAAACATAGTTTGGACCAACGAACATATCTTGAGAAGCTTTCGAAACCAAGCTGTTTAAAGAAAAACGGCATGCATTTTTTCAAGTTCAGGATTTTGTTTGGCAGCGACAAGTTGGTGGAACTGATCCCAGTCTGAGATCCTTGCGAATTGCGCCCCTCCCACCAAGGAGATGCCACCATCGCCCTGTGCAGCGGAACTCATCTCGATCGAACAGTTTTGGAGCTTTTTTCTGTGACGCATACAGTTGGGCACTGGTGGACGGATTGAATTACGTAATCCCATAGGATCCATGTATGGAATATTATGGAATATTTACCAACATTTACCGCATAAATCACCCAGTTTTGTAAGTAAATATACCATACATGGAGCATCTGGGAATTACAATGAGTTCCCCCGGAAGATTCCTCCAAGGAAGGTTGCCCTGAGACACGACCGGTAGGAACCAAGTAGGCCTAAGCCGCAGTGGTTTTTTTGCTGGGCGATCATACCCATGGTCAACATCATGTACCCTCTGGTAAACATACAAATAACTATGGAAAGATCCACCATTTTCAATGGGTAAATCCACTATTTCTATGGTCATGTTCAATAGCTATGTCACAAATTACCAGAGGGTAAACATCATGTAAACATCATGTCAACATACAAATAACTATGGAAAATCACCATTTTTGATGGGTAATTCCACTATAAATGGTCATAATGTAAACATCATGTAGCTGCCATCTTTGAACAGCTTCAGTTCAGCTTCTAGCTTCTCTGAGTTGGAGGCAGCAGTTGCAGCAGTGCAAAGGACAAGTTCACCAGCTGAGAATCCCAGTGCCACCTGAGACAGCAGGAAGGAACAACTCACCAGGGAGAATATGGAAATCACGAAGTGCTTGGAAGTGATTGATTTCACTCCTTCCTGGATCTTCCTGGTTGCAATGCACTTTGAGTCATTGAGTCCAAGCTGTCCAAGCTGTCCAAGCTGTCGCTGTGCAATGCCGGGACTCGCTGAGAGGCAAACCCAACTGTCCTTTGATGCACGGTCGTATGTAGCAAGGACCTAACAAATCGGTAGCAAATTGCTTTGCCATTCCGAGCTGCTGCTGTGTTGTGGCAACATACCGCAACTGTTCTCTTTGAAGATCCACACTTCGAATAACAACAAGATGTGATACTCGCAAACTGGTCACTATAGTCCCTTAATAGTCCGCAAACTTTGTAAAGCGGAAATGGAACGGGGTGCAAATCCATTCATATTTTTCTTAAACTCTCTTTGACTCTCGCTTTACCACGACTCCCGCATCGGCTTTAACCTCTTCTGGTCCCGTATTAGTGCTGACAGGAACCCTTGACCTGGGTTTCCAGACATTCACAAAACTCCATCTAACTATTTGCAGATACAGTCAATACAGTCAGTGCATTAGGACTCTGCATGGCTTAAGAATGATACAAAAAAAAAACATCAAATAAACATCCAAAAACATCAATGAAGTCCCATCGACCTGAGCAGCCGTAGTGAGCAGCCACCAAATCTTCAAGGAGAACTGCTCACCCAGGCCACGGCGCACTTCCTGAAACGATGCATCGATGTCTATCATTTCTATCAAATCTCTTCGAAATTCTGTAAGATGTAATTAGATGTAATATGATGTAATTAGTAACTATGGCTCTCATTTGAGTATACCGCAAAATCATCTCATTTGTTGTGCTCTGTCTATATTGAGACTATCTTCATGCACCCAATGTTCGTCTAGTAGTTCATGTGAGCATGACAGCTTCATCCAATCTATTGCAATTTTAACTAGGAATGGCACCAAAAACAATACTACTGCAAAGGGAGTTGTGATGAGTTGTACATTGACCCAAATCCAGACACAAACAACTTGAGAGATTCAAAGAAAGAAACCACCATGGAATGTGAAGAGTTGTGGAAACAGCGAAGGCTATGGCCTGCTGCTGCCAAAATCCAACTGCCATGGCCTCAGAAACAGCGAACAGCGACGTGCCACGACTAGCACTTGGTGCACTGTCTGGGAATCTCTGGGAATCTTGATTTATGCTTAGATAACTTAGATATTTCTTGACAGATTATCACATAACAAAGGAATTTGCTTTGGTTTCAAAACAAACTAAAAAAAACAGGAATGAGTTCAAATACGGAAGACTCCAGGGAAAATAAGGAGTGGATAAAACTTTTTTATTTTTTTTCACGTGGAGAAGGTTGCCTTCTGAAAGTTGCCTTCTCAATGTTTCCGCGCTGCTTCTTGCTGTACAAGTTGGGGGTTGGCTAATCCGATGGTCTGGGATTGTCACAAGAATTGACTCTTATCAAGGAATCACATCCAGTTGAATCAAACTGATGCACGTTTACAATTTTGTATTTGGCGGCTACTTTGTCATAACTCTTCATTTTTCACATTTCAGCTCCAAGCTCTTTGATAGATCTGGCTCTCGTTTTGAACGGTTTGTACAAAGTTCGGTTCTTAAAGCAACTTGAAATTCCAAATGCAAATGGCTGGACTGAATTCTAAATCTGAATGGAATGAAAACTCCTCTCATCATCTCATCTAGCTTCATTCGCCTGGCTGAAACACAGTAGTTACAGTAGTTCCCCAAATTTGAATCACATTTCGGGATGGTCCTACTAACCAAATTTAACCAATCCATGTCCAGGTCATTGTGATGTTACAATTCAGCGAACTCATGATATACAATCATGGAACTGCAAACAATGTTTTCTTTTAATTCTCGTCCATCTGCAAATTGGTTCCCAATTGCAAAAACATGGTTTCAATTGCCTTCACTATAAAACTAATTGTGATTGATTCTCCTGGGAAACCCACTGCGATGGCAATGCACCCACCTTCGATGCCAGATGTTTCGTTGAGAACCTGTACAAACGCATCGAAATTCTGGTCATTCGAACAGCAGAACACGTGTCTTGAAGAAACACATAGAACCCATAAACACATGGAATCCATGAATTGTAACATATGTTTAGCGTTGCATTGCAATTGTAATGTTGAAACATGGAAACACAACACCCCGGGGGAACCCATCACAAACACCATCAACTTCTATCAGATGCAACTCTTATCGGCTGCAAAGTAATCGATTCGCACAGGTTCGGTGCCGTCACCTGACTGGAACTCACCCCAACCAAGAACTCGGCAATGCCCACCTGAGCCAAAAAAAACAAATCCCGTTGTCACCTTGCGATTGGGAAACTCACCAAAAAATCCAAAAAAATGGGAAAACAATTGAAAATCCCATAAATTATCTTAATATATCTTAATTTTCTTTGGGAAACTCACCGAAAAATTGCCAGCGTATCACTGGCTCCAATCAAAAATCAGGTCCCGGGCCAGGAAGAGAAGGCCACAGCAAAGGCCGCGGGCGCTGTCTATCCCCGTGACACGGGGCAGTCGCAACCTGCCGTGTCACGACGTGACGCACATCTGCTGTTTTGGAACTACCGTCCACACAAGAAAGCGCATCACAAGTCACATCCATAACATGATATAACATGTCATATCCCCATTTTGAACGCAATTTCTTCTGTAGTTTTCCTCTTATTTCCTTGGCTCTCTAACCAATTCCAAATTCCTTCAAAAATATTTTCCCAGTTATCTTCCGTACCTTCTTTCCTGTCTTTTTTCCCCAGTTTGTTCCCTAATTTCGACTCAATTTCTTCACAATTTTCTTTCCGGATTTCTTCCATATTTTTCTATTTTCTCTTCCATGGTTTTCCCTAGTTTATGCATGAGACATGGTCAGACCTGGTAGGACCTGATGAGATATGGTGAACTTAGCGCAGGCCAAAGCGCAAGGAGCTGCAGAATGCGGCTACGCGTGTGCATTCACACAGGACAAGCTCAGAATTTGGATCGCGTCCACAAGCACTTCGACTCGCCGTGGGCTGCTTTCAACCAAAAACTTCTAAGTCAATGCATGAAGATCATGATGGATAATACGACGCAGCCAGGCTCCAAAATGCGGCACAGCATGATGGACCCTGGTAGAAAATGCCCTGAACTCCACGTCGTGCAAAGTTGATTTGAACATATTTGAACCATATCATGCCCCCTGCGTCAAATATTCCCTTAGCACGCGCACGTGCAGAAAGCCAAAAACGCCCTCTTTATATTTAAGGGGTGCCTGGGGGGCCCACCCGTCGAGCTTTGAGGCAGGTTTCAACAATGACTGATCATGAAAGAGGTTGGTATTTCCGCGGAATTCTAAAGTTCCGCGGCAAAACATAATGGATTTCTTCCTTAATTTCTTCCCATTATTTTCTTATATTTTCTTTGCTATTTTCGTCTATATTCTTTCGTAGTTTCTTCCCTGCTTTCTTCCATATCATATATTCTTCACTGTTTTGTTCTATTTCCTATCGTGTAAGGAATCGCCTTTCTACACCTTTCAAGAGTTTTTCGTCGCACCAACAGAATCGTTTTGCGGATGACATCTTATGACATCTGCAGCTTCCAGTGCAGCTGCTTTTGCATCTCGTGAAACCCTGAGACCCTTGGGATCCCTTGGGCCCTGCCTTGGTATGTCGCGAACGACGCACATGCCAAGGACAACTCCGATGCAAGCGAGGCCTGCAACGGCAGCCTGGCGGCCATGGGTCGGATCGAACAGTTTCACAGCAACCTGCAGCAGAGGCCGAGAGGCCAGGTGAGAGGCCTGGAGGATGATGTGAACATAGCACTCATTGAAACCTCCGGAGAGCCAGTTGGAAACTGATTCTCTATATTCTCTCAAGTCCACTTGGATTGCTTGATATTGCTTGGCAAATTCTTTCAACTTCAGTCTGTGAAAAAACAATGCTGAACTGTCAGCCACTGTCTTCACTTTCCCTTGTCTTGGAAGACCATTAGTGCTTCCCTTGCACTAAAGACTTTCTGCTATTGATTTTCCTTTCACACATCTGTTGCTAAATCTGAAATCCAAATATGGCACAGCAGCGCCTCCCGAGACAATGATGCCTTCCTCCAAGTCACAAATCTGCTCCATGGCAACAGGGCAACGTCGTCGACCTTTTTGTTGACCGACAGGAAATGGCAAAATTGAAAGCAAAATTGGATCGCGGGAATCACTGGGAATCACTGGGATCGATTTTCCAGACAAAAGATCTTGGGTCCTTCGGTACAAAATCGGCCCGATAACTCAGAGCCAAGGCAGCCAAGGACTGCGGTCCAATTTCTGTCATTCGTGTGACCACAGTGTCTGACTAGCCACTTTGACTCTGGCTTGGATCAGAATTGAGTCACCAAAACGTTTTTCAAGGCCACTACTTCAGGTGTGCCATTTTTTTTTACCTTGCAGGCAAAGACCCGCAGTTGTTGAGGGTGCTGAAATGACATTGAAAATTAAATAACCTACACTCTACACACTCTACGGGGAGGGAGTGCTAGCTCTTCCTCCTTTCGCTTCGATTTCTCTTCTTGAGAAAACAAGCTTTTCAGCAGGATCCTCAGTTTTCAGGTCCGTCAGGCCGCGCGTTACAATAACATGAGTCTACCGTATCTACCAACAAAAAACCAAACAAGTGACCTCAGTGATCTACACATTACAACAGAGTCATGTAATTGCTCAGCCCAAAGCCACGGAGTTTCTGCTGCAAGGCCATGTTGACATGCTGGCCCTATGCGACCCTGGCTTGAATATGCTTGAAATTGGCTAAAATGCTTTAGCACGCCAAGCGGCACTTGAGACGCGCATTGAGCACTCATTTTGCCTGCACAGCCAATCGAGACGAGCAGAACAAGGTTAAGGAAGTGCTCGGCTGGATCTGGGAGAGTTTGGAACTTATTTGAGACTTTTATAGTTCTTTTATGGAGAGACTTGGCAGAACAATCCCAACATGAGTCCAGGTAAGAGTCAACCACATCAAAACATAAGCAGGATCTAAACCCTCAAAATCCTCAATGGCATTCAAGCAGTGGATATGTGCGAGGCATGCTCCACCTTCGGCTTGGCTTTGAGGATCACCAGTCTCGCTGTTTGGAGGTGGTTGTTGATGGAGCCACTGATGGCTTCATTCCTCGTTGCACAGTGTTTCAGCTGCGCTACTTCTGCAGCTTGCTGGGGCGAGCACTCCACGGTTTCGAAGCAATCGGCTTCCGCGATGATGCGGGCCAAGTCATCCTCAAATCCAAATCCAAATAGAAATCCAAATATTTGTAAAATACAAATATTTGTTTCAATGCAAAATACGTCTCAAATCACCTCAACCATCAACTACCGTAGGACTCATCTTTTAGAGCCCCATGCAACCCATGGAGACCATGCGATCCATATCCGCCCTGTCGATTGGGTCCTCCGTGGTGAGCTGTCCAAAATCGATTGTCGTAATGTACTTCATCCTGGCAGCAAGACTCGTCAACCCACTCCATGTCAGTCCATGTCAGTCTGTCGCTGTTACATTTGAGACTTTTACAGGTTCTGAGTTTTTGGTAACTCAAAGTTCACACGAATTTCAGTCGTCTCAGTCGACATTAAACAGATCCAGAGCGCAGGGGCTTGATGAAGGCCATCAAGGGAGAATGTTTCTTCTGAAAGGTCCTCAGTGGCTCAGTGGCTCTGGTTTTCACCAGCTGCAACGAGGTGAGGACTTTCTCTCGGGCACTGGCTGGGTGATGAAGATCTGACCGTCTCGCTTCATCAACGGCAGCACTGAGCAAGTCAAATCGAGGCTGCGCAGATCTGTGCAACCATTCTCTTCATTCTCTCATCATTCTCTCAGCATCTGGACATGTCTGGAGATATCTAGAGATATATCTAGAGATATCTAGAGTGGACAGAATATGGCAGAATAACACGTCATATATCGTCATATTCAGCAGCCTGCTTTCAGCGCACTTGGAGGATCTGGCATCACCTCACTGTGCCGTCTAAGAGGCTCAACATACGTTGCAACTTGCAAACATTTCTCACTTGGCACCCATTTGCACCCCAACTTTCTCATAGTTTCTCATACTTTCTCATGTCTTTTCCGTTGGAATCAAGTTGAATCAAGTGAGATAGTACAGCATGAATCCATGAGAGCAAAACCATTATAATGCCATTAAACATTGGAAAATCGACGCAAGTGAAAGGATCTGTGCTCGACACTGTCAAGGAACCAGAGAAATAGACTGCATCAAAGCGCAGGTCCTGGTGTGGTGACGCAACAAGAAAGGTGCCCATTTGGGCGCCTAAGTTTCAGATACCCTCTGGTAAACATACAAAAAACTATTGAACATTGCCATTTATAGCTGATTGACCCATTAAAAATGCTGATTTTCAGTAGCTATGTTAAATTACCAGAGGGTATCTCAAAGCCACCAAACTGAAGGAAACATCTGGAAGTCCAGTAAATCCATGATCCAACATCCAATATCTTCCCCAATAAAAAGGAAGTGAAGAGCCTCTGGAACAGCACCCTTTGGCTTCTCTTTGTCACTTGCCTGTACGCTTCGGCTGGAAAATTGGAATCATTCGGAATCACTTGGAATTGAAACCTGTCCCAAACCTGCCCCAATTTCATCCAATTTCAACATGACAAGCAGCTTGGCCTCGTAGCACAGCTCCGACAAACCTTCATCGTAGATGGAGCGTTCCAGCACACGGCCTCATGTGCAAACAGTGTTCAGGAATCCTTCAATAATTGCTTAACCATGCTTAACCGTTCACCAAACATTGAGAAACCGCAGCATATATTTCAGTGAAACCGCTGAGCATCTTGCAGTAGAACCTGAGATACATTGAGATACGCGTTTCAGTACCCTCGGGTAAACATACAAAAAACTATGGAAAGATCCACCATTTTCAATGGGAAAATCCACTATTTCTATGGTCATTTTCAACGAACAAACCGATGGAGTGGTGCATTTATTGCATGCTGAGGGACTCTCCAGGCCGATATCCCTCAGTGCCATCCGGTGCTGGGCGCCAAAGGTCTGCCTCTTTCAAAACTGCCTGGGCACAACAAAAAACAATGGAAAACAATGGATCACAATAGATCACATAAAAAACCAGGTGTAAACATGATCAAAGATGATGAAACAATCTCAAAGAGTCAACAACTTTCCGTCATCAGCAGTCAATCAATCAGTTTATATTACCCATAGGATCCATGGTGCTGGTAGATTAATGCTAACATGACTGGGGTATATTGATGGGATCCATGTTACCATATATACTATACATGGATCCTATGGGTTATAGTTTATATATGTTCTTCAGTTCTTCCCCACAAACAGCGTTTGTTCTTGCTCGCCCTCGCCCTCGGCTTTCTGCCTCGGCTTTTCGGACATAGGCAGCCTCACAGGACTTGCACAACCCACTTTCACGATAGAACAGTACACAGGAGATTCGCAAGGTGAAACCATCTTTTCATATCTTTTCATATCTTTTCTGTAACCCATGACGGATCCATGGTGCTGCTATATATATGGTAACATGGATCCCATGAATATACCCCAGTCATGTTAGCATTAGTCTACCAGCACCATGGATCCGTCATGGGAACTGCAGTATTTGGCCTTAGCGAATCGGCCTCGTAGTCGATTCCAACCACCGACAAGTGTCGATCCAAGAGTTCGGCCTCACTTTTCGGCTGAGTGAGTTTCGGCCTGAAAAATGGGCCATCAAAATGCTACACGCACAGGGGAAAATGGCGTCATCAAATTAGAGGATTGAGTTCTGCCTTCCATCATCTGCCTTCCTAATGAACTTATATGAACTTATATGAACTGATCATGTCTGGCCTTGTTCTTGACCAAAGCTGTGGCAGTTCCGATACCGACCTCATGTCGTCAAAGCAGGTTTTTGATCGGAATCATGCCATCATATGCCATCATATGCCATCATATGCCATCATATGCCATCGCGGGAATCGCAGGAATCGCTACAGCAAGAAACGTCAAGAATTCGATTTCCCCGCTGCAGGCGCTGAAAGACCACCTTTCAGCGGTGAAATACTTCAGGTACGGTGGATGCATTGAAAATGCATTGAACATGTGCAAATTTCATGTGGACGAACGACTGAAGCACTTGCGCCGGACCTGATACCACCGGGCCGTCATCCAAACAATCACTGCGTCGTAGACCTGCATTGCAGGTGACTTCAGACTAACCAGGCTTCCACTGGGCATGGCCATGCATCGCCGATTGCGAACCAAGAGACATCGGCCGCAAAAAGTCGAAGAATCATCAACCTGGTAGGGAAGGGAAAATGAGGGGAGAATGCCAAGCCGTCCCAATAATTGTATATGATTTTGACTTGTGGGTTGAGGGCTTGGCAAGAGTGCTGGTATCACCAGCAAGAGCCAAAGCATTGCTGCAATGTCAAAAGCGGCTGGATTTAACACAGCAGTATACAGTTACAGCAGTAGAACTCTCTGTGACTTTCATGATCTTTCATGGAACATTTGCTTCTTCCAAGAGAAACAAATTAGATAAATTAGGGAAATGTTTCAAACCTCATCCCATCGATTCACAGCTTATCAAGTGGCCAGTGGAAATTGGACGGTATTTGTCAGAATCACAACAGGTTTTTGTTAGGGGTCAACTATGATTTGACCACCACAACCATAAGTGGCTTGACGCTGGAAAAATTTTGAAGGTCATATTGTCAAACTTGGAAATCTAATTCTACACTGCATGAACGCAATGACTCCATCACATTTCAGGTAGAATTGAACACGAGGTAGCGCTTCTAGGTCATCATCGTCATCTTGTATTTCTTGCTGTGCATCCAAGTCTTCTTGGTCTTTGAGCCGGAGAACGCATCAGAAGACGTTGTCACTCTGCACAGCGGGTCATGCTGTGCGACTTGCATCGAAGGCTGCGTTCTGGTTCATTTTCAGTTGCACTTTATTTCATAATTCGTCTACTTTTACCATGATTTGCCGTTTTGATTTGATTGCTTGCTGAAACCACGTCAGGTGCACAGGCATCATCATCATCATCATCATCATCAACAACATCAACATCAACATCAACGTAAACACACATACATATATATATATGTGTACTAAGTATACACAAACATTATATTTATTATATATAATTTAATCATCAGGAATGCTTTCTGTGACCGATTTTGTTTTAAGACCGGGTCAACCAATCAGCTGAGCAGCAGGTCCAATCGACCGGCCGCCCAGCACTTCGTTAACAGCTGAAGTCAGCGCCAGGTTCAACGCGAGAAAGACTTCTGTCTTTGCACAGCGACACAACACAACTGCAAAGAGGAAACCACAATGAAAGTGGCAAAGTATCAATTACTATATTTTGCTGTATAAGTAAGCATTTTAATGACTTGTAGTGCTAAATGGCCGAAACTGTGCATGTAAAAAATTGGATTTTTGACCTAAGAGGCGAATGCTTTTCTCAGCTTTGTAAAGTTTGTTGTGTCACCACTGGGCTCATTAAACGGGCTTCAAACGACCCTTATTGCCAGCCTCGCCAGCTGCAAGATCTCTGGTTTCACCAGCGATCGTCGCACCAAAAATTTCACAGCACTGCGGAGTACTGCAGCACATTGCGCATTGCAGCATTGTCTATGTTTTTTTCCCTCATTAATTATCATGATCTGTTCTTTTCGAGCGTTTATCTTTTAACTTTTTACATCACATTCTCAAACTTCGTTTCAGACTTCATCTGGCATCCTCAACGTCCCTGACTCAGGTGCTGGAAGCAGGCCTCCCGCAAACGATTGAAGTCAAAGCACATACAGTATTTTCTCATGTGCCAGAATTTGTTCACAAAAGCAAGGGACCAACATTGACAATACTCATCAATACTCAAATACATTTCACACTAGTGACACGTGTAAATTACTCTCATTTCCAACAGGATCAAATTGAACACACTTCATCACCATTGGCTGAGTCCTTGTGCCACACACCACCGGATTTGCTGCTCCAAGCACGCGATGGCTTTGAAGTTGCCAATGTCCTGAAAATGAGAAGAAACACGACCTGAGAAACAAACGATCTGCTTTCTGATTCCGAACAGCTCCACAAGTTGACAAGGTTGAGACTCAAATGGACGACATTTCACTCAAGTGGTCAAACTGTATATCCCATAGGATCCATGGTGCTGGTATATATGCTAACATTTGGGGTATATTATTGTTAATTGTACCATATATGGCAGCACCATGGATCCTATGGGTATGAGGACGATTTTCAGTCTCCAGGCATCTCCAGGTTGACATCCGCAACATCTGCAAGACATCGCCTCTCCAACCGCTTCTTTCATCGCTTGCACGCCAACAGTGCAGTCGGCCATCGAGTCGATACCATGTCCCTGACCCAAACTTTACACGTTGAAAGGATGGAGATATATGGAGATTAAATTATATGACAAACATCAAACATGATCAAACTTGACATGTTGAGACATGTTCTTCTGTCAAAGATGTTTTACACTGTCTGTATTTCATTCATATTTCATTCATATTACATATATCTCGTCCAATTTTTCATCCAACCGTAAGCCAGCCGTAAGCTGTTTTCCAAAGCTACAGCGTTTCGCCGTTTCGCCCGTTTCGTTTCGGCGCCTCCACAGTAAGAGCTGCACAAAATGACCAGCTTTTGAAGCGAATTGGATCTGCGATGATCATCTCTCGCCACTGGACCTCAGGTGATGATAGGTGATGTGGCTGTCTGGCCGTTAGATCTGCAAAATCGGGACTGAATCCAAATCAAAAACCTCATTTCCACAAATTTCATACCATTTCAGATGTCATTTCATACCATTTCTTAAACATCTAACAGTCTGAGCAACCATCAAACTCGCAACCCGGAGCTGCATTGAAAAAGGATGGACATCCAAATACCCAGCGATGATATCGCGATGATTTTTTCACACTTTCCGAGCTTTCCGAGGCAAAGCTTTTTGCTGTGACAAGTTGAGGTCAGCACAAAATCCATGATTTGCAAGTTGCGGTACCTCAATCCACACATCTCAAAGTATGCAGACTATGCAGAATTGGGACTCAACATGAACTCCCACAATGTGTGAAGTGCTGGATTTTGTGCGGTTAGTCTCCGTGCTTTTGCGCGAGGGCCTCTTTCTTCGCACTTTGAATCCCAGTTCAAGTTATAGATACAAAAAACATCATCATTTTGTCACAAAGAATTTCATGGCATGAGACTTAATTGACACTTCATCATTTCATCATCTTTTCATCATCGACAATCTGAGATCTGAGATGAGCTGACCCCAAGAGTTGAAAGACTTCCGTCAAGTCAGCAATGGAGATGCTGTTGCCAGGCCTCAGTGCCGCCAGACTCAGCAGTGAACTGCTCCGTTGGTCGTTTCGTTTTGTCTGGGGATGTCACACTGCGGGATGGAAAACGCTTCCGCTGGCGTAGCCTGGAGAGTGGTTCATGAGTCAATGATGTGATTCCCATGGCAAATGATGGTGGAACATGTCACAACGAAATCAAGTTATCTAGCAACTACCAGGCAAGCCGCCCAATCGTAAAACACCATGAGGGTGCAGAATGCAGATTGTTCCGATGGGAAACAACATGGAAAGAAAGAAAGGTGCTTAACTTACACAAAAACAACGAACAACTAGCATGCATCAAACAGCAGGAAGAGTGGAACGCAATGAACATATTGAAATCGATCTCCATGGCAATATCCTCTGACTTCTCTGACTTGTTCTTCATCTTCAATTTGACCTTGAATAGCGGAAGCTTTTAATATAGCTGGGTCTGACACAGATTCAGTTTCTGAATCATCACCTGGTGTCAGATATTCAGATTGTTAACTGCGTCAATATTTTTGGGATGTTTTTATAGCAAGTGTATCACTATCAGAATTGCAGTCTCTTGTTGCGCTTGCCAATTGCTGATATATTCTATACAGTATCATTCTCATAATCCTGGAACCCGAAACAACTAGAGATGGTGCTTTCCCCAGTTCCAGCCATTTGTTTCTTAGGGGTTCTTCGCTAGCATAGCGATTCACAACCACCGGCCTTCTTTTAGAGCAATGCCCACGATGGCCTACAGAAGCCGCCGCTGTTAGGAAAGGGAACCGTGGGGATTTCTAGTGATGTTTCCATGTGGAAATCAAAAATGATGTGCTGATGATGAACTGATTGATAAACTCATGGACTCTCATGCTTTAGAGTCTTTATAATAATGTTAGGTAGTGAATCAATTCACTGCAGAATTCCACAGAGCTCACAACTTGTACAGCTGATGCTGATCCAGAAAATTTGGCTAGGGCTTTCACCTTGGCCACCCAGTCAACTGGCGTCAATTTGAACTTGTTGCCCTCCATGTCGGGCAAACACCGCAGTTTCAGCACCTCGAAATCGGGGCGAAGCTGCATCCATTTTCGGTCACCAAGCTGTTGATGCTGTTGATGCTGTTGAGGCTGCCACGTCAGATAGGAAATGGAAGAACACATCTTCCGCAGAGGCTCCTGTCAATGAGTTGCCACCTTGGAATGTGGAGATTTTCCCAGAGATTTTCCCCATAGATGCCATAGATGCCATAGCCAGAAACACTGCCATTTTTTCTGCAAGGCACCATCCATCACCATCCCCTGGTGGATTTCAACTGATGGGCCAACGACACGACCAGGGCTATCTTGGGCTTGGACCAATGAGTCCAGGACGATGAACGAATGCAGGAAGACCCTGTCGTGCTGCCTGCTTTCGCTGTTGCCACCATCTGTATCCATCTGTCGTCCAGTTTCGAGCAATCTTGGATGTAATTATTTATGTTCAATAATTCAATAACTATATGAATTAGAGATTTGGAATTATTGAACATAGATTGAACATTTGGACATAGAATTTTATTCAATCTATGTTCTGTTTGGACATTTGGACAGCGGGGTCTAATTTACATGCGCCTAGCTCTTTGTATTCGTCCTTTTGCGGAGTCATCTTTGTAGAAGTTTCAAACATTACCTTCTGCTCAATCTGCATCACACTAGCTGTCACTAGCCGTGCAGTTTGAGAAAATTCACTTGGTTCAAACATGGGTCGGAAAAATGGGTGACGCGTTCAATAATTTTGGGCTCAATGGCTCATGATTCACCCAATTTTGTTTCGCCTCAAAGACCATCATCTCTGCGAGCCATTTGCTTTGCGGATAGCCATTGGCCTGTATTCAGCGATCAAAATCAGATCAAAATCAGATCAAATCCAACTCACTCTTGAGAAGTTGAGAAGAAGATGATAATTATATAAAAGATATGAAAAGCATTAAAAAGATTTAAAAAGCATCAAATCAAATGCACCGTGCTGCACCATCGGACTGGTCCTCTTTGTTTTTTCTCAGACTTCGCTGCCCATCCCCCAATGCGGTCCTGGTCCCCTGTGCCATACAAAGGCATGCAACGGATGTCGCCCAACGGCGCGTTTTCACGCACAGAGCCATGTCTGTCCTGCAAACACAAAGACTTCCATGCGCCTCAACATGCCTCAACATCTAGTCGTTGACTATGGCACTTGTAGGATTAGAAAAGTTTGAAAACAAGCAGCGGTCCAGCATGTCTGGCCTCAGGTCAGCGTGCAAACTCGACAGAAGAAAAACATCACATCGACGTTGAAAATTGATGGAAGTTCTTCAATTGTGCTTCAAATGTGTTAAACATTGTTAAGCAATTGGAATCAAATATTTGAAGTAAATTGGATGCCTAGCGCTTAGTGCCTAGGTAAAACATCTGCACTCTACACAATATAGGAGTACCACGCGCGTTGTTCACAAGACTTCCAGACTGCGTTGTGTGTCTAAGAGAAGGAAATATGGAAACAAGGAAGAAGAAGGAAGAAGAAGGGGACACTGATGGACAATCTGGAGGCGCTCACCTGACTGGGAATGTCCGAACCGAGACTGCGACGTTAAAACTCCCATGGTGGAGATGTGATGAAACGGCTTTGAACGCACCATGGAGCAGAACTCCAAAAGGTGCGCGGTCGCATCCACATTGTCCTGGCGCTGACAGGAAACACAGACTTCCTGTTGACCTTTGCAGCTCTTGCAAGTTATCACATGTTATCACCTCATGTGCTTTTGCTCAATGCAATATTGCGATATCACGTCGTTCTAGTAACCTAATATATCCATATTATCCGGTATGTTCCAACGTCGCGGCCTTTCGCATCATATCAAAGGGCTCGGTGAGGTTCACCCGCGCTGCCGAATGAAAGACGTGCGTGACACGACCTGAGCCGAGCTCCACGGAGCCTCGATGCGAAGCCACCGGACCTGGGAAAACCTGCGCCACTGCGATGCTGAGCCGATGGCCTGCCATCCGTTGCACCTCCACAAAGGACCGCCCGAAATTCCGCTGCGACAGATCTCCGGGAACAGCCTGCAGAAAGCAGCTTAAAACCATGATTTTCTGGTTGCTTTCGAACTCAAACATATCAAATTCACATATTCAAAATATGTCAAAATAATATGAACAGATTAATGAACAATATTAATGAACATCTATCAAAGTACTGGAGTTCCTGATCTGAGTCCATAGTTACATCAATCCTCCTTCTGTTCATTGAGGTAGTTGTCGGAATTGTTGGTATCCACCCTCATTGCCTCGATGATCTCAGATGCAGCAATGCCAATTTTGCTCAGCGCCTGAAGCGGTTTCTGAAGCGGTTTGGGTATCACAAATTGAGATTCTGTGTTGATTTCACTGAGAATCTGCCCATTCTACCAATCTTATCTTCACTATCATCTTCACTTCTCAATATTCTCAAAGGAGGACCTCCGTCAAGTTTGCAGCAGAAACTTTGGGCAGTCCGTTGAAATCGGAGCACCACTCGGGGCACCTCTTCAACTCGCCGCTGAGCGCTTTGTGGGTCGGCTGCACGAACCAAACAGAAAATCTTGCTGCACTCTCCAGAAGTCAACAAGGCCGCCACCAAGTGCCTGCACTTGGCACACGAACCACAGCAACTTGGGAACTTCAAAATCTTCAAACTGCGAAACTGATATGTTGTTTGCTCAGAGGGATCACAGTCGGGCCTGCCGAGGAAACCACAGGCACCAGTAACAAGGGGCGCGCAAAGCCCATCATTTGCAGCAGCATGGACCTGGCCGAACATCGGACATCTCACATAACACCATGCATTCTGCGCACTCCAAGTCTTTCCAACAATTTCTCTTAGGCCTCTTGGTGTATCTTGTATTGAACGCATCATGCAACATGGCTGCTGCCTTCATGCGGCCAATGGCGCGGCTGACATATGCCGGCAAAATGATGGGCGGGCGCCTCAGCAATGCACAAAAGTTGGACCATGTGCAATGGACACTATGACGGTGTCTGTTGCATCATGGTTATACAGTTATACTTAACGAGAGCTACTGATATATCCGCCGGCCCCCCTCCAAAAAAGAGCGCGAGGTGGCCAAACATATAACAAAATGGGGTGGTACATCCGTGGATGTCATGGGACTCTCACGGGAGTGTGATGTGCCATGATGTGTCATGATGTGCCATGATGTGCCATGATGTGTCACAGAGCTACATAGCAACATATATAGCAACCATGGATATATAAACCATGGATACCCATGGATACCCTCTGGTAAACGAACATATAACTATGGAAAATCACCATTTTTAATGAGAAAATCCACTATAAATGGCCATTTTCAATAGCTATGTTAGTTCACCAGAGGGTAAAGTCCAGTCTCCTTACTAAGTTGCTTCTCCAAAAACATTGCAAGACGTCGCCACACTCTCAGGAGACGACAAGTCGCGAGGAATGGGTCGAGCACTTGGTCTGATCAAATTCTCGTCTTTGGACCAAGTGAAGGCCTTGAACATTTGGACAGACAATTGGGATAACATATCCCACATTTATTGGATGATATTGGATGTTTATCCCACATTTATCCCTGACCATTTTTGGGATACAATGTGGGATAAACATCCTTCCAATTCCAGCAGGGCAATCCTTGAGCTGCTTCACTTGCTTTATGCCATGTCCCATCATGTCCCACAGAAACTTGGCCACAGACTTGTGGGGGAAGACCTGCAAGGTGCGAGTTCAAAAACATCTTTCGAACTCGAAAATCATGGAAGATATCCGAAGATCTCAATGCTCGGTTGCATCTCGGCGTCGTATCGCGCCTACTGCCAAGGTCTGTGCTGGCAAACGTGCTGAAGGCCCAACCTCTGGCATTTCTCGGGTCGCTGATGGCCGGTGATGGCCGACGGCCGGTGACGGGTGGTGTCTCAGTCGATACTTTCGAAGGTCAAGGCCCAGGCTGCTGACAGCGGTGCAAGGACACTGAAGTTGCCTGCCACTCTCTGCTGAATCCGTGATAGTATGAAAACATCATGATTTGTAAGAGAAGGAAACATGGAAACATCATCAAACATCGAGGAAACCTGAGAATACCAAAAACAAACGACAACAGTTATGACTATTTTATGGCTACAGCGGCTACACCAATCGTCCTGATCTGATTCCAGAAAATCCCTTCATCTCAACTAGCCTGTCTCCGCTGCGACCACAGCCGAAGCATGGGACACCTGCGACAGACAGGCCTTGAAGATCCTCGAAGTTCCTAGTGTGGATGGAAGAAATCCTGCACCAGTTGATAGATGGTTTATCCCACTATTTATAGGGTTTCAACCATCCAAGGTGGTGCAGGATTTCTTCCATCAACAGTAGTGATTTTATGGTGATGATCTTTGGCTGCTAAGCTTGGAACTGTACTGCCCGCTCCAATCACCACGGGACTGTTGCAAACGCAGAACCTTGTGAACTGAAGGCGACCAAATGGTCCCTGTCAAACCTTTCTAGCCAACAAACCGAAGGTGGGAGAAAAGGATCGTAAGGAAACGAACATTGATAAAATGGTTTGTATCTTTAGGCAGAAATGGTGGCCAAAAAACCTTGAAGGACAATGGCCTTCTACAATCTTCTACAGTCTGAGTGCTCAGCTCTGCATCTTGTGGTTTGCCTTCAGCTTTGCAAATTCATTTTGAGGACTATCTTATTATCATTTTATATGGGGGTGTCCATGATTTGGGGGTAGCCCTATTTGAGGTACTCCCCTAATATGACTTACCCTCTGGTAAACTAACATAACCATGGAAAATCACCAGTTTTAATGGGAAAACTCACTATAAATAACCTTAAATGGCAATTTTCTATAGCTATGTCAGCCATTACCAGAGGGTATCTTGTGCTGCCAAACTCAGAGTCCGACTCGCAGGCAGCAAGCGGGTGCTTGACAGTAGTGCCTGCCAAATCTGCTGAAGCCCAAGCCGCCGAATCCCCAATCCGTGGAATCCACCGTGGAATCGTTGGAGGATTCATCTGCTGTCGCTATCTTCCTATCTATCCTATCTTGGTCGGAAAAAGTGTCACTATTTTTTGGATCACTTCAAAGCTCCAAGATGCTCCAAGATGCTCCAAGTATGGCAAAGCCAATGGCAACAACCATCCCCAAAATCACCTTTATGGGTTGTACAAACCATCCCCAAATGGTACGTCTATGGCATTGGGTTTACCAGGTAATACCACATTACCTCAGCAATGGCAGTTAGACCTCCTTGTCGATCGATGCGCCCTTGCCCACCGTGAGCATATCATGATCTCCCACCAAAGGGGTCCTGGGAGGTGTCAAATTTCGACTCGACATCTCGGTATATCTCAGTGACATCACAGTATTCACACTCTATCCAGTCTCTATCCTGACATGATTTGGTTTCTGTAGTGTTTCTGTAGTGTTTCTCTATCTAAGGCCCACACAAAATCAATGCATCTGAACTGATCTTGGCTCCCATGAGCTTCAGCCACCAGTTGTAAAACGGAGAGCCCAGGGCCATGCCTGGAAGCATTCCAAGCAGAGCTTGCAACATTTTTCACAACGGCACATTGGAAAACATGATGCCATATGGCATATATGGTTCCCAAATGTCTCGAAAAGTCAGCTGAAGTGGGTCTGCAAGATCACAAAAATACGGTTTAATATGGTTTAATCATGTTTAATCTGAAGTTGAAGAATCGAATGAATCGAATGAGCATTCAATGTGATTTGCTGGCAAGTGGCTCATAAAGACGGAGACGGACATGGCATTCAGCTGCTGTGAAAACCTGCATGTGATGTAGACCCAGCGATACCAGGTGCTGCCTTTGGCTCATGACTTGCCAAGGCACATCATGAGGTGACTGCCAGGAGAACCATACCTCGAAGCGGGGCAGAATGGCAAGTGCTGAGTCAATCTCAGTGGCCAAACGTGTAGCAAAATGATGCAACATGTGTACCGAATCGAGGGCTCACAATCTTACTGGTGCTTAGTAGGGAATGGATGGGTTGCTGGGATGATTATTACTAGTGTTACTAGTGATGAAATGGATCATTCCCGAAAATTCCCTGCGTTAAACGCACCAGTAAGCAATGCTCAGATTTCCATCATTTCCATCATTATAGTGGATTTACCCATTAAAAATGGTGATTTTCCATAATTATGTTACGTAGTTTACAAGAGGGTACTGATCAGATTTCCATCATTTCCATCATTTCCATTCTCTCAGTGGATGTACTGATCTCTCCGAGCTGCCATCGCCACGCTCGGACGGAAGGACTCCGGACGATCCACTTCAACAGCACTGCCTGCGTGGCTTCGGAACTTCGTAGCCAGATTGAAAGCAAATCTATGATTCTGGAATATTCTGGATATTGTATAATTATTATGATAGGTAAATATCCGCCGGCCCCGGCAGACGCAAGGGGGAGCGCGCCAGGGAATAAGACAAGCAAAGACAAGCAAGTTTAGCCGCGCTAGCAGCAAGAGCAGCAGCGGCAGCAGCAGCAGCAGCAGCAGAAGCGATAGCATGTATTTTCTCCGCAGGTAGGCTGCTGAGTTTTTGTGCACCAGCTTCCCGGAAGTCTTGTGGGTCGGCCATGTAGGAATGCATGGTTGTCTTCGGATAAGCGTCCGACGCGAAGTTCGGCTTGCAGGGCCTGTTCGTCCTTCCGTGCCTTGCTGTTTTGGTGCCGGGAGGTGCTTTTGATACTCTTCTGTTAGCAGCAGCAGGTGCTTTTGGGCAGCAGCAGCAGCAGGTGAGCTGGTGGGAGATTGAAAAAGTGGAAAAGATTGAGAAAAAGACAGGGAGCAGCAGGCAGCAGCAGGCAGCAGGCAGCTGCAGGCAGCAGCAGGCAGCAGCAGGCAGCAGCAGGCACCAGCAGAGGCAGCAGCAGGCAGCAGCAAGCAGCAGCAGGCAGCGGCAGGCAGCGGCAAAGTTGCAATTTTACAGTAGGGTTTCAGAAGTGACGTTAAGCCCTTTTTTGGGGTTCCTTTGCTACGTTTTGGGTACGAAATTAGGTGGTGTTTTGCTGTTTCGGATGTGTTTCGAAAAGGGTGTCTGGCTGTTTGTTTCTTGCTTTCGAGGCTGTTTGATTGCAGCAGCACCACAGCAGCACCACAGCAGCAGCAGCCACCAGCAGCAGCACCAGCAGCAGGCAGCAGCAGGGAGCAGCAGGCAGGCAGCCGCAGGCAGGCAGCCGCAGGCAGCCGCAGGCAGCCGGAGGCAGCTGCAGGCAGCAGCAGGCAGCAGCAGGCAGCAGCAGACACCAGCAGAGGCAGCAGCAGGCAGCAGCAGGCAGCGGCAGGCAGCGGCAAAGTTGCAATTTTAAGGCAGGCAGCAGCAGGCAGCAGGCAGCTGCAGGCAGCAGGCAGCTGCAGGCAGCAGCAGGCAGCAGCAGGCAGCAGCAGACACCAGGAGAGGCAGCAGCAGGCAGCAGCAAGCAGCAGCAGGCAGCGGCAGGCAGCGGCAAAGTTGCAATTTTTATAGTAGGGTTTCAGAAGTGACGTTAGGCCCTTTTTGGGGTTCCTTTGCTACGTTTTGGGCACGAAATTAGGTGGTGTTTTGCTGTTTCGGATGTGTTTCGAAAAGGGTGTCTGGCTGTTTGTTTCTTGCTTTGGAAGCTGTTTGATTGCAGCAGCACCACAGCAGCAGCAGCAGCAGCCACCAGCAGCAGCACCAGCAGCAGGCAGCAGCAAGGAGCAGCAGGCAGGCAGCAGCAGGCAGCAGCAGGTAGCAGCAGGCAGCAGCAGGCAGCAGCAGACACCAGCAGAGGCAGCAGCAGGCAGCAGCAGGCAGCGGCAGGCAGCGGCAGGCAGCGGCAAAGTTGCAACAATTTTATCTATAGTAGGGTTTCAGAAGTGACGTTAGGCCCTTTTTTGGGGTTCCTTTGCTACGTTTTGGGTACGAAATTAGGTGGTGTTTTGCTGTTTCGGATGTGTTTCGAAAAGGGTGTCTGGCTGTTTGCTTCTTGCTTTGGAGGCTGTTTGATTGCAGCAGCACCACAGCAGCACCACAGCAGCAGCAGCAGCAGCCACCAGCAGCAGCACGCAGCAGCAGGCAGCAGCAGGCAGCAGCAGACACCAGCAGAGGCAGCAGCAGGCAGCAGCAGGCAGCAGCAGACACCAGCAGAGGCAGCAGCAGGCAGCGGCACAGCAGACACCAGCAGAGGCAGGCAGCGGCAAAGTTGCAATTTTATAGTAGGGTTTCAGAAGTGACGTTAGGCGCTTTTTTGGGGTTCCTTTGCTACGTTTTGGGCACGAAATTAGGTGGTGTTTTGCTGTTTCGGATGTTGTTTCGAAAAGGGTGTCTGGCTGTTTGTTTCTTTGCTTTGGAGGCTGTTTTGATTGCAGCAGCACCAACAGCAGCAGCAGCAGCAACCAGCAGCAGGCAGCAGCAAGGACAGCAGCAGAGGCAGCAGCAGGGCAGCAGCCAGGTAGCAGACAGGCAGCAGAGGCAGCAGGGCAGGCAGCAGCAGGCAGCACAGGCAGGGCAGCAGGCAGCCGCAGGCAGCAGCAGGCAGCAGCAGGCAGCAGCAGACACCAGCAGAGGCAGCAGCAGGCAGCAGCAAGCAGCAGCAGGCAGCGGCAGGCAGCGGCAAAGTTGCAATTTTATAGTAGGGTTTCAGAAGTGACGTTAGGCCCCTTTTTTGGGGTTCCTTTGCTACGTTTTGGGCACGAAATTAGGTGGTGTTTTGCTGTTTCGGATGTGTTTCGAAAAGGGTGTCTGGCTGTTTGTTTCTTGGTTTGGAGGCTGTTTGATTGCAGCAGCACCACAGCAGCAGCAGCAGCCACCAGCAGCAGCACCAGCAGCAGGCAGCAGCAAGGAGCAGCAGGCAGGCAGCAGCAGACAGCAGCAGGTAGCAGCAGGCAGCAGCAGGCAGCAGCAGGCAGCAGCAGGCAGCAGCAGACACCAGCAGAGGCAGCAGCAGGCAGCGGCAGGCAGCAGCAGGCAGCGCCAAGCAGCGGCAAAGTTGCGATTTTAAGTAGGGTTTCAGAAGTGACGTTAGGCTCTTTTTTGTGGTTCCTTTGCTACGTTTTGGGCACGAAATTAGGTGGTGTTTTGCTGTTTCGGATGTGTTTCGAAAAGGGTGTCTGGCTGTTTGTTTCTTGCTTTGGAAGCTGTTTGATTGCAGCAGCACCACAGCAGCAGCAGCAGCCACCAGCAGCAGCACCAGCAGCAGGCAGCAGCACGGAGCAGCAGGCAGGCAGCCGCAGGCAGCCGCAGGCAGCTGCAGGCAGCAGCAGGCAGCAGCAGGCAGCAGCAGACACCAGCAGAGGCCAGCAGGCAGGCAAGCAGCAGAGGCAGCAAGCAGCAGGCAGCAGCAAGCAGCACAGGCAGCGGCAGGGCAGCGGCAGCAGCGGCAAAGTTGCAATTTTAAGTAGGGTTTCAGAAGTGACGTTAGGCCCTTTTTTGGGGTTCCTTTGCTACGTTTTGGGTACGAAATTAGGTGATGTTTTGCTGTTTCGGATGTGTTTCGAAAAGGGTGTCTGGCTGTTTGTTTCTTGCTTTCGAGGCTGTTTGATTTGCAGCAGCACCCCAGCAGCAGCAGCAGCCCCCAGCAGCAGCACCAGCAGCAGGCAGCAGCAAGGAGCAGCAGGCAGGCAGCAGCAGGCAGCAGCAGGTAGCAGCAGGCAGCACCAGGCAGCAGCAGGCAGCAGCAGGCAGCAGCAGACACCAGCAGAGGCAGTAGCAGGCAGCAGCAAGCAGCAGCAGGCAGCGGCAGGCAGCGGCAGGCAGCGGCCAGGCAGCGGCAAAGTTGCAATTTAAGTACGAAGCGGTTTCAGAAGTGATGTTAGGGCCTTTTTTTTGGGTTCCTTTCTACGTTTTGGGTAGAAATTACGGTGTCGTGTTTGGCTGTCTTTTCAATGTTGTTTCGAAAAGGGTGTCTGGCTGTTTGTTTCTTGCTTTGGAGGCTGTTGGATTGCAGCAGCACCACAGCAGCAGCAGCAGCCACCAGCAGCAGCACCAGCAGCAGGCAGCAGCAAGGAGCAGCAGGCAGGCAGCAGCAGGCAGCAGCAGGTAGCAGCAGGCAGCACCAGGCAGCAGCAGGCAGCAGCAGGCAGCAGCAGAGACCAGCAGAGGCAGCAGCAGGCAGCAGCAGGCAGCGGCAGGCAGCGGCAGGCAGCGGCAAAGTTACAATTTTATATAGTAGGGTTTCAGAAGTGACGTTAGGCCCTTTTTTGGGGTTCCTTTGCTACGTTTTGGGCACGAAATCAGGTGGTGTTTTGCTGTTTCGGATGTGTTTCGAAAAGGGTGTCTGGCTGTTTGTTTCTGGCTTTGGAGGCTGTTTGATTGCAGCAGCACCACAGCAGCAGCAGCAGCCACCAGCAGCAGCACCAGGGACGAGAGCAGGCAGCAGCAGGCAGCGGCAGCAGGTAGCAGCAGGCAGCAGCAGAGCAGCAGACACTAGCAGAGGCAGCAGCAGGCAGCAGCAGGCAGCGGCACAGCGGCAGGCAAGCGCGCAAAAAAAGTTGCAATTTATAGTAGGCGTTTCAGGACAGTGAGTTAGGCCCTTTTTGGGGTTCCTTTGTACGTTTTGGGCACGAAATTAGGTGGTGTTTTGCTGTTTCGGATGTGTTTCGAAAAGGGTGTCTGGCAGTCTGGCTGTTTGTTTCTTGCTTTGGAAGCTGTTTGATTGCAGCAGCACCACAGCAGCACCACAGCAGCAGCAGCAGCCACCAGCAGCAGCACCAGCAGCAGGCAGCAGCAGGGAGCAGCAGGCAGGCACCCGCAGGCAGCCGCAGGCAGCTGCAGGCAGCAGCAGGCAGCAGCAGGCAGCAGCAGACACCAGCAGAGGCAGCAGCAGGCAGCGGCAGGTAGCGGCAAAGTTTCAATTTTACAGTATGGTTTCAGAAGTGACATTAGGTCCTTTTTTGGGGTTACTTTGCTACGTTTTGGACACGAAATTAGGTGGTGTTTTGTTGTTCCGGATGTGTTTCGAAAAGGGTGTCTGGCTGTTTGTTTCTTGCTTTGGCGGCTGTTTGATTGCAGCAGCACCACAGCAGCACCACTGCAGCAGCAGCAGCCACCAGCAGCTGCACCAGTAGCAGGCAGCAGCAGGGAGCAGCAGGGAGCAGCAGGCAGCAGCAGGCAGCAGGGAGCCGCAGGCAGCAGCAGGCAGCGGCAGGCAGCAGCAGGCAGCAGCAGGCAGCAGCAGGCAGCAGCAGACACCAGCAGAGGCAGCAGCAGGGAGCAGCAGGCAGGCAGCAGCAGGCAGCAGCAGGCAGCAGCAGGCAGCGCCAAGCAGCGGCAAAGTTGCAATTTTATAGTAGGGTTTCAGAAGTGATGTTAGGCCCTTTTTTGGGGTTCCTTTGCTACGTTTTGGGCACGAAATTAGGTGGTGTTTTGCTGTTTCGGATGTGTTTCGAAAAGGGTGTCTGGCTGTTTGTTTCTTGCTTTGGAAGCTGTTTGATTGCAGCAGCACCACAGCAGCACCACAGGAGCAGCAGCAGCCACCAGCAGCAGCACCAGCAGCAGGCAGCAGCAGGGAGCAGCAGGCAGCAGGCAGCTGCAGGCAGCAGCAGGCAGCAGCAGGCAGCAGCAGGCAGCAGCAGACACCAGGAGAGGCAGCAGCAGGCAGCAGCAAGCAGCAGCAGGCAGCGGCAGGCAGCGGCAAAGTTGCAATTTTATAGTAGGGTTTCAGAAGTGACGTTAGGCCCTTTTTTGGGGTTCCTTTGCTACGTTTTGGGCACAAAATTAGGTGGTGTTTTGCTGTTTCGGATGTGTTTCGAAAAGGGTGTCTGGCTGTTTGTTTCTTGCTTTGGAGGCTGTTTGATTGCAGCAGCACCACAGCAGCAGCAGCAGCCACCAGCAGCAGCACCAGCAGCAGGCCGGAGCAAGGAGCAGCAGGCAGGCAGCAGCAGGCAGCAGCAGGTAGCAGCAGGCAGCAGCAGGCAGCAGCAGGCAGCAGCAGGCAGCAGCAGACACCAGCAGAGGCAGCAGCAGGCAGCGGCAAGCAGCGGCAAAGTTGCAATTTTAAGGCAGGCAGCAGCAGGCAGCAGGCAGCTGCAGGCAGCAGCAGACACCAGGAGAGGCAGCAGCAGGCAGCAGCAAGCAGCAGCAGGCAGCGGCAGGCAGCGGCAGGCAGCGGCAAAGTTGCAATTTTATAGTAGGGTTTCAGAAGTGACGTTGGGCCCTTTTTTGGGGTTCCTTTGCTACGTTTTGGGCACGAAATTAGGTGGTGTTTTGTTGTTTCGGATGTGTTTCGAAAAGGGTGTCTGGCTGTTTGTTTCTTGCATTGGAGACTGTTTGATTGCAGCAGCACCACAGCAGCAGCAGCAGCCACCAGCAGCAGCACCAGCAGCAGGCAGCAGCACCAGCAGCAGGCAGCAGCAAGGAGCAGCAGGCAGGCAGCAGCAGGCAGCAGCAGGTAGCAGCAGGCAGCAGCAGGCAGCAGCAGGCAGCAGCAGGCAGCAGCAGACACCAGCAGCAGCAGGCAGCAGCAGGCAGCGGCAGGCAGCGGCAAAGTTGCAATTTTAAGTAGGGTTTCAGAAGTGACGTTAGGGCCTTTTTTTTGGGGTTCCTTTGCTACGTTTTGGGTACGAAATTAGGTGGTGTTTTGCTGTTTCGGATGTGTTTCGAAAAGGGTGTCTGGCTGTTTGTTTCTTGCTTTCGAGGCTGTTTGATTGCAGCAGCACCACAGCAGCACCACAGCAGCAGCAGCCACCAGCAGCAGCACCAGCAGCAGGCAGCAGCAGGGAGCAGCAGGCAGGCAGCCGCAGGCAGGCAGCCGCAGGCAGCCGCAGGCAGCCGGAGGCAGCTGCAGGCAGCAGCAGGCAGCAGCAGGCAGCAGCAGACACCAGCAGAGGCAGCAGCAGGCAGCAGCAGACACCAGCAGAGGCAGCAGCAGGCAGCAGCAAGCAGCAGCAGGCAGCGGCAGGCAGCGGCAAAGTTGCAATTTTATAGTAGGCTTTCAGAAGTGACGTTAGGCCCTTTTTTGGGGTTCCTTTGCTACGTTTTGGGCACGAAATTAGGTGGTGTTTTGCTGTTTTGGATGTGTTTCGAAAAGGGTGTCTGGCTGTTTGTTTCTTGCTTTGGAGGCTGTTTGATTGCAGCAGCACCACAGCAGCACCACAGTAGCAGCAGCAGCAGCCACCAGCAGCAGCACCAGCAGCAGGCAGCAGCAGGGAGCAGCAGGCAAGCAGCTGCAGGCAAGCAGCTGCAGGCAGCCGCAGGCAGCCGCAGGCAGCTGCAGGGCAGCAGCAGGCAGCAGCAGGCAGCAGCAAGCAGCAGCAGGCAGCGGCAGGCAGCGGCAAAGTTGCAATTTTATAGTAGGGTTTCAGAAGTGACGTTAGGCCCTTTTTTGGGGTTCCTTTGCTACGTTTTGGGCAGGAAATTAGGTGGTGTTTTGCTGTTTCGGATGTGTTTCGAAAAGGGTGTCTGGCTGTTTGTTTCTTGCTTTGGAGGCTGTTTGATTGCAGCAGCACCACAGCAGCAGCAGCAGCCACCAGCAGCAGCAGCAGCAGCAGCAGGCAGCAGCAAGGAGCAGCAGGCAGGCAGCAGCAGGCAGCAGCAGGTAGCAGCAGGCAGCAGGCAGCCGCAGGCAGCAGGCAGCAGCAGGCAGCAGCAGGCAGCAGCAGACACCAGCAGAGGCAGCAGCAGGCAGCGGCAGGCAGCGGCAAAGTTGCAATTTTAAGTAGGGTTTCAGAAGTGACGTTAGGCTCTTTTTTGGGGTTCCTTTGCTACGTTTTGGGTACGAAATTAGGTGGTGTTTTGCTGTTTCGGATGTGTTTCGAAAAGGGTGTCTGGCTGTTTGTTTCTTGCTTTGGAGGCTGTTTGATTGCAGCAGCACCACAGCAGCAGCAGCAGCCACCAGCAGCAGCACCAGCAGCTGGCAGCAGCACGGAGCAGCAGGCAGGCAGCCGCAGGCAGCCGCAGGCAGCCGCAGGCAGCTGCAGGCAGCAGCAGGCAGCAGCAGGCAGCAGCAGACACCAGCAGAGGCAGCAGCAGGCAGCAGCAGACACCAGGAGAGGCAGCAGCAGGCAGCAGCAAGCAGCAGCAGGCAGCGGCAGGCAGCGGCAAAGTTGCCATTTTATAGTAGGGTTTCAGAAGTGACGTTAGGCCCTTTTTTGGGGTTCCTTTAGCCTGTGCTGATTAACATTTACTCTTTATCTAAACTACTCCAAGATCGACAAAACATGATGCTGGCTAGTTGAGTCCCTAAAGTAGCTAAAGGCTGGAAACTATCAACCAATTGTCAAAAAAAACTCAGACCATCATCTGATATATGATATAACTGTCATATAACCACATGACCATTCTTCCGGGGTCGGCGGCAGGGGCGGCAGCCCTTAAATATGATATTAAATGATTCTATATGTATATGTGAAAACCAATATAAACCACATGTTTACACCAATATCCCGGTATAATATGCAAATACAATATAATATGCATGTGCATATGCACATGTATACACACAGTGCCGAGGGCCCACCGCATGTAAACCTTCGGACTTCTCCGAGGAACGATTCTTCCTGGCACAAATGTGCAGGGCACAGGTTTGCTCAGTGGCGGTCATCTGATCCCAAAGCTTCTCGGCAACCTGCGGCGCAAAGCAAAGCTCAACATTTTCGTTGGTTAGTGCAGAATTCTTATCCTTTTAATATCCAGCCATTGTCAAAAACACGAAGTTCAAGTATAACACTAAGAATCTGGCAAACGCAATGCCAAAATAACCTACCATGACTGGAGATGGTAAATGTACACCACCCATCTATGGCAAAATTGGGATAAACCATCCACTTCCCTTCATATACCACCCAGCTATGGCTTAAAATTGCTGGTTGAAAAAAACCATGGTCTAAACTGTCAGTATTTTTACTTCCCTTCCACTTCGCTGCCTGGCCCCCACCGCAGATGCCACGCACCGTTTGAAGATGCGTCGTGGTGCCATCCAGTTGCATCACCATGGGCCCCCGCTGCGGATCCATCGGGACCTCCTCCTCGGAGCCACCCACGTGGACCACCACCGACCTCGCTCTGTGAAGGGCTTCGGAGTTCACGAGGCCAAGGGGATGTGCCCCCGGAGTTACGTTTGTTGGTTTATAAAACCTATTAACTATATAGATATACATGATATATCTATGTACCTATTATTATAGTTAATCTATGTTAATCTACAGTAAGATCAGTAAGTTATAAATCTGAGATAAGTATTGGGCACCACCTGGTGGGGATGCTTCAAGCAGGTAACTTTAAGATACTTTAAGATCCCCAGCCCCATTGGGTGGGGGAGGACTGGGGACTTGCGCTTACCTGCGCCCCTTGGGGGGCCCATCAACTCCATCAACCAACAATTTCGAGGGTGACCCGAGGCAACTTGATGGGGGGTCATCTGTTTTGGTGTCAAATTTTGACCCATACCCAAATTATCCCGAATTATATAAGTAATAGAAATGGGCGACAACTTAAAGCTCACTTAAATCACTATAACCCAGTTTTTCTTCTTTTTCTTCTTCACAAGTCGGACCATGGACGACCTCCCCCCCAAAAAAAAATCCCACCTAAGTAGGGATCAAAACCCTGATAGCATGTTTTTCACACCAAACATAGTTGCTACACTATGTATGTTTGTATGTACATACATATCTATCCACCCATCCATTCCAACCCACACCTGAGGCCATCGTAGAGGTTCGACTTGGAGAAGCCCGTTGGCTCATGAATGGCCAACGCCATGACGTGAACCCGCGCCCCGATCCCCCGGGAACCGGGGGCGCCGTGATCTGAGCCTAAAAGACATCCCCATCAGTAGCCTGCATGTGTTGTAGCTGGTCAACTATACATATTATAGTCATATATAATAGGCATTAATTATACATTATTATAGAAACTATTATACCACATAATTATCAATGACCATCCCGTTTTTTCAGCATAGTATATATATATATATATATTCATAAGAGAGCTTTAGTAACATCACTGGAACATGCATTCTTCACAGCAGGGTATCCTTTGATTTCCTTCGGTTTCCTTTGGTTAGTTTCCTTCGGTTTCCTTTGGTTTCCTTCGGATTCCTTTGGTTTCCTTTGATGTTCTTTGGTTTGGGGCTAGGTAGATTCTACAGTTTTCCTTTGGTTTCCTTTGATTTCCTTTGATTTTCTTTGGTTTGGGGCTGGTTGGATTCTATGGTTTTCCTTTGATTTCCTTTGGTTTCCTTTGGTTTCCTTTGATTTTTCCTTGGTTTGGGGCTGGGTGGATTCTATGGTTTTCCTTTGGTTTCCTTGGTTTTCCTTTGGTTTGTTTGGTTTCCAAGGGAGAAACAAAGGAAAGCACATCCAAGGAAAAAACACACCAACCAAGGAAAGTTTAAGGAGGCTATAAGCTCACAGAATGCATCAATCATGCCTGTTACTAAGACTTTCCTTAGATATGTATATATATAATTATATCCCGTCCGGGAAAAAACAAAAACATATCATTTCAACCAGTCATCCCAAGCGGTTGAAAAACCACACATATTTGATACCCTCTGGTTGTTTAATATAGCTATGGAAAATAAACACGAGTTACCTATGAAAAATGGTGATTGTCCAGTTCGCTGTGATAATTAGCAAAGGGTAATATTTGAAACCACTAGCAGTAGGGCTTTAATAAGGGAGTTTATATCTACCTATCAAAATAGAATATTAAACCAAGGGTTAATATAACAATATCAACCGTATATTTACCAACAAAATACAGTTAATATTCCTATGAGCTAATATTATTGAATGATGATATCTACCTATCAGAATAGTTTATAAACCCAGGGGGCAATATAGTAATAGTATGCAATACTAAAGATATTTATAACATAATTATCTAGTATATAACCCGTATCCATTATCAATCCAACAGACTATACAATACTATAATACAAAATAGAAACAACTAAAAAAATACATGTGGTGGATAATACAACGATATAACATATGATAACTCCACCAAGTTGGGTCTGGTATCCCATCTGGGGTCGTTGGGTCGCCATCGGCTTTCCGCATCTTTTCTTCACCTCACCGACGCCACCTGCAGCTGCTTGGCCACAGCGGAGGCATCGCCACCCGAACGACGACCACCCCAAGTCACAATGGAACCATCCTGGGAGCGCAGAAACATCGTGGCACATGGGTTCCATAATGTTCCATATGGATTCATGGTGGTTTAATGGGAAGATCATGGGGATAGATATATTATACTATTCTACTATTATGGGATATATATATAATATATATATATATATTATATAAAACTCGGATATTCCCCAATTCCCATGGATTTAAACATCATTTCCCGATGAACAAAATTGCTATTTGGGAGTTCATCCCCATTTCCAGACACCCATATACCATCATGGGACCCATTTTTTGCTCATGATTATTCATGATCAATGTGACTTTCATTGTCCGACCATCCATGTTGAAAAGGAATCTGACCGTCAAAATGTGAGCGGAAAAAAACTTTGACACATTTCTGAACCTAGAGAACTATGAACCACTGCGGTTGCCTTGGAAAATAAGAAAAAAACTGAAATCACAAGCTGCAGCATCATATTTGACGGCCATGAATGCGTTGCAAGTGGAGAAGACTTGATGCACATCACTCTGGAGAAAGATCTCCTTGCGCAGCAAGCAATGGCAACAAATACCCCGCAAACCATGGGGAATTCAGCCATCAACTGAGATTGTGGATGCACCCTCTGGTTGATCCAACCTGGCACTGACCATGATTGATTTTCGGATGGTGAAACCCTGTAAAAGAAAAATAAGGCTGTTAACTGAGATACCGAAGCACAAACCCCAGAAGCTAATTACTGGTAATTTTTCGCCATTGCCTAATTAAGGAGTAGAAACCACCACACAAAACCTGCGGTCAAAGGAGAGTACAACCAAATCAATGCCATGTGCGGCCCAAAATATCGCCCTCGCTCATTCAGCCCTAATATGACGCTATGGCGTGGCGTGGACAAAGAAATTGGGTCACCGAGCAAACAGGTTGGGCACCTACAGCACCTAAGCGGATGTAAGGCCTATGTAAATGTAAGGGGCTATTCCCCCAATTGTGGCATTAGATGGATCAAACCGTCCGGATTTTAGGTAGTTTTGATCCATACCGTTTTCATCTTGGATCAAAGTACCAGCCAAAAAGTCCAACAACTGGACATTTTGGGATGTTCCGTATACCGTCCGGGAAACCCACTAATCGCCAAGGGAAATGGACCATTTATAGATGATTTACCATATTTGGAGAGGATTGTTCCATATTTGCCAAAAACTGTCCCATGATTTTCCCATTAAAACTTCCATTGAGGGCAAATGAAATCCCAAGTTGATCGGACCAACACTGGAGGACCAACGGCAGTCACGGCTCCATGGAAGAACTGTCGCCGCCCGAGTCTTTAACACCTGCTGGCAGGCCATGAAAACAACCGGCCAGTGTTACATTTACACAAACCAGTCACAAACCTGGGTATTTGATAGCACACTTATACTCTGGTAATCTAAGATAGCTATCAATCAGCTATGGCAAAAACACGCTTTAGATACGTGAATCATCGTCTAAACTTGGGCCACTTTCCACATCAATGTTAGATTGCCGGAGGGTTTCCACTTTATTGAGATCCACCTCTTTCTGCGCAAATCTACCCAATTCATGACGTGTCATGCACAGAAAACAATAAGCTTCCCACCATTAGCAATTGATTTTCCAATTAAGACCTCCAATTGCGAGGGAATTCACATTGTTTGATTACCAAAGGATACCACAAACATTGGGATGTTGACATAAAACAAGATTAACATATTGAATATGTGGCTGCTGATGCCCTGAGTGTGACCCCATACCTAATGTTGACCTACGATTTATAAAACTACCCTGAATTGTGCTAATTTTTTCCCAAACTAAATAATAAAACTACCCTAAATAGTGCTAATTTTTTTTGGCCCTAAACCCAGATTTGCCCAGATGGGGCGGATTTTTTTTTTTCCATGCTTTATTTGAGGTGGCTTTCATGTACTAATTCATATTGCCAGCTCATTAGATCTTACCTTGATAACTTCAAATTGTCAAAAATAATGGTTGCTCTTTTCTATTCAAAACCTTTATTCAAAATTATCCAAAATCAATCCCAAATCAACTCGTCAAGGGTACCCCCCATGAGGTGCCTTGGCACTAATTAGAGTTTGACCCTGAATAAAGCTAATTGTTTTTGGCCCTAAACCCAGATTTGCCCAGATGGGGCTGATTTTGTTTTTTCCATGCTTTATTTGAGGTGGCTTTCATGTACTAATTCATATTGCCAGCTCATTAGATCTTACCTTGATAACTTCAAATTTTCAAAAATAATGGTTGCTCTTTTCTATTCAAAACCTTTATTCAAAATTATCCAAAATCAATCCCAAATCAACTCGTCAAGGGTACCCCCCATGAGGTGCCTTGGCACTAATTAGAGTTTGACCCTGAATAAAGCTAATTGTTTTTGGCCCTAAACCCAGATTTGCCCAGATCCATGACATGAATACTAAATCAATACTAAATCCATGACATGAATACGAGATCAATACTAAATCCATGACATGAATACTAAATACTAAATCCATGACATGAATACAGATCAATACTAAATCCATGACATGAATACTAAATCAATACTAAATTCATGATATGAATACTAGATCAATACTGAATCCATGACATGAATACTAAATCAATACTAAGTCCATGACATGAGTACAAGATCAATACTAAAACAATTGCTGGATTCCTTTTTTTTTTGAAATTGCATTTTATGTATTCGTTTTCAATTGTGGTAATTTAAAACCTTTACATACAAACAAGTTTTATGGTGGTTTTAAGTTTATTTAGGGTCAGAGAGAGGGGGGGGGGCTATTTATAAATCAGAGGTGGACATTACCTACATAATCGCAAGTACCTCCATGTCTTCTCTTCTACACCATGAGCTGGCTGGCAAACCGCACCAAAAAACGACATCAACCATCAACATCCATGAGCCATAAACCAACGATCCAAGTAACGAAGGACCATAACAACATTGCAAATTTAAATTCTTGGCATAGTCTTAGTTGCCTTGGTTCATCTCAGCTAATATTGAGTTATCATCACTTACAGAAGCGTTCACTATAGTCCACCTGGCTTTACCGCAAGGGGTAAGTGTCGCATTGATTAAACCTTAAATGTTTCTCTGTTGAATCTTTAAAGCCAATTTCGACATACCTAGGCCCTCCAAGTACTTATAATAAATAGGCAAACATATAGAATTTCTATATGCAATTCTGAGGTATGTAAAATTCTGAGGTATGTAAAACATTCATTTTTTTTAGATATCCTACTGTAGATGGTTGCGAAATCCTGCACCAGTTGGGATTCCTATTGGGATTGCTATGAAACAATGTAAATAATATTATTATAATAAGACTTCTTACATCTACCAACTGGTGCTGGATTTCGTAACCATCCACCATACGGTGGTATAACAATAATCATTATAACTCCTTATAATCATTATCAGTTCACCATGATAAGGCATCATGATTTACACTCATTAGCCATCATCAGTAGATACCCCCTGGTAAACGTTTACATAACTATGGAAAGATCCACCATTTCATAGCTGGGAAAACTCATAGAATTTCTATGGCCATGTTTGTTTCTTTATATTTTTTTGACATAACCAGTAGGTACCCATGGTTTTCTGACCACCCCAAGGCCATCCGCCATCCCTCCGGGTCCATCGTTGGGACACCCCAGGTGACCACTCGGCCCTGTTGCGTCACGGCGGCAAAGGCGTTGTCCGTGGAGCACAGCTGCCGGACACCAACCAGGAGATGAGACACCTGGCAGCACAACGGGCCATGACATGGTAGCTGGCAAGATCTGGTTATATGAATCTGTTTGAGAGATTTTTGCTGTGCATATTTGTATGCGAAAAGATTGTGTGTAATATGAATATATATATATATGATAGTGATAGAGATTGATAGAGTATCTATAGTCTATAGTAAGCTATAACATATAATGTAATATACCGAGCCAAGAAAAAAAACAAGTCAAGTGAGTCAAGTGCTTCGCTGCTACACAAATACAAATATAATAGTTTCTACTTACTTTTATTTTGGGGGGAGTTATAAGTTATATACACTCATTTACTACAACCAGGAGGAAACAACTATCTATTCATGACGACTTGACCAGCAAATTAATGAATGGTTAAGTTATGCGAAGCCAACAAAACTGGCAGAAAAAACATGTGGTAACTGTGGGTGGTCTTTAGCAACAAAACTTCCTGCTTCGCCGGTCAATCTTGAGATTCACCAACGAGATTGGCCTTGGAAGACACCCATTACCTATAATATATGGGCTCGTGATCCACACATTTGATCACATTTGTAGATTTGAACACACAAACATGTACAAATCACGGCCCCAAACAACGCAAAAGAATGCCCACCAGCCAAAAGGCCTTCCCAGCGCTTAGGATGCTATGGGCCAATTCAGGATGTCGAGATACACAATATGAACATTGAGGCAAACAACTTTAATATGGATTCACACACACAAACACATATAGACATACACATACACAGTATACAACCAATATAGGCCAATCAAGATCAGGATATTGCTTCAACAAAAATCGGGATATCGGAGTGATATCGGAGTGATGAAGCCATGACTGCTGATGCAACGTGGAGGCAAGGTGAACAAAAACCAGTGAATATTTCGCATCCAGACCAGTTTCTTTGGTGGTCCCCAAAGGAGTGATAAACCTTTGCAATTTTTCATGTGCCAGCTCCAATTCATAAACATAATGATGCTTATTGATCCTGGGTCAACATTAACAGTTGGTTATGTATCCCATATTACCCCATTGTATAAACATTATATATATATATTTAGTTTGTTGCATTTGTATATATATATATGCATCGTCATTTATGGTTGTGTAAACCTCAGTGTTGCATTAAACACAACCTCATAATTCAACTCGCTGGCCTGTGTGCTATCGCCCCCTCGATTACGATGGCCCCAGGTCACCACTGAGGCATCGTGTTTCAGTGCTGCGAAGGCCAAGCAGGTGGCAGACACATGGCAAATGCCCGAGGAAAGCTGTTCCAAGGTCCTGGGTGGATCACAGTGGATCCTCAAACTTCATCCCATCTGCAATCAGCCCAGCTCACAATGTGGCAATGTGGATGCAAGGTGCAGGGTCCCCCCAGTTATAAGATGTTATAAGTTGGGTTGAAATTGTAAAAGGTACAAATTGACGAACCTTTTTGTTAGGAGGTGCGTTGGCTTGTTTGTCTGTGGGGGCCTGAAGCTATTTCTTAAATACACCGTAATTTACAGAAACTATTCCATAAGTAAATCCAAATTTGAGAAACTGTTTTAAACATCTCTCTCTCTCTCTCTTAAAAATATGTCCAATCAAATATTTTCACCACCAACTACTATTAGCAAATGATTGTTCCAAGATTGGATAGATTTACCCTGATAACATGGTCAATAACATGGTTTATTTGCAAATACTACCCTTTAACTTAAGTAATGGTTCCCGGTAAATCAACAACATGTAGCAAACAGTTTCTACATTGCCTACTTTTCTTAGCTAATGGTTTTACATATTCTACATACCTAGCAAGTAGTCTATACATATCCTACTTATCCAGCAAATAGATTTGAGTATTTAGCGAGTGGTTTCTACCTCAGAAAGTAATAATTTCCAGACTTAATTAACAGAAGTGGCAAATAAAGAGACCAACGCACGCCACAAAACCCACATATATATATATATACCTAATCATATGTGTATATACAGACAGTTACATGTATGTATATAATTGTATATATATATATATGTGTGTGCATTATTATATACATACAAGTATACATGTGTATATATATATATATAATACATACATACACATATTTATATACGCACCATGCAGCTTATACTTGGCAAAATTCCTCAACTTATCTATCGCTTGGGGGCCTGACATTGTGGAAGAGAATCCCATCCAGTGATTAACCTCCATGTTATGTTATGGTATGTCATGGTATATTTAAAGATAGTAACAGTACGTAACAGTACACATCACCGGTGAATTATTCTCATGAAATCTGGATGGGTCATCCAATCTTATCCGCAATCTTATCCACAATCTTATCCACAATCATTGCACGGATGTAGGCCCTACTCCCTCGGCTTCCACCGTTGTCGCCCTTGCGACCCAGGGGCTTGGAGGACCCAGTGAGCTCCAGATCCAAATAATGTCCGCCCCAGGTCACCACTGAGCCGTCTTTCTTCAAGGCAGCGAAGGCCACCTGCAAAGATCGCGATCGCGGGGTGATTGCGATAAAACAAGGCTTGCTCATCCCATGTTATAGTGGATATCATATAGTATCATATAGCCATCAGCCATCATATACTATGGAAAATAAAAAATGTTTGAAACCACCAACCAGATATATTACCATCTGGTTATGACTAACATAGCCATGGAAAATCAACATTTTTAATAGGTAAACATAGTAAACCATCTATAAATGGGCCATTTTCCATGGCTATGTTAAATAGCCAGAGGGTACCGTTGAGATGATTTTTTGGAGGCATGGTTTTCATCTTTCTGGCTACCTCTATAGATTTGATTTCTGTAGATGAATTATCTGAGTGAATGATAATTACATTGGAATGGTGACCCGATGTATAGTCATTCAGCACAGGTTTCCTAATCCAAAGCTGGCATTACCCAGGATGCTGTTTCTACTACCTGCATGCCTGCATGGGTGTCTTATGGACTCTCTAAACTCGTATCAAATCCGATTAGATAATTACTAAACCCTTGTTAAATCCCTATTGATTAAATCCCCACTAAACCCCTATTGAATCCCTATTAACTCACTATCAAATCCCTATAAAACCCCAATCAAATCCCATCAGATCCCGTGAAAGCCCATTCTCCCCATGAGTTCCCCATGTCCCACCCAGGTTCGCCGGCCTCGTTGCCAAAGATCTCCGTCGCCTCCGTCGCCTCCGTCGCCATCTCGCCGCCGCTGCTGGGATCGCCCCAGCAGCGCACGGTGCCCGCCGCGTCCAGCGCTGCGAAGGCAGAACTGGTGGAGGAAATGTGGCGCACCGGGACCTCCAAACTGCACCTGGTTACCAGGAGGATGAAGGTGGGCTAACTTAGTGCCAAAAATAGTATAAAATAGTAAGTTCTACCTTAGTCTTATATCAAGCTAAGTTCCCCAGGCTAAATTGCCCACTTACTTACATCCACTTACCCAGAATAATCTTATTATTACAAATTACAACCATAGCTCTAGCCACATAGTGGTGTTTTTGAGTATCTTCGTCCCAAAACTTGCTGGATTTATCTGATTCAACCGATTCAAGTGTCAAAATGGAAATCTGACAAAACAAGAACTGGGAATTCACTTTATAAAATGGCCATGGAAAATGGCCCATTTATAGATGGTTTACCTATTAAAATGGTGATTTTCCATGGCTATGAAAGGAGCAAAGCATCAACAACTAGGATTGAACTGCATGTAGCCTCTGAGACTCTTGGGTGACCTTTGGAAGGGGAGCCACCTTCAGGACCTTTGGAGGGGCCACCATCAAAGGGGGAATCCCCAGGATGTAGTACATGGTTGGAAGATATCTCTAAAAAATTGAGTGAACAGAATTATATCGATAAAATATTTATGTAACATATTTTATGACATTTTAATACATTTTGTGACTATAGTTTACCAAAAGTCTTCCACAATAATCATTGAATCATCCATCCAATATTGCAAGTCTCCTCCACTCCACCAAGGAACTTCACGTTGCCGGTGGCGATAGCACTACCCCAGCAAACGATGCCAAAGCCTTGTTTGGTGACTGCTGCGAAGGCGTACCTTGGGTGCTGCAGTGGCTTGGGAACTGTCCCTTCACCAATTCTTAGATTCTAAGAGAAGTATGCTAGGATGTGAGGTACTCAGTTCAGAAGTGTTTCATGAGCATGGTGCTAACAGCTTTTATATAGATGTTTTTGCCCGCCTATTGGGATACTGAGTCGGATACTGTGGAAAAACATGTTTCCCGGAAAACTGAGCCACATGATTTGTAGCTTCTACTGCTGTGACTCCCCTTGTTGGGATGAGCAGAGGCCAAAACCCATGGAAATCTCACGTGCATGTACACAGTGTAAATACTGAGTGTGTTTATATGTGTATATATATGATATATATATATATGTATCTGTGCGTGGGGGCTGGTAGTTTTTCCCTCTTTGTTTGTTTCTTTTGAGTATCATCCCGAAATTGGAGATAAATTAGCCATGAACCATGTCTCAGTCGGAGTTTGGTCGGCTACTCAGCTCACATCCAGTGGTTCATCATCTTCTCCATGAACAAATTGCTATTTGGAGGTCTACCCTCTGGTAAACTAACATAGCTATTGAAAATGGCCATAGAAATAGTGGATTTTCCCAGCTATAAAATGGTGGATCTTTCCATAGTTATGTAAACGTTTACCAGAGGGTACCTCCTTTCAAACACACCTGAATAGTTGTGGTTGGGTAATGTTCGTTATGTATTCTAAAAATCCCACTGCAACAAATCCCATGAAATCCCATGAAACAAATCCCCAAAGGGTTGATGGTTACCCTCTGGTTATTTAACATAGCCATGGAAAATGGCCCATTTGTAGATAGTTTACCTATTTAAAAATGGTGGTTTTCCATGGCTATGTTAAATTACCAGAGGGTAAATCATGTTAAATCCCCCATCAACAGGTTCCCATCTTAACGGCCAGGAAGAACTAGACACTTGCAGGCATAGAGTTCGGTGACTCCCTGCAAGTCGCTTTGGACACTTTGAGCATCACCACCTGAAGGCAGTTGGTTGGGCTTGCTTCAGCGTTGCTGATGAGGATGCTGAAGAGCCAAAGGGGCAAGACCACTGGTTGTTTTGTGAACTAAAGATCCCTCAGAATTGGCGAATTGGTTTCCAGGATGTTTCAGGTTGCTAAAGTGCTTAAAAGTTACAGGAAGTCCCAAGACTCTTGGATGGTAGTTGAACATCTGTGGTTCTCAAGATTTTTCCATGACGACCGAGGTCAGGTTGGCGGTTGGACAGCCCAAGTATGACCAACGGCGGGCATGGGTGGCTTTGCGACACATGTTCCACGTGAATCCACGTGATGGATTGCGTTTGCCCTTGGTGCAAGACTCAACTATTCAGCTAACAAGCGGGAGACACCAATTTTTCGCAGGTAAGGTATCCATGCCTCCCTTTGGAAACCAAGAACGCTCAAAAACTTGGTGTCACAAGTTTTGCCTAGATATTATTATGAAATACCACACCGTTGTAAATGTTGCTTTCATTTTGCTTACCGTTATTTTGGGGTTGGATGCATGTCAATATGCAATACTTGGATGGTCATGATGATCTGCATATTGGATTCCAGCACTCCACATTTGCAGGGATCTGATGGTTAGAGGTTGTCGTCGACCCATCACAACCATCTTGGTGAAATTCATTCATCTTAACTTAAGTAGGATAGAAATCGGAACGTTATTGCCCAAATGCCCAAATGAAGCAAACCACCTCATATACACCCAGACTGTTTGCCTGGTGGTGTTCTGTGTGTTTCCAAGGTGGGTATAATGTGGCAAAACCAGTGATAAACCTACAATTTTGGAGGGTTCTAATCCCACCCCTTTCTGGTGATCTTGGGGATGGTTGATTGCGGGGTTGGCCACGTTACCAACCATTGTTGATGTTTAAACCTCATTCATCCTATTAAGTCCCAGTAAATCCAATTAAATCCCTATTCTTGATGGTTAAATTCCATCAAGAAAACCTATTAGATCCAGTTGATGGCCTCAGGTTAGTCATCACTAGACCATGTGAGCCCCCATGGGTTTACCACCGGAAATTGCCATCATTCCGAAGCCATCACCTCCCGTGGCATCGCCCCAGGCAATGACTGTAGCATCTGCCCGCAGAGCTGCGAAGGCGCTGTCCTTGGGGACTTCGGATGCTGCTGAAACTGATACCCTCTGGTAAATGTTTACATAACTATGGAAAGATCCACCTTTTTATAGCTGGGAAAATCCACTATTTCTATGGCCATTTTCAATAGCAAACTGTTAAATTACCAGAGGGTACAATGGGGATTTATATACCCGGGATAATAAAAATGTATGAACAGATTAGGGAAATGATCCATTTCTAACATAGAAGATGTGGAAAATGAATGAACATGATCCATTTCTAGATGAGTAGCGATAAACAATGCTGCTTTTCCACATCCTATGTTGGTGTAGAGGAGGGCTCAGGAGGTAAACCAACCATTCTTGAGATATTTTGACATACATTGTGTTCTTTGTTTTTCCTTTTGGTTTTGGTTGTTTTGCGGGGGGTTGTCCGGTGGTCTCCCCCCCAAAAAAACAACGACAGGTCCCGTGGTTTAAGATGCCGTGAGGTCATCAGTTTGGGACAAACCTCTGTGTCATGGCACACACCGTCATCAAATAACATCCAGTAAGTAGTATATTATTAGCAACTGGAATCATTATTTGTAATACCACATCCACACACACATACATACATATATACATATGTATATATATAATGGAGGTAACTTACCATATATATATATATGTGCATATCTAATTATATATATCTATCTAATACACATATGCATATATATATAATTATGTATATATATTTATCTATATATATATATATAATTATAATTATATATATATTATATGTAACCGTTCTGTACCATGTGTATCCATGTTGTTGAGATTCCCCGTTCTGTTGCAAAAAGACTCCGTCGCCCGGATGCTGCGAATCGCCACCGGCTCGCCGCTGGATCCGCTGGGCAAGTCCGGCGCCTCGCCGCCGTAGGTGGCAGCACCCCAGGTCACCACGGAGCCATCGGTCTGGCGGCGGAAAAAAAGGCCCTGGATGGCCCTGGTTCCACCAGGAAAAATGGGAAAAATCTGGCATTTTGATCGAAAACTGTAGATTTTCCTAGCGTTTTTTTGGGATGCAATTCGAACTTTGGAGGATATGATATATGTAGAATGTTTAAGATGTTATAGTTATATAGATATATATATATTTATATATATATATATATATGTACTTACCAATTTATCTATTAATTTTATCTATGTATTTTTTCATTCATCTATTTGTGGATGTGCGGCAACAATGATTGGTTGGCGGTTGCATTGGCATCCATTGGGGCGCAATCCCTTCCCCTGATAATCATTATTCTTTCCCCCAAAATGAATAGATTCAATGGTAAACCATGGGTGCTGGAAGTGTATCCAATAGCGCGAAGGGGCTCATCATGTGCTAATTGATTGTTGAGCCACCCAAACCCTAGGCTTGTCTGCCAGCAACAGCACGGGCTCTACAGCCCCCGAAGCCACCTGCCAAGTCCTGTAGGTTTCAACCACTTGGAAAACAGTGGCATTTGCCGCAAGTCTTTCACTGTGAAAAATAGAAGGAAACCCATCAGACTCTGGGCCGCAGGACGGTGAAATACACTTCATAAAGATTACAAACAAACAAATGTATACCATCTGGTTATGACTACCAGTTCGCCATGGAAAGTCACCATTTTTAATAGGTAAACCATCTATAAATGGGCCATATTCCATGGCTATGTTAAATTGCCAGAGGGTATATCATATTGCAAAAAGCAAACTATATATATAATCTCTCTCCATCACAGGTCTCTCTGCCCAAGCTGTGCCGGGGGCGAGATAGAAGCATGCACAAAAAGCAAACTGACACATCATGTAATCGTGTACAGTGTGTTTCCTAAATTGTCAATTACATCATGCATACATGTTATATTGTACCAATTAAATCTAACTAGTGTGGTAAACCCAATGTCATAAACCATCACCAAGTCATCACCATTTTTATAGGTGCCATGAGCCATCCCCAAAGGGTAGGTTTATAGCAGTGGGTTTCCAACATTACTATCATTAGCCCTTGCTATTATATATAATATATTTCTATCATGACTGTTAAAAAATATGCTTAATATTGCTTTCACTAAAATAGATTACTACTATTTTCGAAATATATATTCCTATAGTATATTGTTTCCCACATGACTATTATTATTAGTAGACATCCTGAGAAAACGAGACAACGTCGGCCTTCAAGGCCGCGAACGCCAGGCGCGTGGAACAAATGTCCCTCACACCGGACAACGATGCCCTGGCGGGATGAGCAAGCGGAAAAAGTTGACTTCGATACCCATACGCTACCCACATTTGGGAATGGTTTATATCACCTATAAAAATGGTGATGACTGGGGGATGGTTTGTTGTCGTGTTTGAACCACATTAGCATGTTCTTAAGTTTATCTCATATTCATGCTTGAATTTTAGACAAGTTTACCACTAGTTGGTGCATGAGCCACCCCCATGAACACTGGAAATTGATTGGATTTATCATCCCAGGTATGACAATGAAACAATCATTATTCTGCAAATTATATATGTACACGTATATATATATAGAATATCATTTGTATACACTATACGCAGATAGGGAATCACAATAACATAAACCATGCCCAATTTCTTGGTTGTCAAATTGAACGGTGGTGATTTAGCATCGGCCCTACAGGGTTTTTCATACCATTTCACCATTTGGAGGTCAAAAACCACATGATTGTGGATCAAATATTGATTGATCCTTGGGTATGGATCGAAATTGGAACCCCCCAAAAAACTGGATGGTTAAAAAACATGACCGGTCCGTCTATGGTTCTTTGGAAGAAATCCTGCACCAATTGATAGGTGGTTTATCCTATTATTTATAGGGTTTTAACCATCCAAGGAGGTGAAGATAGGTGCAGCATTTCTTCCATCCACTGTATCTTCAATTTTGCATCAATAAACCAGATAATGCGACAAACCAAACATACACCATCACCAATTTCACCAGAAGTGAGAGGTATAAACCATCCAAACCTGGATTTTCTTAGGTATCTTTACCACATTAGATTAGTAAGCCACAGCGACTCCCTGATTTATCGATCAACTTCCTGAGAAGGTACCATGGTTTGAGAAAAACTCGCTTGCTTGTGATTAATCATCTCCGATATATTTCCCCTATACATTAGTACGCAGCACAAAAAATAGAAACATATTTCCAGGATACTAGCTCGATGCAGTTCTCCCTATTTTACAGGTATCCAACTTTCTCCTGCTACAGAATAATAAACAATAAAATATGGAAAACCTGGTGGTTTCATTGTTGGTTTCAACCCTATAGATGGGATAACCATCGCTATGGAAACTGCATGAGTGGCCTATCTATAGATTATTGTTGATTACCTAATATTATTACCCATTGAGAATGGCGATTTTGAATTAAATTACCGGACCGGAGGGTAATCAAAATATAGCAACCAGGGTTTTTCTCCATTCTCAAGTACGATTGCCCATCAAATATATCACCATTCCACTGGTTAGTTATCAAATTTCCTCCATGGATTGCAGTGCTTGAATGAGTTACCAAAAAATATCACTGCAATATATCCTGAGGGGAAATGATCATCGAATACCCTCTGGTAATTTATACAATAACTATTGAAAATGGCACATGTATAGTTGATTTAGCTATTAAAGATGGTGATGTTCCATAAGTTTTTTTTAATATGTTTACCAGAGGGTATCCTCCTAGATCATCCCGGCACCTCTCCTGCCTCACTGCGCGGCTATCCCCGCCCCCTGTGGGGAGACCCCAGGTCACCACGGAGGCATCCGTTTTCAGCGCGGCGAAGGCGAAGGAATTGGCGTAGATGCCTCAGGTTTTCCCCATCAAAAAATGGGGGAAACCTCGTTGAACCACCAAGTGTTGTGGAAAAATCCGTCTTGAAATCCAATGACATTCATCCTAGTGGTGATTTGCATCCAACTTTCTACAGATCCACAGGTTCCATGGGAAATTTATATAGTGTTTCGGACTCCACTTTCTGGGGGATTCTGTGAGCAGATTGTGATTTTCTGTGCTACTCCTGCTAATTTAACCACTATATCAACACAACAACTGGGTGTCTTCCTCAGGGCAGATGCGGGAGCGCCCAGTTGCGTGACACATTGGTCATCAAATCCTTTTGCGCACCCTTGGTATCGCCGCCCATGTCCTGAATCTCAGCGTTTTGTGATGGGTATCAATGGGTACAGATAGAATACCAGAATGAATGCCAGAATGGCAGAATAAACCCTATTGAATAGATGCCAGATAGAATATCAGCAATGCCAGAGAAAATATCTGAGAATAGGTACCAGGATGCCAGATGGGATGTCAGAATAGATGCAAATAGAATGCCAGAAGAGAATATCAGAAACTATGACCAAATAATTTATCACGGTGGGGATCACTCGAAGTAAAGTAATTTTCCATCCGCTTTTGAATCTCCGATGGATTCTCTGATCTTATCCCACTTAAATCCCAGTACATCTCTAACCAAATCCCACTAAATCCCTAACAAAATCCCAAACTAAATCCCAGTAAATCCCTATATTGATTGTTAAATCCCATACAAAATCCCTACTAAATCTCATAAAATTCCCCATTCAATCTTATGAAATCCCATTCAACATCCCCAAATCCCTATTGATGGTTAAATCCCTATCAGATCCCTAATGTCAACCCTGGATTAATGAACCCCTCTAGGTTCTTTAATTGGGGGGATACCATTTACACCCTGATTATTTAACATAGCCATGGAACATAACCCATTTATAGATGATAAACATGATGATTTACCTATGAACAATTATGATTTTCCATAGCTACCGTTACCGTCTGGTAAACTAACATAGCTATGGAAAATCACAATTTTTAATGGGAAAATCCACTATTAATGGCCATTTTCAATAGCTACCGTTAAATTGCATCCCCTTGCCAATACACGGGTTTAACCTGGGCGTTCCAATTTTATAGGGGGCCCAGGCCTATCCTTTGAAAATGCCCTTTTGGGACCCTCTACAAAATTAAAATCTTGACAGACACATGCATAATCAGCCCTATAAAATCACAACCTGCTAGTAACCCATCAATGTCATCAAACCCAAAAACACAACCAGAGGGTAACATGATTTAACCATCAACATCCATCAACTATTACTGATTTGTTAAATACCTCCATTTAAACAGGGATTTTCCATGGCTATGTTAAATGGATATGGGTCAAAATTAGGTACCCCAATAATTGGATGGTTAATACTAAACTAGACATTCACATCTGTGGTCCCCTAGGTCTTCCATTTTGACCCACACCCATGTTAAATAACCAGATGCTAACGATCGGATTACAGTCCCCCCGACGCCAAAAAGCGTCCGCATCACCCCAGGCCAGCACGGAGCCGGCACTGGTGATCACCGCGAAGGCCGTGCGGGTGGAGGCCACCTGCTGCACTGGGTGCGCCAGCACCTCGGCGTTTAAAACGCTGGGAAAACGCTGGGAAAATGTAGGAAAATGCTGGGAAAATGTAGGATATAGGAAAAATATGGAAAAATGATAGGAAACCCTAGGGAAATGGGAAAAAAACTAGAAAAATGTAGGGAGGATGTCTAGAAAATGCTGGAAAATACTCGGAACGTATGGGAACATGGGTGGAAAGGTGGCGTGAATACATGTCAAAAATTGAAACTGCACTAAAATCATGCTGGTCCCAGACTTTGTTGAACATGTTGAAGGGACCTTTCAAAGAGAACCCGCGGGATTTATATTCAAAGCTGCGTTTCCTGGAAATTGTCCACACAATGCCACAAATGCCCCACAAAAAATCAGGCAGCCCTAAGGCTGCTCATGAACATGTTGAATAAACCGTTTTGGATGCCTACATTTTTTGTGGCAAAGATGTGAAGAGTTCCCGTAGCAAAAATGTCAAGTGTTTGTTTGGGAAGGAGAGTTCGCAGTTGTCCTGCCTTTTTAACAAGACCTTCCATGGGAAGCTGATGTTTGGCCCGCAAACAAACAGCGCTCCAGCAACATCCAGTTTTTTTGACTTTTACCCATGTTTCCAACTAACAAATACCATGAGGGTCCATAACTGTGAACGTTGGATTGGGTCGGCACCTCCATCTATGCACAGATTTCCCACAAGTTTCCTACATCTTCCCACAGTTCACCCCCTATTTTCCCAGAGTGTTCCACCATTTTCCCATGATTTTCCCCACCATTTTCCGCTTGGCTGCGGTGAGTGTGACATCGTTGCTTACTGTCTGCAGGTCGTTCAGCTCGTTCAGCCGGGTGGATGGCTTCACGACTTGTCCATCTGCGGAAATCAGCATAAAAGGACCTTAAAAAAAGGAGCCGAAGGTGTGTCTGAACATGGAGGATTTACCATCTGGCAATTTAACATAGCTATTGAAAATGACAAATTATAGTGGATTTTCCCATTAAAAATTGTGATTTTCCATAGTTATGTTAGTTTACCAGAGGGTATCTGATTTCACGATGATCATGTGGATTTAATGCGACAAATGTGTGACTTAATAGGATTTTATAGAGGGATATCATGGGATATGGAACCAACCACAACTATTTGGGTGTGTCTGAACATGCGGGATACACATGGATACACCGATACACCCTGAATATTCGGATTCTTGGTAGCGCGCCACCCGCTCCCTCATCCATCTAACATTTCTGAGGAAGGTTGGGGTTGGGGCCGGTGCCAGAGTCTATCTGGAAAATTATTACCAACCAAATGTTCGGGTACCCTAATGTCAAACAAACCCGGCTAGCACGGAAAACTCTGACAGCATCTGCAAGTGAGAAGGCATGCTGTATCCATTACAGCTACCAGGACTCAACAAAGATCTTCTGACAAAACTGAAGGGACCTCCAATATGACATACATCATGTTTTCAATGTTTTCCCTCAGAACAGAGTTGGATATGTAAACAACATGGGGGCCCATGACTCAGCCTGCTTTCCAAGCAGGGTTTCCTCCAAGGTCAAACCACATTTTTGTACATGTCCACATCCCAAACATCTAGCGATCGAGTAATGTCAAAATCTACCATCCTGTCAACTACCACAGATGTGGAAAAACACCGTTTGTAGATGCACAATTCCACATCCATGTTAGTTTGCCCTAGGGTCTCTGTTTTGGCTGTCCTAAACGAGTTTCGTTTCTCTGATCTCTATCCTTCATATTCCCCATGGTACGTCCAAAATGAGATCAGACTGCGCCTTCTTCTTGTGGCACTTGTTGGAAAACATCTTCCTTGGCCCCGGTGGGGACTCCAATATTGAACAAGAGAGGCTTGCCATGAAACAGAAAGGCCATCTCCCAATTGCAAAACAAAACAAAGCATCCAAGGGTTATGGAATCCCTTAAAAGTTATTAAAAGTTCAGGGTGAAACCCAAACAAAACTCATGCCACTTTCGCTACTATACTTCTTGGGGTTGGGGTTCTGGCACGCAGTAACTTGGCACCAAATCTTCTATCAGCCCAATGACCCTTCAGCCTTGGACGCGATTGCGGAAACAAAACACTAGGAACAGGTTGTCATAATATGATCAGTCCATGATGCTGGCAAACATGATCACGCAAATGATGCTACATAACCAATAAACTTCACACACACACACATGTGTATATATATATTGTATTCATATGTACTCATGATATTAATGATAACAATATATGACTCATCGCTGACACTTGGTTCCTATGGCAAATCTGAGATACCCTGCCGAATTCTAGTTGGTTCGTAAATATGTGTAAATATGTGCAAATATATAAATGCCCCCACTCATAGCCAAACAGTATATAGATAAACACAACCCATCCATTTAAGGTTTCCCAAGTTCATGCCCCAAACTCGTACTAGCAAACCTTGGTCATACCACATGCTCATCATATCAATATCTCATCATATATCTTATCAGCCATCTATCCTTGAATCTTATTGCCATGTTTCATGTTCCCAGCTGATATTCCACATGAAAAGAACACATAGTGCATGGAAGAAATCCTGCACTAGTTGAGGGATGCGGTCTATCCCACTACCTACAGGGTTTCAACATGTTTCAACCATCCAAGGTGGTGCGGGCTTTCTTCCATCCACAATGGGGGAATCCCCAAGTCACCATGGGTTTCAATACTAAGTCATGGTCATCCATGACTTAAATTACTTGGGGTACCCCTATGACTTTGGAAACTTCCAATTTACCATACCCCAAGGTCGAAAGGTTTGGACATATGTTTCTTTATACTTCTTACAGTTTCGAAGGATCTCCACATAGTTCTTGATGTCTTACTCTTTTACCTGGTTGGTGGTATACCTACCCCTCTGAAAAATGATGGAGTTCGTCAGTTGGGATGATGACATTCCCAACTGAATGGAAAGTCATAAAATTGATGTTCCAAACCACCAACCAGGATTTGTCTATCTTGTTGGAGCCTGCTAGCAGACACCCTACAGGGTACCCCGAAGGGGGAACACTGGAGATCTCCCCACTGATACCACCAACCATCAACCAAACCACCAACCAGTTACTGGTTATTTAACATAGCCATGGTATAGATGGCCCATAGAAATAGATGGTTTACCTATCAGATGGTACCATCACATTAAATGCCATTAAACACCATTAAACACCATTAAACACCACTAAATCCCATTAAACACCATTAAATCCCATTAAATCTCATTAAATCCCATTAAATCCCATCACATATCCCCCATCCCCTGCCATTTCACCGCAGCGTCCAAGGTCTCGCCGCGCAGCACCACGGACGTCAGCAGCTCGCCGCTCAGACGCACGATGGAAATCCGTGCCATTTCGGAAGCGCTGATTTCGGTCGCGTTAACCAAGGGTTGCAGTGGTGCCCCCCCCAAAAAAAGGTCAGGAACTAAAACTTCAGTAGACTGATCATATCAAGAAAAAACTTAAGTTTCTGCTTGATGTTTCATAGTTGGTTTTATTAAGGCTGATGTGGTTTTAGAAGACTATATCAAGAAAAAACACGGTCAATCACACTTAAATCCATTAAGATCACTAAGGATACACTGTTAGAGAAGTTGCCTGCCATGTTGGGTTCCCCAACTTGGGCCAGGGCAGCTCAGTTCCAAATTGTCACCTGACCCTGACCCTGGCAACGACTTAGAAAAGCTTTGGTAAATGACTAATATAAGACAAGGTTCGAGTTCAATCTCTGCCCTTTTTCCGGGCACTGTCAAGTCTACAGAGCTTAAGCTCTTGACCAACCCTTATGTTTCCAGCAAAATCTGATATCAATTGCAGGTGCAAGCTCCCAGCAAAGAAAAGGAATGTTGTTGCAATATTGTTATGGTGCTATCAACAGCAACCAATCTAGTAGCCTCCATACGATTTTTTTCTAATCATGTTCAAGATGCCGCTACCTGATTGGATGTATTCATTCAACATTTGGTCTTTTTAACTCTACTGTTCTTTGTGCCCAGTTTCTACCTGTGAAGTCACAATAGAAATCCATGTGCAGAGTGGAAATTCATCCTAAGTGCTCCATGTATTGAAAATTGACCAGCATTTATCACAAAAATGACCCAAATATAGGTATAATTAGGTATTAGGTATATAGATATATCATACATAGAGCATATGGACCATATATATGGGACATTCTGACCTCCTGTCCACCCCCCTGCGGTTCCCAACAGTGGATCCGCCACAGCCATATTTCACCATCTGTGGCGTATCATGACTATGAACATCTATGAGCTATGCTGCTTATGTAACTTATGTAAGTTGAGCATAGTTGAGCATAGTCCATTGGAGTTGAGCCATATCTGAGCTGATTTATCCATGTGTTTCACCACCTGTGCCGAGCCGGGCCAATGGGAACGTTTATTGCGGCCTCTAGAGATGGAACGTTTATTGCAGACCGGCAGCATCAGAGCCAAAGCCGAAGCCACGGACTTTGAAGCAGCCTCTGACATGTCAGGTGTTATCCATTCACTTGGCACCAGTGCCTTCGGAGCTTTACTCACATTTGAGAGGGAAAAAAAAACCATCGCATGTCACGCCTGATGGCTTTGCAAATGTCTTTGGAAAATGCTTGGAACCCACTGGACCTTTTGCTCCAGCTGCGGAAAACTCGAGTCAGTAGCCCCAGTCGAATGGCCCTCAGGACGACAGCAGAGTAATTAGCTACTGTTTGGAGACCAGGATGGTGCATGTATCCGTCTACACATGGGGATGGATTTATAGCGCAGTTGCCCACCAAATCAGAATCAGGGGCACCTCTTTTGAAGCTCGGACATGTTGGTTGAAAGTCATTTCATGAAATCTTCCTAATGGGAAAGTTTGATACCATTCCATGACCTGTTGGCATTTCCTAGTTCCAGTTTATTTTATCTATTTAGATACCTGAAAATCCTGAAAACCCGATAAATCAAATGAACGCTGGCTTCGAGAAACCATTCCAAAGGTGGATTCACATGAAATAACCATATTAACCATATTAACCATATTTAACCATGCTCCTCACTGGGAGGCCCACGGGTACCGCAGGCTGAGGTTTGGACGACCGCCTGCTTCATCAACGAAGGCATAATTGAAGTTCAGACCTCTTGGAGCAGAACTCCCCGTGGTTTGTGTGAAAAGTTGGGCCATGAAATACCTATGTCGAAATAAAATTATATAAAATCCGATATGTATATGTATATAAGTAAATGAATATGAATATATATATATATATGTGTGTTGGGTTATATAAAACCGGGTATCTTTTTAAATTTTAAATGACCCAAAATCACGCAATCGTTTTTTTTATACTCTTATCGTCTTCTCAGGTGGTGGGCTCCCTGTAGACAAGAAGTGTGATTTGTCCAGCTTTCTGTGGGTGTGAAGGCATCCTTGGTCGAGAGTCAACAGATGTCATCTTTTGTGTTCATTTCCTTTTATCACCTTTCCATTTGCATTCATTTCCTCTCATGTTCCTTTGATGTTGCATTTTCATGTTGCATTAATTTCCTTTCATTTTGCTGTCATGTCCTTTCATGTTCCGTCGCCATGTATCAAAGATACAGGTCTTCGAAAGCTGATATGCTCAAACTGGTCAGGCGTGTATCCGCCCAAACGCTCGCGTCTTTTTTCATATGTCGTTATCGTTTTTGTTGTTGTTTAGCTATTGTTTTGGAGGCCTGTGCAGGTTGCCATCTTCAGGTTTCATGAACATGGACATGTATAAGCTCGTTATCGTTTTTGTTACTCTTATCGTTTTCTGGGTCCCATCTGAAATATATGCCTTGACAATGCCTTGTATGAACATCACATATATCTCGAGTTGCAATTTCAAGGTTCCAAATGGGGCCAATATGCCAATCAACAAGGCCCAAGGCAAGTGTCCCAGCCTGTACGCGCGGCCGGGGATTGATTTTCACCACTTCCATGCAAGGTGCTGGCATAGTAAATCACGACCTTGGCACCGTCTTGGCCACCGGAAAATGTTGTGCTGAAATAGTTTGTTACGCAACAGGGAAAATCAGCACGTCTGCAACAACCCCAAAACGAGTTGGTTTGTGTTGTTTTCCCGGATCCTATCACTGAACACGTTTAGACGTTTCCCCGCACAACCAAACAACACTATTTGGCGTATTCATTTTGTTTCTGTCAGAAAACCATTCAAAAACATTATCAGAAAATTCAGGAGTTTTCTATCAGAAATTCTGTTGATTCAAACCCATTCCAACCTGACGTACCTGAAAACAACCACAGAACTGTGGCAAAACAGCATGAAAGTAGACCCCCTTTCTATTCCAATGTGTGAAAGTTGATAACATCTCCAGATATATATATATATATAGCAGATTTCCCATTTATATTCATTTATTACCAGGGAAGACGTTTCCCATTAATGGGTTTTATTCTAGCAACCCCCCAAAAAAAGATGGAAATGCAAAATCCTACTGAAATATTGATAATTCCCTTTCTATCTAGAAATGGTGGCTGCATGGGGTTACTATACCATACTATACCCCATAAACTGTTGCTTCAAACATCTCCATTTATATTGGATTTCTATGGTTTTCTCATTTGTATACATATATATATAATGTTTTACTATAAATGTAACATATATATATATATATCATTGATTACCCCGGGGATCCCCTGTTTTACCCTATAAACTTGGATTTGCTTAAGGGACCAGCAAAAATATGAAACATATTGAAACAACTGCCCCTCTGGATTCCCAGTGACGGTGGGTTTACCATTAGGAAATAACATTCATCACCATTCATCACCGGTCATTATTCCATTCAGCCCTGTCAAATCCCCATAAAATCACCATTCATGACCATGAGCCTCTGGTAAACTAACATAGCTTGTAAGTAAACCAGAAGGCAAATCCCCATCATTAATCCCTATCAAAATCCCTAATCTAAATTCCCATCAATGAAATTCCATTAAATCCCCAATCTAAATCCCCAATCTAAATCCCTAACAAATCAGTAATAGTTGATGGTTAAATCATGTTACCCTCTGGTAATTTAACGTAGCTATTGAAAATGGCCACAGAAATAGTGGATTTTCCCATTAAAAATGGTGGATCTTTCCATAGCTATGTAAACGTTTGCCAGAGGGTTAGCTATGGAAAATCATCATTTTTCATAGGTAAATCATCATGTTTACCATCTATAAATATCTATAAATAATCAGAGTGTAAAGGGTAAATCCCCATCAAATCCCTAAGAAAAAAACTAATAGTTGATGGTTAAATCATGTTAAATCCCCATCAAATCCCATCAAACCCTGATGAAATCCCCAGGTCTCCCAGCCAAGGCGCCGAGCCCGGCCTCATCTCGGCCGCCCTGGCCGAAAGCGCGGCCTCCACACGGTCGCCCAACCAGTGCCCCTGCGGCGCGGCGGAGGAGTGGCTCCCGGGCACCTCAAACGGCCAAACGGCGCGCCGAGGATGACCTTGGGGAAGAAATTTGTTTTGTTTTTAGACTAATTAATAGATATTATATACATATATAGATATATATATATTATAAATATCTATATCTATATATGTATATATATCTATATATATATAGATAGAATAGATAGAATGAATAGAATAGAATAGAATTAGAATTAGAATTAGAATAGAAATAGAATAGAATAGAACGATAGATACAAATAATCATATATCTATATCTCCATCTGGGCATGTGTATACATACATACATATATATATATACACATATGTCTATCTATCTACCTATCTACCTATCTGCCTATCTACCTATCTACCTATATCTATTAACTTTATCTATATCAGTCTATATCTATATCTTTCTGTGCATCTATCAAGATATACAATATATATATATATATTATAACGTTTGAGACATACAACACGTACAAGTATAATCAAGTATATATATATATATTATATACTGTACATATGTTTAAAAAAAAAACAAGGATGTTCAATGTTAATACGTGTTTATTTTTGTTGTGTATGGCCTAAATTTTGTAATTAACAGTGGCACGAAATGGGGCACCATTTGTAGCACGATGAAAATGGCCAAAATCAAGTATATAAATCTCCTATGTGCCAATATGACATGCTTTGTGATTCGATCTAGGTTTTGGAGGCTGGCCTGGCTGCGGCCAGATCCTGACCCAAGCTCCGATGAGGAAAACAATACAAAACCGCTCGTTTTGGGTTTTAGCGTACTTTTGTCATTTTCAGAGCACACATAAAAAAATAACAAGAGCACGGACTGCACTATTTGGTGCACGACAAACCGCAAAAAAAAAAAACACACGCATTGGAGCACGATTTGGTGCAATTGGTGGTGCAATTGGTTGTACCACATACTGTAGGGCAAAGACATCTTGGGGAGTCTTGAGGAAAATGATAGACGAAAAGGCAAAGGCTGAGACTTAGGTTGATGGTTGTTTGTGAATGATATTGTAATTCTCCTCCGATGACAGAATGCAAAAAAGGGGAGGCACCTCTGCGACTATTGATGACATGGTGAGGCCCTCCGGTTTTTGTCCCGAGGTGCTTCATTGATCTTTAATCCCCATTCGGAAGGACTTTCCAGGAAGCCAACTTCACAAAATTTCGGAACCTTTGCCAACAACATCCAACAACATGTGCCAATTTGGCTGGGCCCTTAGCTTTTCACATGTTTGTTGAATCACACTTTCCTACCCTTTCGGCACCTAAAAAAAACCAGGGTATTGCGGTCCAAGCCATAGCCGCTATAGCCGTGCCACAAAGCGCGTGGCGCCGTTCTCCTGGGTGAAGTCATCCACGGCCCAAATGGTGTTGAGACCCCACTGCAAGGGACGCTTCAGTGGGATGCTGGAAGTATCCACCACATCCCGGTGCATATCGCCTGTAGCTAGCAGGATGTAGCAGCTGGAAGGGGGCATGTCGAAAATGTACCTGGAAATTTGCACTGGACCAAAACAACACCGTACCAAGTTTTCCTGGTGGTTCATTTTTGCCAAAGTAACCAAAGCAAACTGCACCAAGTTTTCTAGGTAGTTCATGGTAGTTCTATTTATGTTGCCACGTCTTGCATGAAAGGAAGCTGGCAAATCACCATGGGCCACCCTTAGACGCCCCTTGAAGTCACTTCGTTTTTAGGGGGTAGCCTGGGTAGGGGACTTCTCCAAGTGCTCAAACTCATCCCAATGACCAACCCAACTACCGAGCCCCAGCCCGACCAGCCCGACCTTCAGGCATTCCAGAGGACAAGATCAACAATCTCACCTGCAGAAGGGACAGCTGGCTTTGAGATGCCTCCCCTCTCCACCCCGAAAAAAAAGAAAAACAAAACATAGTGCATTCATTATATATAATAGCATGCATATTATATACAAGGTTTAACTATATTTATATATATATATTAATGTTTGATAATGTGACATATCCCCTAGTCACCTACATAGTCTATATTATTCTTGAAGAACAACACATGCCTTTAGTCACTTTAGTCCATGTTCCCATTTACTCCCAGGTGTTGGCCAGCCAACTTGACATCTCTTTGAGTTTTTCGGCTTTCGGCTTTCGACTCAACTTTGCAGCAAGACAAGCCTACACGTAGGGACAATGGAATGAACATGAACATGGGAAATAGCAATGGATGAGTCACGCTGATATTATGATTTTTGATGATTTTTGTGGACTGCTTGCACCTGAGGATTTCCAGGATGCTGCTTTCTCACCATATCTCACCATCAAAGCGCATCCCCCCAGCTCCTTGCCTCCCAAGCAATGGAATGATGAGATCCTTCGCCATGCTCTTGCCGTGCCAATTCAGCTGCAGCCAGGATTAGAGGATCTTTGGCCAACTTGCTGAGAGCTGGCTCCTGCAGCTGATCATTGCGGGCATCCGCGGACCCCGGGCCGGAACCGAATGACCCTCTGGTAAACTAACATAACTATGGAAAATCACCATTTTTAATGGGAAAATCCACTATTTCTATGACCATTTTCAATAGCTATTTTGACATTACCAGAGGGTACCTGAACTGCTGGAGATTTCTGATCCCAGAATCACCTCGAGAGGATCCAGGGGTCTCTTCAGCAACTGTGTGCTGTCACCGAAGCGGACGCTCTGACCTCGAGGGGTCACACCATCGACCCATGGCACTCGAGGAAAGCTTCGAAATTTTCTGGGGGAAGTCGATCAAATTCATCTTCCCCTGGATGGAACCGCTGCCATCTGTTCCAGAAGGGTGATCATACAACATGACAAAACATCGCAAAACCATGGGGATCAGTTTCCTGACCATGGGTTCAAACATTGCACTTAGTTATCCAGACAGTTGGAGCAGCGACAGATACTGTATTTCATGATATTTCGGGCCACCAACCAAAGGATTCGCACATCTCTCAAGCGTGTTTCTGCACTGAAAACCCTAGTGGTACTTGCTTTCCTCCGATAGAAAATGGACGAACATGGCTGAACTAAATGATTTCATGATCAAACATGTTGATGATCCATTTAATCATTTATAGCTATGAAACAAAATCAGGTGTCTCGTCATTATTTATTTATATAAATATAAATGTATATAATTGTATATATATATATATACATTAATATGATTTAATATATTTATATATTATATATTAATATGTTCATATGTTTTCTCTCATTCCAACGGTTTCCATTATAAATCAGAATCAAAACCTTTAGAAATCATGGTTCCAAGATGTTCCAAACTCTGGCCGACCTGCCGCCATTCGGCCTTGCTCCAACTCCTGACCACGGAGATGCAAGTGCTTTTTCTCTGAAGACTGAGCATCAATAATGGGGATTTAATATGATTTAATGATATTTAATGGGTATGTGATCTGGGTATCAACGATGGAACGTACAAGCAGCCATAATGACTGATTGCTTTTCTCTGAACATGTTGGAAAATGTCTATGGCCATGTTGATGTTATCCCAAGGCATCCCTCACTTCCAGACCCAAATGGTTTTCCTGGCAGTGTTGGGGAATTCTGGTTTAGCTGATGCCATATGAGCCATATTCAAAATGTCTTTCATCCTGGGATATCCTGGGCACCAAATAAGATAAATAAGGAAATGCTTACGCCATTGCTTACGTTTTGCTTACGCGCGCACAGGCTTTGCTTACGCGCATATCTTGTCGTACGCGGAGCTCACGCTGGCTTACAAGCACCCCAGTTTTGCTTACGCCACACCCTTACAGTACAAGGGGCTCCCTGCTTAACATGAACACAAGGGTTTAGAACGTGGCTCATACATCACATACCCATATCATATTTTGGTGTTGAACATCTGCAGTGTTCATCGTTGTTTCCATGTTTCATGTTTCCATGCTTCATGTCAAAGGATCCAAGAGTTAAAATGTTCACGTGACGCTGATGGTTGCGAGACTGGCTTTGCACTTTGCAAAATTTGGCCGAATTGATCTGCCAGCTCGCAACTTATGATGTAGAAAATCAGCAAGAACAACAACAACAGCAGCAACAACAACAACAGCAACAGCAACAAAAACAGCAACATCACCAATGCAAAATTGCAATATACCTCCGCTTTTGACCAGCAAACAAAAGGGTGTAAAGTGGGCAGAATCTCCTTGAACGCAGCTCTAACTGTCTCCGCATCGCTTCTCGATTCCAGGACCACCACACCATCACGTTTCCTTGGAACAGCCGAGAATGAGACGCTTTGAGTTCCAGGACCTTAAACTTGCCGGCTCCAGAGGAACAATCACCTATGAATATTAATCTGGTTGGTGGTTTCAACCCCCCCGAACAATATTAATTAGTCAGATTGGATCATCATCCCAACTATTGGTGAAAATAAAACATGTTCCAAACCACCAACCAGTAATGTTATGGCACAAACACTTACATGAGAAGTGGGGATCGTCTACTGTACAAATTCCCAGAAGCGTTGGATCATCATCCTGATAAACACTTCAACCTGGTCATTTCTATTTGACACGGCTTGTGGCTTATGTGACATGTATGATACACCGTTGAAAACCAACAGATTCCAGCTGAATACCAAGTTTATGTCTAACTAATTATACCCCAAATTTCGGCACCTGGCTTTTTTTTCAAAACATATTCCTGCAACAAGTTTCCCACAGGAGAAAAAACAACCACCAAATCCAGGAACTCCCATGGTACCCCAGGGATCTTCCATGTTGAAAAAACCGAGGCTCAAGACCTCCGCCACTTCCATGGAGCTGCTGCTGCCCTTCAGCCGCACCAAGGGAGGTACCAGCAGATCTCCACGGAGGAGGAAGGGCATCAGCAGCAAACTGAGGCGCCTCAGCCGGTGATTAAGGGGCTTTCGTGGCTGAATGATGATCATGGAGCTTATGGATCCATATATGGCTTATGTTTCTTGGTTTGCTAGACCAACTATAAGTTCTTTCATCACCGTTAGTGAAACGAGCCCTAAACCAATGCAGCCTTTAGCGGACCACCTTGTGCATGAACTTGTGATGGATAGCCCGAAGAACACCCACTTAGTTCAGTTCGGCATACATATTTTACCATCAACAGTGGTGATCTTCCATTGCCACATTAAAGTCCCGGAGGGTAAGATAACTGGGCTTGTTTCATTTGGATTATTTGGATTTAGAAATGAGAACACATAAATCCGAAGTAAGAACATGTAAGAACTAATCCTAGTATTATAAATATTATGTCATCCATTGTAATATTCTATGTAGGGCTGATTTTCTTTGAAACCTCAGTTTTGGAGTCGGATTTTCGAAACGAAAAATGATCGATCAATCCAACCTGGAAAGCCCAGTCGTCGGGGGATGTTGGGATCATTTCCCGTTGTGGTACTAGGTCCTCTAGGTGACTGCAAATCCAAATGACAGTATTACTATATCACTCTATATCTACAGTATATCTACTGTATATATATATAGTATATCTACCATACATCGTACTGGTATAACCTAACTAAGTTAGGTGCTGGTTTTTCAACGGAGAAACCTTTCGCCCGTGTGATGTGATCCTGCATCGCCCGTGTGATGATTTTGCGAAGTGCAGTTCCGTGGATTTCCTGGCATTTCTCCATCTGTTTGGCCGAAGAAATTGGTCCATATGCAACATTATAGTCTATAATGCCAAAACATGATAAATGATTATAGTTGATTATAGTTGATAAATGATAGACTAGTCTATAATGTTCAGATTATAGATGATAAATTCAGAATCAATCATCTAGTCTATAAACATTATAAACCTACCATGATACCATGCACCAAGGTTTTCCCAGTCACCTCTCTAGCCTAGCGACAGCAGCTGCTTCGTGGCAGCTTTCGACCATTTTTTCGACATCAGCCAACTTTGGACTGCGCCCGGTATCAAAAATGGCCACGGACGGCACTGCCTGGCTTCAACAACACCTTTTCGAATCTTTTCTATATGTTTTTCAGGGTTGGTAAAACTCTGTTAAAATGGAAAGGCATCTCAAGAATGAATTGCCAGTTTGACGTTCAGTTTGAGGCTGCTGAAAAGTGAATCTCTTCATCATTTGTTGGGGCCCATTAGGTGCTACTTTGGGATAAGGAAAGGATAGGGAGAGGGTTAAGGGCCCCCCTGCACCTGCCAGCTCCAATATTGAGGTCATGTCTAAAACCACACAAAACCATCCGAGTTTTGGATTTTACATAATGGGAAAAAATCATGCATCCATATGCATCCTTCATTTGAACCTTACATACTCGCATGAAACTCGATGACATGATGACACCTTCCAAACAACTCAAACATTGAACATGCAAGGGCATACTTTAAGGCAACACTGGAGATGTGCAGAGATTGAGTTCCGGGATAAGATGATAAATGCTGCATAGCTGACACTCACCATTGAAATTCGACATGAACCCCTAAAGCTGTCGATATGTCCAGGCCTGCTCTTGAACCAAAATGAAGCTCCAGCGATTGGGGATGATTCATCGACCCCAGCAAGCGGCCATTCTAGCAACAGCATGCTGCCCAACGTGTGAACCTATGCACCACTGGAGTTTCGCAAAAGATCGCACAACAAATGCAAATAATATATAATACACACATACACACACACATATATAATTTTGTATATTATATACATATATTCCAAAAACATTGAGCTGAGGATAGGCAGAATGGTGGCACTAAATATCATGGTTTCACCTTTTTCTCCTCACAGGCCAGGGCTTAAATATCACGGTGCAGCTTGCTGAATCTTCTGCAGGCTGTGAGCCACTTCAACATCTCAGTCTCCATCACATCATGGTCGCCTTCAACCATTCCCCAACCTCATGTGCTCAAGGAATGTCCAGTCCAGTAGTCAAAGAGAAAATCTTGAATCCGGAGAAGCCAACGACATTTGGTCCTTAAATATCTGAAAAAATCATCCTTGAAGATGATCCACTGAAGCCCACATGGCCCAGGACCCGGCCTGTTTTTTCACGGGAATGGGGTCACATCATCCAATGCCAGTGCAAACGTGATGGGTATATATAATAAAGTATTCAGAGTACACTCGTATATATATAATTTCTTATCAATTATATTGAATTATAGAGTTGGATTGATGACCACCCACCAATATGGAAAAATAGCCCGGGTTTTGATGTTTTGACCATGAATTGATGAACATCCTCCAAAAAATATAACTATGGATAATCTATATGAATATGAGACAATAATTATATACGAGTTGTTTTGGAGGGTTGCCATCCTGGATTCGAACACTGACTTCCCCTCCTGTTTACAGTCCATGGAAAGATCCGACTATACTGGTGTTCCCAACATGAGGCACTCTTATGCCACCCTAAAATCATCTAAAATGTGTTCACATGTGTTACGTGTTCAAACGTATTTTTTCCTTTTTTCCACGGTAAAAACCGATGGTTTGGGGTCCCAATTGTGGGAAAACACTCATTTTCCCGGTCACGTCTCGTCTTAGTCTTACCACGGCTTCCAAAGGACGTTCGATCTGAAAGTCTTCCTCCAGCTGTGCCAATCCTTGGATGCGGCGTTGGGAATTGCTTCTACTGGTTTCTGGCTAGTCCAGCAATGGATTGTTGACTGATCCCGTTACAACAAGTTAGTAGAACCCAACTCTCTCTCTCTCTCTCCCTCGCCATCTCCGAGAGTTTAGCCAACTGCTAAAGGCGAGCCATTGGCCCAATGCCCAGAACTCATGTGCCAGTTAGCCCAGCACTTCAGCCGCTAGTCGAACCCCACTATTAGCAATATCTAAAATCATCTATATAATATGATTTATTAAAGAAACCAATGGCTGTTCAACGCTGCTCAAAAGGCAACGGATTGATTGAAGAAATGCCATTAAGCAGGAAATGAAAGCAAGACTATTCCCGTCAAACATGCCTGTAGGTTGTTCCTGCTTCTTCTTCTTCTACTTCTACTTCTTCTTCTTCTTCTTCTTCAGCCAACTCTTGGGACAAGGGGGAAATAAGTTTAAACCTATGAATACCCTACTGAACGTCAAAATAGCTAGTGTGATGGATGTTCTCCCCTGCATTCACATCGGAAAATCATAGGTCCCCTGACATGTTTTGACCAATCCATGTTGTGAAATCAACATGAAACTGTTGGTTAGTTGGTTACCCCGCGAATTTGCTGGTCAAATGCACAAGGGCTTAAAGCGTTCATCGCACACATATCTACAGTTCATGGGGGTTATAAGCCAATACACATACCCTCTGGTAAATTAACATAGACCCTGGCAAATAGGACTTGGAAGATTAGTTTCAACTAAACAATGGCTATTTTCAGGGTCCAACTGTTAATTTACCAGAGGGTAACTGGGGGGGAACCACCTTAGTTCGCCGCCCATGTTCGAAACCAGGACTCGGATCGCCTCCTCTGCGGTGGTGCTCTTGTCCAACAAGGCGCTGGCCACAATGAAGGACTTGGCCTGGAAAAATGGGGGGGATGAATTTCATGTGGGAACCCATGGTAGACCCAACAATGCCTGGTGCATAATGGTGAATAATGGTGAATAATGAATAGTCTTTACAATCCATTGAATGGTGAATCATCAACCATTCACAAAATCACAGGTTTATGGCATTGGGTTTACGCAATTCTAGTGGGAGTTGAATCCACCAAGCAAAATTGAGAGTGAATCTGATTTTATTGATACACATTGATATCTCATGGGGATTTACCATCCCAACAAAAGATCATCAACCAAGCCAAATGGGGGATGGTAGATTGCAAGGTTTCAGCCAGCATGGATACCTATCGTAGTTTTACATGGATCACTATGGACTTAGGGGAACATTTTAAAAAGAAACCATGGTTTTCACCCACAAAATACGGCGTTCCTGCCTTCTTTCATCATTGGGATGTGTCAATATCACGCAATTTGTCTTTTTCCCTGGTGGAAGTGGATGGACATCTATAATATCATCTGCCAGTAGCATCTATTTTGATGTGAAAACCATGTGCAAACCAGAGTGTCAGGTTTTTGATCCGTAGCCGGTACAGGATATGGGTCCACATATGGAGATGATAGAACTAGTGGCTAGCGGAGCTAGGAACATGCCCCTGAATCTAAATGACATGATAAACCATCAACGTGTCCATGGAGCATATCTCAAAAGATTCGGGGGAAAAAAAAAAAACACGAAAAATATGTAATTACTGTACCACTGATTCAACGCAAACTGCGTGAGGCAGTGATACAAATGCACGCCCTTAGGCTGTCTTACTTCCGCTCGGACGTCCCCATGATTTCCTGCATCTTCCCCCTCCAAGAAGGGGGCTAACAGGGGCGATGGTGACGGGGGGCTAAGATGGGCTAAGATCATCTTGAATCTGGAAGACCCGAAGAACACCCTTGCAAAACCTAACCAAAAAAACATGGAAAGCAGCGGTGGATACACCCCGTGCACCGTCTGGGTGGCGACTTCCAGAGCACAGAGCTCCCAAGCGTCTCGGTCGAGTAGAAGCTGTGTGATACGCAGCAGGGTCTCCTCGGTTACCGTGACTTGGAGCTTCATCAGTCATCTATACCATCTGGTTATTTAACATGGCCATGGAAAGATCCACCATTTTTAATAGGTAAACCATCTATTTCTATGGGCCATGGCTTCCATGGCTATGTTAGTCATAACCAGAGGGTATATTAGATATGTGGAATCCTCACCAAAACTGACCAGCACATCATGAAGAAATCTTGGGGGTTGTTTGTTGAAGATGGGGTTTTGGGAGATCAGAGTTTCTTAGATTTGGGGATAGGTCCAGCAAGGGAAAATGTGTTAGAAGATGTTAGAAGTGAAGGAACACGAAGGAACTTATTGTTTTTCTTTAGAAACGACCAATTTTGGAGCCAACATCTACGAATGGATCTGCACCGCCCACGTTGAGTCCATAATCTCCATAGCTATCGATAGGACCTATAGGTAGTGCAATCCCAGTACTAACATTCAGCTAAATCCAACTGACCCTCATTTCCATCTCAGAAACATGGTGAAGTTGGCCAGGGTCCGCCATTAGTCAACCAAATAGGATACATGCATTCAATGCATTCATGTGAAACAATCCTATGTCGGTCGGTTAACGCATGTTAAAGCCTTGTCCGTGTTATTAAGTGCATGTGTTTGTTCATCAAATCCACGCTTCTGTGGATTACACAGACATGTCCTTGTCTTGTGTTGTGAAACTAGTTCATCAAATCCCAGTGTTGTGTCATATGTTCAACCATCTTTGGGGTATGTTCATTCACGAAACTACCTGGACTACGGATATATTCAGCATTATTCCCTCATTAATCTATACATGTAATATACTGGTCATATTCCCCACCATGTCTTCCCAAATATATCACCATACTCATACGCCTCTTTAGTTTTCTTCCCCAAATAAAATAATTAAACATGATTAAACCCCAATTTTGGTGGGTTGGGAAGCTAAAAGTAGCTCCTTGGTTCCCCATTCTTCATTGGGAATGTGGATGCCCCATTGCTCCTTAGCTCCCTCCGAACCATCGGATAGTTATGGTTGGTTCTCTAAATCTTGCTCGTTTACAGGAAATATTGCTTTAACCATAAATGACCAGTTGGTGGTTTACACACTAATATTTGTTGTTGATAAATCATCTATGTATGGTTGGTTGTATTGGTGCCACGGTCAAAAAATGGTTAATACGGGTATGGTCATCCATCCCATACGATGGGAAGCCGAACCAATGTGCATAAGAATCCCTATTGACAAATTGTTGGCCATGCCCAGAAGGCATATGTCAATCGGTAATGGAAACTCCCTCAGCAATAGTCCGATGATCTTCCAAGCTGTCAACCTCCATCGCTAGTTCGGGGATTTCCGAGCCCTGAGGATGCATCGTCATTCATGGTTCCATCATTATTGTCCAATAATTAAATCATCTCATTCTATCACCATCGCCATACCGAGGGTCCAGCGGAGCTGAATCCCACTATATATATATATTATACATTATATATACACATTAAATAAATACATATTTATATATATATATGCATTATATATATACACATCAAATAGGTGTATATTTCTATATACAATATAAACATATATACAGTTATAAATATATTATATGTATATATATATATTAAATATATATATATACACATTAAATATATATATATATATATGTATATATATATGTGTATATATATATATGTATAATTATGTATATATATATATATATGTGCATTATATGTATATACATAAGTGTATATATACATCAATTCCATTTCAATTCCACTGATTTCCGGAGGCTAAAACTTTCACCAAATCCTCAGTCAGAGGCGCCTCTGGATGATTGGGAGCCGCCAGGCCCGAGGCCACTCCCAGTGTCACCTCGTACCTTGTCGTATGGTGGGCTTCACCAGGATTTTGGGATTTGACAAACATGATGCCCAAAATATTAGGATTCACTAATGTTGAATCAGGAAAATGGTGATATATTGGTGTTATATTCTTGATTTAACTACCAAAGAATATTCAAACATATAGAGTTTAACCAGGAAAATGGTGATATGTTTTTTCGATATTTCGCTTGATTTAGCCAGAAAAGAATGGGATTTGAATTTGGAGGCAGCCCAGTTCCTTGATCAGTCTATCTTCCAGGGATCCAAGGGATATTGGAGGCCACCCATATGTGAAAAAGGAGACCACCAAGCAGCTTGGATGAATGGCTAAGGTACAAGCATGATCACATTTGTATTAGTAATTTAGTACTAGTATCATTATATACAACTAAATTAGTAACTAAATTATAAATATATATATATATATAATTATGTAATCTCAGGCCGGGATTGATAAACCCGGACTATTCATTGGGGAGGTTGCCCCCTGTTTCAAATTTTGGTGAGAAAATAGTATTCAAATTGGTATCCATGGTGTGTTAATCCTGGGTTAACATAAAATACCATTACTATCATGGCCAGTAGATCGTCAGTCCCGGCAGAATTTACGTCAAAAATAGGGTTTTTTCATGGTCCTGGTGCTCTGGACATGGGATGACCATTGATCACCCCAAACCCCTCAAGGTTTGGGTTAAGATGTACAGCAGGAACTGCCCTCTGCTAAACTAACATAGCTATTGAAAATTGCCATTTATAGTTGATATGCCCATTGAAAATGGTGATTTTCCATAGTTATGTTAGTTTACCAGAGGGTAGTAACCTAGGCCAAACCAACCCAAAATGGAGATGGAAATGCACCAGAAAGCGCTTCAAGCTGCAGAAAGAGAGATTTGTAGCCCAATCAGTCCCCCTCCGGCCTATGGTCCAACCATTAATGGTAACCCAGGATCAATAAACATCCGCTTTATTCATAACGTGGGTACCATACCAAGGCCAACGCAAATAATAGTTACAGTAGGGTTTCTGAATCCCGGGTTAACATGCATGAACTACCCACCACCCACTGTCTCGTGCTCTGCCATGCCCTCCCTTGCCATCAAGGGTGCTTCGACGCGAACCACTCACGCAAGGGGCCCCATTCTTGCCGTTGTCGTTCAGCCAGAAGATCCTGCTCGCCCTGGAAACACACCTTGCCCGCTTCGCGGTTGCTGGTTGGTGCTGGTTGGCGGTATGGCCCCCAGTGGGAAAACTAGTTTGATAGATTTGGGGTCATCTTCCGACGGACTGAGTGGGTTGTGAGATGTTTTTAATGTTTTTTTCAGGGTATTCCGACCAGGTCACATTCCTGACCTGAGGCAGTTTGAATGTGAACAAGTAAAACTAGCAAGCAATGGCAAACAAGGCATGCTGGAAAATTCATGAAAATTCCGCCCATTTGTGGATCATGTTCCCATTAAAATCAAAGCCTTCATGTCCTGCGTGGATTTCCCAGCTACCCACGTTTGATTACCGAAGGGTGGCCCCTGGGGGGTGTGGGTCAGGACTCCAACTTAGCACATCTTGTAGGGCTGCAGTCAGCTTCCATGTTGATCTCAGGTGTGCTCAAGATGGGCATATTACCATTGGGTTCATCGGTTTATGATCCATATCCATATCTAAAAAAATGTATGAATTAAATTGGTGCAACATAAGTATCTAACAATCCACATTATCATGGGGTTTCAAGTGGTTTCCAACCTCTGCTGTCAAAGCCTGCTGTGCTCATGACCCTTTCAAAGTGCCAATCATGGATTCCTCTTTTTGCCAACATGGATTGCAATCACCTCATCCCTCCTCAAAAAAATACATTGACTTTACTTAGGGTCCCTAGATTTTATCAAAGGTGCAACTCCTTCCGCCTCCTCACCTTCACCTTCATCACCTTCTTCTTACTCCTCCACCTCCTCCTCCACCTCCTCCTCTGCCCCCTCTTTCTGCCAGCTCGTCGGGACTGTGCGCATGAGCGGATCCGAGCCGTTGGGCGAGCTCGCGAACTCTGGGGCAAGCTGGGCACGCCTGGACCCAAACTTTGTCTCACGAAATCCGGATGCAATGGGCCACGACAGAATGCCAGATCGAATGGCAGAAAGAATGTTAGAATAGATGCCAGATAGAATGTCAGAATAGATGCCAGATCGAATGGCAGAAAGAATGTTAGAATAGATGCCAGATAGAATGTCAGAATAGATGCCAGATAGAATGCCAGAAAGAATGTCAGATCGAATGACAGAATAGATGCCAAATAGAATGTCAGAGCGTATTGCAGAAAGAATGTAAAATAGAATGTCAGAATAGATGCCAGATAGAATGCCAAATGGAATGCCAAATAGAATGTAATTAAGGACAATGCCAGAAAGAATGCCAGAAAGAACGTAAGAATAAATGCCAAATAGAATGCGAGAAAGAATGTCAAATAGAATGTCAGTATATATGCCATATATCATATATATCAGAAACTATGTCAGAATATTGCGTGAGGATGGGGATCACTGGAAATAAAGTTATATAAGTTATGTTCTTTTTTGGGGGGAGGGAATCTGAATTCCCTGCAGTTGCAAATTGGTTCATAAAACAATCTCACCACAGGCACCTCTATCATAAAGCCTAGTCAGCCTAGTGTAAACCAACTTACCACCTAGGGAACCCCACATTATTCACCTGGTAGGAGGTTGCTGTACCCAGATCATCAGTTCGTCCCTTCTGAGCGGCCGTGTCCATCTCCAGAAAGGGTAAGAGCCGATCCACAGATGCCGCCGGATCGTGCTGCGTGATGTCCAAAGCGGTACAACCTGATCTGCCCAGAATCCGCCAGTCAGGGGGCCCCTAGTTATGTTCGTTGGTCAAACAAAACCCCATTTTCACATCCATTGACTATAGTTATGTCAGTTATGTCCAACATCAATTGTAGAATTCACCTAGGTATCAACCAACTTGGCTATCGTTTGGAGGCCCCACCAATACCATGCTACTGCGGACGTCACACAATGCCATGCTGAAATGCTGGGTCGACTCAGTGATCTCCTTCACGTCTGGCTTTTGCAGGACTCATCGAAACAAAGAGATAGAGGGATATAATGTTACATACCTATTATATATATTATATGTATGGTGAACAATGGTGTATGCAAAAATCCTAACTTAGCACTGTTGAGTAGTTTCTGCATTTATGTGGGTGCTAATACATGTCTCCCCACATTCATGCCAACGTCTAGGCGGAGCTGGCCATGTTGGTGCTCCACAAAAAACCTCCGGGACATGGGGCATTTTGAGGGGATGGCTTGTGATTTTTTGATATTTTTGGTGGATACCATCAATATTTGGGGCTTGTTTTAAGTTGATAAGTGTTGCGATAAACATGCTAGAACTATGTAATCAGGTCCGATAGAGGCAAGTTGGATAGAGATAGGTTGATAGAGATAAGGTTGGATAAGTTTTTTGCAGCTTCATAGAGAAATCGATTTGTTGATGAGGAGGCGACGTCGGGGAATCAGCATCATCCCCTGAGATTTGACATTGCCAATCCTAGATACTTTGCATTTGCTTTTGCTGGTTAGGTTAAAAACATGTCAACCGCGGATTTCGCTAAACCCCAAAGGGCTGTTTTCCATTGGGGGGGTACCAGTAAACAGTAGCCATTTATCACTATTTGCGGGAATACCCCCTAAACCATGGTTTATTAATCCGGGGTTGACATTACATCCCCATTCATAACAGCGGTGGATGACTGCTAAACTCTTCATCTGAGCCATGCCGAGCGACCTAGAGTAGTGAATGGCATCTCCAAGGGCAGGATGTCCTCAGTTTGTTGTTGCCATTCGCCTGGCGCGGCTTCTGCGACCTGAATAAAATACCTTTCGAATCCTTTCAAAAAAACGCACAGGCGATCATGTATGCGTGACCAAGGATGAAAGCTGAGAATAGTTAATGCATGTTAATGCATGATAGAATATGATAGATCAATTTTTGTGGCCAACTGCACGAACTCCAATCCAACTAAATATTCGGAAATCCATGGAAATCCACCAGTTTGTTTCATCCGGCAAAATCAAATGATCATGGTGTTTGCTCGTCGCATATTACACATCCCCATAATAACATTGTGATTGTGATGTGACATAAATTGTTTTGCAGCCCAAAAACATATCCAGTGTATCGCTCATTAAAACCTACTTGTTTCATCTGTCCAATCAAATTTGGTATAACTCAGTGGTAAACCACCAATTGTTGAACCAAAAAACACAAATCCCCATAATTGCTGCTGCTACCCATCCCACCCAATTATTATTGATAAATATTGATAACCTCCTCATTTGTCATGGCTAAACTAACAATTTTTCGGAAGACATTAGAATAATTACATCCCCAGATTTCGGAGAAAACAAGGTAAATTACCCCCATGAACTCCAGATTGGCTGGTTTCAGCACTTATTCTGATGGTAAAATCGACCCCTCATCGTTTCCTGGCAAAAAAACCGAACGCTGCCTGCAACCTCCTGCGCCACCCCACGGCCAGGCAGTTCCAGGGGAGTTCCCTTGGGCGTCTTGACGACCTTCGAAGTACAAGTGGCTTAAGTGGCTTAAAGCTACGGAAATCAACCAACAAAAACAGGGATACACAGGGATGATACCCACAGCCATGAATTTCTAATGTGGTCGTTTCTGTGATTGGCATGGCACATCATGGCACCATAGCATACCATAGCTACATGACCAAGGATTTTTGATATTTTGGTGAGCTGTGCATGAACAATAATTTGATATTGTTTAGGAAGGCCCTAATTATGAGTGGTCATTTCCACCAACAAAAAATAAAACAACAACTGGGAGAATCGATTCTCCTGTTGCAACTGCTAATATTTGATGGTCCTTGGCAGGTTAACCTGGGACCCTGCAGAACCATAGCATGGTTCACCCCCAAAAAAAATAAGCTGTGGAAAATGGTGTTTCTCTTGGGGTTTCCATGCACGATCAATCGGTCCCTTGCAGTCCTTTTACGAGAAAAACCCTAAACTCCTGAAGATTCACCTAACAGTAGCTCGATTTACTGAAGATGCTGCCAGGCTGTTTTTTCAGGTCGTGTTCTTTAGTAGATCCGTCACGTGTGATCGGTTGTGAGTCAGCCCTAGCGCCTACCTTCCCGTCCAACAGCACTCGCCAACATGGCGTGCCGGTCTTGGATTCCTCCAACATCACCTCCTCAGAATGGGAATGCCATGGAAGTCTCGGCTTTTTCTGAATTTGGCGTCAGAAAAAGCATCAACAATAGACATCCCGTCAGAAAAACATCCATAGGTTTTAAAAGATCCATGTTTCCAGCTGTTGCAATGACAATGAAAAACACAATGGAAAAAACGTACACAAACTGCACTTCGTGGTGCTCACAGACCGCTTTTATGGAAGCTCACCTTACCCTCCCAGGGGTGAATCGTCCGGTCCCATTTCATCAGCAGCCAAAGGTGATGAATGGTGATCAACAATCCTCCAAACCTGACCATCACCAACATTTACATACATTTACCACGTCTATTTACCATCCATTTACCAACCACTGCCCCATGCCCGCCTGGTAAAAGCGCTTCATGACTTTGGGACGTGTTGCAGTTACCAGGCCTCAGCCCCAGCTGGGCCCCGCTATAGGCCCAAGATGTCCTCCCAAACCACTGGACAAACACATACAAGACCATGGTGTTAGATACCAAAAATAGACGGAACTAGCTAAATTTAGCAGCATTATATCAGTTATTATTCCTGCCGCATTAAAAATGATGAAAAAACACTGTAAATACCGATGTTTTATGCATTTGGAAGGTCTAAAACACTACAGATTGCCACGACTTTACCAACAAAATCTGAGTGTCAACCCCCACTTGACCCTGGAGACCCTGGATGACCAGGATCATGGCATCCAGAATCGACCTCCAGAATTCCCGAAAAGCATTTAGAATCCACAGTCAACTAGTATGAGAATGGGTTTTCAATATGTCCAAACATAGGGATATCACACTCTAACATACTCTAACCATTAAAGCAAATTCAAACATGGGGTTCAAACCAATACCATCTCGCCCCTTCACTTCCCGGGGTGTCAAAAGATGTTAAACACAGAGTGTTGTTGGCTGCTGTGAACCACTTCCAAAACTGGAAAGTTTTGTTTTTGGTCATTTTTTGAAAGAGCCCAACCTGCATTTGCAAGTGCTACCAAGAATATATTGACTCAAGCAAGGGGTGGCAATGGACCTGCACATGTTGTTATTATTTTTCCAGTGATCAGTCTCCAATCTGCGGGGTACACCCACCAATTCAACACAGAATCAAAAAAGGGCCATACTCAATAGATCTCAGGGTGCATATATATATATACATATATATAGGAATTAATAGGAAAGTCGTTCTATGATTCGGTTTTCAGGTTTTCAGGATCCAAATTAAATTTAGATGTATACGATGTTGAGCCGTTCTAATGTCGTAACGTACATTAAAAAAACATGGCTATTCTTCTAGGTTTGCACCTCTGCAGAAGGGCCGGCATCGCGCCAGCATGGCCGCCATGGCCCAAAATCAGGCGTTGCGTCTGAAAATGATCACTTGGTTTTGTCCAGAAGTGGGGCGTTAATGCCTGTGCATATATATATATATATATACACATATAATATTATATATGTGTGTGTGTGTTATATTGTTTATGTACATCATTGTATATCATAATATATGTATGGACGCCGATTCTCCGATGCTGAAATATACATGGAGAACATGTTGAGAAGCCAATGGATTTTGGGGTGCCCTATTCAAGGTGGCTCAGCTGAAGCCCCGACAGAGGATCCGGCACAGGGCTGTTTCGAAAAGGTCCATGATGGACACGGCATATGTCACATCATCAAACTCAGCTTCCAAGAAATGTCTGGAATTCTCAGACTATCCCACTACCATTTGTCAACATTGGGAACCTCTAAGATCAAACAGCAAATGGATATACAATATATACACATTATGCATCGGATTAGCTGTCAGAATCTGCGTCTAGTGGGATCATCGGCCCCAACTATATTAGATGAAGTCAATGGACGTGGTTCCAACATGTTCTTAATATGTTTAAACTACTACTGTATGTGATGTCCCATTGGAATTACTTAACATGTTTAGTAGTGTTTATTAAACGTGGAATTTGGGTTCCCCTAATGCTCTTAATAATCACTATAATATAGCTACGTGCCATCGAGTGTCCCCTCGCATCTAAGCTAACATGTGAGAGTAAATTGATTCATCCCTAGAACCTGAAGATCATTCTTTTTTGGGATGGTCAATGCACCCATATGCACCCATTTAATGTATGTGTCAAAACCTCTGGAATCAATTCTAGAAAGAAAGCGAGTTCCATGATATTCCGACATATTCCGTGCATCAAATCCGATGATCATCAGGCTCCCACGGACTTTTTGGCGTCGCGTCTCACATCAACAGATCGTCATCTGGAGCCGAATAGTTTCGTCCTCTGCGCAGGGTCATCACAACGGGGCGCCCTGAATCAAATGCGGACCACAACGCTTCACAACCGTCGGACCAACTAACTATGATATTTTTCCACACATCACCAATTATCATCATATATCATATGCAACTAGATAGCATCAAATGGGCAAAAAACTCATCAACAAACACGACGATGGAGATCTATGGAAAACATTGTGGGCTCCATTGACACCCAACCACACTGGGTTATATCATTGAACGCACAGCAAGTTATATAATTGAATAGCAATATAGGAGGATTCCGACCCCAACAACAAAGGGAACTAGTCACCTACAAGTAGCGGTGCCAGAAACATGAATCGATATCGATTGTACAGTGTCTTTGAATGTCTTTGAACAACATATAGCGGCAGCGCCAAATCTGGGTTGTTTGCAGTCGACGCCTTTGCTGGACGTCGTTACGGATGTCCTTATGGGAAACTACGGTCGAAGGGTTTTGCCAAATGGTCCACCCGATTTGGTCAATGAGTGGACACCTCAATTCAACAAACCAGTACCATGATGATGTAAAAGGGACAAATACATTTGAAATCATTTCAAAGCTGATATATATATATATCATGCCAAACTGATGCGGTTTGGTTTGCAAGTATTCGATGGCAAAACAAAATATTTCAATGGAAATCCTCGACACTCTCGTGTGTAAAACCTCCTCTTGGCTTTGCAGAATTCATGGTTGCCAGGGGTTCCAAAGAAGACTGAAATGCTGACATACTGACCCCGCCCCTTCAAAAACTTGTCCCAAAATCTTCTTGGTAAGTAGGTTACAACATGTTACAACCCCAGTTGCCAGTGGATCGGCATGATTGACCCTACTTATCTTAAGAAAAAGGCAAGGGAATGATCGGACAATACCATCTGCTTATTTAACAGTAACATAGCCATGGAAAATCACCATTTTTAATAGGTAAACCATCTATTTCTATGGGCCATGGCTTCCATGGCTATGTTAAATAACCAGATGGTATATTTTAAAAAAAATACAAACCCCACTGAGCACGTGAAATGAGCCACATGAGCCATCGTTGGTAAAACTGGTTGGTAAAACATATTCTTGTTGGTGGTTGAGCCACCCCTCTGAAAAATATGAGTTCGTCAGTTGGGGGTACTATTCCCAATTTATGGAAAAATAAAATTCATGTTCCAAACCACCAACCAGTATTAACATTCCCATGTTATTTTTCCCTTGTCAACGAAATGTCGGTTACATACCAGGCCTGCATCCAAGCGATTTCGGGTGCGCACGCCCACGGGTTTTCGGCCACGTGGCACCTTCCCAGAACCAGAGTAGTTACCTCAAGAACGTGGACTTTGATCGGAAGTGATCCAGAAATCATACTCTGTTTGAGTTTGGGAACACATATTTAAGTTGGTTTAGGAAATCACCTGTCATTTAGGGAATATATTAGATCACTATGTGTATATAAATATACGTATACTTATATGTGTATATATATATATGTGTGTGTGTACATTCAATGCGTAATTCGCACTTATATTTTTTTTTTGATTTAACCAACTTACCTATCGTTTGAGGGGCCCCACATTGTTATATTTCAATCCGCAAAACTGACATAAGTCAGTTGTGATCATCACGCCAGGATGATATCCTCACGTAGGATGAAGAGAAAGGTCAGCCATTCGTTTGCGACGAACTTTTGCCGATCACTTGCGACGAAGGGTTCTCCGAGGCTCTCTCAATTACATGTTGATTACATGCCTCGCGGTACATCGACGAAAGAAAGAGCCACCTTACAATGCCAACGGTCTTACCTTTTGGGGTCTAGGGGTGGGAGTGGTAGTGGTTTAGGGTCTAAATGCGTTTCTAATCATGTGCCAAACCTGACAAGGCCAATGGTTTTACCTTTTAAGATTTGGAGTGGGGGTGGGTAAGGGTTTACTAATGTGTCTCATCATCTTGCAAACCTGACAGTGCCGATGGTTTTACCTTTTAGGGTTTTGGGGTGGTTTAGGGTGGCTTAGGGTTTTTGGGTAGGAGGGGCGTACGTCACAAGCGACTAGAAAAACAGCGTCACAAGCGACGAGAAAAACAGCGTCACAAAGGACACACTATCCGAAATATCAAATGTATCACACATAATATACTATATTATCACATTTATAGTTTTGTATAAACAAATATATACATATATTCTGAATGGGGTTCAGAAAGGTAGCCACAACAAGAAATGCAATCCTCGGATGAACGGCCGCGTTCTCTTTTCCCTGCAGATCTCGGAATGAAATGTCCCAGTCTCCAAAATTGCTGTCCACAGCAAGCGATAAGAGTCGGCCACGACTCAATGGCACAAATGGGGTGCCACAAGCACTTCCCACCCACCAATCCCTAGGCTGTCCTCAGCCAAGTGCTGCAGTCAGCGGCAGTGATTAAAGTGTGTCTGGACCTGGTGTTCTGGAGTGAAGTGGACACTGGAACATGTTGAAATTCACACTCCCAAAGAATCAAAAGTTCTTAGTTTTGTTCTGAAGTTTTCAACCACTTTAATCGGTTGCGAGCATTGGCTCTGTCTTTGAGGATTTGATCCTGGTCATGCAACTGATAAAAGCCGTACTTCAGTGTTTCGCGAAGAAAGCTTGTTTCCATGATCTTTGTGAGGCTGTCTGCAAGTTGGGCACCTGAGTGGACCCATTTAAGCGTCACTCCTTCCGACATCAGGTCTTTAATGGCTCTGGCTAACAACTGAGTTCTAAACTCTTGGCAATTGGGTGGAGCTGTCCGAGACACCATGTCAAACAGTGATTTGCAGTCTGTCACAGCCATATCGGTGTCACTTGCCTTCATGGTTGTCGTGGTGATGGGGGTTGGTAGCTTACTCAGGGCCATTTTGGGTTCTTTCCATGCTGTTTGGGGATTAAGTATCCATGCCCAATATAGTCTTAACCATGACAACTGGTCGAGTGTACTATTTAAGGAGGTGGCCTCGGCTGAAAGGGTACTGACTACGACCTTCTGTATCTTCTTGCAACCCCAGGAAATGGGCGACACGGGGCTCTGCACATTGTCGGCAATCTGTTCATGAGTCGTCATGATCATCATTCCAGTGTGTGAATCAGGCTGTTTCTTTGATGAGAAAGAAGCATCCGAAAACGCTAGGAATCTCAGCCTTTTGATTAGGATTGGTTGGATGGTTATAGTGGTATCTTTATGACGTTTTGCATCATGAAGTACTTTGTTGGCTTCGTTCAGTGTTTGTATGGTGGCACTGTTCACAGCACTTTGTAAGAAACTCAGTCGGCTTGACAGGTCTGGCCGGGTGTTGACCGCTGCGTATTGAAGTGATCCTATTAAAGCTCTGAGAGACTGCTGTTCTTCTGGAGTCACTGAAAGATCTGATTGATATTTTCGGGTGGCATCAATGTGAATTGGTTCAATTTTGGAAATGCATTTTTCTTGGGACAAGTTGATACTGTAATTGGTGTTCTGGTGCATGTCGATACCTGTGAAAGTGAATGTCTGAATCTTCTTGGATCCAAAAGGAAAGATCTTTTCAAGTTCTGCAATCTTGGATTTAAAGTAGGCATTACCCCCGCAAAGACCGTCGTCTACATGGATTCCAATGATACCTGCAGTTTGTGTATTCTTGGGTTCATACAGAACATACACGGTGGGATCAAAAGGTGATGGGATAAAGGATAATGATCTCAGCGTTCGGTCAAGTTCTTGGTACCACAAAAATGGGGCATCAATCAATCCATATGCTGACTTGGCGAGTTTACAAACTTCGGTGGTTTCAAGCTGCATGGCTTTAGCCATTTCTGGAACTGGCTCGATGGCCAACACACGTCCCTCCTGTGTCCTGCCTTGCAAAAAGGCGGCTTTGATGTCAAAGGATGACAATTCCCAATTCATCGATGCGATGAGTTGCAAAATCAACATTCGTGATTGGCGTCCAAGTGTTGGACTGTCTCTTTGGACTTTGTCGAGTGCAGGATCTAGAAACCCTAAAACCACTAGTCTGGCTTTTGCTTTTCTGGTTTTTCCGGTCTTCTTCTGTTCAGCTTTATCTTCTATTGGTTTCCATACATATATCCAGCGGCATCGCAGTATTTGTTCGGCTGACAGTTTGTTCCTGAGAATTTTGCATACCGTTCCAGTCTTCAACCAATTGTCTACTTCTGTCTGTTTGGCCTTCTCAAATTCTGCCTTTTCGCTGGGAGAAAGTGTGCTCAGTTTCACTTCCGTTCTTTGTTTCTTTGGGTTCGATGCCAGGAATGCAATTTCTTCCACCTTTTCAACAGGCATGAATTGGCAATTGTCTTCAACTGGGACATCAATTTCATAGCGCCACGCAAGGTCGTATGCTGCATCTAAGTGGTTATTGTCATCAAGGTCTTGACACAGCAAAAGGTCACACATGAGTCCTTCATCATCACTTTCGGGAACTGGCACTTCGTGCGCTGCTGGAGGGTTTTCTATCGTCGGCATTTCCGGTTCTGGAGGCAAAGCATCTGGTTCAGTGTCAGGTTGTTCTTGAGATTGTGAGGAACTTGAACTTTCTTGATTGATGTCATTGGATATTTCTCTGGTATTGTCACTGCTTGGTATGGTGTTATCACTGGGATTGCCCGTATTGGTTATGGATGTGGAATCAGTGTTGATTCTCATGCCATGCTCCATGGACTGCATCTGCGGAAGAATCAGGCTTTCATGATCAGGAATTAGTTGTGCTTCCACAGAGCTCACTGGTCGAATGTGTTCTGGTGCTGCACGAACTAATGTGCCATGGTGCATGCTGAAAACTGAGTTCTGTCCATCTTGTTGGATTACTTTGCATGGGCCTATCCACCCCTTTTGATGTTCACTTTGTCTCCATATCATTACCCATTCCCCAGCAATATAGTTACCCCTGTTTGGTCGATTCCTCCGAAGCATTGCTCTTCTCAGGGCCATGCTGTTATCTGCTTCGTGAAATGCCTTGCGTGCTGATTCACGCATTGCCAGTTGGGTTCGGAAACGGATTCCGTGTCCGTTGTCATCCACAGCGGCTAAGTGGGATGGCAAGTGGTCATCACTTGCTACTGAGCCAGGTACCCTAAGGCCTTTACCAAACACCAAAACTTCCGGGGAAAATCCATGTCTCAGGCTGCCAGAGTTTTTGGCGGCTGTACACATGGACAGGGCAATCTGTAATTCGGCATAGTTGTTGATTCCATGATCTGTTTCAAACTTCGACAACATTTCTTGGAGAATTTCTCCATGGCGTTCGGTTTTACCAAGTTGCCAGTGGGCTCCAGGTGGAACTACAGTGGCCTTCACATTGTTCTGCTGCAAAAACTTTTGAAACATTTCTGAGGTGAATTCTGTTGCTGAGTCCATGATCATTTCATTGGGTGGGCCTGCCCATAGGAACCAACTTTGGATCAGTTTTTCAATAGCTTGTTCTGCGGTACGGCTGGGGGCAACACTGGCTGTTTGGAAATTGGTACCATGATCTATGTAGTGATAAAAGTGAAAGGATTGACCATTTTGTTGATCCAAGTGACGCCATCGGTTGATATCTTGTCACAAAAATCCATTTCAGCCTTGAGAGTTGCAGGTCTAGGGATACGTGGCTTCTGTTGCATTTGGCATGTTGAACAGTGGTAATCTTCAAGTGCTTGAATCATGGTTTTGGGGAATCCCTTCTGGCGAAGGACCTGGCTGAGAATTTGCTTGGACGGATGTCCAAGGTTCTTATGCACTCGGATGAGGAGACTTCGCTCTTCAGGTGGCAGTGCTAAGAATCGGTTGCCATGTGTCTGACTCTGAATGTCGGCTGCATCAGGGTCATTTGTCAAGTCGATTATCTTAGAATCTTTTGTCTCTTCGGATTGTGGATGTTGCGATCCAGAGTCATCGGTCGGCGGCTGCATTGTTTGCGACTCATCCGGAGTCGGGGATTGACTGTCACTGCGATCTGGCGGTACGTCTTGGTCATCTACAGCAGGCACAATCTCAGGTGGATTGGCAGCAAACACTGTTATATTCACGTGGCACGAATGAGATGCTCTGATCAGCTGTCTTTGGGAGAGGTCCTCCCATGGTTCCCAATGATCTTCCACAAGTACTTTCTGGGATCTCTGGCTTCAACAATAGCCCTGCGAAGTGGTGCTTCTCCCCTTAACATTTGTTTTGGAGGTCCTAAAGTTCGTTCAGTGCCCTTGCATGCCACTATACGCTGGACTATCTTATCATTGAAGATTTCTTGAATTTTCTCCATTATCCTGGGGTCTGTGATTTCATGTTTGCCCACTCTGGGGAGCTGCTGTTTGATGCTGGCTACAACCTGTTGGACGAGAGTTTTGGCATCTTCATCTCCAGGACCTTTCGCATCAATTCGTCTTCTTTTCCGAGGCAACTCATTCGGTTCGATCAGTTTTGCTGCAGGCTTGAGAAACTTCTTCGGCCTCTGTACAGGTGAGTTGTCAGGACCACGTTTTCTGCCAAGTGCTGCATAAACGGCATTCCACTGGATAAATCCCTTGGGCTTTTCAGGATTACGTTTGGCAAGTACCTTGGCAATGGTTCTGGCAAACTTCCGGGTATAGGACTCGGACATGGCAGTTCTATTGATGGATATCCCATTGACCTGAATGGTGCCTGACAACTGCTGATGTGAATGTTGTTTGTTACAAAACCTACCATGCAATTGTTCATGCAACCTTGTGGAGGTTGTTCGCACAGTCATGCTCTTTTGGATCAGCATTTGGCTTACTGGGTCTTTCAGCTCACCCACTTGGCACATATCAAAGTTTGAGGCATGGGTGTGTGCATACAGTTCGGACAGCAAAGGAGTACGGAACATCAATGACTTTCGAGTCTGTTCCCAGTGAAGGTGTTTCCCCTCTGAGAACTGATGACGCAGCAGTACCACACCTAAGGCCAGTTGATACAGATTCTGAGATCGTTGGTGATTGATCTTGTCAAACTGCTCCAAGGATTTGTTTTCATTGAGACAACTCCATGGACTCCAAGGTCCACATACAGGGCTGAACCAAACATGTTCTGGTGATTGCCTGACGATGATTTCAAACAACTTGTTTCGGCATGTTTCGGCCTTGAACTGTTGACAAGTCACCTTCTGCTAGTCCAAATCGGCGGGATCGGGAGTTCAAATTCAGCATCTGCTTGGTCAGTTCGCTGGATGGGCCACAGAAAACTTCTACAAGGTGGATCTTGGGCCATTGTAAACTGTTCTTTGAATTGCAAATTTGATCCTTGATTTGGGTAAGTTCGTTGGAAATCTGAATGACAAGTTCATTGAATTGCTCTTGTAAGGAATGAGGTTTTGTGGTGGTTACGAAGCTATCATCTAACCCATAGTCAGGGTCCCCAGCGATATCTTCAGACCAAAAGCTTGCTGCTCACTGTTCAGTTCTGGCGGATGTGGTTCAGGATCTCCGTCATTGCATTCTCCATGTGGCCCATTCGAGCCTGCAGTGCGGTGATCATCTCGTTGGACTCGGGGGCCATGGAAGCCAGGGACCACTCGTCTGCATCCTGTTGCATCATGTGAGGCTGAGCCATCTCCTCTGCCATGCTCGGAGATGGAACTCGATCTCGAGGTCGTGCTTTGGCTTCGGCGATCATCGGCATCTGAAGAGAAGGTTCTTGAGTGCACATCGTCGGGATTGTCTCGCCTCTCTCCTCCTGCTCCACCATGATCTGCACGAAGTGACGGAGCTTCTGGTGGTCCATCTTTTGTGAGGAGTCGTAGGTTTTCAGGAACCACTTCATCCACTTGGGCTCGTTGTGGTACATGTCCAAGAAGGTTCGACCTACATGGGTTTTGCCAAACGCCACGGTCTGTTGGCATTTCTCCTCGAACGTCAGTGACTTGAACTCTTCCAGACTGTTGCCATGTGCATAGGTCTGGCTGCGTTCCAGGACACGTTCGAATCGGTCGGCAAGGCTCATGGTCGTTCTGGTCACACGGTTGTGGGGCAATGACTGAAAGATCTCTTGAACCGATCTGTTGGCAATTGGTTCCTGTCATTGGCTTGGCATGGGTCTCATGCGACTTTTCGGAAATCACGACCTGTAGACCTGTTACTTGAAATTTGGGTTCCTCTTGGTTCGGTGGATTCTGATTGCTAATGGCTTGATTGAAAGGCATGTTATGTGTATTGGTAGTTACTGTGGTATGTTGAGTCTCGGTTGGATTTCCGCATTGGTCAACTGGATCCTGTTTCTTCTCGGTTGCTGCTTCGGTGCTGTCACAATTGGCGAAAGTCTCGGCGGCAGTTGGAAGTTTCAGCGCGCTTTGCACAAGCTCATTCAAATCTACTAAAAACAAACCACGGCTGTTCAAATGAAGCTTGATTGGCTTACACAAAACTGGGCTGTGCAGGCTGCTGGAGGAAACATCGATGCTGGATTTCAAGGTTCGAAGCAAGGTATTGGACAACAGCAAAGGAGTGTGGCCCTGTACAACGGCGATCTTCAAACCAAGGTTACCTATGGGAAGAACAATGGCATGATTGCTATCCAGGAGTCCTTGATTTCCGAATCGAAAAGTCACACTGCATTTGCATCTTTGAACCTTGTTCCGTACCTTCGGATGCAGACTTCGCAGCAAATCGGGTACTAGGGCACTACCAATGACTGATTTGGTTGCCCCGGTGTCAAGGATTCCAAAAGATCCGTAAGTTGCAAAAAGGGCCATCTCGTCGTGTGCGAGATGCACTTGGTTGGTCTTTGGCTCAGCTTTCGACACAGGAAAACTGCGGTCGCTCTCACTCATTGGGCATTCACTCCTGGGCTCTGCGATGTCATGTTTTCCCAATAACTTATTGTTATTTAACCCTGACATTTTATCCCTAATAGTAGGATTCCCCTGATTATAGTACTTCTTACCCCGAAAAATCACAGTGAAAGCACTGGCTACTTGCGGATTGGGCTCTTCATTAAGTGTGGCTTCGGATGCTATGGGCAGTTGCATGAACTCCAAGGGCAAAAACTCATCGATGGTCTCAGCAGGAGCAGTTTCAATCACGGTGGTCATTGTGGCGGCGGTGGACGGCACGGCTGACCCTGAACTTCTTGACCTATCAGGACATTCAGCCTTCCAATGGCCACGTTTGCCGCAAATACGGCAAGAGCTTTCCATGATTCTCTGCTGCAAACTCTTTCTGGCTCCCTTGAAGGCACCCTTTCCACGGCCTTTGAAACCTTTACCACGACCCTTGGAATTTCCAAGGGGCCAGAATCCTCGGTTTTTGGCACGGTCGCTCAGTCTCTTTCTGGCTTCTGTGTAGGCATTCAAGGCAGATGCCAGCTCAGGATCATCTTGGATGGCTTCTGTTATGGCTGTTTCATAGTCACAAATGAAAGCGGCGTCCTCATCTCCCTCTTGGAGAAGCATCTCAAGCATTTCCTCTTCGGACGGATCTTCCATGGTGAAGGCGGTTCCTTCAGCTTCATCGGTCTCTTCGGAAAACAGAGCTGTTGCATCGTACACTTTGCCTTTAGATTTCTTAAGGCCTACCATCTCATGAAAAAACCCGGATCCTAGCATGCGAACTGATTGATTCACCTTGTCGATGGCGAGGACACCTTTTCCAGCTGCATCAGACTCTAGGATGACTTTCTTCTTGTCCTCTTGAGATAGCAGTGATCCCCTGAGTACCACATACGCTTGGATTTCCTCCAGAGAGGTCTTCTTGGATAGAAGTTCTGTCCAGTAAATGTCAGTTCTGGCTAGGTATGAATCATTGGTTTCATCACCACGCTGAGTGCACCTGAAAAGGGCTTTCTCCACCGTCTCATACTTCTTCTCAAGATTCACCTTTCCCCATTGTCCACCTAGGATAGTGACAATGGACTGGATGCCAGCCTTCGTACCTGTCAGAATCACGGATTTCTGCAGTTGCAGCTTCTGAAATGCTGCTCCGGTCGAATTGAGAATGAGTCTAGTGGCCAACTCATTCAGTTTGTCACTCGGCCAGACGTCGGCCAACATCTCAATCTTCTGGGCATACTGTTCTAGGTCATCTTTGGAGGGGCCAAACGATGGCACAAGTGTTGCAAGCTGTGTCGAAACACTGTTCGTCGCCTTTTCCTCAGTCTCGGAACCCATGGTCAAAACTGGGTGGTGCGTCACTCAAAATTCTGGTCGCGCCACACTTGCTAGAAATGAATTGGCACCCTGGAGCTAGTGGTAGCTCCGCTACCAATCTGAATGGGGTTCAGAAAGGTAGCCACAACAAGAAATGCAATCCTCGGATGAACGGCCGCGTTCTCTTTTCCCTGCAGATCTCGGAATGAAATGTCCCAGTCTCCAAAATTGCTGTCCACAGCAAGCGATAAGAGTCGGCCACGACTCAATGGCACAAATGGGGTGCCACAAGCACTTCCCACCCACCAATCCCTAGGCTGTCCTCAGCCAAGTGCTGCAGTCAGCGGCAGTGATTAAAGTGTGTCTGGACCTGGTGTTCTGGAGTGAAGTGGACACTGGAACATGTTGAAATTCACAATATATATATATATATATATATATATGTATGTATGCTTCACCCCCAAAACAATGGTTGCATCCCTACAGTGAAGAATCCCTACAAAACAAATGGCTGCTTGGCGAAACCACCAGCCACCAGCATTTTCTTTCTGGTTGTTTGGGGTTCCAGGAAGTAATCATCCAAAGTAGGCATCACAAGTTTGTTGCTGGTCCTACATGGTGTGGACACAAGCTATTGCTGACAATCGGGCATGCTTCAAATGTTTCATGGATTGTTGCTCATCGGCCATGATTTTGCGTAAGCAGTTAGCACGTTAAGGATCCCAACTCAATTGATGCACTGCAGGGAATGATAAAGATAGCCACTCCGCCACTTCTTGTGACACATTGAATTAGTTCATCCCGCATCCCATCATAATACATAATTTGATATATATATATATAATTCTATTTATAGTATTATGCATATGTTTATATATATATATAGTCATATATATATAATCATATATATATATAATCATATATATATATCATATTATCCCAGGCAGCGTAAGCCAGTTGCTGACCATATGCTGACCCCAGGATCATCCCAGTAGCTGCTCTTGTCTCTTTCACACACAGCAGGACATCTTCAAATGGCCATGCATGGCCATGCCGTCGTTGCAGTCCAGGAGGAAACTAAGGCGTCCCGTTTTGGATCATTGACCAGTGAACAATCCATTGGCGTCAGTGGGTGCTTCTAGGCCCTTGAATGCCCTTAGTATATTTACGCGCACACGCCCCCTTGTCGCCCACACCCTTCTTGGCCTGGGAAGACAAACGAAGGCATTAGGGAATATGAAAGTTTCACCCCGTTAAACTTTACATTCAATTGGGAAGATCGACAAGGGCAGTAGGGAATTTAAAAGTCCACCCCCGTGAAACTTTACATGCATTTGGAAGATCAACAAAGGTATTAGGGAATATAAAAGTCCCACGCCCGTTAAATTTTACATCCAATTGGAAAGATCAAAAATGGTAGTAGGGATGAGGATGAGGATGAGGAGGATGATGATGATGATGCCCTGTGCTGTGCGTTCTGATCTAGAACATCAAGTTAACTATGGACCATAATGTTAAAATATTACAATTTTACCACGTTTTCAGCTACGAAGAAAAGGCGGGCCAACAGGCGCGGGCAAGACGAGGTGTTTGGCCGTATATTTACGGTAAAGCATGGTAAAGCCAAGAAGTGGGAATGGCAGGGGCGCATGCCCACGAACAGTCGCTCAACATCAACCAACAATGCCAATTGGCCAACGCTGATTCTGTCAGTCAATTCCCTCCTTTACCGGCCCTTCACAGGCCCTTTACCGGCTGTTTGCCGCAGAGAATCAGCGACTCTGCTTGCTTCAAAGGGCAAGCATGAATCTGATTAAAACATATGAAAACTTCCTCACCATGGGCTTGCCGCTAGCTCTGATACACAACTCAACAAAGAATGAATTCAATAATTAAGTTTTGAAATCTGGTGAAATTTGAGAAATTTGAGATTCCATGGGATTCTCTTCTCGCACCGAGCCAGCCCCACGGATCGATAGTTAAAGAATTTAAAGAGTTGCAGTCAACCCCATGAAGGTAACGCCTTTGGCGCCCCCACAAGCAGCCAAGCTCGCAATAGGAGATCATTCTCCAGCCAATATCCCTCTGACCGATCAGTTTGTAGGATATCCGATGTTCTGCAGGTCAAAATACGTAGGATCTCACCCGGAACATTGTGTATGTGGCAAATCTCCAATATGCAGGGATATATCCCATGATGTGGCAAATCCAATGATAAACCATCTCCAAGTCATCACCGTTGTTCTTTCTTTGTGTAAACCATCCCCAGTCATGGTCCTCTATCCATTTCAGCTTGGTGTGGCTGATCGGATGGAGGGTTTGATTGCTGGAATGCTGCAGCCTGCTACATGCAGAACCGTCTCCAGCATCTCAGGTGTCACACATAAGTATTATAGAAGTGAGGAAGAAAACGTTATTGTGACCTGCTTCCCACTTAATGGAGCAACTGGATTGAAGCATCATCCACTTTAGACAACCAAAACATACCAAAACGGTCTTTGAGCGGCAAAACTATGCCAAAAAACTACAAGATTTGACATTGGGTCTAGCAGTTTAACATGATTCAATCTAACTCGCACCCCAAGAAAAACAAAACTTTCAACATGTGTTGGGATATGTTGAGGTGTCTACTTCCATGGGCCGTTTGCGGTTGTATCTTAGATGTGCAGAATAGATCCAAAACCTTACGCTGGCGAGGTTGTAACCATTTCAACTATACACCTGGACCCATAATCCGAAACCTAGTTTACCCTCTGGCAATTTAACATGGCTATGGAAAATGACCCATTTTTAGTTTACCTGCCAGTGTGTATATATATATATATATGTACATATATTATGTTCCTAGTTTGGAGGGAAAACACACATTAACAACTTGTGATTTTCCATAGTCATGTCAAATTACCAGATGGATCCAGATGTTTCAAGGGCTTTGGGGGGACACAACGTTTAAACGTGGACTTCTCCCTCAGCTTCTTGGGATCATCATCCCACTCCAAATATCATCCGTGAATGTATATAGATAATATGGATTATGAATATATAGATAATACGGCTTATGAATATGGATTATATGGATTATATGGGCTATATGGATTTTATGGATTATATGGGTTAAATGGATTATATGGGTTATATGGATTCTACATGGATTAAAATTGGACCACGACCGACAATATGGATCATATCATAACCATTCATAATTGGGATCACTATCTATACCATAGGATTTACCTAAGAAAAAAAACTAGTGAAACCACAATGCCATGCAGCGATGATGCTCCTGTGACTCCGTTTTTAAAACCTCGCTGGCTACAGCGATTCAGCGGTGGTGCTGACTTCGCTCCCAACTACACATGCATCCTTTCGGAGCTGTATGAGGATTGGTGTGACCTCTTTGTCCTCAGCACGTATGCGTGAAGTCGGGGGACAAGGACCTAAAGCAACAAATCTGGGAAGCTTAGAAATTACAGAAAACCCCAAGTCCCACTGAAATCTTCTCTTTAGTCATTGGCTGCGGCAAACCCGCACAACATGCCCCTTTTGAAGCTCTTGAGTCTTGAGCTGGAATTCCAGTAGAAGGGAACGATTCCAACTTTCGTAAACCGGTCCATGGCTCAAGAAACCGCGTTCCAGAGAGCCTGGTCATTTACGGCTAACCATTCGCCCTAATGGGGGGTAATGAGCTCAACCTCGGCATCCGCAATCCGTGTTTCAAGTGAGGATCGAACCACTCCACCACCACCTTGTGATATTCCACACTCTTCACCGTGTGGAGGTCAACTGCTGTCTTAAGCTGAGAAAAGGAGCCGTCCATGCAAGGCTCCTGACTCAAAGGAACCCTGTAGGGAACCCCTATCATGTATCAAACGCGCAAATACTGTGACAGGTGAAAAATATTGAAATACTTCCCACCTTGTTGGCTCTTAAATCACATGGTTAGGGGCTGAAACCCGATATTTTCCCCGGTGCGTGTGGCTGAAATCTGATGGTTGAATGCTGTAAACTATAAATTGAACAAAGTTATACTAGTTTAGTGATGTTTACCGTATATATTTGAAAAAATCATTCACATCTTCCCATCATGAAAAACAGGAACCTAAATTGGAGGTATTACCGGCCTTACGTTTTACCAACGTACCTCCAGTGGATCAGTACCATGATTTTTTCGCGACACCTGGCAGCCAGTGCTTCAGGATCCTATCAGATCCTGTGATCCTTTGTGTGAACGCATCACACAATCAACTATTCCTTTCTGGGTCATATTGGGAAAAATATTATATATATATATACACGGGATCTTTAATGATATTTACTTAATCGCTCCAATCATCTTGTTCTGACCCCACTCAGCTTGGGATGGCAGTGATGGGCCGTGTCAGTCCGTCACTCGCCCTGCAGATCAATTGGGGCACCGAAATCAAATCCCATTTATGTTGAGATTTGATTTTCTCGATATGTGATAATAGACCTAACATAACATAGTAATTAAGACAGTCAATAATATCAATAACAGTTGATACGAATAAGGTTTAACGTATATTATATATAATTATATGGTAATCAGTAAAAAAATATGTATCATATATATAAGATATACATATATATATATTCATTTATATTTATATATATATTACATTATTATGTGAAATAATACATAATTGTGTCATTAAGTGAGGATTATTTTCTAGCGACTTGGCTTCAGTATATATTCACCCATCCGATCCCGCCAAGCTTGACACCTACCCTCTGGTTATTTAACATAGCTATGGAAAATGGCCCATTTATAGATGGTTTATATACCTATTAAAAATTGTGATTTTTCCCCACCTGCCAGGTGAGGGTTGTTAGATTTTATCAGAGCGCATGCCCGCCGCCTCTTCCTCCTCCTCCTCCTCCTCGACTATAGCTGTCCTCCTAGCCCTCCTCCTCGCCTCCGCCTCTTCCACCTCCACTTCCGCCTTGCCAACCTTGCCAACTCGTCGCCAAGCTCTTCGCCAACTTCCCAGCTCAGTGCGCACTGCTGGACCTCAACCTGGGAGCTGCCCAGCTCAGTGTGCACCGCTGGACCTCAACCTGGGAGCTGCCCAGCTCAGTGTGGACCGCTGGACCTCAACCGGGGACCTGCCCAGCTCAGTGTGCACCGCTGGACCTCAACCAGGGACCTGCCCAGCTCAGTGTGCACCGCTGGACCTCAACCGGGGACCTGCCCAGCTCAGTGTGCACTGCTGGACCTCAACCTGGGACCTGCCCAGCTCAGTGTGCACCGCTGGACCTCAACGGCCAGATAGAATGCCAGAAGATATGCCAGATGGAATGTCAGATAGAATGCCAGAAGATATGCCAGATAAAGTGCCAGAATGTTTGCCAGATAGAATGCCAGAAGATTTGCCAGATAATATGCCAGATAGAATGCCAGATAGAATGCCGGAAGATATGCCAGAACATATGCTCATATGCCAGAAGATATGCCAGGTAGAATGCCAGATAGAATGTCAGAAGGTATGCCAGATAAAGTGCCAGAATGTTTGCCAGATAGAATGCCAGAAGATTTGCCAAATAATATGCCAGAAGATATGCCAGATAGAATGCCAGATAGAATGCCAGAAGATATGCCAGAAGATGTGCCAGGTAGAATGCCAGAAGATATGCCAAATAGAATGCCAGAAGGTATGCCAGATAGAATGCCAGATAAAATGTCAGATAGAATGCCAGAAGATTTGCCAGTAACAAAATGTATAAATGTCATGGTGGGGATCACACGAAGTAAAGTAATTTATAGCTATGTTAAATTACCAGAGGGTAATTTTATCTTATTCACATGTATTAGGAGGATACATCCCCGGCACTAGACCTATACCCATCTCTACCCGATAACATCCCGTTGTATCCCATGACTTTTTTTATACATCAAACGCGGCTTTCCCATTACAGTACCATCCCCAGCTATCATAGACCCTGCCAAATAGGGAGTATTGCCTGCTGTGTGCGCGGCAGGGGCTTGGTTCTCAGTGTCAAAAGGTTCTATATATAGAGATTCCCCCAGAAATGCATAACTTCCCCACAGGGAAGAGAAAAAACACCAACTCCTGCAACCTATCCTAACTTACAGGGGTTATAATCCAATAGTTATGCAATTATGCGTATGAATATCACCCAACTGCGCCTGCAGAGTAGGATAATTTCATGCAATTTCCAATGCATCCTATTCCCCGCTCCTCTCTCTCTCTCTCTCTTAGATTTCTCACCTGCCCGGCAATTCTTGATGGTCAAACCACCATAAACATCCATAATCCGATGGTTATTAAACCACCATTTCTGTTGGTTCCATCCAATTAAACCTCACATGTTTCATGCTTCAATCCCCATGTTCCGTTGACCAACCCACCATGTTCGGTTGCTTCAACCAGCTTTTTCCCTTGATCAAACACGATCAAACCACCATGTTCGGTTGCTGAAAAACCAGCATTTTTGGTTCCTTGTTTCAATGGATTGGTTTATCAGGGAAAATCTTCACCGGAAACCAGAGTGATTTTCCTGTAAGAAATATGAGACTTTCCTGCAAATTTTCCCTTAAACCAATCCATTGATTGTTGCCCCCATTTCGGTCCTCCAAGTTCCGGATGTCCTCGGCATATTTCTCCAACCAGGAGCCGCTGGATGCGATACGGCGCCACTCGCGGGTCTGGATGGAGGCCAAGGCCAAAGCCAGGTCGTCGAAACCTCGCAGAAGTGATTCGCTGGTACAGTATCATTGTTATCCTCTGGTAAACTAACATAGCTATGGAAGCCATGGCCCATTTAGATGGTCTACCTATTAATAGCATGGTGATTTTCCATAGCTATGTTAGTTTACCAGAGGGTATAATATGGGGTTTATTCTAGGATCAGAGGATATTCATATATGTTATAATACATGATTATGGACATATATATTTTTCCATTGGTACTTGCATTTCAAATATACAGTAACTGTAATGGTTCTAGTATCATGGTTTTACCCAATATATCCCAATATCTTGGGTTATATACTAGTTATAATGATTATTGGGTATAAGTATCCCTTGCGAGTTATAATATGGATTTAACATGGATGGTGGATGACATATTAATTAGCATTGAATATTACCTAAATAATAAAAAATGGTATATGGGGTTGTCCATAGCCATGGGGATAGCCCAATAGCTGGATGGTTTATTTCATGGAAAATCCTCTTAAAATGGATGATGTACGGGCACCCCCGATGATTATAATATGACATCCTCAAACAGGAACTCTTTAAGGGAGATATGGCTTAACCATGCTTAACCTATCAGAAATATGGCTTAACTCCGTCTAATATATATATATATATATAACACTCTGTGTGTGTGATTATCTCTTACAATCTGGTGAAGCCAATCATAAACAATAATTGATATCATCATCATGATTCTTGTGATTATGATGATTCTTGTTATGACGATATTGCCAGCTCCATGCTGCACCTGCAAACAGATGGAATCCTGTCTCACTTATAAATATATATATATATATATATATCTACATACGATAACTACACACAGATTTTAAGTCGAACTGGTATTTTAGACTACTGTACCTCGGGGAAGGTTTTCCTTGGCCCGCCCGGCCATTTAAACATACGGAGTCCGATTTATTGAACTATACTTTTAAATATTCGGATGGAACTGATGTTTCATACTACCTCCGGTGCCTTGTGGTCTGGCCCGCCCTCCACATATTTAAATGTCTTTACAGTACACACACATATAATATATATATATATTATATATATAAGAAGAAGAAAAAGAAGAAGAAGAAGAAGAAAAAGAAGAAGAAGAAGAAGCCACTTTTTTTTGGATAAACCATGGTATTTCCTGATATAGATTCTGGGCATCATATTTCACAAACCTCTTCAGCTGGCCCGGCTGGATGATCTGGAGGATCCCCCCTGGTTTAGCCGTAGCGCTTGTGGTGGGAAATGTATCATGGAGGATATGGGATAGTTAAAAAATGGAGAAACATTTGGATGAATCTATGGAATTCTATGGAATTCTATGGAATTCTATGGAATTGTTGAATAAACAGTTTTTGTGAACCAAAGTTGGGTGAAAGTTGGGGACATATTTACAGAAAACCATAGTTTTGAACATGCTCTAGCAGTGGTCTTCCCTCCAAATCCTCATGGTCCATGGCTGCCACTTAGCTGCCCAACTCTGTCGCCAAGTCAACCCAGGGCACATAAAAGCGTGTCCTCAAAGGGCTCAAGGAGAAAATGTGTGATGCTCTAATTACTGAAAGAATGCCTCTAGAAATGGAATTTCAGGTGGAACTCCGGACAAAAAGGATACAGTGTACAACTGCGATTGAAGAATAATCGTTCCCATCCCGATATTTTGATATGCTTTCAGAGTCAAAGCTCTGAGTTTGAGATCCGTTTACTTTGGTGGCAATCCCCTCATCCTGATTCTAAGGAATCCCTGAACTTACTAGATGACGTGTGGAGTGGAACAAGACAGCTTTATAGGCTGGTTGGTTGTTTAGTCTCTGATGATTTTGATTGTTAATATCTAAAGATTACTACCTATGAATCTTCGTATATTTATAGACTGATTGATTGATTGATTGATTGATTGATTGATTGACTGATTGAGCGAGTGATTGATTGATTGATTGAGTGATTGAGTGATTGATTGGTTGATATCATAATCATGATATCTTATAATTGTCATGATAGCCTCATGATTCTTGCGACGATATCACCAGCTCCAGGCTGCACCTGCAACCAGATGGAATCCTGTCTCACTTATACAATGGAACCCACAATGTTGGATAGACCATTAACAGACCATGGTATTTTAGGATTGTATTATAATTTATAATTGATTTACCCTCTGGTAAACTAACATAGCTATGGAAAATCACCATTTTTAATGGGAAAATCCACTATAAATGGCCATTTTCAATAGCTATGTTAGTTTACCAGAGGGCAGATCATGTTTTCGCCATAGTTTCCAACTTTTTTTGACAGTTGTGGGAAAATCCTCCATGAACCCATGATCTACCAAGAGGCTCGAGCTTCGGGGCTCGCCCCGCCGGGTATGCCATACCTGACCATGACCGGCACGGGGGGAAATCGACACATTCTAGTGCAATTTTCATATGGAACCTACGGGGGAAATACCACTTTTCTTTTTGGGGAATGATAGGCTCATAAACCATGAGAGCTTGGTTGTGAGGAAGTCTTGGTGGTTGAAGCACTGCTCCATGAAAATATGGACATCAAATGGGTTCATCGCCCTAAACAAGATAACAAAAAACAAATAAAACATTAACCACTAATCACATATATATACATATAAATATATATATATATATGCGTGTGTATGTATGTATAATACATCTTAAACATGTTCAAACCGTTTTTTTCATACCATGGTAGTTACTCTAACGAAAACAAACGTAGACCCTAATTACATTAAACCTACGTTTAAACGTAGACCCCGGTGAGCAAATTTGCTGATCCAGGGTCTATCTTTTCTTGAAAAAAATGGGAAAAAAACCTGCAAGTCAAAAAGTGTGGATAACAAAGGCTTTGTGTTCCTTAGCCAAAAAAAAGTAGAAACTAACGATGCAAAAGCAACAAGAAGGCTCACCTAGACCCTGATGGTAGGGGTGGTGTAGTTTTGGCATGCTGTGGCCAAAGTTTGGAGGCGGTTTCCAAAACATTCCACACAAGTCCCCAAAGCAGATCATACCCATGTTTGATGAGAATGGTTCCCTATTGTTTTTACGGTTTACCTAGACCCGGGTGCTAGATGCATGATCTATCTTCAGCCACAACAAAGGATGGTACCATCCAAGATCCCCGTGCAGATTTCAAACCAAAATATCATGTTTTTCTTTCACAAGTCTCTATTCAAAAAGGCTGTTCTGAGTCATTTTTTGGGCCAACAAAGGGGGTACCCCAGAATGATTGCATTAATATCATGAACTGTCTATGTTAGTGAGCAAAGTGTTCTTGTTTCGCAAGTGTACAATTTACATGAATGCATAAACTATCTGCTTCCAAGGTCTATGTTAGGGCAAATTCACCCTGCCTTTCACCTCTATGTCCCAAGGTCTATCTTAGTGAGCGGAAGTGGTTTGTTTTTTGCTCTTGCAAAAGTCGCTTTTTACAAATAAACGTAGACCCCGGTTTTCGTTTCTCAGTTTCGGGAGTTACGTTTGTTTCCAGGAGTGCACAAAGGATTACAAAGGTCAGCCAGCTGTCCTGTCCACTGCCATATGGATGATTCAAAATCATGTGTGCTGCCAAGCTCAGATAATCATTTTGAAACCATTTTGGGTGGTTTTGCATTGGCATGCTTGAGGGTGCCCAGCCAACCCCTGCCCATGCATAGGCCATGCGCGCCACGTCACTGCGCGCCATGAATGCGATCACGGTGGCACGCATCAGAGTTTCAAAGGCTTCGACCGACACATATTCCTGACTGATCTTCTGCTCCAGCAATTTCCTGAGATCTCGAGACAGAAATAGATGGGAAACCCAGCCATGATATCCATAAACCGTCCGCAAAGACTTCCAACCAAAGTTTTAAACACATTCCCAAATGGTAGGTTGATCCTTGGATTTGTGTACCACATTTCTGCTGATCCAAGAATATGTGGGATGTGGCGGATACACCATGACAGCATGGTGCAGCTTGGATGTCCCAACAGATCCAGGGGGCCAAGCTGCTGATAAATATAGCACTGAGCACAACCCAGACAAACGTAGTATTTGCAAACATCGGGATATGACATTGACATGATATGACATGATATCCATACATGCGTCTGCATCTTCCTACCCCAAAAAACTGGTCTGTTTTTCCTTGGTTCTTGCCCCTAGCGAACCAACAAAAAACAACCTCCAAAACGGGATGTTTGGTCGACAAGCTTTGGCCAAGGCCCCGATCGAAAAATAACCCAAGCAAAAAGCACATCCCCATGATCCTCCATCATTCCATCATTATGCCCCAGTTAAACCAAGATCTCAAGATATCCCAAGAAATCTCTAGTGAAACTAAGATATGGGACATGATTTCCCCTACGAAAATTGTGGTCCGATCCCAAAATATCCGATCCCAAGGCTCCGATCTGAATCCTTGTGACACTTGGCTTTCTTCAAGGAGAAATGCCGCACGGCATCCAGGTACAAGGGCAAAGTTGCATCCTGTACCAAAAGCTCGGTATGAAGGAAGATGTTCTTGAAGTCCTGGCCAATAGATGGATCGCAGCTTCCAATCCCATTTCCTGATATAAAACACCCCCAAATGCTGCCAAATATGTGCAAATCCCGTCCTAAATCATGGTTTCAGGGGGTGTTTAATATTAGGGGGAAGGGATTGAAACAGTGGCAGATGACTTCTCTATCTGTTTGGGGGTTGCTGTAGAATGTCACTGGATTGAAGTTATGAGGGAGGATTCAAAGGAAACCATGGTTTTGATTTTGACCATCATTCCCCACCTGCCAGGTGAGGGTTGTTAGATTTTATCAGAGCTGTTCTCCTCCTCCTCCTCCTCCGCCTCCTCCGCCTCCTCTGCCTCCTCCGCCTCCTCACCCGCCGCCTCCTCCTCGCAGTCCAGATCCCAGTGGGCACAGCCGGACCTCCACCGCGAGCTCCAGATCCCAGTGGGCACTGCCGGACCTCAACCGCGAGTTGCAGATCGCAGTGGGCACTGCCGGACCTCAACCGCGACTTCCAGGTCGCAGTGGGCACTGCCAGACCTCAACCGCGACTTCCAGATCGCAGTGGGCACTGCCGGACCTCAACCGCGACTTCCAGATCGCAGTGGGCACTGCCGGACCTCAACGGGAAGAATGTGAGAAAAGATGTCAGATAGAATGTCAGAAGATATGCCAGATAGAATGCCAGAAAGAATGTCAGAAAGAATGTCAGAAGATATGCCAGACAGAATGTCAGAAGATATGCCAGAAAGAATGTCAGAAGATATGTCAGATAGAATGTCAGAAGATATGCCAGATAGAATGCCAGAAAAAATGTCAGAAGATATGCCAGATAGAATGTCAGAAGGTATGCCAGATAAAGTGCCAGAATGTTTGCCAGATAGGATGCCAGAAGATTTGCCAGATAATATGCCAGAAGATATGCCAGATAGAATGCCAGAAGATATGCCAGAACATATGCCAGAAGATATGCCAGATAGAATGCCACAAGATATGCCAGATAGAATGCCAGAAGATATACCAGATAGATATGCCAGAAGATATGCCAGAAGATATGCCAGATAAAATGTCAGATAGAATGCCAGAAGATTTGCCAGTAACAAAATGTATAAATGTCATGGTGGGGATCACACGAAGTAAAGTAATTTTATAGGGCTTCCTGAAAACATCCCGTTCAACCATTGCCAGGAGCAAAGGGATGCCACTTCGGTTGATGAGCCTACTATTTGCATCTATTTGCTGGATGGGATTGTATAAGTGGTTGGGAAAATCATTAGCCAATGTGTGACTGGTGGTTGAGGTTGGTGGTGTAGACCCCCCTCGGATGAGATTTCTCCCTCTGGCAAACCAAAAAAAAACACCAGCTAAGCATTCGCTGAAGTGCTGTCTTTTTCGGAGCCATAGGTTTGGGCCAGTGACTGACTGGCACAAAATCTACCATCCAGTCCTGATCGGCCGTAAAATGTTGTAAAATGTTGTAAAATGTTGTAAAATGTTGTAAAATGTTATAAAATGTTGTGAATGCTGACATCTCTACTAACCAACAACTTGGATTTGCTTCAGGGGCTACAAAAAACTGAAAAATACCCGTACTTTCTGTCCCATTGGGAAAATCAAACACCACCTTGAAGTCTTAAACAAGCCCAGGACGCATCCGGACTTTAAATACTTACAACAAAACCATCTAGCGAGTAGAACAAACCATGGGTTTTTGTAGAAACGTAGCCATGCTGAAATCCCTCTAAAAACATCGTGTCGCCCCGCCTTGCTAATGAGAACGCAAGCCCACTCATATATACACCACAGCCTTTCCAAATAGTTCCACGGATTGGATTGGATTGGAGGAGGACGTCAACCTGCTCCTCACCGAAGTGAAGTAGTTAAGACGCCGAAATTGCCAACGCAGAGCCGGAGCTCTTTGCACTGAACAAACCGGAGGGCAAGTTCAAGCCAAGAAAAGTACCACCCATGCAGCTGAAGAAGCAGCAAACGCTCATTCAAACGACCTGTTTTGACGTGGTTCGTGTTCAAGCAAAACTTGCCAGTAGGGAAGAGAACCCTTTAGTTGCGCCTTCCAAGCTTCTCCAGCCCAAACAACAGGTGTACCTCTCTCCCATTTCGTCGCCAACAACCGTTTGTTGGGAAATGTCTCGTGTTCTGCCATGGGGAAATGCCACATTTGTATATGTACAATGTATTTACCAAACAAATGCACCATAAAACTTAGGGACACCCAATCATGAACCATCCCCAATTTGGGCTTTGGGATTGGATTGAAAACATGGACGACAAACAATATTCCCTCCAGTAAATTAACATAGACCCTGCCAGACAGGGGTTGGACGGTTAGTTTCCACTAAAAATGAGTGATTCTATGTGATTTGCAGGGTCTAACTGTTATTTTACCCTCTGGTAAACTAACATAACTATTGAAAATCACAATTATTAACAGGTAAATCAGGTAAATCAGGTAAATCAACTATAACTGGGCCATCTATACCATTGCTATGCAACAGTCAATACCAGAGGCGACTGTACCAACCATTCGCCAAGAGACTCGCACTTCAGAATGAATTTCTCTAACAAGTTCACACAGGTCGCCTTGGCAGTACGAAAAATAGCTATGGAAAAGTGTGGAACATGGCCCCATGATGCCCTCTGGTTATGACTAACATAGCCATGGAAAATCACCATGTTTAATAGGTAAACCATCTATAAATGGGTCATTTCCCATGGCTATGTTAAATAACCAGAGGGTAGTTGGAATGATTTACCATGGTTTACCTATCGTTTCGTGGTTAAAACATGTTAAAACAATCATAAACCATCCGTAACCATCCCCCAAATCACCATAAATAGATAATAGGTGGTATATATGGTATCAATCATTCCCAACTGGGTGGGTTACTATTGTTTTACGCACGTTAGATAAACATACATGTTAAAATGGTGAGTTTCCATAGCAAACTGGTATCATTACCAAAGGGTCAACTGTGGGATGTTATCGGGTGTCATGGGGTGTCTATTCTTGGACAAACCCAGCGTCCTGCACCTTCGACCTTGGTGTTGTGCCATCATGCCATTGCTGAATACTGATAAAAACGGCATAAGTAAATGTGGATTGAACACTCGCCATCTTTACTCAAACAGAACTGAAAAGAGTATATAATTGGATTGACGAACATATAAGAAAAAGATGTTTGAGTCAGCCGGCTGCAAACGCGGACCACCAATCTTCCAGTGGCCAAAGCCACTTGCATTACATCATTACTGTTCATTGCGAACGGACATCCATGGCTAACCTTACGTTTTTGGGATCAAATATAATTATTGATGTTCCTAGCAAATGAACTTCCTTCATTTATAATTAGTCGTCAGCAAACAAAAGGACAAGTAATCCAGCCCCATTTGCGTTGGCTTGTATCGCTTCTTCCATGTCTATTTTTTTGGGAGTTGATACAGTAAATGGAATCTGTTAGAAACAAATATGGTCATTCACATTCACCCATCACTCAGTCACAAAGGAACGAACCTGCACATGTTGGATCATTTTGGGTCCACTGGCCTCTTTTTCCCCAATAAGGTGCCGGTGGATATGATGGATCTTTGATGATATTTCAATGGTTGGGTTGAAGGCAAAAACAGCCGGAAACAACGATTCTGACCATCAAATGTAGAGGATTCCGTTCCCTTTTGTACCAAATATGGCTCATTTTCTTCAAAACCGTGGACATCTATCAGCCCTGCATGGAACTCCCTGACATCTATGAACATCCATCAGCCAATCAGCGCCCATCAGCGCTGCCCATACTCCATGCAATGGTGTTATTCACATCCACGTCGCTGGTTTTGTGGCAATAAATTCCACGGAAAATCCGCCCATCCCACCACTACCCGGTTACCCGGCCCGACGGAACGTATTGGATCGATTAATTCTGACTAGCATGAAAAACTTGTATCATCTTAAGTATCTAATATTATATATATAACATTTCTCAGGAATCAGCAACCATCATTCCGGGGCTACCACCCCAACTCATCGTTGCTTTGGAACCTTCACCCCCAGCAGTTGATGTTTGGGATGACGCGGGGCGCCACGCCTTGAGTTCTTCGTGATCTTGAGGAATGCAAGCCTTATCCACCCAGAAGGTCACCTGGTTTTTCTCCACTGGCTGCAGGATTTTATCAGAAATGGAGTTATAACATAAAGAGTGGAGAAAAAAACAATATCTGTTTAAAAATCATCAGATGTTATATGATGAATAAGTTATTGAGTTATAGTTCAGTGATGTTCAGTGAATTAGTGGAACAAAGATCGGTATACCAACTCTGGACAGTCGGGATGATCATCCCTTCCCAAGCCGTCCTGGCTCCACATGGACAGCTCTTGCCGTCGACCCAGGGCGATGTCCTTCGCCATTACGGCCAGGGTTGTAGCTTTCACTTCCGCATAGGACACCTCCAAGGCTGGGGCCATGGGAAAATCCAGAAACCCTGGAGGAAATGATGCAAATGGCTTGAAATGGCTACCCTCTGGTAATTTAACATAGCTATGGAAAGATCCACCATTTTTAATGGGAAAATCCACTATTTGTATGGTCATTTTCAATAGCTACGTTAAATTACCAGAGGGTATTGATGTCGAATTCATACGAATTCTCTATTTTCATGTGCTAGATGATGCTGGATGTGCTGGAGGGTAGCCCAAAGATGGTGGGGAAGGGGACACACCCAGCAAAACACTTTCATTGTTGAGGATTAGCCTAGCTCCTTTGACCAGGAATTCTGTTCACCAACCTAAACCCCTTTCGCCGATCCGAGGTAAACCTTATTTCAAAAAAATGCACCAGCATTGTTCCGCCATATCAGGCCGTCATCGTCATCATTGCCTCTTCCTTCATTGGTATCATTGATTGGCAAGGTTCAATCTAAGGTCTGGATTTGACACCTTCGAGGAAAAAAAATTATCGACAGCTGCATGCTTCCCTGCGGGACGGAATGACAAGCAACTGGTTTCACAATTCTTTCCCCAGTCTGCACTTGCAAATGCCCCATTTACAAGGGACGGATCCAAAACCCATAGCTGCTGCCACAGCTGATAACCCAATGCCATCAACCATCCCATTAACCAACTCTGTAGGGTTATTCTAAATCATCTCAAATTGAGGTAGCGGTATGCGGTATACCTGACAATAAACCTTTATTATCAAAGTTGGTATAATAGATTGAGTAGCAATAAACATCAATAAACCCAAATAATCAAATACCCCAAAAGAGGTAGCCGGTAGCCGATTACAGTGAATATCCCAATGCGGCGCGTAGACGGCCGCATGCTTTTGTCGTTTTTTCACATTGTTGGGGTGGGGTGGGGTGGGGCAATAACGTCAGTTAGTTGCCTTGCGTTCTCTCTCGGATGCTACGCTAATGTACGTTCACTTGCACAGTCATGTCCGTCCGTGTGTCCTGTCCGTTGGAAACATGTTTCTAACGTTGCAGGGACCCAGATGTCAGATAGAAGCTGGCAAAATGTGAAAAACTTTTTGCTGGAGCACATGTACATCAAGTGCAAAGAGAAAGGGCACAGTATAGTAAGATGCACCCAAGTGTTCCTGACTACATATACATGTGGTGTTGGAGACAAAGTCTCAGAACAACTACACCACGGAAATTTCTGGCAAAGCATGCAAAGCTGGAAGAATGGCTCTGACCAATGCCATGGACAAAAATGATGCTGACCCAAATTAGTTTCGTCAAATACAAAAATCATCAAAATCAACTCCTCGTTGTGGCCAAACTAAATGTTTTGCAACTTTAACCTGTAACAATCACGTTCAAAACACCAACACTTAGCTCCATTTTAAAACCAGCGTAACGGCGCACTTCACACGGTGACGAAGTACATTGAATCTCACAAAGGACACAGCCATCTATGCGCCGCAGACCTAGGTAGTTGCCAATAATTCCCTATTGGGGATGATATATTACAATATTTTATAGGTACAGTATCCCGTGCATATTCATTCTTATCCCACTATTATCCCATATCAATCCATAATTATCTCATATATTCTCCTACTATATCATATCCCAAGATTATCACTAGGCCTACTAAGATCATCCATCTAATCCTACTAAGTATATAATTATATATATAGCGAATATAGTTTTCTCGATGTCATATTCTTATAGTCATTCGCACTGATTGGTCATCCCACTGATATCCCCACATATTTCGTATCATATAGCACAGTCATAGTCACTTTATGATACGAGATATATGGATATACCGACCACTGATAGTATCATATAGTATATTTATAGTCATCCCATGTCATAGTGGATATCATATAGTATCATATAGCCATTAGCCATCATATACTATGGAAACCAAAAAAATGTTTGAAACCACCAACCAGATATATTACCCTCTGGTTATTTAACATAGCCATCTATCAATGGGCCATCTATACCATGGCTATGTTAAATAACCAGAGGGTATCCACTACCATCCTACCCTCTGGTAAACTAACATAGCTATTGAAAATGGTGATTTATAGTGGATTTTCCCATTAAAAATGGAGATTTTCTATAGCTATGTTAGTTTACCAGAGGGTACTGGTTCCTGGGAATATCACCACTTCATCTCCGATGCACCGCCACCGAAAACCACCGCCTCTCCGATGACTTCGGCCCAATTCTCGGGCGGGGCCCAGCAGTGCGAGACGAAGCCGTCGGCCCACAAGGCATCCGAAGACAGGTCGTAGTCCGAGCCGAAGCCTCGGAAAGTGATCACCCCGGCCTGGTGGCACCCCCTGGTGGGCCCCGGCCTCAAACATGGCTGGAAAATGGGGGAAACGTTCGATATGATGATTTTTCCAAATTCAAACTTCTATTGAAAATGGGATTTTGGATGGAAGTTCCCCAGCCATGTTTGATTGCTGAGGGAAATTTAGGGGGTGAGTTTTTGAGTTAGTTCACCATCTTCACCAATTTTGATGACTACACGGGACAACCCAGGGGACTTATGAAACATGGGGATCATGAATGGGTTTGTGGTCCACAAATTGGGGGATACACAGCCAACATATGGCAGTTGAATAAAATAGTCTTAACATGTGTCACCGAGAAAATGATTGAAACATATTGATCATCACATTTTGATTGACAGCCACCAATTGATCAACCATTTCTGAGGTCACATGGCCTTAGTAAGCCATTTGAAAAAGTTTGATGGATATCCAATTACCAGCTGAAAACATCTATTGGTCGTGGACGATTTTCACTAGACCTGAAAATGCACAAATGGGCTTCTTGCCAGTGGTCAAAGGATGGACTGATTGGAAGAATGAAAATAAAACGGTGCGTTTCAGACAACCTTTGCACTCTTGGACATATGTGACAGAAATCCAAAAGGCAGGATATCACATTGCACTCACAACATTTGACTACTTATCTACCCTGGTCAAAAACATGCCTCCGCGGGTACTGTTCTTCAAACCCCCCTATCATTCTACTATACTGATTGTCTAGCAACGAGATTCCCAGCATGGAACATGATATATTGTGATAATCCATGATGGTCCCCAACATATACATGGATGTACATGGCTTTGCCTGAAAATAAGTACCACAAAATCCCGTGGTTAATCATCGTTTTCCTCATTTTTTGTTTGCCTTTTTGGGGTATGCCCCATTTTCAGACACACCCAAATCATGATTGTTGCTTATATATCTACCATCCTTAAGCCAGTAAATCTATCTTATGGTTGGTTAAACCCATGAACTAGCTCCAATCCCATGGTAGTATAACCCCAAATAGTCAACCAAGGGCTGAGCGGACGCTAATGTGGTATGCTCCCATGCTCCGCATTCGGCCTTCAGAGCTTTCCCAAAAGCGAATGCACTTGGACAGGTGTGTGTCGCTCCATGCCTCAACCCGGTGCGAAATTCGAACCCTTCCCTACAAAAAATGTTTAAAAAGTGTCTAAAATGGTCACATGACCAACAAAGAAGTGGGATAATAACTTATGTAAGCCATCGTCATGATTACTTTGCTTGGTTGCTTGTCCCTGGCAAATCCCAGCACCTAATAGCAATAGGGAGGGTTCGCCATTCAACATGATGGTTTGAAATAACTTATATAAACATCCCGAAATGAGGATATATAGCCAATATCACATCACAAGTATCAAACAAAAAGTAAGAGACCCCAAACTGAACAAATCCAATGCAATTCCAGTCTTTCTTGGGAGGCATTTATATAATTGATCGATCTTACATAACATTGGGAGCGAGGAATTGCTATGATCGAGCAATCTACACCTCTATTTTTTGGGGGAGGGGGGGCTACGTAAGCTAAATGTTCAGAACTTCTGGATGCAAGTTCAGGCCTGAAGAATATGCTCAATACTTGCTCTCAATCAAACATGGCAATGGAAAAGGCCAATCTTGAGAAGTAATTATATACATCATTATTTTTTTATATCCGTGCTGGCAAAAAGATGAACATACAGTATACTGTGCAATACCAATGCACTCACTATTCAGACTATTCATGAAGCTAGTATTCATACATATTCATAGTACCCTCTGCAAATCAAACATGGCACTTGAAAATCACCTATTAATGGCAGTTTTAATATGTTTTAATGGGAACATCCCCTTTTTCAACGGGTGATTTCCACCAATCAGTTGGATGACCTCATCATTCCCCCGTTTCCCAGGAAGGCCCGGGTGCCGCTGCGATGGTCTTGGCCTGCGTGCTGCGCATCAAAACATCTTCCTCGGGCAACCTGGATCTCCTGAGTCGTCGCACGACAGTTCTTTGTTTCAGTGCGAACGACGGAACAATATTAAAAAAATGCGGGAGATCCTGAACTTATAAATGCCCAAATCTGTAAAATGTGTAGGTATATTTCTTTTAAAATATTTATTTATGTATTTATGCATATCATACGTTATGTATATAGTCATTGAAATGATAGCAATGTTGCCGTTTGTAGTACATCTGGTTTATGGCGTTAATACATCCTGTAGATACCTACTGCAACATGTGCAACCCAAGTTTTTGAGTGCGTGGAAATCCATACCCCTAATGTAAAGTAATTCCCCTGATGCAAATACGATCAAATACGAATTCCCAGCGTTTCGCTTTTGCTTATTTCATATGATTTTGGGACGGTTTTTAGAACACTTCAAATGGGAAGCCGGAAAGTTTCAAGGTGTTTCAAGGTTCCCAAGCATCATAAGCTCCGCCAATTTTTCGTTGGCAACGGCTGATGTCGACTCACAAAACCAGTTGATGGAACCACAGAGTTTTCCAAAATCCATCATGGCCTCAGGGGCTGACACATCTACAGCATTACTGCATTGTAGCCGTAAAAAAAAACATGGATAATATATGTGAAAATTGCCCTATGTACCATAATATATATATATAATTAATATGTATGTATGTATGTATGTATGTATGTAGGTAGGTAGGTAGGTATGTAGGTATGTAGGTATGTAGGTATGTAGGTATGTATGTATGGATGGATGGATGCATGCATGCATATTAAAATATATATATATATACAAATAGAGAGAGAGCGAGAGAGTGAGATATCTATCCACACATGAACATACATGCGATAGAAAATTCATCTGTGCATGTGCACATGTAAATGCATCTGTGCATGTATACGTCTATGACTGCAAGTGAAAACACAGCATACTGAGACACACACACAGACACTCACACGTGCATGAATAATTGCAATATACATCTAGACGGGATATAAACAAACTTACCCCCTTGTAATTTAACATAGCTATTGAAAATTGCCATAGAAATATAGTGGATTTTCCCATTAATAGCATGGTGATTTTCCATTCTTAGTTTCCCATTAAAAAAAAAACTGAAAAATACCGGCATCGAGACGTGAAGCTGCAAAAACCACTTTTTCCAGATACAGTACTACTGCACTGGAGCGGGGCAAATTCATCACCATCAAAATTGTTACCCTCTGGTAAACTAACATAACAATGGAAAATCACAATTTTTAATGGGAAAATCAACTACAAATGGTCATTTTCAATAGCTATGTTAAATTACCAGAGGGTATTCGTGCCCATTATTGAATGATATGAATGATATGAATGATATGAATGATATGAATGATATGAATGATATGAAATATATTGAAATAGATGCTCAACGGCTATCCATCACCGAAAAGATTCGCCCCGACTTGCCATCGGACCCGTTGACTCTCATGCTTGGTGATTAAATCACTATTAAATCCACCTAAATCACTTAAATCATGTTAAATCTTATTAAAAACCCATTTTATAAATCTCATTAAATCCACTTAAATCAGTTAAATCCTATCTAAATTCCATTAAATCACCATGAAATCCTGGTAAATCGCATTTAATCACCATGGATTTCCCCAACATTTCCAAGTGGCAAAGTGGAAAGACGTGAAGGACCGAAAGGACTTTGGGGTCTCACTGGCCAAGCTGGTGGACACGCGCAAAGGTCCTGGTGAATCCCCGAAATCATTAGATACATGTCATGACAACAAAAAAATATCTATCTAACCTTACCTTACCTTATCTTACCTTATCTTATCTTATCTAATGCTATCCTATCCACCTTCTTATCTATTTTTTCTTATTGTATCATATCGTATCGTATCTAATCTAATCTTATCTAATTATCATGTTACCTACAAGTACCTAATATTATCCATCTTTTCAAATCTAATTTAATCTAATCTAAGCAATCCATCAAATCTATCGAATCTATCTAATCTATCTAATCTATCCTATCTAATCGATCTAAACTATCCTATCTATCCTATCTATCCATCTGTCCATCTATCAATCTATCTATCTATTAATCGAATCTAGTCGAATCTAATCTACTCTACTCTAATTTTTTCTTATCTTTTATATCTATCTATCATTATCCATCTATATATTATATATAATTGTAGTACATATTGTCTAATCTATTGTCTATCTAATCGGTCTGATCTATCTCTCTCTCTCTCTCCAGCGATATGTATCACACCACACCGCTTCTTGCTTTAAAGCGGCAACAAAATCACAAATGATGCCCTACTGTGGATGGTTGCGAAATCATGCACCAGTTGGTAATTAATCCCTTCTTCCTACTACTAAACCCTCCCCAAATACTCAAAACTAGGGCCCACGTGAAATTGTGGGAAAAATTCTGACTGGCCAATTTGATTTTTAATGGACTGCCTTTAAAAAACAATTTGAAAATGAAGGGCCCATTTGTGGGTTTCACCCCGTAATAAAAACTAGTCAACCCCGGGGTGTTTTTTATTAGGGTCCGTCTTTTAATATCGAAAAAAGTTAAAGTAATGATTTTAATTTAATATTAGGGGAAAGCTTCGAAAGTAAATGTTTGGCAGTGCTGTAATTAGGTTTTATTCCCCACCTGCCAGGTGAGGGTTGTTAGATTTTATCACAGTTGTTCTTCTCCTCCTCCTTCCTCCTCCTTCCTCCTTCTCCTCCTCCGCGTCCTCCTCCTCTTCTACCACCTCTGCCTCCACTTCCACGTCCACTGTTGCCTTGCCAACTCTTGGCCAAGCTCTTCGCCAACTTCGGAGCTCAGGCACTGCTGGACCTCAACCTGGGACCTTCCCAGCTCAGTGCGCACCGCTGGACCTCAACCTGGGACCTTCCTAGCTCAGTGCGCACCGCTGGACCTCAACCTGGGACCTGCCGAGCTCAGTGCGCACCGCTGGACCTCAACCTGGGGCCTTCCGAGCTCAGTGCGCACCGCTGGACCTCAAAAGCCAGATAGAATGCCAGAAGATATGCCAGATAGAATGTCAGATAGAATGCGAGAAGATACGCCAGATATAATGCCATAAGATTTGCCAGATGATATGCCGGAAGATATGCCAGATAGAATGCCAGAAGATATGCCAGATAGAATGCCAGACGATATGCCGGATAGAATGCCAGAAGGTATGCCAGATAGAATGCCAGAAGGTGTGCCAGATAAAGTGCCAGAATGTTTGCCAGATAGAATGCCAGAAGGTATGCCAGATAAAGTGCCAGAATGTTTGCCAGATAGAATGCCTGAAGATTTGCCAGATAGAATGCCAGATAGGATGTCAGAAGATATGCCAGAAGATATGCCAGATAGAATGCCAGAAGATATGCCGGATAGAATGCCAGAAGGTATGCCAGATAGAATGCCAGATAGGATGTCAGAAGATATGCCAGAAGATATGCCAGATAGAATGCCAGAAGATATGCCGGATAAAGTGCCAGAATGTTTGCCAGATAGAATGCCAGAAGATTTGCCAGATAGAATGCCAGATAGAATGCCAGAAGATATGCCAGAAGATATGCCAGGTAGAATGCCTGAAGATATGCCAGATAGAATGCCAGAAGATATGTCAGATAGAACGCCAGAAGATTTGCCAGTAACAAATCGATAAATGTCATGGTGTTGATCACATCTAACAACGAGTGCAGGATTTCTATTGATTTCTACCATCCACAGGATTCTAACATATCTTGACCATCATGTGACCAGAATCATCACAGGTACACCGAACCTAGTCATAGGTTTTCTGTCATACCTACGAACGTCAAGGGAGAAAGATGATTTCACATGACCATCTATCCCCCCCAGAGGATCGTATCCATTAAACAACGGTCATAGAAATAGATGTTTCATGATGGTTGGTATTCCCAAAACATGACCAAACACAAGTACCACATAGATCCCCCATAGTTTTCTTTGTACGATTCCCCCCTGCCAAAAAAAAAATCCGGACCCCCTTGGGGTCTGGAAAAACCATCAGTTTTGCGCTCCTGCTGGGAGGGGTCGCCAGGTCATTTTCCAGGCTTTCTGGTGCAAATCGCTGGAGATAGTATTCAATCCTTGGCTCAGGGCATCGTTCGGCGAAACTTGGAATGGTGACCGGTTGACCGGAATCTTGACCGGAAGGCGCTTGATCTGATCTCATGGGAAAAACGATGCTTTCCCGGCTAAAAACCCGTCAATTTTGCCAAGCCAGTGATTTTTGTAGCAGGTTCTTTCAAAAAGGAACATATTTGAAACCACGCAACCACTTTGAGTGCTGGTGTTGCTGGTGTGGTTTGGTGCTGGTAAACGCGCGGGTGAATTTGCGTTCAAACGCCTGAGACATCCTGAGACCTCAAAAGCTCAGAGGAAGTGCCTCACCCCAGAGGTTTTGAAGTATGGGTTTATGGATGTCCCTGGTTTTCATTGAAGAAAGTTGAGCTTTGGATTTGGAAAATTTGGGCAAGACATGGTAAACATTCAGCATTCCAGCTTGTCGTGGCACTTATGTGATGAGAATGCAAAGAGGGTGAAGCTGGGGCAGGTTAAACACACCCCCAGTTGCGAGGTTCACATGGCTATCGTATTCTGGCTCGGTGGTATGTGGTAAATGTCTAAGGAAGCACCCACGGTTTGATACAACTCCGTAATTTTCAGTATTAAACTGCTTAACATATCATACATATAGAATTAAATAATATAATATAGATATACATATCGGCTGGTAAAATCTCAATATCATGTTCGTGTTGGTCCTACCCCTATGTCTGCAAATATTAAGAAAAGGGTAAGCTATATAGTAAAATCACCTAAAAAGCCTGTGTCTCGCTGGTCCACTAACGAAGTCTAAGCGCTGTCCGAAGTGCGCTGTCTCAAGGTCTCCACTGGCTGCTCCTGAACGAAGACCTCCACCCCATACAAGAAGCTCCCGATAGCTTTCACCACTCCTGAGCGGCAGCATGCGGCAGCATGCGGCATGCGGCATGGTCTGGTCATTGAAATGCTCAGCCGGGTGTCATTTCGGACTGGGTGAGCCCACATCAACCAGTCTTTCATTTTGATTAATCATATGCAATTGTACACACACATATTATAATATTATATATATATACTATTATAACCTATTATGTACTCATACTTTTATGGGATGGTGAAATGATGCAATCATGACTGGTGATTCTTAGTGCGCCGATGGCTGTGCCTGTTTCAATGCAGGGTTGTCGGGATTCAAGATGCAACATACCCCCTCATCCATCGGTCATTGTATGAGCAGGACATGTCGCAACAACATGTGAGAATGTCAACGACTGAGAGCTCTTCTCCCCTCAGCCTTTCGTTTCAACCCATCTCACAAAAAATGCTTGTCAATCGAGGAGCATCGTATAGGGTTGGAAAGTAAATAAATGGAAACCACATTGTAGCCGAATCATTTATTAATTACCCAAATAAACCCTAAAATGAATAGATTCAGTACAAACACCAGATGTTTTTCAAACATCAACGGTCAACGGTCCGATGGCTTGGGATCATCCCTGCTTCGAAGCTTCCAACCACGAAGCGACCAAAGCCTTTGCGCGGCGACAAATACCTGTCATCTGAGCATCTCTCGATCCCCACAAGTCTCCCAAATCGCTACGTATAAAAATTACTGTATATCTGGCAAAAAGTGAAGAGGAAAAAACAATAAAACAATAAAAAATGAAATGACCGAAAGCGACAAGCCCTGCAAGAGCCTCTGGCTAGTTGCACTTGAAATGCCCAGTGAAATAGGTCAGAGCAAATTCAAACACCCTCTTGACAAGCTTGAGGAAAATTTCGTACATATATATTATTATTATTACTTAATTCATCTTAATTCCATTAGTTAGGCGTTTCCAACCTGCTTCCATTCGCAGCGGAGCTTTGTTCGGTTGATCTTAGCGTAGTTCCAGGACGTCTGCGGAAGGGGATTTTTTTATGATTAACCAATGGATTTTGGGGTCTATGCCCCATTCTTAGACAAACCAATATGTTTGGTAAGTAGACCTACATGACCTGAGCATGATGATCTTGGACACAGTGGATACGTTGGTCACCGACGTTAAAAAAACTCAACTGCTTGGGTCCACCTTTTGCCCATAGGTTGCAGTGTAATATAGCAGCCCCCAAGCAGATACAAAAGCAACATTCTACTGAAATATTGGTGAATTATTGTAAGTTCCTTTTCTATCCTTTTCTATGGTTTAGCGATGTTTTGCGGATACTATCAGATTGTTCCATACTATCCACATCTTAGCTTACAAATCTTACGTCGTCTTTTTCGGACGGCCCCTGGGATCCCTGGGATCCCTGGGGGAGGTCCCGAACGCTCCCTTGGCCCGGCCTCAACTCTGCTTCATCCAGCACGGGATCATAGAAAACTTGAAGGAACGGAAAAGTCGCCCCAGGATGGTCTCGTTCCAGCTGCCGGTGGAGCGAGTTCACATTCCTGGCAGAAAATTCTCCCATTTATCCTGGCACCAGTTGGAATGGTGATCATCCCTTAAACATGTTTTTCAAAGATATTGAGATATTGAGATATTGCAAATACTTCAACAATCTGTTTAAAAAATATAAGACCACTAATTTTTAGCAGTTAAGCAGATCGTGATGAACCATTGGATTTTGGGCTTGCCCCATGGCCCCATGGGCCCAACTTGAACCCCAAAAAAAGACCAAGCTTCTGCAGAAAGATTGGCAACGTGGCCCCCTGTGCTTTCAGGAAGCGCCCGTGCCCCGAGCGCAGCGAAAAGATGATGAGGTGATGCCCCAAAGCTTCGACGCTCTGTTCCGGGCTTCGGCCGCTGATCATGCACAGGGAGGTCAACAAACTGCAGGTCACCTGCAAAAATTGACCGGATAAACTCACATATGGCAAACCTGTAGGAAAATGATCTAGAAATGGTGGGGAAAACCACATCGAAAACAAGAGGCAAAATTGTGTTCCAACTGCCGCTTGAGCACCCTGATAAGCATGCGTGAGTTGGGATTCTCATCCCAGTCATATCTTGTGGCTCAACTGGGTTGCTCCCAACACCCCATCACCCATGTCCGCTCTTGGTGGGAAGAATTTAGCTACAATCGGTGGGAGCAACCCCGATTAACACGAATCGGTTATCAAGTTAGTAAGATTTCTAAGACCACATGAAAATACATTCATATATCCCAGTTTAGATCAAGTAGATGGATATCAATGGAAAACGAAACAAAATCTTCGGCAAATCCGCGTCACCGAATCGTTGTGGGGCACCGTGTCCAGCACCTGGGGACAGGTCGGGTTGAGGCAGGTGGATGACTGGATGGAGTAGATTCAGACTGGAAATAGTCATCGGTTCCAGGCAACTTGGGATTTATTGCTGTATTGATTATCCTCTGGTAAACGTTTACATAACTATATATGGAAAATCACCATTTTTCATGGGTAAATCCACTATTTCTATGGCCATTTTCAATAGCTTTTTGTATGTTTACCAGAGGGTAATCTGGGATTCTGTGTTCCATTTCCGTGAATCGAAAAAGAACCAGTGATACTCAAACCACCAACTTGCTCAAACGTGCATCTCCAGTTGTGCAAAAACCACGCTAAAGCCAGCAATTTCAGCAACAAAGACTTAAGCGTTCGTTCACATGGCAGATGGACCACCAGAAATGACCCTAAAGTGCAGGAAATGTCAGCAACAAATAAATGTCTTTCCCGAACTGAAACTGCTTGGTGGTTGACCTACCCCTCCGGAAAATACTAAAGTCAGTTGGGATGATGACATTCCCAATATATGGAAAGTCATGAAAGCCATGTTCCAAACCACCAACCAGGAAATTTACCCCCGGGGTATAGCCAATGCTATGGTGAAGTGAGATGATTGGGACTGGGATGTTTTTGGGGGTCTTGGAAGCACCGGGGGCACCATCTTTTAATTGGCCATCAAAATTGGTCATGCTTCCTATCAAAGATCATATCATACCCATTTGATCCGTCCTGATAAACCTTAAGAGGTGTTGATCCGTTGGGATGGGAGGGAAATCTCCTTTCTGAAAGACTTCGCAGGCAAATGTTCTATTACCCTCTCGAGAATGAACAATTCCCCCGTTAGTTAGACCATTTGTTCATATTTTTCCATTGAAATGCGTATTTTGTTCGGTCAATTCCCAGCTAGCCATGTTTGAGGACACAGGTCCGGAATATTGATGTTCAACATCTGTGTGCGAAAGAAACCTTCTCCTTAAGATGCCGCTGCTTTCTCATGGGAACTGCATCTCCTATTGAATCAAGAGGCTGAACGTGACAAATCTCGGCTGATCATTCTAACAGGTGCATTTTTCTTCTAATATATATATATATATATATGCGTGTGTGTGTATGTATATATATATGTATGTATGTAAGACCTTAATTAATCAACAATACAACCACAAACCTACTGAAAAACAGGCTCCCACCAAGGTAAGACTTTTTTTCTCCGGCCCAGGAACGTCCGCTTCCTCTGCAAAACCAGACATCTTGAGGAGTCGGACCCAAGCATCACAGCCCAGTTCTGAGATCACAAGATCCTTCAAAATGATATGGATATGGCCTCGCTTCGGGACAACTGGGGAATCCTCTGGAATTTGGGAGATCAACATTTCAGAATATGGAAATCCCGGAAGCCAATGGAGTTTTCAAAGGGGAAATCATCAAATTTCACTAATCTAAGTAGGGGATAATCCTGGGATACTTACTGATCTCAACTGCGGAGGCCTTCTCTCATGGATTTTCATAGAAACATTTCAAGATGCAGCTTGCCAAATTTTGCAGGTTACCCAGCCCTACCTTTGAGTATGGGAAAAAAAACGCCTTGTGATTTCAAAAATATAAACATGGTGATTTTGATGACATCTTAGCACCTGCGAATCCCTCGCCCTAGGGATATTCAATGATATCCCTAGGATGACCATATTCCAGACCAAACTGGTTGATTGAACAAAGTGGTCTTCGCGCACAGAAGTGGCATGGTGCCCAAACAATCCCAAAGCTTCACGAGGTCACCCCCGAAATAAACAATTTCAGGATTAGTAGGCCACCAGCAAATTTGCAAGACTAAGTGTCACTGGTTTGAAAGTAAACCTTCATGACATACTGTGGGGTTTCTTACTCCGGGGTTGGCATTCTCCGGGTGACTTTGGACGTTTTTGCCAAACACCATCAAAGTTCGTCTGGCTTTTCAGCAGCCATCCGCTTGCAGTAGCCCATCAAACCCCTTTTTGCTTCGCCGTGGCTTCCGGTATATCCAAACTGGGTAGCACTAAAATCAATAGTAGCTCTCCGTCCCAATACTAGGGTTATATCCCGATCATTATGTTTGGTCTCTGACGGGTAGCACTAGAACTATCCCTGGCTAGCCCTCCACTCTCGCTGTCAAGATGCCGTACATCGCAAAAGGCACCCACGGCAGCAAGCAGCCATGGACAAAGCGACTTAAGTAATGAGCCAAGCAAACGTGGCGTCATCGTGGCGTCTTACGCGGAGACATTGGATTTGAATGGGAATCAACTATGGGTATGTTGGTACGGCCTGGTCCGGTATGTCTATTGAAAGGAAACTGGCGATGTTTCTCAGGAATTATCAATAGTATTCAATAGCATGTTTATTGGAACTTTCCCATCCCACATGTTTTTTGGTATGAAATGATATTAAATGAAGGTTCGTATATAGTTTGCTTAATTAGTGATTATTGACATGATTTGAAATTGGCATCAACCCCTATTAACTTTGTTCCAATAAGGCAAACAACCGCCCCCAACAAAACGGCAGCCTTTTTCCTGTGGCGATTTCATATAACAGATTTGGAGATAATTTGGGTTGATAAATGAGACCGCTATCCACGCAAAAATCATGTTGCCAAATTGGGAGCCAAACAATCTGTTAGAGGCTTTCAACCCGTTCCGCAAAATATTCGTCCATGGGGATCATCGGATCATCATCCCAAATTTTGGGTGAAACTAAATATACTAAAATGAGAATAAATGCTGAATGCTATTAAACCCACAACGAGAAATAATCGGATGGTGAGCCAAAGGCATAGAAACCATCACTGCTTTCAATGACCCTTGTGGAGTTGAGCAGCTACAGTAACTGCGGTGGATTGATTTTGTTGCCCCAAAAAAGATGTTTCCAGGAGATTATAGGATTTGATAGGTGATGTTTCCCACATCTTAGTTCATATTGGTCATACCTTCCACCCTTCCCAACTTTTTTGTTTCCACAGCAACCATAGTAATATATAGTAATTGTGGTACTATTTTAATACTGGTTGGTGGTTGAGCCACCCCTCTGAAAAATATTAGTCAGTTGGGATTATTCCCAACATATGGAAAAATAAAAGCCATGTTCCACACCACCAACCAGAGTAATATCGCAGCCATAGACCACGTTAGACCACCTAGGTGACCAGCATCTTGGGGCTTCCTTTTGGAACCCCAATCTCGGCGCCCCACGTTCTGGATTGGTATATCGACCTCCCGTTGCGGGCACCTGGGCACTTCCCCTCCCATTCTCCATGGGGATCGACTGAGATCAACTGATATACCCTCTGGTAAGCATACAAAAAGCTATTGAAAATGGCCATTTACAGTGTATTTACCCATTAAAAATTGTGATTTTCCATAGTTATGTAAACGTTTACCAGAGGGTACATAGATTGACCTGATTGACCCGATTGGTCCTGTTACTGGCTCCTCTGATCTTCACTACTTGACCCACTGTTGGATGGCGAGAGAACGCAAGGCATATACAAAGAACATAACATTCTCACAGGCAGGTGGATCACCACTACTTGAATGGCAAACTGGGTTCGAAACCATGAAATCAAATGACGGAAGCAAGCTTTCCTTTAAAAATGTTTCATTCCAGAAATCTAACATACTTCCATATGTATATATATATATGTGTGAAATCACTTCCCATCCATGACCATGCAGGTCTGATCGTATGCATGTGCTGCAGGGAACTCTTGTGCTCGAGGTGAGAAAAGGCAGAGCTCCCATGTGCGGCCCCTGGTGGGGCACTCCGCATTGACATTGGTAGCGGAGCCCCACCAGGGGCCCGCGGCGAAGCAATGGCAGAGGAAAAGAGCCTGAGAAGGTTCAATGGCGAGGACGAAGATCCTGGCAAGGCATTGAAGAAATGGAGACTGTGGGCAACCGCAAAGATGCTCACATGCAAAGACCTGAAGCAGGAGCAGCGTGGACCATGGGTGTTTACACTCCTGGATGGGAAAGCCTGGGATGCCTGTGAACATCTCTCTCTAGAGAAACTGTCGGCACCAGGTGGCGAAGATGAGGTGTGGAGCCTTCTCGAGGCCAGGTTTCCTGAGAAGGAGCCCTATGACCAGATGGGCGAAGCGCTTGGGGCGGTGTTTGCCTTAGCAGCTCGCGATGGTGAAGATCTGAAATCATGGACTGGAAGAGTTCGAGATACCTTTGATCAGTGTCAACGCAAAGGCGATGTCAAGTTTCCACCTGAAGCCAAAGGCTGGATACTGTTACACTGTGCAGGGATGTCAGAGGAACAGCGGGCAATAGTTAAGGCGAAGAGTCAAGGCCGTTTGGACTTCGAGGTGGTGTCACAGGCGCTCCGGTCCTGTTTTCCGGAGTACAAAGCGTCAGCAGGTCGAAAGAAGACCATCGGTGCATATCAGGTTGAAGAACAGCCTGGTGACCAAGCTGGAACCGATGATGACAGGGAGTTTCACGACGTAGAAGCTTTCTGTCTGAACACAAGGTACAACTTGGAGAGAGCACTGAGGATTTGACTTTCTCCGAAGGAGAAGCTGCTGAAGCCCTAGCTGTGTCATGGTCTGAACGTCGCCGAGAGATAGCAAAGCTCCGTCAGAGTCGTCAGTTCGGCACTATGGCCAAAGACAAGCGTAGTTTTCGAATAGAGGTAGAAGAACTGAAGAAGAAAACGAAATGCCGAAGATGCGGGAAAGTAGGCCATTGGGCCAGAGAGTGCAGATCAGCTCCAATGGACAAGTCTGCCGCATCCAGCTCAACTCCAACACCACCAACAGGCGCTGGGTATGTGCAAGTCGAAGAGGTGACGCCCACCTTTGTTGGAACAGCAGAACATGTGAAGGGCTGCACAAATAGTTTTGCAGCTGAGATTCTGTCAGGCGGCCTAGTGTCATCACCTGGTTTTGGGGTGGTAGACAGTGGATGTGGGAAAACGCTGATTGGTCAGGAGACATTGCAACAACTGGTCAAACTGATGCAAAAGCTTGGACATCCACAGGTGAAGTACCGAACTGAGAACAACGTATTCAGGTTTGGAAATGGTATGACGGAAACTTCTGAACAAGTAGTGACTCTGCCAGTGGGGATAGCACGTACATTTGGTACAATTGATGCAACAGTGATCAGAGGATCTGCACCATTACTGTTGGGTCGTCCGACGTTGGTGAAGCTGGGGGCATGTCTGGACTTTAAGACCAACAACATGTCCTTTTTAGGTACATCAGCTGAGTTGAAGATCAACAGTGCAGGTCAACTCCTGGTCGACGTGCTCAACTATCCCATCAAGGAGACCAAGCCGTCAATGAGCCCAACTCCGAACTCCAGTCATGAGGCGAGGAGTAGGTTGTCATCCCAAAAGACTAAAGTAACCCTCAAAAACAAGGAGTGCAGATGTTTGCTAGCTCAAATGAATCAGAAACGAAAACCATCTGAATATGCTGTAGCAGAATTGTTTTCACCACCACGTTTTGCAGCTGAAGCCCGAAACAGAGGTCACAAGGGATTGTCTTTTGATATCAAGCAGGGTTGGGATCTTACCGACCCCAAGACTCAAGCAATAGTGGATAAGCAACTGGATGAGGCAAAACCCGATCTCTTAGTGGTATGCCCGACATGCACTCATCGAGGCGGGTGGGAGCATCTCAACAAGTGCTACAGAAGTCCTCTTGAGACTGCCCGTTTGCTGAAGCAGTCCCGTGAGCAGGTCAAATTCAGTGTCCGTCAGATTCGCAAGCAGCTAGCCAGAGGGGGTGAATTTATGTTTGAGCATCCTTGGGGATCTGATGTTTGGGATGATAGCGAGATGGTTCCCCTGAGAAGGAAGTTTGGGATTAGAAGGGTTGACATGTGCGCATACGGCCTCTCTTGCCCTGATACTGGTCTTCCAATCAGAAAAGCTACTGGGTTAATGCTGTCATGCAGACCAGAGGATCGTAACCATGTGTTGCAGAGGTGCCCAGGATGTGCAGAACACAGGTTGGTTGCTGGAAAACTCAGAAATGGCCAGAATGTGAGTGAATATGTCGCCTCTTACACATCACAGTTTGTCAACAGCATCATGGACATGTGTTTGCCTGAGCACCCAAGTTTGCCAACACACCAAGTGGACCTAGCTGCATGCGAAGAGACCGAATGCCTGGCCGATGGAGCAGTCTTGGCTCCTGCAGAAGCCCAAGAGCTCGAACCCGTTCCAGCGGGTGAGAATAGCTCACAATCCCTGGACGATGATGCCGCCAAAGTCCAACATGCACTCAAGCGCCTTCATGTTAATTTAGGCCACCCAAGCAATCGAGATTTAGTGCGCATCCTCCAACATAGCAAAGCTTCCGCAAAAGCCATTCAGATGGCCAGGGATTTTGAATGTACAGTTTGTGCCAACCATCAGAAGCCAACATGTTCCATGCCAGCCAAAGTGTCCCGAGTGTGGGATTTCAACGAAAGGATAGGACTGGATGTTAAATATCTGCCAGGGTGGAAGGTAAACCAAAGAGTTCCATGTGTGAGCATTGTGGACTATGCATCATCGCTGCATGTGATGGCGCCGATTTTTGAACGTGAGAGTGCAGAACTGATCAAGGGTGTTTTGAGAGATGCCTGGATCAACTGGGCAGGGCCACCAAAAGTCTTGGAGCTTGACCCATCACGACCAAACCTGAGTGATGAACTTGCGCAGTTTTGCCAAACTCTCGGAATTGACATTGTCCACACGGCAGCCGATGCCCACTGGCAGTTAGGCAAGGTAGAACGACAAGGACAGTGGTTCGAACAGATACTGACTAAGGTGCATGAGGAATGTCCTCCAAACTCAGCAGAACAGTTTGTAGATAATGTCATGCAGGTGCAGGTCGCCAAGAACTCCTTAATCACAGTGTCTGGAGCCAGCCCGTTTCAAATTGTGTTCGGCCGCAATCCCAGGGTCCCACAGGACCTAATGCAGGACGATGTCCATGTTCCAGCTGTAGATGCCACACTGTTTGAAAATGCAAGTCAGCGAGCTGCCACAATCCGTCAAGCAGCCCGATGTGCAGTGTTGCAGTGCCAAGATGAGAAGGCGCTGAAAGCAGCCCTCAGGTCTCGACCGAGGCCACGCCGTGAATTTGCATCCGGAGACTGGGTGTACTACTGGAGAACTCAAAAATGG